TAGAATTAGGACCCACCGGAGATCTAGGATTAGGAGCTCCCACGGGTATAGAATTAGGACCCACCGGAGGTCTAGGATTAGGAGCTCCCACGGGTATAGAATTAGCACCCACCGGAGATCTAGGATTAGGAGCTCCCACGGGTGTAGAATTAGGACCCACCGGAGATCTAGGATTAGGAGCTCCCACGGGTATAGAATTAGGACCCACCGGAGATCTATGATTAGGAGCTCCCACGGGTATAGAATTAGGACCCACCGGAGATCTAGGATTAGGAGCTCCCACGGGTATAGAATTAGGTTGCATCGGGGGGGCATTCATTCGATTAGGAACGCCGTTAACTTCATGTGATCCATTAACACAGGGTCTGCGCTGCCATACAATTTGGGTAATTTCATCCGGATCTGGTTGTCGTACAGCTCTGGTAGTTTGTTCCCATTGTTTCATGTATTCCGGAGGGAGATGTGTTGGAGGATCGGAATTATGTCTGGGTCCATTAATCTTGACTAAACACCTATGGCATCGGAACTGATATCCTGACTGGTCGCAAGCATTCCATGGAGTCCATAGTCCACAATCAACGCGATGTACTTGAAGCGGTTGGAATCCATTGTTAGCATTCGGTGGTCCTCTTTCCCACGGGCGAACCGCAAATGCCTTTTGTGCGTGCGCTGCAGCCAACATGGAAGGAAAACTTAGATTCGGATACCTGCAATGAGAAGAATGAAGGTGGTCGTGCAGGCAGCATGAATGCTGTATAACCGGATATTTGGGGCCACCATTCTTCGAAAGATTAGAATTTACTAATTAAAGTAGATGACCATCCATTCAATCAGTGCTGTTGCGTCCATTGGTTTGTGGCGTATTTGCAAATTTTATGAGATAATGTAATGCACATGATTCTACTCGCCTCAACATGCTGATTCAAAAAATCAATAGGGGACTGGAACCTGGCCTGAAGTTGTTACAAACTGAGCTTGACTCAAATAGGTACAAACAACATGCGACTGACAGTAAAACTGCCTGGTACCAATTAGGGGATTCAAAAAATAACTAGCAAGTACTGCCATATACCTTCCTTCTATGAGGGGCAGTGCCGTTTTACATTAGTTCTGAGAGTATGCTTCTGTGTATTAGTGGCCGCAGCCACGCAGGCGTCATATAGTTCATTAGATTGCGTAAAACCCATGTAGACATGATCGTCAACTTGTAAACCTCCTGACTCATGCTAGGACTGATACATTTGCATAACTGCATATAGAATTAGACATGTGAACCTGGAATTCGCCGATGTACCCTACGATGCTTCATGGGTTATTGTATGATGAACCTGGTTTTGTTAATGGCATGTTTTAGTTAACTCATCTAGTTGAAGCATGAAACACGAAGCCTTATCTACAATACTCCTGTTCTATAGTCTGTACATAAATGAGGTGGTATAGCTTTTACATATGGTACGGGGTTGTGTTAGTATTTCCCTGTATATTGATATTATATGACGTTGACCTTGCGGCGTACCAATAGTGTGGGTAATGCCTGAGGTGGCGGCGGAAAAAAATATGTTTGACACGACATCAACTGTAACCATGAATGATAAGTAGATCGCTTACCCTTTCCTTCCTTACGGTTGGGGGTATAATATGAAGGGTTTTCGATACCTAGATAACACATAAGTTTACATACCCAATCCCATGATGAATTTAAGAGGCGTCAGGTCATATCATGATATGGAAGGTATTTGAATATCACTTTTTGATGTAATTTCGTTAGGATAAAAGGAGGTAGCAGGCATGTGGCTTTACCGGTACTATGCGTCTGAGTCACCTACGACCCATGAATGCTGCCATGTACGCCATTGAAGAAAAGCATAGTCAAAATGTAAGACACAGACGCTAACTACCATTGTGTAATAAAATTGTTGAACAGGAAAATAGATCACTAGTTCGAGAGTTCATACACGGGGGAGTCAAATCCTCTATAACAGAGGCTATCTGGATACCTAATATTCCAGCAGAAGAATGTCCAGGTGTAGTAACAAACACACATATCTTCGCATTATTATTTTTGGCATGTAATACCACGGTCTAAAATTTTCACATGTGGTGCTGGGAGATCTCGCAGGGAGAGCAACGCAAGGAGTCATTTTCAATGTATAATCAGCTCATTTCAGGGTTTCTCCAACCGAGAATGTTGTTTTACAGGCAATTCTGGGACCTTGTGGCATTCATAGCTGCCAAAGCATTGATCGATTGACACCAAGGTTCCAGTAGTCTATCGCTACCTTCCGTACATCTTCAGACATTTGCGGCGTCCACCTTTTCGGGCGTTTACTGATAAATTGGCGAACATGATCTATGCTGCTCCAAACTCCTGCTTGAATCCCCGCCAACATCGCCGCTCCAGCGCAAGTGGTTTCTTCAACCCCCGAAACTTCTGAATACAGGTGCGTAGAGAGCATATTTGACAAACCTAGATGCGTTTCAACTATATCTGATATCAGCTGCAACAATTCTGCGTTTTTAGAGATTCCTCCATCGACGCAGATGTATGGTACTTCTTCCATGTCCATGTCTTTCAGTAAAAATTGTAGGATTTCACGCAGTTGAAATGCTATACTTTCACAAAATGCCCGTATAATATGTTTTCGCTTCGTGTGTTGCGTCATACCCATGATACAACCCCTTGCATCTGCCCTCCATCTAGGGGCAAACAGCCCCGAGAAGGCAGGTACGAAAACCACGCCACCAGAGCTAGAGCACTCCCTCAGCACGTCCTAAGACCATATTATGTTGTATCAATGATTTTAAAGCACCGGTGGAAGCTACAAACTTACAGATATCTCCGACGGGGTATTTATCATTCCCATCTCTTTTAACCATGTGATTCCTGCACCAACAATAGCAATTGAACCCTGAGACTGGATGTCATATCTATCCACTCTATTACCTCAAGCGCATAGACCATGTCTGAATCTTGGCCTAACTTGTAGCACGGCGTACAAAGCAACCCGCCAGTCGATCTCACTCTTTTAGTTCCTAACGCAACATAGCTCGTAAGGATGAGAAAATACCAGTGTTCGTCAACACAAATCCTCCAGTACCCAGTGTCAACTTGGTTGCACCTGTTTCGAATATTCCATGCCCAATACATGCCGATTGCTGATCTCCGATGGACGCAGTAATTTTTACGTTTTTAAATTCGGGGACATTTGTGTTGTCGATGATCCCAAAATCGGCACAATTTGGCAATATTTCAGGTAAGACGTTGACGTTTAGATCAAACACGCTGTATAATGTAATTGACTTTACTGTGTCAAACAAACCGCAACATCTGCGAGCTCCATTTACCCTTGTTAATATCCATGAGCAAAGTTCTGGAAGCGTTAGTCACATCTGTCGCATATTTCCCCGTCAGGTTCTGTATTGAATGATGCAACTTCGAATGGGAGGTTTACTAACGTATATAATCCATGTGTCGATGGTCCCAAGTCGAACTGTCTCCTTCTCCACAGCCTCCTTAAACCAAGGCAGATTATTTGACATCCACATGAGTTTAATAGCTGCAATGATATGCGTGTTTGCTTCAACGTTTTCAAGCTCACCGGAGAAATATGAGTTTATTACCAACCCCGTTTTTTCCACGAAGAAGGTTGCAGAGCCATACTGGGTGATCAATTCTTGTGCTTCAGCTTCGGCGCGTATGTCAAGCCATACTGAAATAGTTCAACACCAGAGTTCCCGATAGTAACATACCGATTGCATTGTGTAATGGTTTGCCTGTCTCAGCATCCCATGCAACTATTGTTTCCCTCTGGTTCGTAATGCCAACCCCAACGATTTCTACTTCACCACACTGCTACCATATATAATGCGACTCTTAAATCATCAACCTGTGATTTAATCTGAGTTAAAGCGTCGTTCATGGTAGCATATACACTTTCCATGATTTCCAAGGGGTCGTGTTCGCACCACCTAAACTATTGAGTGACATGATAAGTATTAGTTTACCCTGATTGGGGATAGTGTTGTTTGTGCTTCTTAGATGCGGTTGCAAGGGGTTGCAACTGTTCATCGTAAAAGATGCATCTCGTCGACTGTGTTCCTTGATCAATGGCAGCTATCACCTTCATCTTAGATGCCATTATTTTACCAGCCACGTCGATTTATAGTTTTGCTTTGTGAATTGGCGTTGCTGTGACCACTTTTTTCGCAATAATCGGCCAACGCGGGGCTTGTGAAAGACATGTAACCTATCTTCTTCAAGCTTTATGAAGATGAGGCATCGTTTGACGCTTAATTTGGACGTTATCCTTATTACTCTAGTGTCGTACTATAATGCTACAGTGTTAGATATCAACTATTAAGCCAGATTGTTAATTCTATTTATATTGCGAGAGACAATGCCAGGTTTTTACTGTCACCGTAAAGATATATATCCCACATATTAATTTTATCGTAGATATGAATGCATGACACAGCGTTTTTGGGCCGTGTCTCAGATAAATAGCTTTCAGATGTTCTGTGTGTACGCATTTTTCGCTTCATGGCGTCACAGATGCTTATGCCGCGTATGCATTACTGAGCTACAGATAAGAAAACAGTGCTAAAATAGAAAGAGTGCATATTTGCGAATTGATTCACCGTGTTTCTTCGGTTATTTATCCACCGCATAATCGCGTGCCAACTCCAAGTTGTCTTCCACGCATAAAAAGTAGATCCGAGATATTTCAACAATTCTAAAGTACACAAGACAGAGATTTTCGACGTTTTGCGACATCTATATCCCCTTTACGTTCGGTTCCTGTCCTTTCTCTTTTCAAACTATAATGGCGTTTGGGGTGTTACGACCTATCTATGCTTCAAAATTCCGGATTGCGTCCGTCGTTTAAAAACATGCTCACCTTAGTGTCCTTACAAAGCTTTAGTTACATTACTTACTATCGTGATCACTATCGAGCTGATGATAAACCCTACGACTGTGCACCTGATTGGTTTGTTTAGCCAAGATTATGGCAACCCACCAGAATAATGTGACGGATACAAATACAGCCCACCAAATGGCTGGATTTGTGGTTTGGCATGTCGTAGACATGGATATCTGTCGTTCAGTGACTTATTAATCTCATTCCGACATACGTCAATAGTGCCTACGGCCATCCAGAAGAAGCTTGCAGTCAGTAATACGACTTCTGCGACGAGCTGCAACTATTAACCCAGTGTAATTAGGTATATTACCTACCCCCGCCTTGTGTCCGTAGAACTTTTTAACGTAATGGGCCCCAACGGACGAAGGAATGCTCTGAAAATTTGAGACATCGGCATCCGTACACCTTACCAGCATCAGTCCTACTACTAGCCACATATCTGAAAATACATTATTTACTATATTCTGTTCACATACTCAGAGGTACGTCGCAATACTTCTCGGCGTTGAAGTACAGCAGAATTATGATGATAGCATCTACAAGCGCGAAGGCGCTCAAGGTAGAGACAAGCTTCATCGTTTCCTACAACTTCTCTAGGTATTATGCATGGCTATGATTCCAGCTGAAGGGCCTCATTGTCAATATGTTGAGAAATTTACGATTCCCTTCCCATTGATGGATCATTGAGAGAATTACGGGATCGTCACCCCGTTCTATCACCAAAATTACGCCCCTCTGGCACCAAATGTATGCCTAACTACAGTATAAACATGCTTAAGTCACCCTCAAGGGTCCAGCCGTTGCTAGGTGATGGCAGCTAAGCCCAGAAGGACCTAGGTTACCGCCTCAGATCATTTAGTCCCAATAAGGGCAATTATAATAGGCTGTTTTATTTATTGCAACACACTCATAAAGGTTGCCTTAGCTGTTGGCGTGCGAATACCTTTTCTGGTCATCGAGCACTCTTACCCGGCGGCGTACGACGCTATGCCCGCAGCATACACAACGACAGGGATTTTTTGAGTGTGAAAAATGATATGATTATTATTTAATCGCCCATCCATCCCCCGAATGGACGTAATGACACACCGTACTGTCCCGTCAGGCTTTCGGAGACCCTATGCCGTTCGGCGGCAATTTATAGGTTCGTCCATAATCGCTGCTCGCGTTACGCAGTTATACGTACTTCTAACGGCTATGATGTGTTACAGCATCCGGAGCCATTTTTTTTTGCTTTCGCCGATATTGCCGCAAAACGGATGCAAAAAAATTCCTTGCATCTCCTGCCAACTTAGCTTCTTTGGTCATAAACAAATTGAACATCGGACCATAACGACGGTGGTATCCGGCAAGCCAACCCAGATAACATAATTTTTAAAAGTTAAGCTATTATCTAGCTGTTTAGCGGTGTTGGCCGTGGCAGTCCCGCGTGGTACGCCGAAAAAATACAGGGAAATCTCCCATGTGTTACGTTAGACCGTAAAAGTCAAGATGAGTGTTCGAAACACATCTTTCATTTTAAATCTAGCAATTTTCATGGGCCGATTTTCGTCGCCCATACCAGTTTTTTTCTGACTCACTTTGGATCAGTGGCTCCGTGACGCGCAGCGAGCAATTTTATGTTCAGTATATGCCCATAGTAATAATTAGTATCATCCGCAGATGGTTGTTTTGATTAATCATCTGTAACTATTAAGGTTGACACTTACCCTAGTTTGGCGTAATATTGCAGTACCGCTGTTGCTCCGGAAATAGAAGGATATGTTTTAGACGTTCAACACTTGACCTGCGGCTCAATCCATTTGTTTCTGAGGATATTGATTAGATAAGGGACCAAGAGCGTTTTTTACGGGAATCCTTGTTTCGGTCCTGGGTTGTGCATTCGCGGGTTGCGTTGAGTCGATAATATGCGCATACACACAATCCTCTCTATTCTTGGCTCAAAGATATATATGACTGAGATCTAGAAGCCCTTTCGAAGAATTTTCTCTTCAACGGTAGAGTCCACAATCAATGGTGGTTTCGGTATCGTACGTTCGGGATACCGACGGCAGAGGCGCCGTAGCAATTCCTAAAAAATGGGTGTCAGCTATTCCATCGCTCATAGTGTGACATCAGACGTGGATACAAAGCAACCTAAAGGTCACGTGTTGAAGAATTATACCCCTCGTCTTCGCCAATCGGTGAAACGACCCACCCCGTTCCAACCAGGTCAACTGATGTCGAACTTTATGGTCAAGTGTAACAGCATAACAAATCACATGATTTGTACGACTAACGATCCCTCAGCTGAGGATTGCCGCCGTGCGTGGACTGCTTCTGACGGGGTAAATCGATCTACATCGACGTCCATCTCAACTCTCCCGGAGAGGCTAGAGCTTGCATGTTTTGATATTGGTCCAACCGTCGGGACAGGCTCCTATGCAACGGTGTGTATTGCTAGTCTGAAGTCGGCTCCCGAGTGCCACCGCTCTACTTTTGCACTGAAAGTTCTGCACAAGACAAAGGTGATCGCTGAGCGCCAGGTAGTCCACCTTCGGAACGAACGCCGAATACTCTCTGCGATCAAGCACCCCTTCATAGTCCAATACCTTGGAAGCTTCCAGGATGATGTAAACATATATATGCTGCTCGAGTACGTCTCTGGCGGGGAGTTGTTCAGTTACATCTATAAGTATGGGGCCTTAGGACACACAGTTGCTCGTTTTTACACCGCTCAGGCGGTGCTGGCCATTGACTTCCTACACTTCAAGGGCATAGTGTACCGCGACCTAAAGCCAGAGAACATGCTGTTAGACCGTTTTGGTCACATACGTCTGGTAGATTTTGGCTTCGCCAAGCAAGTAAAAAACAAGACTTACACTGTCTGTGGCACTCACGACTATCTCGCTCCCGAGATATTTTTGCGTTGTGGTCACGGTGTGGAGGCTGATTGGTGGTCTTTGGGTGTGTTGGTGTACGAGATCCTGACTGGCGCTCCGCCGTTCCACGCTTCAGACCCCTGCGCTACATACGACCTTGCACTAGAGAACTGCGTCCGTTTTCCCCGTTCGATAAGGTTTGAAGTTAAGGATTTCATTCGCAGGTTACTCGTAGTGAATCCCCGTAAACGTCTAGGCGGCAACAACAGCTCTGAACTCTACTCCCACAAGTTTTTCAGGGGACTTGACTGGATGAAGATGCTATCCAAGCAGTTGAAGCCCCCTATAGTTCCGCGCGTATCTGGAATCGCGGACACCACCAATTACATGAATTATCCTGATGACTGGCGTGCTCACAATGCCAGGATAACTGCAGCAGAACAGGACGAATATTTCAGCGACTTTTAGACATTAAATTTGATAGTTCATGATCTCTTGCGTTTTGCGGCATCATACTTAGCCTGAAATTTACTTGTTCTTTTACCTGCTCGATTCTGGTTCTTGTATTTGAGTTTTTCAGATTCGACCTTTCGAAGTGCCTCTGCGCATGTGCTGTGCTTCGCCAGAACAACGTCTTCGCTCAGTTCCTGAGCGTTCCCATAATCATTGTATAGAATACACACATACCGTGAATTCATCTAGTTTCTTGTTTAGTGCCATTTCAATGCGCTGGAATAGCTCCACATCGTACCTGAGGCATATGTGGACCTTTAATAGAAGCTTACTGCGTGACAAATGTGAGGGCCAACCCGGACCTCCCTGCCCGTGCGGTGCGTCCGACTCTGTGTATATAGTCCTTAGAGCTTTCTGGTATATCGAAATTGACCACAAGTTCGACCATTGGCAAATCTAAGCCTCGCCCCCCTACTTCGGTAGCTACCAGGACAGTTGCCGATCCTGTCACTTTAAAATAACTCAGCCATTATACACCTACCCGTTTTGAAAATCTGTAGCGCCCTAGACCTATCGACTTGCGACATTTTCCCATGTAGGCATACCTTCAGTGTGTGATTAAGATAAACTTTTAACCTACGCTTGCAAACTTGAGTCCCTTGAGGTAAGCGGCACACCTCTGTGCTCCGTCACATGTCTTACAGAACACCATGACAGTACGGTTAGAATAGTGCCAAAGCAATGCGGCCAAATATGTCCATTTGTGTTTTTGCGGCACCAGGAGAAAGCGCTGATCAAGGTGCTCCGCCGTCGCGTATTTGTCGTCCACGTGAACCTGTGCATTATTCCAACATAAATGATATTGTAACGCACAGCTACTGGGTTTTTAAGCGCCATTTTTTGTAATTTGCTCAATTTCTTGGTCATGGTTGCGGAAAAGAGGAATGTTTGTCTTTCCGACGGTATTGCCTGAACATCTTTTGTAGGTCCTGGTTGTATACTTACATGTATGATTTTGTCTAGCTCATCATCAAAGTCCTGCGATAATAATCGGTCAGCTTCGTCAATGACAAGTTTTTTGACAGTTGCTAGCGAAAACCCCTTTGTGTTTTCGACATGATCTGCCAGTCTTCCTGGCGATGCGACTATAACATGCGGTTTTTTCGCTAATGCTGACGCTTGGTATACCATGTCCATGCCACCGATAATGACACAGACCTGCAGCGCAATGGCCTCTCCCAAGGCAGAAAACTGCTCTGCTATTTGTTCGCAGAGCTCTCTGCTCGGCGCGAGCACTACGCAATACAATCGTTGTACATCACAAAGCAGGTCATGGAGTACTGGTATAGTAAATGCACCAGTTTTACCAGAACCAGTGACTGCCAGACCTATTATATCGCGCCCACTGAGCGCATGTGGAATGGCAGCGACCTGTATGGGTGTTGGTTCTTTCCATCCTATTGAGTGGCATGCTTTGCACAATTCTTTACAAACTCCTAGCGATTCAAAGGTAGCATTTGTATCATCAACCTCTTTAGTAGTATCTTCACCATTTTTCGTGGCAACCAAGGGTGCCTGCAATCTCGCTTTGAAATCTTCCAAAGCGTCGACCCCTTCGGAGTCGCTGTCTTGACTTTCCATGGTGGGTGGTACCTTTTTGTGTTATATGTCTATACGCAGCCGCTACAGCTTAGCCAGCTTGACTTTGGCAACGACACGTATTGCGATTTGCAGGGTCAAGGGTGAAGGTTCGCTCCTCCTCAGCTATTGCGTCGTATTATGTGTAGATGACAGATACGACCTTGTACATTGTATATTTGGAAGTTGTGTTCATATGGAGGTGTTAGGCGTGGTTGTTCGTCTGATAGCGCCTACCTAATCCAAGCATATCTCGGCCAATATGTGCCTCTCAAAATGATATGCCTATGGCAGGTGAGCTTTTATGTGTTTCTATTATCTATATAGCACGCAAATGATCGATTTGGAAAGAAATCGTTGCTTCAAGATAGTTAAAAGCAGCATCAGGCAGATGTGTATTTTCGGCGCGGCACCCTGTTAGCGTAGATGTAACTGGTACGTATTTAACGTTATTTTACAAGCATTAGTTGACAGAATAGAGCTATTTCTTGCCAAATAAGGTACCGCTTCCTGTAAGCGTGGCATCTGCGGGGAGCCGCAGACGACATCGTACATTCAACGACACGGCGTCAACAGGGCAATTTACGGGAAGGCTCAATGTTGAGTAAATGGATACGGCGCCTTTCAGTGAGCTCGCCGGAACTTCATTACTACAGCGTAAGGGATTCTGGACGGAGAAATTGGAAGGTTACGTATTCTACCGCAAGCTGGCTCTTTTTCACTCTTTGGGATGGCCTATCGCATCTAGGAAAAATAAACGTGTTATTTTTAACCAGGAAGCAGCGAAACGGTCGCGGCACCTCCGAGGCCTGGGACGCCGAGGATCCGCTGTCCGCGCGAAATTGTCAGCGGGTCAAAAATCGCTTCCAATTACTAGTAAACGCCATAATTCCACATGAACGCTTTATATAGTCATAGAATCTAGTCAGTTACCCATGCATACAGAGGAATTTCAGACGGTCACCGAAAAAGAGCAATAATCATGTCAGCGGCCAGAATATAAGCCCGCTTCGTATATTCTGTCACTTCATACGTTCCACTCATAAATATATGAACTATGACAAGTGTATTCTGTAGTGACTCAGAACGTAGAATGGGTTGAGAGCATGAATTTTCTCTGTAATAGGACAAACATCCTCCTCCAATATAAGATCAGAAAACGGGAATCTTCCTGTAGATATCAGACATGATTTAACGAGCGTTAGGCGGCTCCGCAGAGTCCTGGGGGAGCTATTCACATGATCTCATGGAGAGAATTTGATACCCATAGTTGGGGCATGTGCATACGCGAGCGCCGCGCCGCGGCGCGCCGCGCCGCATTGCTTGTTGTAATTCTTCATGCGCGGCTGGAAAGCGGGCAACTTTTGCGTTTGCTGATGGAACGTGTTGCACAAATCTGTTCCATGTATGAATTGAATATGCACAAAATTTAATTTTAAGTATGCGGAGCTTCATTTTGATTCCGCTGTTCGCCGCTTTGGCGGCGGCCGATGCCATGCAAGAGGAAAGCGACTCTTTGTACCAAGAGGGTGACAACAGTTATATGCCTATGTTTACTGAAGATCAACTGAAGTACCCTATCACCGCCCCTCTTGATATAGCCTGCAGTTACTACGAGGCAAACTACAACCCTAAGATATTCACCAGCAAGTCTGGCAATGTCAAAAGAGTTGTGTTCCACGCTCCAGATGACACTCTTTTCAAAGAGATCAATCATGATAACGTGAGGATCTTCGATCCTGAATCCTTCCTCGGATACAAGGTCGTTGTTGATTACATTAACGATACCGCTCGTTATGTGCAAATCTATGGTTTGGTGAGCCGTGGTATTTACGGTGTAAGGTATCTGGTTAACACCAACAAGGGATTCCAGAAGGTGTCTCGTCCTCTGTTCATCAGGCACAGGACACAACACAGTACCGCTTACACCCTTGACCTGCAGGCACCTAAGGAACAGATGTTGGAGCACAACACCGTTCGTAGCAATGAAAGCTCCCCTCACAACATGACCACTTACTACCCTCGGTTCAACCACTACGTTGAGACTATTGTGGCCGGTTCGTCTAAGCTTTGGGAGCACGACCCTGTTGCTGCTGACATTTGTTTGAAGGTTATGACTTACACTTTTGACGGTCAGAACTACTGTGTCGTCCGTACCATGGACTGGAACGGTTTGATGGAAGAGTTTTTGTTCGTTGAGGGTAAAAAACGTTACACCCTCCTTGCTCACATTCCCAAGGATTCATTCTACACCCAGGCCGCTGATGCTGCTGCAGGCACTGCAAAGTCTGAGCCTAAGCTCATCAACTACACCCAAATTCTACCCCGTAGGAATGGTGCAATGGAATTGTTCAACACCGCAAAACTGATTAAGGTGAACTTCCGCGGGGAACCTACCGCAAACGACCATTGGACACTCACCAAGGACCAAACTCCTTCTGGTAACCACGAGGAAGTTTTCACTCCCGAGGAAGGTACCCTTATTTACAGGTTAACAGACGGCAAGCACCTTGTCTGGCATCGTCCCGGTTTGGCCATCAAGCGCGGTTCTCTCATCAGTACCGTGGATGGCTCTGAATTTCTCCAGCTTACTGTAATCAACGATGAGGGTGCTACTCTCGAGTACTACTTCCAGAAGCACGCCAACTACTGGTGGCCTATTTCTAAGAGTCAAGTGTTGCGTAAAACCAACCCTAAGGCTCTTGAGGACACCACCGAGGACAATATTAGGATCACTGTCAAGAACCTAAACCACGAACAGCTCGAAGCATTGAAGCAGCGTACGCGCGTTCGCTTCGACACTGAGAAGATTGAAGACCCCGCATGGACAACTGACCGTTTGAACTACGGTAACATGCTCACAAGGAAGTACTGCACTGCCCGCAAGCCTGAATACGTCTTTGACGGTTTCGTTTCTGGTGACGAGACCATTGTGGATTTGAAGGGCAAATATCTTTCTACCGAAACCCTCCACTACAGGGTTAAGGGTCTTGATCTTTTAGCCTTTAACGCGTTTAACCTTGAGAACGGCAAGGGTAAATTGTACTTCTTCTTGAAGCGTGAAAAGCACTGGATACCTATTGGCGAGCGTGTCTTCAACAGATTCTACGATGACATCATGGCCTACATCTATAGCAAGAGGATTAAGGGAGGTGACGAAGATGAGGGTTACTCTACCGACACCGACGCCACCAGGCAGCCCGATGTCGACGTTGAGCTTCCTTTCCAACACGAATTTGACGAGCACACTGGTGGTCACAAGGTCGACCAACTTCCCACTGAAGAGGAGAAGGAAGAGGGTGAAGGTGAAGAAGAGGAAGAGAAGAAGGAGCCCACCTACATTCGCCTCCAACTCAAGGGTTACCAGGATGACAATTGCACCATCCACACTGTCAGCGGTGACGACAAATCTGTCAGGATCATCTACACACCTAACGAAGGTTACCTTTTCGACGAAGTCCACGAAAGTCAATCCACTGTTTTCGCAGTGCCTGGTTTCACTGTCACTGAAGTGATTCTAGACCAGATGCCTGATGGTCAGCACTTCTTGCAGGTTATTGCCCACGACAAGGAGGGCCTCCAGCGCATTTTCTACTACTACAAGATCAAGAAATACTACGACTTCAAGGAAATTAGCCGTGCCAACTACACAAATATCCGTTACCGATGCATGGCACGCTTCCACGTTGACATTACTAGCAAGAACCGACGTGGCAAGTGTTTGATCAGGTTGGATTCCAAGCACTACAAAAATGTCCGTGCTTTCATTCCCCGTTACAACTGTGTCATTGATGTGGTTAAACACAAGGAATCTCCCATTTGGACTTTCGACGAGTTGAACCCTGAGGTTGTCACCCGTATTGTCACCTTCAACCGTGACAACATTCGTGGTGTCTTGTTGCAAGTGATTGACGCCAAGGCTGAGCATGTTGAGAGACTTTACCTCAACACTAACCCCAAGACGAACGATTACGCTTTGTTTGTGCACAAGGGTGAAATGTTTGCCTTGTTCAAGGAATATTTGTTGAACAGAAGGTCTGGTATTCCCGGTTTCAGGAAATACAAGGATAACGACATCGACTGGACCAACGTCATCGATGACAACTCTCCTGAATACAGCCTTATCCGTCCAGGCTATCGTAAGGAGGCCGTTGAAGAGAAGCCTGAGGAGCATGACGCTGAGGAAGGAGCTGAGGAAGAAGGTGAGGAAGAAGGTGAGGAAGGCGACGCTGCCTCGGTTGTATCTGGTGATGTAGCAGGTAGCCATCTTGAGGGTGAGGAGGAGAAAGAAACACCCATCGTTGACCCTGAAGCCGAGGAAGCTGAGAAAGCTAGGAAGGAGACCCTTGAAGCCAGGTTGAGGCACAAGAACGCCATCAAGGAGAGCTCCTACTATGTCAGCCTTCCATTGGTTGTGCACAACGTCATCCACAAGGAGGGTATTGTGTGGGATGCCGCTGGCAGCGGTGAAGTGTGCCTTGACTTCAGGAAGTACTCTAAGAACCAATACCGTCTTGTTGAGTGTGAGATCATGAGCCCCGATGGTCGTGTAGAGATCAGGTACTTCATGAACACCCACAACGGTAGGGGTCACTACAAGGAGGTCGAATTGTGCAAGATCGGTTCTGATATTTGAGTGTTTTTTTACCCGTATATCATTTAGCTGGCGTATCCTATTTTCCCTTTTTAATTTCCTGTACGATTTAGGAAGGAAGGGTAGGTCAAGCTTATAAAAGGGATAATTGCGATCATCGGAATTGATTTACGTCATTCGGCGTGTCGTGGAGTGGTTATTCCATTGACTGGATTTACGCTTCATACTACTTCAATGCCGTATCGCTACGCTATGATACTGTGACTGTTAGTCCTTACGTGGACAACCGTAGTTTATATCAATAATAATGTTTGTATTTCAGTTATTTGTTCCGTGATAACATTATTTTACTATTGATCTGTTGCTTATGCAGCCTCGCTCGATGGTATCGCTTTCTATTGTGAATTTGCGGTTAAATATATTATGACCAACTGAACATCATATTCGTCTCTAATTTTTGTACTTGCTGTTATCTGTTGTCGCGACGTCTGGCAAGGTAAAGCTATGTTATGACGGGTAGTGTGCGATGCGTCCTAATTGAAAGTTCTTAGCCCCTCCTGGACTTACCCCGTAATTCAACCTAATTTAATACCATTATTTGTTCCAATTGTGTTAACAAATCACCATGGCCAGTAGGTTCTAAAGCGCCGCTTATATCATTACCCCTTAGGTTCCCGCCCACAGGATTCGTCTGTGCCGGTATCGGAAGATAAAGATTGTCCACCTGGTCCTCTTTCCGTTTTGGAAGCATGCGTGCGTGACAACTCGCAAGTGTTGATAAATTGCCGGAGTAACCGCAAGCTGCTAGGTCGAGTATGTGCGAGTTAGCGTCTACCGTTCATTTTGTCTTCAGGTAAAGGCATTCGATCGTCATTTTAATATGATTCTAACTGATGTTCGTGAGATGTGGACCGAGACTAGTCGTGGAGGCGGTAAAAAGAAGCACGTCAACAAGGACCGCTACATTTCCCGCTTATTTTTGCGTGGCGATTCTATAATTGTCGTGCTTAGTAACCCTAAATAAGTTTATTATCGCCTTTAAAAGTAGCAATATCGACCTTTCACAGTTCTATATGTAGCATTGGTCGCGCAGCCTGCCGGCAGAGCCTTTGCCAGTTTACACATGGCGCTTCGGCATGGTGACAAACCATGTTATACCACTAGATTAGTCTAACCAATAATATAGTGAGAGCGCAGAAGCGCTTCCGCTATCATACGGCCTATCTGCTGGGCTTATGGTCGATTACAGTGTTTTACGCACGGCTCCCCTGTAATGGAGATATCTCGACGATTTCACTTTTTCGACAAACATCTGATCAACGTATCAGTTTCAGGTAGGTGTCCGTGATTTCATTGTTTTAGGTCATTTTTTTACAGGTCAGGGTTCAGTGAGCTTCGAGTCTGTGGTCGATGCTGCTGGCGACGATGATTTTTTATGGGTTCTTGAGTCATCGGGTCGTGTGATTGCCCTGTATCGGCACCAGGGTCCTGGTTACTCCAGGGACACTTTGTTATGCCACCGCCTGAAGGCGTTTGAGTTTGAGGGTCTTTGGCTTTTTTCTTGTTGGGATGCATCTACACTTATCGTAATAGGGTATGTTAGACGTTATTGCCAGCGCATATGTTTGTTTCAGGAAGGATGAGGAATCAGATTCTATGCTTAAGTTTAACACATACAAGGTGTCGCCTCATAGGAGCCTTGACAACGTTGAGCTATTGCAGTTCGTCCAATCAGTCCCATTGTTTTTGCCGTCGCAAGGTTTTGTTCTTGACAATATACAGGCCGTAACGGTCTCAAAATGTACGAGCGTGGCAGCGGTAATGTTTTCTTAAAATGTCTATTAATGCCAACCAGGTTGCTACAGCTGGCGGGTTTGTCTACTTGTACCACAACTATCTATCACCACCGTCGGATGGTACAGGAATATCGCATAGTCTAAAACTAGTTAGGTACGTCCAATGAGGATACTTAATATATCGATTGTAGTGTCACTGAGCTAGCAGGGGACCGTCATGCCGGGGCGATCCGTTCTTTGCACATCCGTCCTCTATCATCTGGGAACTTTGGTCTTACAGTGTGTTGTGATGATGTTGTGTTAACCTTGCGTTTGCTACCAGATCCAGTTCTGGTCGATATGCATTTAATAGAGTCATCGTTTGAGGCTTCTTGCGACTTGGGTATCGATGGAGAGTTTGCGGTGTCAAAGTCTGGTGGTCTGTTGGATATTTATGACTCCGAGGGCTCCATAATATCTAGGTTGAAAGGTTGCGGCCCATGCACTTGCATGTGTGCGTACAAAGGCTACATTGCTACGGCGTCTACCGACTGCAAGGGCGGTTTGGATGTCTCTTATGCCACTACACTGGTAGCTGTGCATTCTCGCATCAGTGGTATGGATTTTATCGCATATTCACAACACATACCTGTTGTATTTAAGTTTGAGAGAGCTCTTGGATCTTTGTATGTCCTAGCACGTTCAGGTTCTAGTTCGTCTTTAATTTTGTTTGAATTACGTGAAAAGGCTATCCATGAACGTTTGCAGATGCTTATCCGTAAGCGTCTGTTTGAATGGGCCATATCTATGGCAAAATTGGAGAACTGTCCACTTTCGGAATGTGAGGAGATTCATAAGATCCACGCAAACTGGTTATATGATAAGGGTCGTTATGAGTCGGCTGTTGATGCATACTGCCTAGCGGGTTCTGCGGTTGAGCCTGCATTTGTGATAGTTCGTTTCATGTCTTTGAACTCAAAGCTCTACCTTTACAAATATCTCATCAATCTTCATCGCCGCAGAGAGGCGACGAGTGTCCACACCGTGGTACTGATGCGTGCGTTACAGTCGCTGTTTGAGGACAGTTCAAGGAGCTGCTCCCGATCAGTTAGCAGTACGGAACCACCAGCTGACGCTCCTTTAGAGTGCGTTTCGGATGTATCCGACTGTCATAAACTGTTATCTGAATTTTTGGAGGAGTTCGGTGAATCACAAAAGGATGGCATCAGGGAGGCTCTCTACGATTGCCGTTCTTCTGGTGGTTCTGAGTTCGCCCGTGCTGTTGCCCTTGCGCAGCACGATCACAACGAGTACATAGACATTTTGGTTGAGGATTTCCATGATTATAGTGCCACTTTGGAATACCTTGAGTCCTCGAGTAGTCAGGTGACGTGCAATGCCATTTTACGTCATGGCCGCAGGTTAGTTAAGCATGATCCTGTATGTGTTTTACGTTTGATTCGTAAGATCGCTGAGGCTATGCCTAAAACGCATGGAAGCGTATTTGAAGCTTTTGTACCCGTTTTTTGTATGGAAGACCGATTCCTTATGGATATGCTGGATGCTGATGTTCCTAACACATCCCTAATGATATTTTCAACTCGTCTCCACTTGATGCTGGATCAGTTTTCAGCACACAATCAGCTGTCAGCTGCATCCCCTATTAAAGGGAGTACCGAGTTGGTGTCTGCTAGCGTTGGTTCTTCTGATGACAGACGAGCATCTGTGAGTCCCGTTGGCGCTTCTACAGAGATGAGAGAACCTTCTGATCAGCATTCATTATCTCCATCATATTCTAAGTCATGCACGGATCATAGTTTTGACGTGGATGGTCTTGAGAATCGCATGTGGAAGTTGTTGAATGGCAACACTCAGTTGGCCGAATATCAGCTAATTGCCCTCCTTCTATGTTTGGTATATAACTATGAGCGTGGTGCTAACGCTATGGCAATAAAGATGGGTTATTACCACCTTCCTTTGGTGCTTGCAGGTATGCGTGATGAGCATCTGCACAGCAACAATTTTGACCTTCTGAATCATGCTTTGAGTTACGGTTCCAACGAGCCTACTTTATGGGTGGGTACATTATCTCTGTTGGTTTCATCGCCAAACGATACTTCTGAGTTGCTTCGTATTGCGTTACAGCACATCCACACGCATAAGTTGCTGAGTTTCCCTGGTGTTCTACGTCTCCTTGAGAGGAACTCGACGCTGCGTTTTGGTGATGTTAAGGTTTGTTATCTTTCCATATTTTGACATTTTGCCAGGATTACTTGCGTCGTGAGTTCCGTAAGATTGACGATTTGCTTCGTGAGTGTGAGCGTGACATAGCTCAGGACAAAGTTGACTGTACGCAAATGAACCGTGATCTGCAGCGTCTTCAGCATTCCTACGTTGTGATAAATAACACGAATTGTTCACGTTGCGAATTATGTCTTGAGATGCCTTCGCTACACTTCTATTGTCAGCACTCGTTCCATACATATTGTATCGGTGCTGATGGTTTGTGTCCCAAGTGTGCTCCCATCGCTAACGAAGGCGCGGTAAGTACCATATACTGTCTATAACATTGTTGTAGGATGGTACTGAGCCCCAAAAGGGTTCCGAACATCACGATAACTTTTTCAAGTTTTTGAGCGGTGCGACGGATCCTTTTGTGTACATGACACAACAGTTGGAGCGTTTTGCATTTTCTCAACAATAACTGTTTAAAAATGTATATTATGATTTCGTAATAAGTTTATTGTGGTTTTTCATTTGGTTTTTAGAACTTTTGTTTGCGAATCTTCAATTTCATGTTTTATCTCGCAAAACACGGTTTACTTGGTTAACTCTGTCCTGTAGTGCTACAGCTGAGTCGCTTATCCGTTCTAAATCTTCGTTTTGCTGTTGTACAGTATTTGCTATAAGTTCTGTTTTTTGTCGGTTACTCTTGAGTTCTTCGATGAGTATGTCCAGCTGATCGTTGGCTGTTGAGGCCAGGTTTCCCATGGCTTCTGCACAAGTTTATATATTGCCTTAGAGTGTATTTTAGTGCGTTATCCTGTTTACTTACTTGCAACGGGATTGTTTTCTGTTACATTTGTTTCCTGCGTGGCGGTTGTGATTGGCCATAGTATTGATTTCCAATTTCTTGTACTTTCATTTTTTGTCAGATCATTATTTGTATCTGTTTCTGCCTTTTCAAGCCGTGTTGGTTTTTTCCATGCGATAGAATTGCTGATCCACGTAACTGAATTGACGTATGCGTCTACAATTTTTTGTGTAGCAGTTACTGTTTCATGTGATTCATTTAGAGCTGTTTTAATCCTTTTAAGATTCTCTGTATCAAAATATTGCTGTAGGTATATGAAGTTACCGTTTTGCGATTGTAGTTCTGCAAGTGAGTCCGTAGCTTCCTTTCCAGCGTCTACAGCGTGCGTTACTGCGTTTCTAAGACTCTGTGAAATGCTCCTTGCGTATCGCGTTATCACCTGTGGCTGTTTTACTTGTAAACTTTTGCCTACCTCTACAACGCTATCCTCCTCAGTGTCATCTCCGGCATCCGTCTGAGCATTTTGCGGTGCCATTTTGACACCTGATTATGTTAATTGCATTTTAATATTGATATCGATATAGAAGGTGTACTTTTTGGCCTATTTTTAGGTTACTATAGCCGGGGAAGTTCCCCGGCTATAGTGCAGGGATGTGTAGAGCCCTGGCTTAAGGATATTGAGATTATAGCGTGTCCAGCTTCCTGCAACGTTCCAGTTGCGTTCTGAATGACTGTCTATTTTTATGCCATAGCGTCAGAATGTGATTTGGTGTCCGATGTGTGTTTCACGATATGAACTTTTTCTCTGTTCTGGGTACATGAGTGCGCCGGAACGAGATGTTTGGTTTTTATGTTTCTCGAGCAAAGGAGCTCGGTCGATCCATGGTATTTACGCTTTGTAGTCTGCACTTAGTTACTAGTTATGTGTTTGACATAACTGTGGTATGTGATTATTTTTTGTTGTATTTATTTTGCACAGACTCAAGGTCCTAGTATGACCCCTACGATAGCGGAAAATAGCTCAGTAGCGCTCTATGCACGCCCTCAATTGTTGCGTGTGTTGCGCGGCCGTTCAAGTCCGTTATATCGCAACGGTGATGTAGTGATTGCCATATCTCCTACCAATGCATCGCGTCGTATTTGCAAGCGTGTTGTATCTAGGTCATTAGAGCGACATGGTGACAAAACAGTGCCCCTGGGACACGTCTGGCTTGAGGGTGACAACAAATGTAGGTGTTAACGGCTTCCACCGTGATAATTTTTTCGCAGCCAATTCTCTGGATAGCCGTTATTATGGTCCTGTATCTACGCATATGATTATGGGAAAGGTATTTTTGGTGTTATCACTAAAGAACGGCGCACGTCTGGTCTGAGTACCTCTGCCGAGGCCTGTAACCATTTAGAGCTTACGCTGGCCTGGAAGCCAGGGTAAGGTAGATGGATGCTAATCACATATATAATGTATTATTTGCTATTGCGATTAAAAGATCGTTGTCCCTTCTATTTTGGGCAAGAGTCATGTATTGTACAAACTGTAAGTCCTCGTTTTTGTAGCTCTGTAGATTAAGTGAGTTGCTGCGGTGTAAAGGGCCAAGAAAATTTAATGATCAGCATTATCATATTATTTCGCGTCATTCGGTAGAATGTATCTGCGACGGCAGCGGCCGTGGCATTTTTTTCCTTAGATTTACGCTATAGCCACTTACCGGTGCAATAGGCCTCTGCCTTCTTCTGCCATGTGCGCAGAACTGTTGCTTGTCCGGAATTATGGGCTTCTACGGTGATAGTGTGTGCAACTTCTCTGCTGAGTTGCGGTATGGCGCTGGCCAGGGCTTCTGTGACATATGTGAAACTGAGCCAATCTAATAAGCGTTGAATTTTTTGTTACCTATGGATGTCGTCGTTATATAGAACCACACGCCATGCTATGGTTTCTTCCTTCCTGTTCTGCTTAGCCTGGTCACTACTTTCTGCGCTGGCATCCTGTTTTATGCTCTCGATGGTTTGCCTGTGGTGATTCCACGGTGGCCTATGTACTAAGTATCGCTAACCTTAAGTGGCTTTGGTCTACGGCTGCCTTTTCATCCTTTACAGGGCGCGCGATAGCTGCTCCTGGCGCCGCGGCTGGTTCGGCGTTCATCTGCGAGGCCTTTGCTATTTGTGTCGCGGACGGACCTTTGTAAAGTGTTGGCCGTTGCTTATTGTTGGAGCCAGGAACCCGTATTTTATTAGGGATACACGGCGACCATCTAATGTAGTCAACACTAGTGTAAGTAATAAGGTAATGTGCACACCTCTAAGGGGTGATTTATGTAACCGGGATAGCATCGGAGTCAGCTTGTTGGCCCTAGGGGCTCACTTTAGCCGAACTTCTGCAGCCCGTTCAATAGCTTCTAACTCATAATTTACTGGGGCTAGCTGCCAGCTAGCTATAAATATCGTGTGAAACTGTACGCCATTCGTGAATGGTGGGCTCACCACTTTATGAGGCGCGTTAAAAAATTCAGTTATAGATAATTTTTTCCAACATCTAACGTGCTCTGACGCAACATTACTCATCAATTGCGAGAGTGCTATAGATATGCAGGGAAGGCTAACTAATGTAAAAGGGAATCCGATTTACACATTTACCAGCAAAATCACGGCTGAGTTCGGCGACTCACTTTAGTTGGGGCATAATACCTGCTAAAAGTGTCATACTAGGCGCGTTAGGTACCATAAAAGTGTGGAAGGTAATTTTTTCATGCGTGGATATTTTTTTGTTGGAGTGCCATATATGAGTCAAAATTGGAATGCGACATTTTAGCACATGCGTCACGTGCCACGTTGATTCATAGCGTTTTGTGCTGCATTGGCTATTAGCACTACATGGTGATATATATCACAATAAATCTTTATGGTATATCTAGTTGCAGCTCAAGGTCAAACCTTCCACGATTTTTTTCTTCTTGGACATTGGTTTAACATCCCGAGGTACACTCCAGGGGTGTGCACAATTATTTCGCGCTTGTAAGCTTGCAAAAAATTGGTCCATCTGGAGCACTCTTTGTTTTGGGTTGCTCTAATTTTTTGCTGACTAATTGGCTGAGGAATCTTGTTAAAGGCTACACATTACAACGTCATTGTCGCGTTGTTTTGGATATTGGAATCTCTGTGATTAACAACACCTCCGTCTACAATACTAATATTCTCGAATATTATTCAAGATGCTTTGTGCCAGGATCAGTAACAGGGAAAGCGGCATTGAGCAACGCAATGGCTGCCCTGCTCGGCTCAAACGTTTACCGGAGTTACATGAGTTGTGTTACACTCATGCTCTGGGCAACAGTTCTAGTCCAATTAGGTCGTTTGGTAGAATTGGTCGCAAGGTGAATTCTTCCAAGAACAAACGAAAAGGAAAGGAACAAAAACGATCTAAGAAGACCCCAAAGGAACCGTTGTCACCTGCCAGTTCATCACAAACACTCAGCAGTGACGACGAGATTGTGCCAATGGAGTTGTTAGTGGAGTATGCGCAGTATCACGACAGGGTTTCTGCACAACACCAGAAACATTTGGAAGTTCAGAATCAACTGCAGCAGATGCACGCACAATACGCTCAATACCAAGCCTTCCTAACAGCCTTCCACTTGCCACAGCTCATTGATATGGATGCTCGAGATGAACTACAACAATTGATCCAGACCTCTCCCACTATTGTCGGAAATTCTCCTACCCATCTAGTTTCACCCACGAATTGTTTCTACACCGGAAATGGAACCCTTTGCCTCCACGAAGCCCCAAGAGAACTGCCTTATGCCTTCCTGTCCCACGGAGCAACCGCGCCATGCTCCCCTCATCACAACTCTCCAGCTATGAGTGCCCAGACGACTCCTAACAACAACGAAACCCGCTGCGTCATGCCAACATACGAAGTTATACCGGAAACATACTGTAACGCTGTAATCGAGACTCAGGATGGTGTCGAAGTGGTTGCTAAGCCGGTTGTATCCCTCTGCTCCATGGCTAGTGTCAGCACAGTTGACTTGATGCCTGAAGAAGCATACCGAAGCTTTACTAGGTGTTTGTCATTGGAAGACGCGGAAAACAACTACAACACGTTACGCAAGCGTACTCTTTCTGTTGACGAGCCTATCGATCCTGTCGTAATCCCGCAAATTGATGTTAAGAGGCACAGACTTGTTGAACCAGTCGGCCTCGAAGTCCTACCTGAAAATTTCTGTATCAATCCAGTCCAGCAATCCTGTTACAACAATGGCGCAATAATCCCTTCCACAACGAATGAATATCCCGTGACGTATCATTTTGTACCACCTTACATGGCAGTACATGAAGGTACCTACCAGTATCCCTATTATCCTACTTTTCCCCAAGAGCCCATAATCAATGGTCAAATTAACCATGACTATTATCGACGTGATTTTTATTCCAAGGTGTATGAGCAAGGTTATGAACATTTGTTTGCTGACCCAGGTTGCATGTGGAATCCAGACAACCTCGGTTGCATACCTGTGTTCCCTGCTCCCGCTGGTTTTATCTCCTGTGCCACTGACGGCGGTGAAAACCATGCTCAGCAGCCGACGCATATGGGAAGCATTGCGACTCCAGATATGTTAAGTGCCTCTTCTCCTGACTTCCAAGATCAATCTAGTGACAGTGTCGAATTGAGTTATTCAGAGGATAGCGACGAAGATGAACACTATGTCCATCCATATACGCGCAACGGGCAATATCACCGTAAGTACAAGGAGTTTAGGGAGCTGAGAAGGAAAAGCAGTGATCGAGGCAAGGTAAGGGCAACACGATCTGACAGCGAAAGGAGTTTGAGTGACTCTTTTCGTTCAAGCCTGAGCCGGGAGGAGCGTGTTATGGAGTTGAGTAGGGAGCACCGTGAGATGGCTGAGTCATTGAAGGCTCTTGAGGTTGGGGGGCTAATGGTAATCAACAAGCGCAGGAGTCACAAGGAAGCTCATATGGAAATTCGCAAAGCCACCAAATGCTACGATTATCTATTGGATATCCCTCTAACTGCAGAGCCTGATCCTGAATTGGGTGAACAGCAGTACAAGTGTCTGGTTCCTGGAGTATACTGGGACAAACGATCCTGGATTGCATCTTGGTATGACCAAGGTAACCGTTGCTACAGCAGTTTTTCGGCTAAAATGCACGGTTTTTACAAGGCGAAATATTTTGCCATCCATGTGCGGATGTTCAAGACCAACAACCTCAAAACACTTGACGAGGCTGCTGTTGAACTGGACCGTCTGCATTTAATGAAGTGTTATGGAAACATTGAATGTTAGCTGCAAAACCATGCTAGCATATCATCACCGATTTCTTCGGTACCATGTGGTATCGACATTCCGGCATTGTGTTTCATATTCCATCAAAAACTGATTGGGAGAATCAATGAAGTGAAACGACAATTATTCCGCCAAAAAAAACGAGTGGATTCAATTGCTATGCACAATTTAATGCGAGTCCTTAAATCCATATTCCCCTGTGGCACAAAAATTCATTCAGGGACATCTTTTCGTCCAAATCACGTCGCAATCTCAAGCTTCAAACGGGCACTACGCTAAAAGTGCGGTTATAAAACTACATGCCGCCTATGCGTCATAACTGAAGCTAAGTGTGATTGGGGACATGATGAGACGCATAGGATAAAAAGATCAAGAAATGTACTACCTCCTGTTACGTATGTCTGTGGCATCGTTGAGGGAGCAAGAATAATACACGGACAAAGTGGGAATCCCTAGGTCTAGGGGTTAATTCTCTCTTAATCTTCAAATGCAGCTATGACAAGACTAGCATCTTCCAGGTTTTTATTATTTGGAGATATAGCTGTTTGTGGTTCGCTTGAAGCGTACCTATGGTGAATCGACAGTGTCGACTCAAATGGTAATACTTTTTTGGCGAAGTGTTCCTACGCTCTGGAAGTTTTCTACTCTACAAGAGTCGTTATCAAGCACGTCGCTGCTCTTTTTACCTTCAGACGTTAGTCATTATATGCCCACAATGACACACAAGTCTATCAGCTGTACGCTGGGCGTGTAGCTAGTAATTCACCGCGGCCTTTCACACACTTTAGAGGCAACAAGCAATTAATGACAGTTCTCCGACCAAACTTGTGTTAGTTAGTATTACATATTATTTAGTTATGTGTGTACCGTGGGTCGAGTTGTGTCTCCAGCGCGAGATGGACCCTTCGCTGCTGCTAACTACAGGTTAGTGTTGCCTTCTAGGGATCTATAGTTGCAGGTCAATCGTTTAGCTGGTTACCTATTGGTTCTGATGTCTGGGTCGGTGTGATAGGCAGTGCTGTTGTCGAGTTGCGTAAGGTTGAGGATCGCGTGGAGTTCAGGTATTGTCTATAGTTATCCTTCCAGTATTATCAGGTCTCTATTTGGCAGTTGTGACCGCCCTCGCGTCCGTAGTTACTTTGATTTGGATTACAAGTATACATTAGACCGCCACCGTGCCCCTGCTAGTGTAATTCGTGTTGTTGACCATCTCGAGGGCGTGAGGATATTACAACAGGATGCATTTGAGACGCTTGTTAGTTTTATTTGTTCAGCAAATAACAATATAAAACGTATAACCCGTCTTTGTTTTGCGATCCGTGAACGTTACGGGACATTTTTAGGTTCAAAGTCCTACAGTGACTCTGAGTTGCGGTTCTATGCGTTTCCTAATCTTCGTCAGCTGTCGGCTGCCTCCGCTGTTGATTTGCGTCAACTCGGGTTGGGGTATCGTGCTGAGTACCTTGTAAAAACTGTTTCCGCGCTACGATCTCGCGGTCTTGATTCTTTGTTACAGTTACGCGATGCACCTTACGAGACAGCACAGGAGGAGCTTCTAAAGTATAAGTAAGTGTTGGCCGTTGCCATGCTGGTTCACTTTTACCTCAGCGGTATTGGTCGTAAGGTTGCGGATTGTGTAATGTTATTCGGTTTGGGTAAACGTGACGTGGTTCCTGTCGACGTGCACGTGAAACGTATCGCAATGAAGTGGGTTCTGTTTTTTGTTGCACATTACAGTGTTTTTGTAGTCATTTTGGTATCCGTGCCAGCAGTAAGAATAGTTACGATTTGGTACAAGGGGCGTTTTCTGCGGTGTAGGTTGTTTAAGTGTGATTTTTTACGTTTCACAGGTGTCCCAAGGATGCTGGGTGGCTACAGGCGGTGTTGTACATCGATTCCGTCCTCCGTGCGGCTCGTCAGGTGACTAAACTAGTGTCCTAAATATATATTTTGTATGTGTGTTGATATAAAATTTAGATATCAAAATTAATGGTATAGTGTCTTTTCAATTTGGCACCTTCGCTCAACATTTGAGCTTATTTGGTCTATTCTACTTGATACTCTATGTATGATATCTGCACTTGTCAGCGTGCATCCCGAATCGATATGTGTCAGTATTCCCATTTCCCTGGCAACTGAATGAGCATCGAAGCTGCCAGTCATCAAAGGGTCATCGCTATGGTTTCCTACAACGACTATAGATACTTCTAAGTTTTGTAGGTAGTTTTTCGAAGGTATGAATGGCGCTCCCAGTATGACATCATCGGCGTATTTCATTGCCAATACGGTGAGTGCCCGATCCATTAGATGGTTGACTGGGAATGGGTTTCCCTTGATAGTCCTGACCGTTTGGTCGTCATATATTCCTACAATAAGATAATCTCCATATTCTTTTGCTTTTTGCAGGAATCTGAGGTGTCCAACATGGAATACATCGAATGTGCCATCTACATAAACTACCCTCGCACCATCTGGTTTGGTTGTATTTGGTATGAATTTAGCGAATAGTGATACGGGTGTGCGGCACCTTGGGAACCTAACATGCATTTCATTTTTTTGAAGTTTTGTTTCTATTTCATGTAATCCATCGTCTGATAATTGATCTCTTGACATTTGTGCTTCGTTTTGTTCCACTAGTTTTTCAAATTGTGATAGTAGGTCTTCTCCGCTGCGAGCTTTTGATGAGAAATGGCTGAACCTATCACTGGTCAACGCCTCAACGAGTCTTCCTAGTGTTGTCGATGTGCTACATCCTCTGGATCTCCTTACTGATATGAACAATCCTGCTTGTTTGATTTCTTCATAGCAGTCCTTTCCGCTTGCTCCTATTGCCACATCATCTCCATGAGCAACTATATCGCATTTTGCGACATTTTTGAGGAAATTGAGCGATACATCGTATGGCGTATCTACTATGACATCATCTACCCATCGGCACCCTCGTATAAGTTCTGCCCTTTCCTGTGCGCTATAGATTGGCGCTATTCCTTTAGTTTGTTTTGTCTCTTCATCGGATACTACCCCTACTACTATTTCCCCTCCTAGTTTATATGCTTGTCTTAGTGCATTGAGATGTCCCCAGTGTATTAGGTCGAATACCCCGTCTACGTATATTCGCCTTTGGCGTGTTTCTATGTTGTTTTCCATATCCGCTTTTAGGATATTATCTTCTCTGCGTTTTACCTTCTCAACTAATAACGCCTAGATTTTAGGGTTTCGTTACCATATGATGTCTTGTCGTATTTTTTGTATCGTCAGTAGCGATTTTACTGCCTTTGTATTACCCTTTGCCTGTAGGCACACACAGGGTGATTCTATTGCTTACTATACATGCATGACCCCTGTTTAAGGTGTCCAATGTTTAAAATATGTTCGACATGGTCACTTGGGCTTTAACAAATTCATGTTAAGCCAACTTCTGTATTGTGCAATTCGAAATGTTTTTTTTAAAAAACTATCTATGATATCGATAATTTGATTTTTTATGATACAAACTATGTTGCCCGGTGTGCACATTGCCAACATCCGCCTTTCACGGGCTGTTGATTGCCCGAGTGTGAGATGTTTGTTGTCATTACCCGCTGTACATGAGCTTGTAGATGCGACGATTTAACGTTTATTTTGTATTTCTACTTTGCTATATATAAAACATGGGCTATTTAATTTAATGTGTGCGCTGATACTACATTTATCAACTTACAACAGTTGTGGTCTCCATTACCGTGTTAATGTGAATATACATGAATAATAGTTTTAAAATATGAACTTCGCGTGTGTAATTTTATTATAACTTGTAAGTTTTCGCTTGAAAACACACAACTGAACTCTGGATGGAGTGAGCACATTGGTGTTATCACGTTTGTTTCTGTCGTGGTTATATGGGTAACTATGGGAGGCCATGGAGGTCTGAATATCCTTCCACAAAAGAAGTGGAACGTATATCGTGCTGATCGGCAATACGAGGTAAAATTTGACGAACACCGTGATATCGAGAAGCGTCTGGCTACTCGTGATCAGCGCAAAAGGGAGCGTTTAACTGATTCTTTAGTTGAATTACGAAGGCAATCACAGGGAGTACGTAACGTGGAAGGTCGTGGCACGAGCGATGCTGACGACTCCAAATTCCGTGATGAGCAAAGATCACATCGTAGTCGCCGTAGACATAGAGAACGTCACTCACGAGATGATGTTTCCTCCCAAAATCGTAGGAGTCGATCACGTTCGCCCGCCGTGATAGTGGAATCTCAGGATGCTGGTGATGACACCTGTGCTGAGCCTATTGTACCACTAGAGTTCGACAAGAAGGTTAACGGTGGTCACGTAAACCTTTTTGATGCTGCAGAGCGTGAGGCAGAGGAACGTGCTGAGAAGCATCGTGAGAGTCTTATTAAGAGTGGTAGTTATGTTTACAACGCAGCATCTAAGGGTCCACGGTCGGTAAATATTTATACTGACGATGCTTCTGTAACTTTGGTTCCGGACTTTAAACGGCAATCACGACCTTGGTATATGTGTCCTCGAGATTCTGACGGTTTAGTAGGTGCTACTGTTGATCGTCATGGTGCGCCTCGTTATCTGAAGAGCGTCTCAACCTTTGACGTAGCACCAGGTTACCGTGAAGAAGAAGAGTTGAAGCGTTCTTATGCCAGTCGATTAGCTAAATTTAATAGTAGACAGCAGCTCCCCAAGACCTGATACTATAGTTGAGCGTGGTATTAACGTTCGGTTTTGTAAATCTATGGCGTCTCGCCATTATCGCATGGTAACATTTGCTAAATGTAAAATTAACATTATAAACATGATAAGATAAATATATATCTATAGTTGTAGCGTGCTGCTACTACTTTTAGTAGGTGTGTTAGGGTGGTTGTTGACTCGCTGTCTCTCCGTTTTTATACGATGGAGGTCTCTGCGCTGACAGAACTGCAGCAAAGTCTCACTAGTACGGTATTACGTTGGAACAATGAAGTTAATCTCCGAGAGAAGGCATCTTTATTGCAGAATCTCTTGGAGCAATGTCGAAAACTGATATCTTCTTCGTCCGAAAACTGTGATTCAGAAATATGCGTTGGTATCCACCGTAACCTTTTACGTATAGCCCAGGTTACAATTCAACCGATTTGTAAAATCCCATGGGCTGAAATCGACCAGGTTTACTATCGGCAGCAAGGGCAGGTATTGATAAAGTTACTTATATTGGTGATGAATCACCCATCTGACGACATTAATTTACACCGATATGTGTTATTTTGCGGTGTTTTAGGTTGTTGGAGGCTATTCTTCGCCACTAGTGAGACTAACATGTCCTCTTCCTCTGAAGCATTTAAGCGATCATCCTTGGTTTTGGATGACCTGTTACATTTATCGGTTGAGCTCTTCTGCCGGCTACAATGTGACGAGAATGCGGTCCATCTTTGTATGATATTGCTTGAAATCCTTTCTCACAGCGATGTGCCAAAACATAGGTCTATGGTGTTGGATGCTTTGATCCATATTACCTCCGAAGCCATGGTTGCACGTGTTTATCCGGGACTTGTTTCACGTATTATAGCAACATTACCAAATTTACGTGAATCAGATTACTTGCGAGCGATGCGAGTATTAGGGGCCTGGATATCTAGTGCCCTGTGTTGTGATTGCACTGGTTCATTGTGCTGGCGGCGTAAGGATGCGAGTATGGTGGTTAATGCTGATAAGACTTCCGAGGGTATATGTTTAATCTTTTCTCGTTACGGTCGCGTATATCCACAATATAATGTTGAACTGTGTATTGCCTGTATGCGTTGTGGCTGTTTATCTCAAAAGGCCTTTTCATGCCTGCAAAATCAGATAGTCTTCATGCTAGGTGATGAGTCACTGTGGGACCATGTACGGCGTATAATGGTTGTTGCTCCCGGTCGTGTTAAGGCCGGTTTACGTTGTTCTACTCTGGGATTTTTACGATCGGACCCTCGTCCTATAGAGGCACTTAACGTTTACTTGGGTTATGCGGATTTGGAGGCCCACATTACGGATATCGAGCCTCTGGATGAATACGTAGTGATTGATATGTTGTATGAGCTGGCGGCTCTTCCTCCTGCTGAGACAATTTTACCTGTGGGAAGGTTGTCTAGGGTATCTCTCTGTGATAGTTTTGTTAATTTCGGTGATTTTAAGGAACCCGAGGAGGAGGTGTTTTGCCGTGTTGCTGCGGCTCACATTGCTCGTATGCCTTCCTCACAACAACTTCAGTGTATATCTGACGTGGTAGAGCATCTGATCGTGGGCGTATCTGACGTTGTGACTGTGCTACGGCTTCTTTCGTTACTTCGTGGTTTCTTTAGTAGTGGTTGCGTCGGTTTACGTGAGATTGCTTCGGAAGTGGTTGATGTGGTGATGTCAAGGGTGTTGAAGAATGGTTGCATGACAAAAGAACAGCATATTGCTATTTTGTCTCTTCTGTGTGTGATTTTTTCCCGCTACATGGTGGAAGTGTCACGTCACCAGATCTGTGACATACTTTATTGGTCACTTCCATGGTGTATGTCTGATTCTGAGCGTGCTTCAAACTATTCTAGGTCATTGTTGCATCATCTTGGAGTGCATCACCAATCTTTTGCTAACCCCGTGGTCAATCGAGATGTACCATCTACTGATCTGACAGATAGTGTTGATTCCTCTGTAGTAGAGTCTTTATTGCGTTTTTACAAGAACCTACTTATCTCTAGTTGTCTTCGTGAGCTGAAATGGATGAACTCAGTGTCTACTACAACTAGTTACAACGTGGCTGACGTATTATTTGTGTTGTTACACTACAAGGTTCCCGTTGTAAAGGATCTGTTTGACCTGATAGTTCAACTTGAACGGAGTTGGCCGTCACCAGATCTCGTATTAGAATCCTGCAAGCCTATGGATTCTTCTACATCGCTAGTTGAACGGGAGCTTCCGATAATTCATTGTTATGCGTTTATTGCTGACTACCTATATAAGCAGTTTGAGGCAATAGAGCTGAACCCAGCTGCATTAGAAGTTCGCCGTGGGATGTCCGGGGCTAGGTCACAGCTTCCGACTGAAGAGTCATTTGATCGGCAATCCTTACCAATCGAAAGCGTCTCTAACCTTCCTAAATATCTGTCTAAAGGTTTAAAGTGCGAAAATGCACCGACGGAGACACCTCCTGAGATGAATGTTGAGTTTGATAATGCTGTTTTAGAGGTATCACCATCGGATATTGATTTCAAGGATCGAAGGTTATCTGTGAGTACCATAATCGCTACCCGCTGTCGTTATCACATCGGTCATGAACATTCTGATATGCGTTACGTGGCATTATTTGCCTTATCTCGTTGTTTTTCTGCGTTTTCGCACAACGTGCCGTTGCTGAGGATCCGTTTATATGAGTGTTGGGACCCATTGATGGATTGCCTGGAACGTAATTTGCGTAACTTGCGGATAATGACATCGATATTAGGTATAATGTCCATCGGTGTCGTTAGTGCTTTCAACTTTGTGGAGCGGTGGTTATTGGACGTGTTTGTCAAGCTTTCAGATCTCGTGGTTATTGAGAGTACCGAGAGCAGTGTAACTATAGCGGATGAAGTTCATCGTAGTATCCGTTACAAGTTTACTATGATGTTGTTGGATTTCGTGATGGAAGCATCTCGTAGAGTTGTCAACCAAGAGCTACTATCCAGGCTGTTGTTGATAGCCTTGTTTATGTGTAAGTCGACGGCTCCTTCAGTGGAGCGTGTAACGGTTGACGTTATCCGCGCGTTACATGCTAAGAACCCTGAGTTTGTGGTGGATGTGCTTATGCACACCGGTTCTGATAGTGGCGATAGCGTATCACGATTCGGTTTAGCGTTAAATCGTGACGTGCGTCGTCTCTTGCCCCAAGGTGCAAGGATTCGATCTTTGTTACCGTTAGATCAGTTGTCTAATGTCATACCTCGTTAATTATGGTAATTCCATTCTTTTCTTTATTCTTTCTAGGATGTTTCATAGTCGGTTCTTCCGAGAGGAGTGTCAGTTCTCGGGGTTCTATTTTTGGTGTGTTGCGTGGCCTTCTATGCCGTCGGTCTCAAGGACTCCGTCTTGAAGGCTGTAGTGACTATCAATCTATGGTACGTGACCTAGAAGAACGAGGAATCCAAACCAAACTCTTTTCATCGGCAAATGCTGTAACCTTGGCTCCTGTCCTAGCACGTGCTGTGAATGACCTTTACCATACTAACCATTATATTTCGAGTCATGTTAAAGGTTATGAAGTCAACACTGCTGGGCGTCGTATAACTTTGAATTGCATAGAAGAAGGTGTTCCGGTTACCAATTTCAAGTTCTTCGTCTATGACCCCGAGCTTGGCACTGAGCTGGATATCAGTGCTATGGAATTGGTGCGTAGTTCATCATCTCGTATGCGTCAAGGTAAGTACCGGGAAGAGCGAAATGCGACTTTAAGGCGTTTTTTATATGGCGGGAACGATACTCTTTTAAAGCTTGATCCTGCTGTATTCCGTAGCATCCAGCGTTCTGGGCTCTGGCGTAACCTTGAGTACGCGATATGGCGGTCTCCAGACGGCCAACTTCATATGCATTGTTACTGTGATGGCAGTGGTATTACTCGTCGTGTCGATTACAATTTGGCCAATGTGTTCTCCAAGGAAGGCGCACAGCTTCGCGTTGGCCTTACGGACATGGATTTGTTTGGTTCTGGGCTTCAGGCACAACTTATGACTGATGTTGGACTTAAGGAATGGTATAAGGTGTCACCTCGGCATAAACTAAGTGCTAGTGTGACCTACAATTCATTACGTAAATCTGTCTGGACCGACCGTTCTGGTGATGCTCTAGCTCTTACTTTATCGGCCCATTGCGGTGTTGGCGAGTTACTGGAGTTGCTTCGTCTTCGTCGTAAAGTTGACACTGATTCTAATTTTGGAGCAACCGTTAGTGGTACTTTGATGTTCAACTCTAGGTCAAAGCGTGGTCAGTTGAGCATTTCTGCTGACTGCCAGACTTTGGAATTGAAGGGTGACGGTCAATCTCATGGTAAAAAGATATTCCGGTTACCCCTATCAACTCGGCAGTCTGTTACTGTAAAGTTGCCTCTGTATACCCTGTTTAGACTGGACGACCCCGCCATGGAAATTTTACATATGCGGTCACACAGTACTGCTTCTACCAAGATCGGCAAATACAACATCGATGTAGGGCTGCGCTACGGTTCACGTATCAGTGACAGTGGGTTCCGTGGCGCTATTCCAGATAGACAGTGGTACACTATGGTTACCGGTGAAGTGACCCGTCGGTGTTCGTATCGTCCTCCTTGGAGCCTGATAATGCCTGGATTTTTCCTTGACGTTCTGTATGCTTCAAAGGCTATCGACGATTCGGACTTACCTCCATATTTTGGTGTCTCTGCTGGTGTTATTGTCAAGATTTTGGGCATTGGGGTGTCACTTGCGTTATCCGAGCTCCCTCGCAACATGCCAGGCGGTATTCGAGATGTGTTATTAGCGCTAAAGCGTAGCTTTTATTTGCACCAGGCGTGAATATGAACTGCGCTATTTTCTGGCTCATCGCATCATTGGAGTGTTGGACCCATTGGCATATATACGGTTGAAAACAATTCCCGTGATGCCATATTTTGGGGGTGACAAACCTATCAATGACATGTATTAATCGTGTAATTTACATATTTTTGATTTCTTAGTTTATCGAAACCAGTTTACGTTAGTTGATATACTAAGCTGTTCGCCAGTTTATACAATATCACTTGTTGGGCCGGAGTTCATCTTTGTATAGCTCTCTTGTGCGTTTCAATATCGCTACAATTTCCTTATTCGGTATCTCCGAGGGGTCGAAGTAATCTGGTGCAGCTTGCAGTAGCCAGAGCGGTTGGACTTCACTGACGGTCCTTATGAAAGTTTTCGACGTGTGGACCACCTGGTGGAATACTACCCAGTCTCCACGTCCACTGAGCACTGACGAAGGGTGTATACCGACATTTTGGTTATCCTTGACTGTGCAGTAACCTGACCTGGTGAGCGTTGCTACCTGGAGGAAGAACCCAGTACACATACATCGCAATATAGCATCTGAGTCAGGCTGCTTTTGCATTTCTATCGGGCACGTGACCGCCAAATGTTTCTCCGTTAATTTTCTCAACTGTTCGAATACCCTAACTGCGGAGTCCAATGCCTTACCATTTGCGCATAGTTTACGGCAGAAGATATCTGTTGCTGTTTTGCCTTGTTTTGCAACTTCTTGGTATGCGTTAAATACGTTCAGGAATGTGATATGGTCTCCACGATGCGATCTCAAACTAGCAGCTGGTTCCATCGCTGAATGTTTGATACCTTCCACTTTATTATTTGGTCTTAGGAATACATTGGGTACCGATAACATTGCTACTACAGCGACTATATCGCGTGTACATCCGAATTTTGGCGCCGATACTAAAGTTTTTGCCAATTGGGGCTCAAGTGGGAATTCTCCCATTAGCTCGCCCGTTTTCGTTAGTTCCCCTTCATCGTCTAACGCTCCCAGATAGTTCAGTTCCTCTAACGCTCGCATCATAGTTTCGGGTGCTGGTGGATCCATGAAATCGAAATGTACTAGGTCATCTATTCCTAATTTTTTGAGGTTGAGTACGACTGTTGCGATATTTGATCTTAATATTTCAGGGAAGGTTTGTGGTATTAGTTCTTTTTTGAAAGCTTCTTCTGTGTATAGCCTGAAGCATTTCCCTGGCCGTGTTCTCCCAGCCCTTCCAGCCCTTTGCGCTGCTGACGCTTGCGATATTGGTGCTACAAGTAGTGACTCTACCCTTGCACGTGGGTTGTAAACGTTTTGTTTTGAGAATCCAGTGTCCACTACGTATACAATTCCATCTATAGTAAGACTGGTTTCAGCGATATTTGTTGCTAAGACGCATTTACGCCCCTCTACTGGTTTGAATACTTGTGCCTGTTCACGCGGTTCCATGCTCCCGTAAAGTGTGACCACTACCATTTGTTTTTCTTTCGAGGATACCGCATGCTGTAACCTTTGTTGTACCTTTTTAATTTCATCTTCTCCTGTTAGGAATACTAGTATATCTCCAGGTTCTTCATTTTGGTGTATATTGATTACTGTGGTGTATACTGCGTCGAGGTAGTTCCTCTGTGGTTCTGCTGTATAGAATATCTCCACTGGGAAAGTGCGTCCCGGTATTGTTAGCATATCTGCTCCTCCTAAATATTTTTGGAATTTTTTTCCGTCTAGCGTAGCACTCATGACCACTACCTTGAGGTCTTCCCGGTTAGCAGCAATTTCTTTGATAAGTCCGAAGAGTACATCGGTCGCTATAGTGCGTTCATGTGCTTCATCTAGCATGATAACGCCATATTTTGAAAGCATGGGGTCATTAATAGCTTCTCTCAATAGCATTCCATCGGTCATGAATTTGATAAGTGTATTTTTGGACGTACAATCTTCAAATCGGATCGAGTAGCCTACAGTTTCCCCTAGTGTGACATCCATTTCTTCTGCCACTCTCGTTGCTACTGACATTGCTGCTACCCTTCTTGGTTGTGTGATAGCTACTTGTAATCCTTGGTTTAATTTTGCTTCTACCACGAATTGTGGTATCTGAGTAGTTTTACCCGAACCCGTTTCTCCAACCAATATGAGTACTTGGTTTCGCCTCAGTAGTTTGATAAAATTCTTCCGAGCGCTCCATGCTGGTAGCTGTCGTCTTGTTTCTAGTATTGTGTAGTATTGTTGTGAATATGGCAATTTGGTATACCTATTGATCCCAGGTTCAACCTCATCATCTGCATTAGGTCTTTTTCTTTCGTTTCTTTGATTTTCTGTGAACAGATGATTATTGTCAAGTTGTACATATACATTTGTTTACCATTACACTTTTCACGTGTATATCATGAAAACAAGCTATAATTCCAGTGACACAGGTCACAGCTATCTTTAGTGATATCCATGACCTGTGCATCTCCTGGCCCAAATTTCCCCCATCTATTGGCATTCTTATGCCAATATGATTGTCATTCGGGTTTGTATTTCGGTACCTGGAGCCGCATTAATCCAATTATACCAAAGGTGTATTAAGCGAGTCACCGGTACCGTTATTGGTCCCTTTTCCGGCCACCAATCGTTGTCACATATAGTTATATGTAACATTTTGTTCTCCTTTATTGGTATTCCATCTCTCCTTTTTGTACAATTTTCCGTGTATCATACACATGAAGCACACATCTTCAGGTTAACTTACCTCCTAGTTGGTTGTCTGAGAACCCATATTGCGTTTTATTTGTTGTATTTTCTGTCATTTTAAAACTATATTGTGATTATAATGTTTATTGTTTGTTTTCGGCTCTTTGTCCGATTAACTACCCGCTGTAGCTCTGGGTAGTGTATATCACCCGTTTTAATGTCTCATAAATATATGTTCGGTTGTATTTGTCGGTTTCCATGTTAGTTACTCATGACCACGGCGTGAGCGGTTGCATAATCTTGATGAGTATGTTTTCCGTTGGGTCTTTGGCTTGGTATATGATCGCATCGAATTCCGTGGTATGTTTCATGAGGTAGAAGAAGCAAATGAGTATGAAGAATAGTACCGCCCATGATATACTGTATAACACTAGATATTTGTAAAGATCACTTGAAGTGGCGGTATCTTGGAATGCATCCAGTGATTCAGGTACTTTTCCTAGGCATCCCCGTAAATCGCCTCTTGACCAATCCACGGATTTGCCTAATAAAACATCATTGAAGGCATTGCATACAGTCGGGTCTTCTACGGAGCATGGTAGTTGTGAAGTGTTTTCTACCAGTGCTAGTAGCATGAGCCTTTTGTTGATGAGGTACCTTGGGCTGTTGCATTCCCTTATTTCCTTATGTACACCACTGGTCATGGAGATATTGCATGGCACGTTTCCACTGACTATAAGTCTGCAATTACGCACGGCGTTAACTGCTGCGTCGTTAAATCTAGTTTCGCACCACTGCCTGGAGTTTGCAAACATCCAAATCAATGAGGAGGAATTGAACAATATTGTTACTCCCATGATTGCTGCCAGAGCCCATGGCAGCCACTTAATACTACATCCTAGCATCGTCATCACCCTTCCCGTGGTCATGGAATCACTGATGATGACATTTGAGAACAGGTTACATACTCTTGCCAAGAATATTGCCATAACCAGGATTAGCCCTGTATATGTGTATTTGTTATATCTATCTGCTTACCTATAAGAAACATTTGCATTGCGATATACCATGTGATCATTCGTATACTTCTTGCTGAGCATGAGTAACTCATGAAGAACTTGAAATTAGTGATGAGATAGTGGAACGTGAATGTGAGTACTAGACCTGTCTAGGTTGTTTTTAAAGATTCTTCCTTGCTTACCTATAACCAGAGCCCAGCTCATGAAGCTGTAATAGTACGATGCCCGCCATAGGTAGCGTCTTCGTTGCCATCTGAACCTCAGCGCCTCGATGTTGTCATTAATGCACCCGCAGACGTTCATGTTGCCAGACCCACGGCTAATATCCTACCTGCTGTTGACAACTACGGTATCCTTTTCGTAGCGCTGGTACTGTTGTTCGTTATCCCAGGCGGCACACACCGCGTTACTATCGTGTGTAACTGTTAGTATTCCCTCGTTCTATGCCAATATTGTCCACACATCAAAGGCGATATCTTATTCTTAAAATTTAAACCTTAAACTGGTACTATTCTATATCGTTATAATGCTAAATTACATGTAGACAACCAACAATTGCTGTTGTCGTTTGTCTCACTCGCTACTATACAAAATTCTGATTACCAAACCTTAAAAATATAATTAAGAGTATTATTTATTCCTGAATTATTCTGGGGGAGTTGCTCTCATCTATATTAAGGTTGTGCTGATGGTGTGTTTCACAACCCTAACTACGCCCTTAATATGTTTATTGGCAGTTTTAACCTATGGATGATAGTGTTTGGCCGTATTTCAGAGTTGGTGTAAGGCGCCATATCCCCTGGCATCTGGAGCTTATTGATACCGGGGCATCATCAGATTCAGAATCAGAGGATTCGGCCATAGGCACCTCCTTGTCAAGGTCGCCCAGGGTTAAGTCTACATCCGTATCTAGAACCAAACGCAGAGCTGTCAGGAGTGCTCCAGCAACCCCTTCAAGGCACAGTGACGCTCATGAAAGAGGACCAGTAAGGGTGCCTCTGGACCGTTATGCTGTGACAAAAGATGAGACTCTTGTACATTTGTGTGAGCACTGGATGTTCGTCCTTCACCACATCTGGCCTTCTGATGCTCACGATACTGCTGAATTATTAGCCGAGGGCAATGCCCTTATCGGTATCCAGAGCCGCTGGCTTGGTAATTATGAATGTATGTTTAACTTCTCCTTTACATTATTTTCCAGGCGTATTGCTTTTCCGCCACTTTGCAGTTAAAGCTCGTAACGATGTCGCCCGTCTTGGTCGGATGTTGGAATTTGTTTTACGTTGGTGGTTCTGTGGCAAGTACGGCGTGCATTTGTCTCAGTTCCCACATCTTGGTTGGTCAACTTTATATTTCTATACCTTACATTATTCTTAGGAAACGAGTCAGTTTTGGCCAATGCTGTGGTTGGGTTGATGGCTACCGTATTTTCACAAGTCCAGCTGCTGCTGCATCTTCTGGGATTGCATGATAGACTTGAGGCTCTCTTTGAAGGGGTGCTTATACCACCTAACCAAGTTTCTCAATCTCTCGATACAATAGACTCTAAGAGCTGTAATAAACTCTTGCTCAAGATGTTACCTATGCTGAGGCATGGTCGACTTGAGGCTAGCCTGGAACCTATCTGCAGCAAGTTTACCAAGTTCGTCGCCGAGTCCATTGCAACATCTCTGACGTTGACTATCGACCGTGGTTTTGACGGCGCATTCATGGCTGTTGAAAAAGAGTATATTGGATATGATCCCGAGAGAGTTATAAATCAGTTATGGGATGCTATACTTGTCTGTCACTCCTCATCGTTGAGCTGTGAAATGGGTGAGGATAGCAGACCGTCGTGTTATTGTAAGAGCATAATTTCGGGGCTGTTGGTCAACCAATTATCACGCATGATAACTTTGGGTGCCTGGACCAAGGTTTGGCACTGTGACACTGCTTACTCTGTTATGACCAAGAGGTTGATAGGTTTGTATGGTAGATGGGCCTTTGGAAGGACAACTGCAAGTGGTATCGCCAATGTTACTGAGGGTCGTATCATAGACCCCCTGTTGGCACGGTCTATTATAGATGGGCGTGAGCCAGATACTGCCATCGGTCGTATTAACGAATGTATCGCTTTGTCTGACCGTGTCTCATTTGTTTCTCCAATTCCTATAAAAAAAGAGGATTCAAGTGGATACTGTTTGCATGGTCTGTCTACAAGTGATAGTTATTTAATGTCATCATTTGTTCGTTTTTATACGGAGGTTCATGACATTACCAATTTGGAGCTTAGGGATTGTATTGATGTACTTGCAGGGGCAATATTGCTTATTGAGGACTCTCACTTGCATGGTGATGTCATAATTGATGAGGGTTACAGTCGTCCACTTGTCGCTACTGAGCTGTCTATGACCTTCCGGGGTCGTGCTATTGTCAATCGTGTTTTGCGAAAACATCACGGTTACATATGGGTTCCTGAGTCACTGCCTTGTGAAGATCCATCATGTGATCCCTATCTTGGTCCTAACGCTTCAAGCAACGCTCACATGTGTTCATATATCATTAGGTTGCATGACGCTCTTTGTGATGCTGTAGCTACGGGGTCCACCAATATAACCTTTTTTGCTGATATTTTAATGAGTGACCGATCATTCACCTTGGACGATCACCGTGTGGAGTTTCTGATTGGCAAAAGATTTGCCTTTTCCATTTTGAATCATCTATGTGATGTTTTGCAGCGAGCCGAGACGTGCATTGGAAACCTACCGATCCAGGTTAGCAGCGACCTGCCGAAAGTCTCCGCGATACCTTACGCAATGGTCGCTGTGGCTTCGCTAATGGGTGCCAGGATAATGCTTCACTCTGCGGATGTTCACCTGGGTCTCGTAACTGTTAAGGTGTTATTGACATCCCGACCTGTAATTGGCCCTAATGAAGGATCTTTGTTTGTAACACACGATGAGCTGTTGAACCTGTTTCTAAGGCTCTTCTATGCAGAGATATCAATGGATGTCTGTATGGCCCTGGAGTACCATAGTGTCCATCTTGGACGATATCGCATGTTGCTGGTGCATTACCTTCGCCGAGTGTTGGTTCTCCCAACTAGGCAACCAAACACTATCGATTTTGTATGTTCAGGTCCCGTGGGTTTTGACAATTTCACAGTACGTCTCATGAGATTGATATTCTTCCGTGTCCATTGTGTGTTATTGGACTTTCCAAAGCTTGAAAGTTTTTTGAGGACTCGGGTGGAATACTACCAGCGGCATGACCCTGGCGAGGATGACCTGTTTACAGAGATGAGCCACGGTTACATCGATTTAACTGTAGATGACGACGATAATGCCAAGTCTGTTAACCGGGATGTTCATGGTGTATCTAGTATCGACCATCGTATATTCGGGTTCTTGGAATATTCTGCCAGGCATAGGATCCACCGTGACATGTTTGTTGAAGTGAAACGTGAGTACTGTGAGAGTTCGGCTGTATCACATTATCCCGGTTATAATAATAATGCGGAGTGTGGTGAGCGTCCTTTGACTAGCTCTTTGGTGCACTGTGACCGTATTCCTACATATGGTGGTGCCGTGTCACTGAACGGTTCCATCCAGCATATTAGGGGTTTGAGTGACTATGATGTATTATTTTTTGAATCTGCATTTGAACTTTGCGGCCATTTAAGGTTCTCCATTGACCGGCATCAACTTTTCCAGCATAACAAGGTTGACCGTATGCTATATCAGTTGCTGATGCACATATGTCACGTAGATAAGAGTGTCAGTACCCAGCGTAACTATGAGGTTAACGTCGTCTGTAACATCAGGTGTGCCTATGATACTGACGAATATGGTGAATTATCGGATCAATCTTCTGCATCTCTAGGGATGGATACTGTAGATGGGCCTTGTTTGTATGCTTCAGATGATAACTGTGATATTGCAAATCAGAGCAGTCATGTTAATTTGGATCTGTTATTCGTTGGTCGGTCCAAATTCACTAAACGGAGCTATTACATTATCAGTCGTCTTGCCATAGAATCACTTGTCCGTTGGCTTTCCCCCAAATCTGCATCATCTGCGGTATGTCGTTGGGCCGCGAGTGTCCCAATTGATACTACTAGTCGTGTAAAATCGCATAAACCGGAGACCGCCAGGTCTATTGTGGCTATGCTTACTATAGGTCTGTTATGCCACGCATCAATACCACTTGGTGCTGAGTTCTTGTTATCTGATGTTGACTCTCTTGTCTCCGCTGCTAATGTCTGTTTTGTTAACCTCAAGGTATCTTTTGACACGGTATCGTTAGTTGAAGAGGCTATTGATGTGGATGCTTCACCTTGCGAGACCTCTGGTGACCCCGATTACACCGCAGTGAGGGTGAAGGCCGAACCGTCTGACGATAGATCATCTGTTCCTTTATCTTCAGATCGAAAGACAAATTGTGACCGTTTATCTATAACAGATAGCTTGCATGGTATGAATTCTGGCACAGATTTGCTTCGTGATTCACGTTCCGTATCCGTTATAAAATCGGAACATCTAGAGTCGTCATTCGTGAGGCCACGTTCATACGTCCCGGGTGAACTTCAGCTCTGGAAGGATCAGCGATTACGTGAATATCGTATACGTCGTCACCGTCTTGCGAGGTTACGTAACGATTTGCGTAAGAATTTGCTTAAAGAAGGGGTACACCTGTTACAGACATGTGCCCTTTTTGTACATATCCTGGGCCACCTTGTCTTGCAGCATATGGCATCTTTCCGGGACAATTTCACGGAGTTGCCTATGGATAAGAGTAGCCCTGATTCGGCTGTAGGTAATGATTCGTCACCTGCCCAGTGTGCTTTGGATGTCCCAGTCACATCAGTAACTAGCGCTGTAGTTTCGGAGGAGGGTTTTGTTACACCCGATGAGGGCATAGATGCTGACCCTATTGAGGATGTTGATAACAAAGCCGTTGTTTGTGGTAAATTGTCTATACCACCTGACCCTAAGGTCCGGTCCCGTTTATATCGTCTTATGCAGTTTGTCGTGTTATCGTGTAATACTTTAGACTCTCTTTTCAGTGCTTGTAGCGCTGTGAGTCGTTGTTGTGTAGCTGGTGACTTTGATGTTTCCGTATGGGACAATGACCATTTTTTTTCGGAATCTGAGGATGAGCTTGAGCTGCTGTTACACGAGATTAGTTTCCTCAGGGACAAGGTGGTTTCACACGTAGCTCCTTTGCAACTGCTATATCGTGGCGCTGGTGATAGTTTGTTTGACGACGAGTACACTTCTGTTAGTGGTTCTTCATCTGGGTCTGACGCTAGCGGTGACGATGCAGATGACGACCTGGCAGGTTTCATTGATTTCGATACTGACCGTCATTTGGGCATGGTGATGTCTAGGCACGTTTCGAAGCGTAATCGTACGTCCTCACGTTTAAGAGGTGTGGTGTTACGTTCTGAATGGAACTGCCTTATAAAGAGTTATTTGTCTTAATTTTTATGGGCATTTAATATATATATGTTAACTAATATTAGCCAATAGAGGTGTTTCGTAACGGGAATCTAATGTATGATGCGAATGTTCCCCTGCATACTGGGCACTTTTCAGTGCGTAATGACTGCAAGCAGTTGAAGCAGAATGACGCATGCCCGCATGGCAGTAGTACTGTATCCATTCTGTTGGATAGGCATATTAGGCAGTCATTATCTGTTTCATCGCCCATTCCAAACATGTCTCTTGTTTCTTGTGGTCTTCCAAGATCGTTTGAGAAGCATATCTGTTTGGTGACATCTATAACAATTGCAGTTGGGTTCGTTATAGTGGGCGTTAATTGTTCCCTGAGGCGCAGCCTTCCGGTAAAACTGACCAACGTCATTTCAGCAAGACCTTGGTATGACTCTACATTCCCCTCGCTGAATATTCTTGTCTCATGCGCACGAGGTGAGTACAATAGAATGACCAGTGGTATTATTTCTCGGTCATCGTATACCCTGCTGAGTAGCACCTCCCAAATTGACCGTGGTACCCCTTCCACCTCTACAGTTTTTACTGGGGGCGTGACTTTGCAGCGTATCCCCTTTCCGGCATCGAAACATACCGCTTCGCTTGTACAGATTTTGTCGGTGTATGCCAGTACATTGAACCTGCCAAAACGTTCGTCGGTGCCATTTGGCGTATCCAGAATGGTAGATTCATCCATATCTAGTAGTCTCTGGTACCTATCTTCTTGTTCTATATAGCAGAACTTTTTAAGAAATTTGGCAATACTAAACTGTTCCTCCTGTACTTCTTCCTGTGCGCATTTGCTTTCTACGCATATTTTTTGAATTATTTCCAAAGGTACGCCCCAATGTGCGCTGACAAACGTAGTCCGGCTGCAGTCCATCTTGAATGATACGTGTAGTTTATCCAGGCATGTCGTCAACACAGCACTTTGTGACGCTGGATACCCTGTTTGAAAATTCGTTTCTTCATCATCATCTAGCTCTATTTTTAAGGTTCTTGCGATGAGTGAGTTGGGCATTCTTACCCTGGGCACCGGTAACGGTACCAGATTATGTCTCAATTTAACAATGGCATTGAAATGTTCTTTTGTAAGTGCCAAGAGATCATTAGCAAATTCTGCCATATCTTTAAGATGCAGAATCTTAGGCCTTTGTTGCATCTGCTCTTGTACATGATGTATCGAGTGGAATTCAATCCATAATCTAATAGTCCAGTAGGTTAGTGCCGATATGACTGCTGCAACTACTATGTTATGGAATCCGAAACTCTGCAAAACTCCTTCACGACCTTCTAGGAACCGGCTGCGGGCCGTATTGAAGTAGGTACTCCAATCGAAATGTTTCAATACGTATTCATCCATTCGTTGTGTAATATATTTTTTGTAATGTAAAAAGGTTGTTTATATAGCGCATTATAACGCGCTAGGTTATCTCAGCTCATTTTATAGCCATTATAATTATCGCTTTTGATCTCTGAGGTCGTCATTTCTGCCACCTGTGGTCTGCCACTTGTCGTCTGAGGTGCGCGCTTGTCTGTAATCCCCAACACACTAGGTTTCGGAGCGCATTAATTATTTATATCGCATCTCTAAAATGCCAAAATCTAAGCGGGCGAAAGAAGTAAGGTTAACATCTGTCAAGAAGAAGTCTAAAGAGCGGAAGTTGCATCTTGTTGACGCGATTCGTGAAACTCTGGGATCGGCTGACCTGGGAAATGAATGTTTTGTTTATATCATATCGCTTTCCAATCAGCGTAATTCACCTTTAAAAAACCTTCGAATCATCCTCAAACCTGGACGCCTTTTTTATGGCAAAAACAAGGTGATGCAATTGGCGCTGGGCGCTAAACCTGAGACTGAACTCTTGCCAGATCTACACAAAGTTGCAGAGGTAATCTATATTGACCAACTGTAATGATTCTGGTACAGCAACTTGTCGGTGAACGGGCTCTACTTGTCACTTCCGAAGCCCCTGATGTTGTTAGAACCAAGCTTGAAGGTTACAAGGTCGTTGACTTTGCCAAAGCGGGACATATAGCAAGTGATACTGTGGTTCTTAAGGTAAGTTATGTACCATGTTTTTTAGTGCAACATCGCCATGTCAATATACATATCTTGGTTAATATTTGATGCAGCCTGATGATGGGTCACTAGAAGTGTTTCCCGGTAATATGGAGCCCCAATTCAGACAATTGGGGTTACCGACCACGTTGAACATGGGCAAGATTCAGTTACTTGGTGAATATATCGTATGCGAGCGTGATCGTCCCTTGACCCCAACTCAAGCACGAGTATTGAAGGTCCTTGGTATACGTATGGCGTTATTCGAGGCTAATATACATGGATATTGGACCGACGGTACCTTTCATGATCTATCTTTTTAAGCCACCACTGGATTCTGCGACCGTCCTGTGTGCCTCGCGTTTGCTTTGGCATAACTAGAAGTTAACCTTAAAATCTGACATGACACATATAGCATTTTATTATATTCTATATTGTATTCTGGTTTTAGACAACGCTCGAAGCTCACAGTAACACACCGGAAGACACACAGACGACCTTCCATGGCATATGCTAAAGAATAACCTTGTTACATGGTACGGAGGCATACGACGATAGCATAATGCTCCTCCATGGCTCGTTGCCTTCTGGCGTCAATGCTGCATGTTCTTATTCTCATTTGTATCGTTCTACCTAATGCCGAAGGATTTAAACACAACGCAGATTTCAAACGAGGGTTCACCACTCTAGAAACCATAGTAAGTCCATAAATACAATAGATATAACCTAATATATATAGGTAAAGCGCGGGATAGAACGGCTATGCGATGCTCAGTCCAATGATGTCATTTCTCACTGCAAAAGGCCACTCGTACGCCTCGCAGGTGACTCCTGCGAGGGCGATCTGCATACTAAAATCGCACATACACTCTCTGAGCATCTGCAAATACCAGCGGAAGAAGTGGCAATACGGTTAAGAGATGAAATCAGGAAGGAAACCGATTGCGTCAGTGACTGTTTCGTCACTGGCAATAACTATATAAATATTGTCCTCAAGGATGAATATTTGACACGGACACTCAAAGCAATGGCTAATGACACATGCAAAAGGCTTAATGTTCCTATAATGTCACGTCAAAATGTGGTCGTGGATTACTTTGGCCCGAACGTGGGAAAAGAGCTACATATGGGTCATTTAAGATCGGCTGCCATCGGTGGTGCTATATCCAATATATTAGAGTTTTGCGGTGATAAAGTATATCGCCGTAGCCATATTGGTGATTTTGGGGCGCATTCGGGACAGATTATACGCTACCTTATTGAATATGACCCCTATTCTTTAGATTGTTTTACTGAAAGTTGGACAGATCGTGAACGGTTATTGGAACTGACACGCCAAGAGTTAGGTTATTCAGTTTGGGATGCTAAAGGTATAAAGACATCAAACAGGTTATCTAGACCCACACCCGCAGAATCTACTGACCTCATTGTTAACACAATCGGTGAAATTTACAGACGTGCCAAACGGCAGTGTGAACTCGATGAAAAGTTTAATGTTAGATGTAAAGAGGAGACTGCATTGTTACAACATGGTCGGCATCTTTATCAGAAGACTTGGGAGAATATCTCTCTGAAATCCATGCAGAGCTACCGTGACCTTTTGGAAGACTTCAAGCTGGATAAAATAAGAGATGTACCGGAAAGTTGTTATGCTAAAAGGGTATTTAAACTTATAGATCGACTTGTGAAAGAAGGACACGCGCTCAAGAACAAGGATGGGAGCATAACCATAAAAATAGAACACCATGGTTCATCTGTAGATCCTTCAAGAGGTAAGTTGCATATTACCGAGTATATCTATTTACTACAGCTAATATAGACCAAGATAAGGAGCCGGCACATGGTAAGAACCAAACGACTCTTGTATACCTATATAACATGGCGTCAGATCTCGTTCTACTAACTAGGGAAGGTGCTGCTACATACCTCTCTGTGGATCTTTGCGCTCTTGAGTACAGGTTGCGTGAGCACAAGGCGGATACAATCTTGTATGTGACGGACAGTGCTCAACGTGGTCACTTTTCCAAGGTATGTTGTATTGTTTAGTAATACACTGTTGTAGCTTATCACCGTTGCCCGTCAGGTTGGCATTTTGAAGGACCAACGGGTAGAGCATCTTGGTTTTGGTGCTGTACTGGCAGAAGATGGAAAGAAGTTGCGCTCACGTCGGAAATCCGGAGCACATGTATTAGATATATGGAGCGATACATTTGATAAGTGTCTGCATGAGGTTGAGAATAAAGGGGAGTACAAGTTTCCTGATAATGCCATTATGGCGAACACATTAGGTATGTCAACCTTTAATGAAATAAATAGCACCTTATAGCTGTTGGATCTATGTTATATGCGGATCTGTCTACTACGCACGGGGATACATACACCTTTTCAACTGACCGGCTTCTTAAACAAGGCGGTAACAACCTTATCAGTATCCTCTATTCGTATGTCCGAGGTCGATCTATATTGCGAAAGGTTGTTAGCGACAACATATCGGTGCTTAACGACGATTTTGGGGAAGGGTGGTTATTCAGAAGTGACTTTGACCGTAACCTTGCAGTACAGTTGGTAGGTCTTGAGAATGCTATCTTAACAGCAGCTATAATGCGTGCTCCACATAGATTGTGCAAGTATGTATGGAAGCTATCACGAGATTTTGCACATTTCTATGAATCGACACGCGTACTGGATAATGGTACCGCACGGGCAGAAAACGTGTTACTTGTAGACCTATTCGCCAAGGTCACGAACCTGGTGCTCACACTACTGAACATAGAAACTGTTGATTACCTTTGACTAGCATTTTTAACGTTATCTGTGAAATGTAGAGTAGTTCATAAGTTTCAATTAGATTCAACGGTATAGGTTCAATCTTCGTAAGTAAGTAAGGGTTCCGATGCATTATTTCGCTCTATTGCCTCAAGCTGACGCTTACGGCTCTCGATAGACGATAGGTACACCACGGTGTCTACCTTCCCTTTTAATCTTAATAGAGCTTGATTTGCCGACAATCTTTGTTTGATATGTTTGTTCAATTTGAACAGTGTGGCACGTCCCGCGGCGTTTTGCGAGAAGAATGAGCAATTGTGCCGCAATAGCGTGGTTATCCAACCCTCGCGACTGTAAAGCTGGTTAGGTACCTTGATCATATTAGAACATATAAACTCTAGTAGCGATAATGCCAGTGAGGGTGGTAGGTCAGCGACAGTTGCTTCAATGATCCTAGGGTCATTTGTTTGTAACATCTTCTCAAGTAAAGGTTTGTCTGCTGTCAAAAGAGCCTGAGTTAAAGATACAGATAACGATCTCTCGCTGCCACCTTGGGCTTTAGGCTCCTCTTCCTTTTCCATTATACCCTATTTAATCTTGACTTTTGTATGATATCAGCCGTTACGTCGCACAGTACGGCTATATTTAGAGCCAGCTCCTACCAAGAAGGTCTCGTCAGTACGCCAGGTAGGGTGTCTTTGATATTGTTTTCCGAATATATACGGCGTCAGATGCTTGGGTATTCCCCTTGACCTTGGTGCAGGATTAGACAATGCCTGTTTATGTCTCGGGTTAGCGTTACAATCAACACCTAGGAACGGTTGGAAATTAAAAAAAAATAACCTTACCTAATATAGGCACGTGCCACCGACGGATCACGTAACGGCAGGAGCTGCAGAGTAATGTTAAAGTCCCTCTGTGCCACATGAATTACACAAATGTCATTTGAATATATAAGCCGCAGCCGGTATCAAGTCCCGTGATCCCCTAGACAACGGCTTTACAAGTCAACGACCGTTGAAGTGTAGCAGTATTATGCAAGTCAACAGCAACAGCCTTGGGTCCCCGAAATGTATCCCGCATAAGGTTTTAATAATATTGCGATAATTATAAGGCGAGATTCCATATGATAATACACCTGGTCTATAGGGCACGGCAAGGCAACGCAACGCACGCTGGAGGTGTAGTGTCGTCCAGTCGTTATCTCTCACTGGCGCTAGTAGAACCGATCCAACATTTAACACCGTAGATCATTGTAACAAGGTGTAAACTATAACCTATCTACAGCTTTCATATTACCGAGAAACACTTGGCGCAAGCGCTGGGAAGTAGTTCTATACAATATGCCGCCGTACCTGAGTTATAGAGGTAATAGCGACGATGAAATGCCCGAACATGATTCCGAGGCCCATGCAATGGACAAACTTGCAAAATTGCGTAATCAGGAGTAGGTCACAAATTATATAAAATACAATTCTTCAGATCATTCTTCACCAGACTCACCGGTGTAGAAGTTGATGACGATGACCTGCAGAGGATAATAGCAAACTACCTAGCTACAAATATGTATAAAGATACCTATGATAACTTCATACAGGAATCAGGATACGAAGGTAATTACATGCTCAAGGCATAATACGGTTCTACCTACCGTCTATTGGCCAATATATATGTGTGTGTGTGTGTGTGTGTGTTCCAATAGGCTCTGTATCTCGTGTTATAACTGAATGATGACATTACGGGGAATTGCTGGATACTATAGCATATCGCTGTAGGACCTGTAGAAATCCCATCATCCTTGCACTGAAAGTTATCCATACATCTAATCTGCCGAACAAGTTGATCGATACTGATTTCGCTACAGGGCCCAACCTATCGAACTCAATATCGCATAGACGCCATGTCAAACAGGCAATACTGGAGGGAAGGACACAAGAAGCACGAACGATCATTGATGCAATAGATACAAGCATATTGCAAAATAACGTAAGGATATTGTTTAATCTACTATCCAATGATCTCATCGAGATAATTAGAACGGTATGACTATATCTATTATCGACATATTTATCAGGGTAACGCTACAATGGCAATACAATACGCACGCGAGCATCTGGCCCCGTGTGTCAAGGCGGACCACGGCCTCGTTGATAAACTGGAGGACCTTATGGGACTCTTAACGTTTACAGACATCAATAGCCCCGAGGCCTTGGCCATTATACGCAAATCACAACAGCTGGAAGAAACAGCAACACTTGTGGATATCGCCATCATGGAGCATTTCGATCAGGAGACACATGTAGTATTGGAATCACTTGTCAAAGAAGCTATTTGGCTGCAAGAGAAGCTGGCGGACGATGAAGAATGGTGTAATGTAAAATACCAAGACGTGGAACGTGCTGGCATCACTGTAGTCGAAGAGACACATGATATTTAAAATGTATCTATTTTTGTCTTACAAAGGGAAATAGATGTACGTTGGTCCCTTTCACGCGACGTACTTGACGTTTATTATGTACCGCTAAACGTATATTACGTTCCGCATCTAGACGTTGACGTAACTCGTCATCAGCACGCTTAGATTGGAGCGCCTCACTAACACCCAAAAGATGGTCGTCTACCCTTTTGGTAGCACGAACAGATGATGACTCCGAGCCTTCCACGGCACCAGAGGGGTCCGCTTCTTCCTCGGAGCTGTCACTGAATTCTACATGGCTGCCTTCACCCATTAGTAATGTTGCATTCTCGGTTATTGCAGCCGTAGCACGTTTGCCCTTGATATTAGAACGATGCTGCAACACAAAACGGTTCCTATCGAGTTGATCTAGAGATCGGCGAAATTTCTTATTATTATCTAATTTCCGGGTAGCAACTGCAGATGACGATGGTAACACTACGACACCATCATCACCCAGTTTACCGTGGACCATTTTAAAATTAAACTCATCTTCATTTCGGAACCTCGCTTTATCTGCAAGGTCACGTATACGACGTTCTAGGACATGGAACCGTTCAGCACGTTTCTTGTAATCCCGCTTCTTCTCAAGGAACCGACCTACACGAGCTCGACGGCCTTGAGGCTGCGATCGTTCCAGATGCACCCTGCGGTGGACAACGTGACGTAAACCATCCGTCATGATGTAAAAATATATACATATCACTCATAAAGGTCAGACACGTATAATTTAGACTTATACAGTCGACAGTGACACGGAAGGCAGCCCTTTTTACACGGTTAAGTGCTTTGCGATTACCCAAAAACTCATACACTCTTTACACAACGTCGTAGCGAAAGAGGATAATGAACACATTGCCAAACTACCAATACGGCAGTAACCAAAAAAATACACACAAGATTAGGAGCAATATATATTGCGCTGTAAAGGCCGAAAATCACATAGCTCAGCGGTTCCGATCATACTAAACCGTTACTCGAGATCCACAAAAAAAATCGACACGATGCAACCATCCAAAACCTATCCATAATATTTAACAAAATATATTAAGAAACACGTATGTTAATCGATGAAAATAGCTCATCGTAAAGTGAACGTATCATAGAATCATCACCGCGAGAGTGTGCACCTAACAATGCCTTAACAATGGCAGCGGTAGAGCGTTTCTGTACACGGAAACGACGTGAAACCTCCTCAGCAAGCTCTAAAACGTGAGCTGGAATCCCAGCTAAACGAGCAACGTGGATACCGTGAGACTCCGGGCACTGACCAAGTGACAATTTGTACATAAAGGTCAAGGTACGCTCAGTGTCATCGAAACTTGCCAACATATGACATAATGATACATTCGGAAGACGTAACGAATATGAGCATACCTCTTGAAAATGCGTTGTAAAGATACAACGACAACCTATAGATGAAATCTTCTCTAAACAGGCCGCAGCGATAGCAGTAGCATCAAATGTAGAAGTACCACGACCAAGCTCGTCAACCAAAACTAATGAATCAGATGTGCCCTGAAAATAATAATATATATCAATAAAATAAAAACATACCGTACGTAACATTGAAGAAACCTCTTCCATCTCAACTAAAAATGTACTCTTACCCTCTATTAGGTTATCACTAGCACCCAAACGGGTATATATACGGTCAACAACGGTCATCTTGCATTCAGATGCTGAAAAAAGTACATATAAAAGGCCACATTCAAAACTTACCAGGAACAAACGAACCTATATGCGCCATTATCGCACAAAGAGCAGTCTGACGCAATAATGTAGACTTGCCGCCCATGTTAGGACCAGTTAATAAAATCATAGCGCGATAGTCACCATGGTTAAGGTGCACATCGTTAGACACAAAGGTATCAGGGTTCAACTGACATACTATAGGGTGCACGGAATTACGAACAACCATGTAAGGTTCGCCATCACCACGCTCAAAAACAGAAGCACGAACTAACGGAATCACTGCATTCTTAGCCACTGATGCCAAACTACATAAACAATCCAAATCAGCAGCAGTTACCAATAAACTGCCAAAAATATCACGACGGTCGTGGATATACTTAACCGATGATTGAAAAAATAATAGCTCGGACTGACCTAAAGAAAATTCATGATCCTCTAACTCTGTCACAAGAGATACTATACGCTGGTTACGCACACGCACGTAACCAGAACGGGTAGATGTAACCTCCCAACTTTTATCTCCTGATATACGACGATAATTCGACTCAGGCATCTCCACCTCGTAACGGAACTTAGTATGCACATAAGATGCAGAAGGAGCATGCCGTCTAATGCCAACCAAGACTTCATCCAAACTAGATTGTGTACGAGATATACGACCACGAACATCATCAGAACCTTCCCAAACACCAACACTAGCACTGCTGCACGACTTAGGACCAGTGACTTGTAACTTCCCAAGCAAGTCTTTACAATGCACTGTCACGTCAACCAACGATGACGACATGTCACGTAAAAGTGACGGACAACCCTCAATAGTAGATGCTTCAGAAAAAAATGAAGATACATAACTGTGCAGTGATAAAAAGTGCTCAAGTAACTGGTGTAAACTATATAACTTCGAAAACACACATTCATCGAAATATACCGCCATCTTGTAACAACCAGCAGCAGCGTTCAATAGTTTACCCAAACAACGCTCAAGGTCAGGTAAAGAAGATAGACGCTCCTGATAACTAAGGCAGAGAGAAAAGTTATTACACAAAAAATCAACTGTGGAACTACGGTCGTTGATACGAGAGGCACTAATCAGCGGTTTCAGTAACCAACGACGTAACATACGCTCACCAAGAGCACAACACGTCTTGTTCAAAAAACCAAACAAACTCAATGAAACGTCACCCTCTTGAGATCGAAATAACTCAAGTTGAGTCAAAGCAGCACCGTCAAGGACCATACAACCACGCTTGTCACTGCCAAGCACGCTGACAGTACAATAGTTTAGCAAATTGTCTAACATCACAGAACGCAGGTAACGCTGTAGTAACAATAATAAACGGTCATAGGCACCCAGCTGGCTGCCAACTGTGGTACTCACCCGTTTCATAAAGTCACTGTAGTCAACGGGAGCCATCTGTGCATCCTTATTGCCAACGTTCTCAGGAGTGAACTCATCAGAAATGTTAAAAGACGTTAATTCAAAATGCAAAATACCAGTCATGCCATACAACTCATCCAAACTGCCCATAATAACTGAATCAACGACAATCTCAGCAGGACCAATGGATGATATAACGGCACGCAACTCACCAAGACCCATGCCAATATCAACACAACCTAAACTTAGAGACCCTATTGAAGCATCCATGGAACAAATTGATAATAGATGTTCACGATGTGAACCTGCAAATTGTGGTAAATCGTAACGTTTAAATCCAATCTTAGCGGTAACGTCACTTGAATCCAAATTAACACCCTGCTCAACAGCACATGACCGAGTTATCAACAATAACTGCTTACTACTAGATCCTAACATCTCAGGACGAGTGATAGTACCAGGGGTGATAATCTCACAAATGGCACGGGATACAGCATTTTGACGACTACCACTCTCACGGTTACGCTTCTCCAACTGTTGCGGAGTCTCAGTCTGCTCTACAACAACGACCTTATAACCCCTAGAAACACAAGATGACGCATAAATGTGCAAACTCTTCTCAGGAAAACCAACATGAGGTTTCGCTTCAGAACCCATCCAACGTAAACCACAAATCTCTTGAACTATACAAGCATCATGATAAAATAACTCATAAAAACGACCCATCTTAAAAAATAACAACTGATCAAAACGATCCTGCTTCAAATACCACCATTGTTGCATACATTCAGTAAAATGACAACTACGGAACTCCACAGCCCAAGGATGGTTACGAGGAGGCACCCATATACTACTAGGATCATAAGCATCATCAGTAGGCCTTAGACCGTTACGATCTCGAATATCACGAACACGACACCAGGGAGGAAACACAAATGTATCATTATAACGATAATAATGCTCCACATATGCCCTAAAACAACGACTCTTCTGACTAGCAGGACAGTTCAGGTACAACTTACGCTCCTCATCAGTCACGCAGTCGCCACTACGAAGAGATGGGTGGAAAGGTTCAGAGCCTACGGTCAAAGCGATCTTACTACTATCTATTACAGATGCCGATTTAGCAGCGCCAACAAACATAAGCTCGGAAACGTCACCATAGTCACCGTTAGCACCAATATCACAAGATTCAAGGCTAACATCTGTTGCAGCAACCGGACGTTCACCATGTGATGCCGCCGGACCGTCTACAGGGGCAAACTCTGTCTCGAGGCTACAGGCAGAGATGCTAGAACCCCGGGAGTCGACCTTAGAAACAACCGGAGAACGACCTTCCGTAATTATATTATCGATAATATCGATATGCGATTTAATAAAATCTTCAGTAATCTCCGTACACGTCACCTTATTAGGAACAAAACCACTGTCATACATAAGACTACGCTTCCGACATATAGGTGACTCGTCCTCAAAATCATCTGAAAAAGTACTAGTATGTACAGATTCCGATGTTACGCTACGACTTAAGTCTGTAGGCGCAGCAACAGACACATCAGAGGTACTACCAACCTTTGCGGTAGTCAAAGCAACCTTATCCCTGGATTCAACATCGCTAACAACATCCAAAGTACCCTCGCCCGCGACTGAAGCCAACTTGGGACTACAAACGGGGTCAGCGGCAACGACATCGCTAACACCCTCAGATGAACTACCATGCACACTAGACAAAGGTGTGGCAACCGCAGCCACAGAAGACGGCTTAACTTGCTTCTTAAAGAAAGCCGTGATGTTCTGCTGCATTTTAACGCGCACACATTGCACAGTATATCGAAACTAAAGCGACAACGACACGCGTAATCGGGCAATTACCAGACATATACCACAAGAGGGACATAAATTACAACAGATGGAATAAAACTATAACGAATAACAAAGAATAACGAAAAATAATAGACCAAAACTAATATTAGCAGCCAGCCACACGAGACACACAGAAGTTACAATGTAACATACCGTAGCACATTAGTCATATTACACAGCGAATATATGTATCAAGGAAGTAGCAAGGTGCAAATATTAAGCCAAAAATAGCCATAGTACAAAAAAAAATGACCAAAGTAATAACAACTACCGAAAAAATAAGTCACTTCTTCTTGTTACGACGACGACGGCTATGAGATGATTCCGTAGTTATAGTCACACTAGTTGGCTTAGCAGTACTAGAATCAACAGATGCACCTTGACTATGACCCTTTAATAGCTCCTTCTTACGCTTCAACTGCTTCTTAAAAGCACTACGCTGATACTTGGGAAGCCAACGTTCAGGGTCAGGAGGAACCAGAGCAGTATCACCCTGCTGCTGAAGATGACGACCACGGCGACGACGACTGCGATGACGACTACGACGAGTACCTAAATTCCCAACATCAACCATCTCTTGAACATAAACAAGCTGACCCTCAGATTCCAATTCCTCAGCATCAATGAAACGTAACTCCCCGAAAAGAGAATCGGATACCACAGATAACAAGGAATCAGGAATATCACCAACAGGATCAGAAAGATATGACTCGTTAAACAACACACCACAACAAGCTGAAACATCCGTAGGAACAAGCTCATGAACACGACGGTAGATAACCAAGGCCTCAGCGTGCATACCATGAGACTCAAGAAAACGGCATCCTTCTTTAAGAAATATTGATATATCCGAACAATAGGGATACTCCAATAACCTTGAAAGAATGTCAACCACAAGTTCACGGTTACCAAGGCTCATGTGACATTCAAGCAAAACACACCAATAGAAACTTGCACAACTACTCTCTAATAAAAATGATTCATACAATTGCGCTGTACGAAGAGCCATTTTGAACCTACGACATGACAATAAGACGTTAAGAAGACAACGAATCAGCATTACATTACCCTTATGCGATGATAAACCACGCTTTAAAGCACTGATGCTACCGTCAACCTTACCCTCCGCATAATCAACAGCACCAAGGCTGTGATATAAAATTGCATCATGCTTCAAACGGCATATAAACTTCATAATATGAGCCTTGCAACCCGAGGTGTCACCGATTTCCAAAAGATACGCTATCACATTACGATGAACGTCCAATAGCTCTTGGTGAGAAAATTTACATACCACGTTAGACCGCTTCAATAAAGATTCAAGACGAGGCACCAAAGTACTCATACCACTACTGTCACGCAGACATAAACAGTTGTTCAGCACTATGAGCATTATACCCGGGTCAACACCATCACAATCCATGAACCGGGACATCAAGCTGGCGTTACGACTGGAAGCCAATTCGTCACAACCCCGGTGATGTAACAAAAATACACGTAAAGCATCGAGTGCAAAAAATTCACGCTGACTACGAATATCAAAACTATCACCAAAGTCACTTTGCAACTCAGCAACCAGACGCTCCTCAGAAATATCCAAATAACTCTCAGCGGTACTAAAATCATTCTCCAATACCTTTGCAATGGACCAATTATAAGAGTATTCGTAACTCAGGTTGTCACCACGACCACTGCGCTCGTCAATATCACGATTAATCGATTCAAATAATGCAGAGTGAGAACCATCATCAAGGTGAGATAACATGTTCAAGTTAGTACTCAACAAGTTAAGAGAAACCAGAGGATCATCCTTAGTACCCTGCAACTCAGAATAAAGCGAACGTGCATACTCAAAAAAACCAAGACGCACATAAACCTGTGCAAGAAGAAATTTGTACTTGGGTGATAAACTTTTGTCAAGCACGACCTCAACATCCTTGGAAGATTCGGAAGTAGGAAGACAAGATGACCGACGCAAATCACGAGGACGCTCATTACAAGAACACAGACGTAACGCTGTCAAGGCACTCTCATAATGACCCATCTTGTAGTAACAATACGCTTGCTCAAAGTGCAGCCAGTGACATTCACCATTGACAATATGTAGCCCGGGAGCCTCACGAAGAACCTCCAAAACATCAGCATTCTCTGCAGCACGACGCTCACGAGATTCAGCACGCATACGCTTAGGACAACGTTTGTTACCAACCTCGGCCAGTGAAGGGTGCTCAACTAAACCATGAAGCCAACGGACCGTGTCGAGACAAGAATGCCACCGACGTAACTGAAGGTCGCAATAACATTTCGCACGGTAAAACGCATTCACGTTACCATACGCACGAATAGCTGTAAAAGATGTTTCAAAAACTACAAATATACATAGGTCAATAAAACAAACACAAATAGATTTGGAACTAGGTTCTAAAACCTAACTACAAACAATTGAAAATGAAATAATCAACAAATACAAAATAACAAGTACTGAAACCAAACATACATGGCAAGATTCCAACACTATATACATCGATAGCCACTAATGGCAACCCAATTATAACATATATGGCCATGTATAACGTAAAACGTACCCTGGAGACATAAACGACTTCCTTCAGAAAATTGCCCTTCAGCAATAAGACGCTTCGCGTCTAGCAGAGCCTTATCCACAGACGCCGTAAACGCCGGAGCACCCACCATGATTAAACCGACCTTTTAAATTATTCAAAAACACCCTTTTATGGGTGATAGTTAAAATGGAAAACAATAACAAACACATACCAACCCTTATAGTGGGCCCTTCCACAGGGCACTTACAAGCAATACCCAGATATATAATATCACGTTTCACTTTGGTGAAACTTAATGTGTGGCTTTATAAAGTCATATAAACGTCGATATTGTTAAAGGTGTGACATAATTACTCCGAAATACACGCTCTCAAACTTAGTATGGCCGTAGATGACCAAATTGACAAAGACAAGACACTAGCACTAACACATTCACATAATAAATGTTAATAAGCTATAAGGTGGATTGTGTCCCGAAGGGCACAGCAAAGTGACCTGGGAACTTTTAGGGTTACTATGCCCGAAACGTAGATTGTACAATGCACCCTATAGAACCAATTACATCATTAAATAGGTTACATTAAAACACATCCTATTATAAAAGATACTAGACTGACGATGGGAGCTATAGTCCCTAACACAAGGGGTCATCGGGGGGCGGGCCTTCCACGCGTAGACTCAACACAAAAAACGACACTTAATATCCTCAAAGAAAATGGCGGACACACTTATAGCAATTAAAGGAGAGGATTTTCTAGCTATCGCTTGCGATACATATGAAAAATACTCTATCATCACTATCAGAAATGATGATGAAAGTAAAATCATGAAAATTGGACAATCAAAAGTTATCATGCTAGCAGGACCAATGGGAGATAGAGCACAGTTCTCAAATATGATCAAAGGAACGTTACAGTTTCTAAAGTACAAAAATACACAAGAACTATCAACTAACGCAGCGGCACATTTTGTCAGATTAGAACTCGCAGAGTATCTCAGACAAAACCCCTACCAAGTTGATATGATTATCGCAGGAATAGACCAGGTAGGTTAAAAGAATTATAAAATATAATAGTTGATAATGTCAAAAAAAAATGACAACTTTTGTAGGATGGGCCAAAATTATTCTGGATTGATTATTTGGCAAGCTGTACGGAAGTAGAAACCGCTGTACATGGATATGGTGGGTTCCTACTCAGGGGACTCCTGGACAAGGAATTTAAACCTAACATGACAAGAGATGATGCTATCACACTACTCAAAAAATGCAGACAAGAAGTTAAAAACAGGTTCCTATTGTCACAGTCCAACTTTGCAGCTAAAATTATTGATAAAGACGGAATACATGATATCAATATACAAGATGAACAAGAACCGGAAGTATTCAAAATACAACACAAACATGCTCATCTACCAATAGATGTCACCATGCAATAAAACAAATCACAATGATAAACCAAAGTTTTTAATCTAAAAAAATCGTATAGACATGCTAACAAACAAACATATTCATGTTTATAACAAGGGTTTGAGCAAAATGATGTCACTTCCCAGGGGATATCAATAACGATTCCGAATTCAACAACACCCTGTTTTGGGATTTCGATAAGATGTCAGCGATCTCCTTAGCAGTGTCTATACGACGTAGAGTGATAAACGCAGGATTATCACGAATGGCGCTGCCGATCTAGAAAAAAGATAATAATAAGGAAATACTTAATAGAACCTACCAAACGAGCCGCCTCAGATTCACCCTGAGCTTTTATTATTGTAGACTTCTTCTCCTCTTTAGCTTTCAAAACTATGTACTTGCTACGCTCAGCCTGCTGCTGCGCAACCTGTTTAGCCTCAACCGCCTTCTCATATTCAGGACTAAAGCTAACATGCGTTAAAGATACATCGTCCAATAAAATGTTAAAGTCACGAGCACGCTGAACTAATTGGTCCCGCACAGATTTACTGACCTAAAAATAACAATAATATTATTAATAAATTAGACAACATACCACCTCCCTTTGAGTTATCAATTGAGAAGCATTGTATTGAGCAACCACACTCTTAAGAACCTCATTTATTATAGATGGCAACACCTTCTCATCGTAGTCACGACCCAAAGAACGGTAGACATCACGTAAACGACGCTCATCAGGACGCGAAAGAACACGACAAGTAATGTTCACCATCTGCAAATCACGACTACCAGTCAATGATGTCAAGGTACGCGGACGAGTGCGCACATCGTAAATTATAGGACGCTCAAACCAAGGAATCAAAAAATGAGTACCCTCACCAACCAAAACTTCGCCTATACCAGTAAGACGGTTGTACACAAGAGCGCGATGACCAGCCTCAACTGAAACGAATTAACACATTAAATCATTCAAAAATTACCATTGTAAAGGCTATAATAACACCCAGCGCCAACGCCACCAGCCACGAGCAACGCAGAACCAGCACCGGCCAAGCTACGAAGAATCTTAGGTAACTCAGACGACATTATAAAAAAAATGTATTTAAGATACGAATAGAAAAACTTTTAGCACCGCGTATTAGCGGAATAACACAATATGAAACACTACCAAAATCAACACACCAGCGTAATACCACATATATAGAATGACAACACAATCACAGAAATGGTAAATATTCCCATACAAAATATGAGTCAAATCAGGATTATTGTGACTTAGAAGGCTATAAAACTATATAGACAACAGAAAGAAGAAAAGGTCAAGATTCTAAACCTAATTTTTTAAAATTATAGTAATGTAATAAGTCGTATATGACTCAGAAACGGACAATAAAAATGATATAGAACCATCCAAATCGAACTGGTATAACCCATAATCAACGCTAATAAATAATAGCGGACTCAGGGATCACGGCCAATGGAATCCAAATCAGTGATATCCAGAGTATCACCTTCACGTAAAATCACAAACCTATCACGTAAACTAGGATGAAATTCACGTAAATGAGATTCCAAACGACAGGAAAGCTCGCCATAAGACTCACGACCGATAGGGAATGTGTCATGACCAACGACAACAGTGTACCTTGCACCAAGATCCAAATGAGCCTTCACAGCATCTTCAGGTGTAAGCTCGGGGCTAAGGTCGAACTTAGGACCAATAGGCAAAATAGCAATGTCTATGCCATAGCCTTTTTGCGATAAAAAGTCACGAATCTCACGAAAGTGATCATTGTACGCCGTACGACCGCCGTAATAGATACACCGACCCTCAGAACGGATATAAAATGAACCCCAAAGTAACAAGTCACGGTGGTACCAACGACGACCACTATTAGAATAGGACGGCAAAAATGTAACCTCGACACTACCGAAATTCACACTCTCATACCATCGTAAAGGATATGTATAACGACGAAAAAAAAATGTGACGAAACGAGATACATTCATGCCACCCAAAACTATAGCGGAACCCAAATCACCAAGACGACGCAAACTAAAAGAATCAACACTGTCGTAACTATTATTAGATAACAAGACAAAGTCACACATAGGACACTCCCAATACTTTATCACACGGTTACTTACACGACGGATGCCAAAAAATGGCATATAAACACGACGTGAAAATAAAGGGTCGGTAAGAAAAGTAGCGCCACATGTCTGAAGTAATACTGTACGATGACCCAAAAATGTTAAACTTGAACGATCTTCCGAAACCTTAGATACATTTATAGGCACACCAGACACAGATACAGGCCATTCACCAACGGGGTGACCCGAAAAATATCTAAGCAGAGGAACCTTACGACGAAGAGCAATACGAAACTTCTCAAATAGAGCACCGCGTTGACGAACTAACAGGAACCGTGACACATCGCCACGGATGTGCCACGGATCCATAAACCATGGCAAATAACGCATTACCGATCATCAGGGATGCCATAAATCGTCACAGGATGACAGAAATAATGTACAAACGAACGAACAACAATACAAATGAAACTTAAACAAACGACTCCAACAATTTGCAATTGCAAAAATGTGGAGTGAACAAGACAAAATTAGACGACTCTCCCCATCGCAACAAACACACATTTTAATTATAATAACAAAAATATAATAAGATGGTAAGACAAATTTTATTATAGAAATAATAATAATATTTACAGTCAATCGCTAAGAAGTTTATCCCACTGTTTGACCGCGTACTGGTCGCAAAGATTAAACCAGACAATAAAACGAAATCTGGGCTGTTACTGCCGGAATCTTCTAACCTATCATCAAGACTAGCAACGGTAAGTTGTCTTCTATAACAAATTCAAATATATGCAATAGGTACTCACCGTAGGAACCGGAAAACTCACTAATAAAGGCAAACTCATACCACCAACACTCAAAAAGGGAGATACCGTTGTTATTCCAGAATACGGAGGAATGGAACTCAAACTAGATGGAGAAAAGTATGCCGTATTCCGTGAAGAAGATATCATAGGAGTACTCAATAAAGATGCAGAATGAATAACAAAAAAATACTTTTTCCTAATTAAACATGGCATATAACTTGCTAATATATATACAAATTATCTAGATAAATTACATAATAGTCATAAGTTATGGGCACCCATGTGCTATTACAAGGTAGAGTAAGGTCAACTTGAAACCTCTAAAGGTTCAGGCTCAGCAAAGAAGCTCTTGGGACCATCTTCAGGGCCATTGTAAAGGCCGCACTTTATCACACTGAAAAAATCAAATGAAGAAACATAACAAAAACTTACCGGATGTCACGTAAAGGGACACCGTCCTTAATAGGCTCATTACCCAAGGAACGAATCAGCTTCATGCCCTTAACCACAGTACCAATAACCACAGGTCGGCGGCCCAAATAAGGATTGCTAGTCAATGTTATCAAAAAGCGAGATGTAAGACCTGACTCATCACCGGATGAAAACATGGCAACATCACCTTCTTGAACAAATGGCACATCAAAACTCTCCTCAGGCATACTACGACCAAAAATAGTACACGATCGTAAACGACTACCAGAATGAAACAAATCACCTAGCACAATACCGTTACGGGGGAACACATGGCTCACTGGGGAATTACGATAACCTATTAAACGACCATCAACTTCATAACCTTTACACATTTGCACAAAATTCTCACATGTTAACGGTTGATGACGACCGTATAAACCTAACAAAACACGACCAAGGTAACGACGCTCAGACGCAAGGTCAAAGTACACATAATCTGTAATTAGGTCGTCACGGGGCAATACAGAATCGTTACTACGGGATGAACCGCTGGTATGACCGTAGTAAGCACCGCAACCCAAAGCGCCCTAAACAATCATGACCAAAAACATAGATTTACGTACCAATATAGCCTTGCTTTTCCAAGATAACGCACAAAACTTACGCACAAAAAATTGCACGAAATCAAGCGGAAGCAACAATGTACTACGCATCGAACTTAATAGACCTAACGCAATCGTAAAAAAACACGATGCGCTGGCCTAGTACCATGGAATCTAGATGAAAAATATTACCAGAGACCAGGGTAACATTAATACCGAAGTCAACTAAAAATCAATAGCAAAAATGTCTTAGCATATCAAAATGATATCTGAAAATCAAACCTATGAAAAAAAAACAAAACATAAAATCACCCTAATCACCAGTAACATGACACAATACGAACACACCCTAAACAATGATAAACATTACACAGTTTATCAATGACAAATTTTTATGTGGGTAATAACAATTTTAAATTATTTTAGACGAACTATTAGTATACGCGATGTGTTACATACACAGAAAAGGACAACATCGACAATGGGTAGAGACTCGAGGTGGTACCCAAACACATTCACAGCATAACTATACCATGTCAATTGAAGGTTTTCCGCCGTTTTGTATATAAAATTGCACGGTAACACTGCAGTCACGACATGCGTCCAGCATAGACGTCACCGCTGCGAATGACACAAATGCAATGATAACGGAATGTAATATTAAGTTAACATTAGATACGATAAATGCAATAAGAAAGGGCAATAAACTGCACATATTAACGGATGTGACACTATAATATCGGCCAAGGCCAATTAAACCTTGGAGAAGGTCTTGGCAAGGTAAGCACCAGTGGACGCTGAAGTAGGAGCCATAGAATCACCACCCTTCTTCCAGTTAACAGGGCACACTTGACCAGACTCGTCATTGAACTTTATAGCATCGAAGACACGCAGAGTCTCGTCAACAGAACGACCAATACCCAAATCAAATATAGAAAGATGACGAACCTTACCAGACTTGTCTATCAAAACAGATGCACGCTGCGCAAAACCATCACTACGTAATAAACCAACACTCTTGCTGATAGTACGTGAAATGTCAGATAATAGGGGAATCTTCACACCCTGAACACCACCGTTCTTCAAATCAGTATGCAACCACGCAAGATGCGAAAATACAGAATCCACTGAAACACCAACCACCTTTATACCACGAGATTCAAAATCAGATAAACGCTCCGAAAAACCCAAAAGCTCAGAAGGACAAACAAAAGTAAAATCCAATGGGTAAAATACTAATAAACCATAAGAATCACGGAAATATTCAGATGAATCAAAGTCAGCTATAGCACCATCGATCACAGCAGACGTCCTGAAACTAGGAAGCTCACGACCTATCATGTCACCGGAATTTACATGATTAGCACAGATATGGGTTCCAAAAGCACGAACTGAAACATTCCTACCAACAGAAGGATATTCATTCAACATAAAACGGCTACCAGAACGAGTTGCTGAAAAACAAAACGCACGGAATGCCGTCCTGCAACCCAAAGCAGAGAGACGCGACACACTACCAATCATTGTTCAAACAGATGGAGAATCTAAAGTAACAACCAGAATACGAAATTAATAACAATACTGATAATGAAAAGGGAAATTAGCACAAGAAATACACCATGCAACCAAAACAAAGCAGTATACACTCCAACCCCCAGAAACAAGACAAGGAGAAATATATCAACGCAAGAACATAAAAACATTTACGTATACTAGATCACAATGCTAGGACAATCAAAGCTATATGGTACAAAAGAAGGCTAACACAAAGCCCACAACTATGACCAAAAAAAATTATACACAAACATCGAACAGTAATACGTACTAATGATAACACATTTATGGCCTGTAACAAAACGTGACTAAAATGTCACAAAACCACGCATTGGACTCAGAAATTGGATACTAAACAATACCCAAACAGACAACGATAACGTAGTCAAAGGTCGACAATGCAAAAACACTACACGTGCAATTTTAAATCTCGACGTTGTAGGCGTTGTCACGGTTAAACCGCCAAAACTCCTGTTGGCGTAAGTAGTTGTTACAAAAACCAGCCTAAAACAGTTTATAATCGACTAGGATTAAAATGAGAAAATACTTACCAAGGTACCCAAAACTGCACCCACGGGCCAGGTGTACGCCTCCTCTTTCACTAAAGCCAACTTAATGTGGTACTCAGCTTCGTCCTCAATGTTCATGAAGCCAAATAAGAAACCAAAGACGCCTCCCATACTACAGGTGATTACCAAAATCACCAAAACCTGATAGAATTAATGAAATAACACAAAAATAATATATGCAAAGAGATATTATACCAAATAGTGACCAAACATTCCGATATAAAGTGGAGATAATAGCCCCCCCGAAATATGACAAATCACAAAATAAATAAATAAATAAATACAAAAATAAATAAATAAATAAACTAGAAATATAGAAAAACATACCTGCGATTTAGATTCCACCAAAGGACGAGCTACTGATGTCTCAAACATAGACATGAAGTAGTTTACGAGATCGACGATGGTAAAAGTCAAGGCGAAAGAAATCGATACACCAAGCAACGTGTAAATCGAAACCTTCAATAAAAGAGGAGAATGAGTAAACCAACTCTGACGTAAAAAGAAACAAACAACACCGCTAGCAACAATCTGAAAAAAAATGACATACATGTATATCAATAAGACAAACTCACCATCAAACCGAAGTAACGTAAATATTGACGATGATTGTCATCGCCATCCATCTTAGAAACGTTCAAACGCCATAATATCACGATACCAATCACCAAGAATGTTAAAGCGAAATACTGCAATAATGTCAAATAAAACGGAGCTAAACAAACCAAGGTGAAGAATGGTGATGTGGAAATCTCGACCAACGCACAATTCACTATGAGAGAACACATAATACCAATCAAACAACCTATCACGCAACCGACAAGAGTACTCAATATCGGCAACTTAGACAAAGGCATCTCGTGGTCAAACCACGCAAGGCCATCACCTTGCTTAGAAAAGGTAAAGTCGTTCATACCACTTGACTTCATGGTGAAAATACACACAAAAAAAAAGGTATGAACAATTCTTGACCGAAGATAAACACAAGAAACCAAAACACCATACACAACGACACTCAAGCAACGACAAGGTGTGGGTACAATATCTTGTGCGTGTGATACTTTGCACACTATATCAAAGCTCGTCCAAAGATCGGTTTATTTCTTGTAACTCCAATGACGCAGTTACCAGATCGTCCATGAGTCGACGGATACGCTCTTTAGCAGCATCCTGCGCACGATATAATAGCATACACCAGAAGCACTAACCTCAGAATTCAACTCGCCAGCAACGGACTCAGTCTTAGAACGCACGTAAGACGATTCACTCTCTTCCTAAGCACTCTTAAATTTAAATAATAACGACACAACCTCTTCAAGATCATCCTTCAAACCGGCCTCTGCACACCGTACACACACAAACAACAGAACGTACCTTCCGCATCATCAAGTGCATTCTCGCTCTTCTCAAACCTAAACAGCATGTAAAACACATCTTCAAAAGTTAATATACCTCGCCTCTGCCTCATCTAACTGAAGAAAAATTGATAACTAATACAAGAGAAACATACCTCTTGATCAACATCATCCTCATCATTATCGTCATCTTTCTGAACATAGTTCAGGAACAGAAGAATGAGAAGAGAAGTAAAAGCTTCAAATGGACCAAATATACATAAAAACGTATATAAACCTTGAAACACGTAGATAACACCTACATCATAGTTATCCTCATCGTCAGATACATCCCGATCATTAATACCAGAATCCAAAGAATCCAATTGAGAAGTACGACCTGAACCGGTTATACTACCACTAGATCTTGAGGAATCAAGCGATTGAGAACATTCAACTAAATGGTAAAAACAACACACAGATAGCCATAAAACAAGCGCAGTCAATGGCAAGTGCATCTTAGATATAATGGGAAATATCCGAATAAACTAGAGCAACTTAACAACGTCGAAGGTTGTAACACTACACACCATCACATGACCACGGTAAGGTACAAACGAAACTAGCAATAATGATTAAACTAGACTAAAATAAAATCAAATAGTTATGGAAGATTAATTATAATTTTTATAAAACGACGAGACGGGTGGCTAGGATAAACTTTTAGATACCCATAAAACACACCCTCAACAATTTTACGATACAATTAAAACAAAGTTAATTCACACACTAGGAACAAAGTCCCGGTCATCAACAACAATCTTGTACATCACACTCTTAAAAGGTGAAACTAAAGGTAATTTTCCTATCATACGCTGAGAAAAGGAAACACTAGTAGCCTTCTTCATAACCTCTGGACTGTACCACGTCTGTATCCCTACGTAACGATAACGGTCGAGAGGACCTCCAGAACTCTTGTTATCAAGACGTACAAGCTTAGTACTTCCATAACCTGCATTGTGTCAGAACACGTAAAGAAGGAAGACAATTAGGAATAGCAATACCATATGAAATGGACAACGTAGAACACAAAAAAGTTACTAATAACCAACCTTCCTGGGTCTGAAGATAACGTGTCAGACATTTAATGTTATTCTCAAACTCAGCACAATGTGCATCAGAAACTTCATAAAATGTTATAAATGCATAATCACGCTGCGTAAATGCTGGATGAACCTCCCAAACACGCTCCAAATCAGGATTAGTAAACGCATAAGACGTTATAAAACCTAACGTAAAAGTAACAGCACGGTTCACAAAACGACGCGTGAACACCGTACCGCCAACGGTACGGGCAACGTGCAACATAACGATATAGGTATTAATATAGTTAATAAGTAACGCCAAAGGTGCAGAACGAACACGCACCAAGGCAGAATGAAAAACAGCGGGATATAGTCCCCCAGCAACAAACATGGGTACACATCACAGATGCGCGACTACAATAAATTACATCATACACACCTACTCCTGGCCAAACTAACATCACTAATGGATTTAAAGTAATCAGAAATATCACGGAATGTGACCATGAGGAAACTATTCGAGGCGATAATCAGGAGAAGATGTTATAGCAAAGGAACAACCGTACACATGTCTAACACGCTACAAACAACAATACAAAATCAAAAGAGACATTTCAGCACAAATATCGCAAATAAAGCAACAGAAAGGTTAGATATAACATATAATTACCAATATGGAAATACAGCGTTACTTTCACGTTCATCAATCAGGAAGACCGTGAGATACAAGTCACTGTACCGGTAGGGACAACTGTACTCGAGGCAGCGCATAAGTATAAAGTGGAACTAGAAGGTAAGGCAAATTTATAAGCAATCATCTAAATAAGGGGCATGTGACGGGTGTATGGCATGCTCAACATGCCATGTTATATTCGACGAAGACGTATACGATGCATTACCTGAACCTGAAGAAGCAGAACTAGATATGTTAGATCTTGCTCCATGCCTTACAAATACGTAAGTTATAAAAACAAAATTAAGGGTAACACATAATACAGCTCAAGGTTGGGATGCCAAATCAAACTTCAACATTCACATCAAGGGATCAAAATAAGACTACCGAAAATTACACGAAATTTCTATGTTGATGGACATGTACCAGCGGTACATTAAAATTTTATGAGACATTAAAGCACATAACATGCATTTTTAAAACCTAGAATCAACAAATCTAAAATTAATATAACAACCGGGTTCATGCGATAGTTCACAAAATAAGCAAATAGTATCGCGGTATCACACCAGTAAACGTCAAAGATAGTTAGATGCCGTGTTAGGGTTCACAGAAACAGGGTACGATACAGGTAACGATATTTGGGGAGTTACGGTGTGACCAGATAACTCTAAACGTGCGATACGCCTATACACATGATATAGCAAACTGCAAATATAACATACTCCTCAGCACCAAGCTCAGCCTTGAGAGCCTCCAATGTATTGGTCTGTGCTATCAGGTCGGATAACATCTCCTCAGGGCTCAGTTCACCCAAATCACCAAGAACACGATAATATTCATCGTGCATCACTGTATCACATGAAACTATAGAAACACACTTGATCACCTGGATTAATCGCCTCGTTCTCCTGAAATATTATAAAAGACGCATAGAGACAAACATACAAGAGCTATCTCAGCAAAACGGTTAACACTCTCTAACTCGTTAGGACGAATATCAATGTAAGGAACCGGACGAGATACCTCCAATAAATCGCCTAAAAAGAATATTAAAACAAAATGGAGCAAACACACCGGACGACGATCCAACGGCCAATTGGCCTATAGGAAGGCTACCTCCAAAACTCACATCAATGTTTAACCCTTTATTAGCTACAAAATAGTCATACACACACACACGAAAAAACCTACGCTCACACAAAACATTAAAAGGAAAATATAATAGACAGAAGATAGTCCAAAGGCGATGACACACGACAAGCATCGCTACGTCGTGTTCAATAACAAGTAGGTATTACAGAAATAAAGAATGAAGGAAGAATTTTCCACCTGCTATAGCAACGGGATTCTGTGGTGAGAAAAGTTCTGCAGCGACCAAGAGGAAATCTCCCGACATTACTTGCAGCTGACTGAGACAAGAGCTAACAGACTCACCGTAGCATATACAACCGAGCGGAATGCTAAACAAAGTATAGTCGCCGAAAGGCAATATAGTTTTTTAAGCGTCAAATGCGCCGCGAATCCAACCATCAACAACAAAACAAACCTGAATAAAAAAAACAAATCGCTATTAAACTGCATATCTTGCAGTTTATATTACAATTGGGATACTTCAAAAAAGAATATTCGAGAAGTTACAACCTGATGTGCAACTGAATACAGGCCAAGGGTACGGAAAAGGAAGGAGCTGCTACTGAGTACTTTTCAAAATAAACGCACACAAAAGTCAAAAGGAACAACTCTCATATGATAGACACAATACTATCAGATAACATATAACAACCAAAAAAAGGTGACACCAAAGCAGTGCTAAAAAAAGACGAATAAAATATCGCCAATAGCGCAAATTGTGTTGTGCAAAACGACGGAAAGACGTACGTTGCAGCACACAATAATAGAAAAGTTACGGATGCAAGAAGTAAACAAAAACGGGTCGTTGGTACCTTTCCACCGATCCTCAACAACAGGTAATAAAGCCTGTGAGCCCTGACAAAAGGCAATTTGAAAAATTTTACAAAAATACAAAAACAAGGATTCAAACAATTTATTAAAATGGAAGACGAAAGGAGAGATAAGATACTGAGAGGAATCCATGCATATTTTGTAGATTTCTATAAACAGGGAATGGTATACGTACAAGATACGGAAGTCATGCCCAGAAACGTTCTACAAAAAAGAAAAGAACATGAAGGGCAATTGCTCAAGGGGATGTACTGGGCACTGTTCTCACTGCACCTGCTACATAGAAAATATGGAATAGCAACGGCAGAACAACTGGCACGTATTACAGAACGGGAAAATGCGCCAGAATATACAGGTGAACCAGAGCAGGAAGAAGAGGAGTGTGATGAGGTATTCGATAGCGTACACTACTATGGAGTGGAGGTGCCACAAAGCGAGCCTGAACCTATCCAAATGGATGCGGGATTTGCTCTACAACCACTCGATATTGAGCTTCTGAGACTTAGTACACGATCCATGATGGCTTCAGATCTAGACACATCAATACTAGAAGGAAAAGATGTAGACGCTGTACTCAGGTTCCTCAAATTGTGCCAAAGGGAATTTGTTTATGAAGATTACACATTCCTTGGATTTGCAAACTCAGATGACAGAAGAAGATTTAGCGCGAACATAAGTAGCACACTCATGGCAATTAACACATATAGGGTCATAGGAGATTACCTAAACGTTAAAGCAAGCCTAGGATTCCTTAAACATATGACATGGGTATACCAATCAGATGAACTGCTCGCATATATCAACCTCTTGTATGTGCAAAAAAAAGGATACTATAAAAAATCATTGATGCCTTTGGTACCAGAAAATGCAGATATCAGACATACGGCATCAGCAGTCTTGTCAACATCCATCGCATTAAGAATATCTGGATACCAAAACACATACTACAGAATCAAAATTGCAGAATGGATACGAATAAGAGAAGTTACTGAAAATTTAATGAGACACTTCAACGAAGACGGAGGGGTTGGCTTAATACCTAATGGAGAAAGCCATTGTGGAGCTGCTTTCTGTGCAATAGTCATACTTGCTGTTACAGGAGCCGTGCCTACAGTACCAAGACAACGATTGATCAAACTTAAAAGGTAACAATAATATTATACATATATAATGAATATGCAGCTGGCTACTTAAGAGACTCACAGCATTCGGAGGGGTATCTGGCAGAGTAGGCAAGTCAGAGGATGTATGCTACTCATTCTGGCTGCTAGCCACATTAAGCATGTTGAACAAGTTCGGAGTACACTCACAGATACTCAGAGGACGTGAAATGATAAGATTTATTGAGAGGTGTCAGACGCCATGTGGAGGGATTGCACCCTACCCATGTGATGAAGGAGAACCAGGGAACCCGGACCCCTTTCACTCATTTGCAGCCCTTATGACAATCACACTTATCGAAGAAGAGCGACAACAGGTGGACCTATCTGTCCTACAAATGCTCATATAAGAAATGAGCAAATGTACAACGTCCAAAAGGTACATAAATTCACCACGGTCTTACTTATGGTGAACACGCCTTTAGGCATAAAGTCAGTGATGGCCTTCGAAACGTGAAAAAAAGTAATGTTGTAAACTCACGCATTGATTCTCCGATAAAGCGTACAAAACTGACAAAACGAACAACATATGGCTACATGCCATAAAAGTGTACCTGAAGATACATAACAGTGTCGTAAAGTCAAAAACTAACCCCCCTACAGCGGCAAATATGTCGCAATACACCCAAGAATGCAGCTTATTATCCGATAAATGCCTCTTTTCAGGCAATGACGTAGAATCGCCATTATCGGAATTAAAAGATATGTAGTCCATCTCGCTCCGTAAAAGGAATGTATAAAATAACACGCAGATCACATCAATGTTAAAAATTGCAAACGCAAAAAATACAGCAAGAGCACATAGACTACCAACATATGAGTCAAAAAATAAAAATGCAGAGTCGAAATCAAGCTCAAAGACAGAATCCTGATGACCAGCAACAAAATACATCAGGTCACACAGGACCAAAAATAACACCACGTAAGTCAAACGGGTACTTACACGCAACTTTAACAGTAAAGCTAACATATTATACAACACACATGCGAACATATATGTACCCAGTGCTTTGCTGGGACCGTTCAGGAGCAGCGTCATCCAAAACATGTTCACTATACACCAAAATAAACGGCTTGACCGATGGTGAGGTCCTCCATTACTGCTGTCCACCAGACCGAAGGGGTTCACAACAAATAACAACCATACCATAATAGCCAAAACAGCGAACGCTCTAGCACTATAGACACCCAAGAGCGTTCTTGCAACCACTGCGTTGCGAGCCTTAGCCAAATGGATGCTGAGCCAATTTACAAGTGGCCCAGTAACATAATGCCGTTCACACTTCATAGCGTAATGGAACAACAACAACAAGTACTGTAAGCTCCACATGAATCGCAACAGTAAGCGATTCACGGGGGTACTGTAAAGCTCTTTGAGCGGAGATGACGACCTTACATCAGCGCCAGGAACCTCGGTACCACTAAGCAAAAATAACAGAGTTACGTAAAATAATGTCAATACAAACGCTCCAATCTCAAATGTACGCAACAAATCGTTCACACGAACGTACCAACTTGGTAACATGCCTCCTATATGCCTGGCCTCCACAAAGTAGTGGATCAAGTAGGAAAACTTTAACACGAAACAAATCGCACCGAAGTTCACATAGGCACCGTCCAATCTCAGAGAACCCATACGTTTTACAGCTGGATATATCGCAAAATACAAGCAAAATAAAACAATATGATGTAACAGTGTGTCGTGAGACAGAATGGCGCATTGTGATACGAGGGTCTTGATCACCAACACAACGTACAGTAGCAATATGGGCCAAACAGGATTGAACGATCCAATATTTGATAAAAATGCATCCAAATGAGGTTCAAAGTTGCCAATGGGCAACGGTTGTTCAAACGATTTGGTATTACGATACATGAAGAGAAAACGACGTACAAAAAATGGGATGTCAAGCAAAAACAACGTCGCAAAGGTGAACACAAGGTAGCACAAAAAGTAAAATACCGGCGGTTGGCCATCAAGTTGACACCAGCGCTCAAATGGTCCTAAAAAACGTTTGAAGATGCTTACAGAGAGACGTAGAGGCACCCGTGCGTTTTGAGGACCCTGTGACTTTACGTACTCCATGTGAGACACTATCGCACCAGACGTCACACCAGACAATATCAATTTAATAAGGCAGCGAGATACTACACTCGTCACAGAACCGAACCCTTGATTCGTCGAAAGGGGTAACTCAGATTCCGAAAGCTTAGACCTGTAACCTATATGACACGCCGCCAGAATTAGGTAGGTCGAAAGCATCCACGCTAACGCCATAAACAAAATCGAAGAAACCATATACTCAGGAGTAACAGCCATGTTTGTTAAACCAAGCAATTTCTTAGAAGCAGCAATAACACGGTCACACTGATCCATGTATGCAGTACATATATCCATCATCACTGTGGGAACAAACTGGTCACGTCCCATGCTGCGCACGAAACTGTAGTAGTAAGATAACACTGCACGCTCACGAGATACAGCAGAATATACTTGGACGTACTTGAGCTTGTCAGATTCCGATACGGTAGTGTCTATCGTACGCAACATCTGATGCGCAATAACGTGAAGCAATTGCGTCATATATTTCTTGGAAAGGAGCTTATTCACGTGACCACGTGAGTCCTTTATCAATGGTACCACATCCTTTATTAAACTGCCCTCACTGTGGTAAGGCATAGGCTTGTTCATCAACAAGCTTAGTGTACTTGCCATATTGATGTGCGCAGACTTATGGACAGGGTAACTCAAAGAAAACTCGCCATTAAGAACATTGTGATCTTTAGCGTAGCCTCTTGGAGCGTCGTTGTTGTGACAACTACCACTCGAAACCTTAGTCAACTCCAGATCAGATAATACAAACAAAAAAGAATCCACTTCCTCCTTTGTACCACCACCATGAGATCCGTTGGTCTTTTGACCATGGTCACCAAACACAAATACCATACTATTCGTCTTCTCACTTGCTTCCGAAAGGACCTTACGCAAAAAGGTGTCATAGTCATCCAAGTAATAGGTCATTTCCGGACTTACACGCTTACCCGCATGACCCAAGTGATCTATCGCCAGCAAATGCAAAATACTAACATCACAACGATCCAAACATTCCTTGTAATTGGCCGTAACAAGCGAATCAGGACGTTCCATGTCATAAATGTCGATTCCCGTACCAGTGTAGTCTAAGAATATGCGGTCAGGACCCATAAAACTAAAAGTTATTTTATCACCTGTTCTGAATGATAGACACCGCATTGATAAACCCACCTAAAGGACAAAGAGTATCACCGTTGTCCGCCAACTGATATCCTACGTTGTCCAATTCAAGTTGCTGGACCGAGGTCGATTGTGCCATCTGAACAATATCACACAAAAACACAGAACCTTACCATGTTGCCACGACGAGTCTCACCCGTGTAAAGGCATTTTAAAGAGTACACCGTGAAGGTAGGAGTTGGCGCTTCGAAACGGTAAAAACGACAGTTGTTGCGAGTCGAAGGAGAAGATAGGTATTCATGATATACCGGCATATGGTTAGTGAACACTGCACGAGCCTCATCTGCCTTCATGGTAGGATCGTAGAGGGCATAGTCGGTACGTGCGCCATCAAGTATGACTAGTACCATGGAATCCAGGGGAGTGTACGACAGCCACCCTGGCGGCATGTCCCCGCCGACAGTGAAACTTAAAATTATAAAGGACCAGAGCAACAAACTTACCGTTTAGGCGATACATACTCGAATACACGCCCCTTTCCTGATATATATGTCTCATATTCAGGGGCAACTCGACGCCAGCAAGTCTCCGGATTACCACGGGTCTTAGACACAGAAGACTTTACAGCTATATTGCCATCCAACTCAAACTCATCAAATAGTGGTGGAAATGGAAGTACAAAACGATCGGATGCATAGGGTTTGAATGTGCTCTTGTCATTGACGTTGATAGCAAACAAAGCCACACCTAAACCGAAAAACGTAAGTAGAAACAATACCAAAGAAAGCAGTAGCAACCGACACATCCACCCGGTGACGGTTCCCATACTTTAATCATGAAGAAAGCAACAATAAATGAGCTTTGAAACTTACGATAAGGTACATCGGATAGGACACGTACACCGACACACCCCAGGGTTACCGCACTCCCATCAGCGGATGTAAGAGTAACGAAGGGCTTACAATGCTCATGGAAGCATATTTTAAAAATATAATAATGGCTAAATGAAGAATCCAATATAATATACTACAAAAATGGGTCGTGGAACGCCTTTTTTACGGTTATTCACGACACTCCCGAAAAGAGGACACCTAGTTATCGCAACCATAGTACTCGGAATAATGACCAACTACTGGGGACGTAAAGTTATCAAGAGGATGCAAAACGCAAATCTCGCAACAAATATGCAAAGATTGCTTGCCGACACGCCTGACTGGTCATGTTTTCATTATGCTAGGCAATATCGTGAAGAATGTGGTAATTACAACAGGTAAGTAGAGTGTAAATGCTAATGCTGTGGCCGAATAATGTCTCGAATCGTAGTGGAAGGCGATAGTTATTATTACACAGGCTGACGGGAGGGGAGTATATTCACAGCATATGCTCCGGATTGGAAGAAAAGATCCGCAATTGTCAGCGTATTCTAGCAAAAGAAATCGAAAATTGTAAACCATACGCCGAAGATGAAACAATGGAAGTTGAAAACAGGCAACCGTGGCTTGAGGATAGTACTGAAGTAAACACTTAGATTATGCCATAAACAATAGACACTAGAGAATTTTCTTTTATAAATGTAATGTGAAATATGTGACGTACCAAAAATATACACCATCCACGCCACCCAGACCAGCAAGTGTGTGGCGATAGTGGCGCCAGGTGACATTATTCAACAATGGATGCCTTCGTGCTAGTCACCGATGATGGACTGGCGTTCGAGCCACTGGCCTCAGCGGTAACGCTATGCGACCTACGCATCGGAGGGAAATCAATCTTCCAGGAAACACTCGAGAACCTTTGGGAGAGTGGAATAACTAGAGTCACCCTAGTAACGGAAAAAAATAAAGTCGCAAAGTATAAAAAGTATCAAAAACAATACAACTTTGGACGCCGACAGGGACACATCGATGTAACAATACTCGGACTTAACGTTGACAAGATTCTACCCGGAAATGTTCTGAGAGAATTGACGGTAGTCTTAGATGGAATAGATCAGTTCCTTTTGGTAAGTACAAAAATTTATAAATGACATAAGTTACACGCAGCTATTCTGGGACACACTCATTACCGTACCACTCTCTGATGCGTTGGAACTGCATAAAAGCAGACGCTCAGCATCTCAAAAGTACGCAATGAGCCTAATTTGCTTCGAAGATGATAGTGAAAGAAAGTAAGAATGAATAAATCTAACTTTAAATCAGACGTAGGCTTAGCAAACCCAGTGATGACTGTATATTCCTTCTCAACGATAAGTCAGAAATTTTGGCATACTCTCCTGGGGAGGATAAACTACGGGTAGATGTGGATTTGGTACAGAATTTAAAGAGAGGTGACGTAATGAACGTTAGATATGACCTTTGCGAAACTGGAATATACATATGTAACAAACAGGTAGCAGAACATTTTACAAACTGGTACGAACATACGGAATTAGCTGATTATATAAACGATTGTCTCACAAGGGAGTTCAAAACTGATGAGGTCTACTTGACAATAATTAAACCAGATATTATGTTCCCCAATTACCCACCAGCTATCAGAATCATGACACCGAAGGACTACCATACTGTGTTTATGGAATACATACAACGATTCCAACAGGATGAAAACCCAACGAACAAACACTCCATTGCATACGATCCCATATATGGGCCAATGGTAAACGATCGTGCAATATTTTGCAACAAAAGCGCGGTAGTACCACCACTCGGAGGCAACCAGGATATGCTCAAGGCTGTCTCAAACAGTATCATTGGAAAGGGTATTAAAATAGGAGAACAATCGAAAATAGATCGCTGCGTTATTTACGATGACGTTAACATTGGAAGCAACTGTCTCATACAAGACTCCATCATCATGAACGGGGTGACGATTGAAGATGGAATAGTTATACCACCAGGCTCCATAATATGCTCGGATGTCACAGTCACACAGCAAATAGCACAGAAGTTGAAATTACCCTTCAGGCTATCAAAAATGCAAACAAAATATATAGACCTGACTGTAGATGATCTGAATCAACATACCATCGAAGACGGGGACGTTCACGTCTGGCCAATCACGGCCTTCGGTGACATAGAGAGTACGTATATCGGAAAGTCATTCTTTGATGTAGTAAAAATCAAGATACCGTCGCTGTCTTCCACGGATTCGGGGAGCGAATATGAAGGCGCGGAATACGAGTTGGAAGATATTGATTACGCCGATGGCACATCGTCCGACAGTGCCGACGGATCGGAATTTGAACGACTAGGTGATGGAATTAACGATGATAGAGACGTTATGGACGAAGAGATTGCAGCAGAACTTAAAACGCTGGTCATTGAATGCCTACAAACACCTGCACAACTACAAAACAAAATTCTGGAAATCAAGAGTCTCAAAATTAGCCACAACCTGCAAAAAGAAAATATGGTCAAGGTAGCTTTCAGAGATGCCTTGAAGTGGATTATTGAAGTGGCACACGATGAGGATGAACTGCAAGAAATCATGGAAAAAGCACAGCTTAAAGAGTTTCTGGAATCATTCGAACACCAAATTGTCGAACAAAACTACTACACAGGTATTCTAGAGGCGTGTACAGAAATGTGCAAAGATATAGAGTACTTTTCGTTCCTATGCGAAGCGCTCTACCACGCCGATATCATGGAATTCGACGAACTACATGACTGGCTTGTGAAAAACAATATATCCGGCCAGAGAATTGACTCTTTTGCCAAATGGCTGGCAGAAGACTAGACAGCATATAAATATACACCACACAGTTTTAGAACATATACACATTTAAGGCACTATGGGGGACAGGCGCCCTGGACCATGGAATTCACTAGACAATTCGTGACAAGATGGAAGACACGATGAAGATCGAAGAACTTTACAGGATGCTCCAGCGCTTAGGCGTCCGGTATACGGTGGGTAACGTGGACTTGCGAGACGAACACACTAATAGGAATACAAGCATCAACCCATGATGGCGGTAAAACAAAGCCTTGAAGACCCAATATTTCAGGGAAAGTATGAGATTATCGTTAAAAATCTGTGGCTGAGAGATGAAGTGAAGAAATATTACCTCTTAGTCGCACTTCACGTAAGCTAATATTTATACTACAACAGAAGAATGCAGGACACCAAGGTAGACTTCAAGTTCTTAAGCAAACAAGTACATGTCAAGCAATTGAGAATGGGTCCAGAAGAATGCATGGAAGAAATAGTAGGAATGAAACGTGGACACCTCAATCCCTTTGCTGTAGTCAACGACAAAAAGTGAGATACGTCTAATATAAAAACAAAACGTGCAGAAATGAAGTAAAAGTGTTGCTAGATGAAAGAATTAAGGAGAAACAGGAAATTATGGCACACGCATTACACAATACCACTAGCATATGTATATCCACAGAAGATCTTGTGAGATTTCTAAAAGAAAACAATCATGAACCTACATTTGTTGCAACACAAGGTGAAGATAGTGAAAAGGAAGTGGCAAAAACCGAACAAACGGATGGACCAGCAGCGGAACAACCAGCACCCGCCTGCGTGGATAAGGAAGGACACATTCTAGGAATAACGGTTAAAAAGGACGTTAATTTCCCAGAATGGTACATTCAAGCGATTGTAAGGGGTGGAATGGTAGAATACTATGACATATCTGGGTGTTACATATATCTACCGAGCAGTTACTTCATATGGGAAGTCTTCCAGCAGTGGTTCAATGAGGGTATTAAGAAGGTGAGTAGCAACATTGGTGGCCCAAAAAAATTGTGCAGGAAGGTGTGGAAAACTGCTACTTCCCTATGTTCGTATCGAAACAAAAGCTGGAAACGGAAAAGAATCATATTGAAGGGTTCAGCCCGGAAGTGGCCTGGGTCACCAAGTATGGTGACTCAGATTTTGTGGAACCAATTGCCATCAGACCTACCAGTGAAACCATAATGTATCCAGAGTACGCAAAATGGATCAGGTCACACAGAGATCTGCCTCTCAAACTGAATCAATGGTGTTCAGTGGTCAGGTGGGAGTTCAAGCAACCAACCCCTTTTCTCAGAACCCGAGAATTCCTATGGCAAGAAGGACACACAGCACACAGAAGTGAAGAAGAAGCTATGGAGACTGTACTTACTATCTTGAAGCTTTACCAGAGGTTTTACGAGGAATACTTAGCAGTACCCGTCATACCTGGAGAAAAGAGCATAGAGGAGAGATTCGCCGGTGGAAAAAACACAACGACCATAGAAGCTTATATACCAGGTAGCGGCAGAGGAATCCAAGCTGCAACGTCACACCTGCTTGGTACAAACTTCGCCAAGATGTTTGGCATATTATTTGAAGATGAAAGCGGAACCAAACAATTGGTACACCAAACAAGTTGGGGATTTACTACAAGGAGTATTGGTGTAGCCGTGATGATACATGGCGATGACAAGGGGCTGGTTATGCCCCCAAAGGTTGCCAAGTTACAGGTGGTCGTCGTGCCCATTATCGCCAAAAAGGATATGCAAAATGTAATAATGGATGCCGCAAATGACGTTTACAGCAGGTTGAAAAAGGCAGGTATCAGGATACACCTCGACGACCGTACGGGGTACACGCCAGGCTTCAAGTTCAACCACTGGGAACTTAGAGGGGTGCCAATCAGGATAGAGATTGGAGCTAGGGACGTCCAGTCCCAAAGCTGCAGGGTGTGTTACAGGTTCAATGGACACAAAGCTGACTTCAAGCTCGATAATCTCGAACACAGTATCAGCGAGGCCTTGGACGAAATACAAAAGAAGATGTACGAAAAGGCCAAGAAACAAATGGACGAATCAGTGGCCAGGGTAATGGATTTCGAAGGGGTAATGCCAGCACTGAATGACCAGAAACTAGTACTGGTGCCATGGTTAGTCAACCAACTTTTTAAAACTATGTTGTTCAGGTGCGAGGATCCAGAAACCGAGGCACAAATCAAGGCAGAGACTCAGAGGTTGTCACAGGAGAACAGCGACGGCAAGACGGGTGGCATGAAATGCCTTTGCCTGCCATTCGAACAACCAGAAATGCCACATGGTACGAAGTGCTTCTGGACTGGGAGACCTGCCACTAGATGGGCACTATTCGGGCGCAGTTACTGACTCATTGTAGATGCACAAACACTGCTGTCGCGTTCCACCTAAATTACAAATTCTGCTAATTTGACGTGTGGACACACAGAAATTACGTACCTAGCTTCTATAATACGTATGAGACGTGGCGCTGGGATACCACGGTTCCCGGTTATAAGGTCCAGAACCACGGGTCTGGTGCTCAGTGTTACTGATGCCCATCACATGGAGTTGTGCCTTCACGTGCAATGTGAAAAAACAATAGAAAGTTGTCTACAAATTAGACTAAGTTTAGTCCGAACGCTTGCTATCCGGCTCCGATTGGACGTCATCCATATAATGCTGCACAACGTCCATTAATGCCGGGAGCACGAGACAAGCGAGACCGCGAAGAGGAAGAAGTGACCCTGCGGTCAAAAAAACTACAGAACGCACAGCGTCCGCAAAAATGAAGTGCAATGCAACCACCGTTTGTGATTTGAAGCCACTACCACGTGGTAATAACAAGCAGCAAATCAACGGCGAAACGAGGGTTAAGTAAAAAAAGTAAAGGCCCAATACAGCCCGAGGTAGCAGCAAGACGACAAAGTACGGTGCAAGCCTTAACCAACGCAAAGCTGTGCCCAAACCTCTCAGCTGGGAGAAACGTTCAGATGCAGAGGGTAACACTATCGATATCATAGTTCCTATACGACGAAATACAACCCCTGGAAACCCGTTCTTACGGCTCAGATGGGATATACGGCTGCTAACAATGTTAGGCCAACCTACTGCGAAGTTCACAATTGTATCAATCGTGACAATAATCACGCTTTTAACCGCGCCCAAAGATGATGATAGTTGATCTTTGGCTAACCACCGTGCAAGCGCGCAGTGAACCACTGCCAATACGGATACAAAAAACATCACATTGTGGAGATAGTGCTGGCGTACAAAAAATGAACCTAGCAAAGGCACGGTACCACAAATTTGCAGCAACCAGAACACGAGAAATAAATCCAACAGACAATTCATCTCACGAACCACCTGTTTGGAATTTCCCGATCTATCAACGAGCCTCGGAGTAGGACTGCAAACCACACGGTAGTGACATAGCATCCAAAGCGTCCAAAGATGTGGCAAATACACCCCGCCATAGAGCACCAAGTAATGTTGTGCCACAGGATTTAATTGAGCACGGAAACAATAGTATAAAATCCATGTCGCAATTAATGGTAACGAACGCCAGAATCGTCGACGGCCAAATCCAAGCCTTATAGATAAAACGCAAGTGATGAACCCCGTCACACAAATGGCAATGTAGCGATCACGGTGCGATAATGTTGACCATATATAGATACCAGTTGTTACCACGTAACGCAATGATGTGTAAACGGCTTCTATCGCGTGCAAAGGAGAATGCCAATCCACATGACGCAGAGCCTGCCACAAGACCGAGAGGGTATGCCGAAGCAGTTTGACATAGCGTAGCCAGAGGATGTAGCATAGTCCCAAGTGGCATATTACCAATACGCACAGACTTAGGAGCAAACAGAAAGCCTCCAGATAGAGAGGGGTCGTTGCATGAGCTACAGGCACGTCGGAACCGGCAGAACTTGCAAAACTATGCGGAGCCCAGAAAGTAGCTTTAGTCTAAATACATGTTACGTAACGAATGTTGTCACTTACCAGCAAATTAGAAACGGAGATTTCGCATCGACGCGTGCGCAGGCACTCAACGCCTGCCTCGTACCTATTCAGGAACGTCGATACATCCTCGAGCGATAAAGCTGGAAATTTAGACCATGATATCACACCTGTAGTTGTTACACATAGCGAAATACAAGTTAGCAGCAGTACCAGCCAAACCAGACTGCGAGGAGCAGGTAACATGGTTCATCGCTAGACGCCTAAAGCTGCACATCAGACATTTAAAAGCACTAAAAGCTACGTAAGCAACATCTAACGGCTGTAGCGAGTCAAGTATGGCCTACAGCCGACTATTCGTCAAATGAGGTTTGTGATTCTGAACCAAGATACCACAGCAATGGGGACTGTGTGACCGCAAAATCAGAGCGCACAACACGCTAAACATTAGAATCAAAATTTTAAATATATTATGGATATTTTCAGGTCTAGAAGTTGTGCGGCTAATGGCATTAGGTAGGTGGAAGGTGAGTCTGCATACACCTACCGGCATACAAGGACTGTCGAATAGCCCATGCACATTTAAAAATTATCTCAAAATTTTTTAATTTTATTGCATGGCGCAGGTGTATGCATAATGCCGTTGCAATGATGAGCCATAGGATGCCATAAGCGTTGCAGTGATGTTGCACCGAGTGCATACACACGGTTGTCGTTTTAGGGGTGCCATAGGCACATTAATACTTCAAAGCATTTTTTAGCGTGATTCTATAAAGATTTCAATATTTAATGCAAAGTTAGCGAGCTGGGAAATCTGTTTGTTGACGTTGCTCCGCAGGTCTATGTGCATTCAAAGAGAAGGTTACGACGGGTTATAAACGCATTCGACCTAAACGACAAATATTACACATCGGCATTGCATTGGCTGATAAATTCATTGGTACTGCGTCTCTCTTCAACAAGGCAACATCAAAAGGCGGCATAAGTGCCAGCTGTAGCGGCCCATCTTCACAACATGGAACTGGCAAAGTTGGTCATTCGCGCTTTGTGCGCTGTTGCTATATGCGCATCTGTGTGTGATGGAAAGGGACCAAGAACCGGTGTTGCTGGAAAGGATATGGACGACGCATTCAGAATGCTATTAGATGGTGGCGGTGTTAAAAGAACCAAAAAGTCACCCGGAACTCAGGAAAAAACTCTGGAAGGATCAACAGAAGACGACAAAACAGATCTTGATGGGAAGACTGATGATGAAAAAGATCTAGAAGACGGAGCTGCGACCTCCCAGAAGCCTGTGACACCACACAAACCCGATGCCAAGCACAGAAACGACAGTTCTGAGGAAGATGATGGTGTAGACATCTCTGGTAATGATGAAGATACCGATGATGCTGCAAGCGACGTTAAAACAACTCATAAATATAAGAATGTGAAACCACACCAAAAAAAACGTAAAGATAATGATGATGAGGACCCATTCGGTTTCGATGACGATGACAGCACATCAGCAGGAGACGATGATGACGATGATGATGACGATGATGATGACGGCTTCTCTTTCGATGATGACGATGAAGAGGACGATGATGATGATGATGATGATGACAGCACGTTGGGTAACATACTGGGCGGCCTGAAAAAAGTAAAGGGAAGAATTGGGAAAACGTTTAAGAAATCCAAAAAACAACCGAAGAAGAAACATTCCAAGAAGAAAGGTAGCTCATGGGGAGGTTCTTTTAGCCATGTAGATGATGATGATGATGATGACGACGACGACTTGTTCACCTCCCACTTTGGTTCCAAGAGGAGTCGTAGTGCTTCACCCAGCATGCAAGCGGAATTGAGGCGTATGAGTGATGAAAATTGGCGTCTTAAAAGGGATGCGTACCAAGCGCAAAATGAAAGGCTATTCAGGCCAGAGAATGATGTCACAGATGCTGAAGGTAGATTGAACCCAGGTCTAGCAGCTGCCATGAGGTACTTGGGATCTGGTTATGATATTGTCTTTGGAAACCCTCTAGGTGACCCTGTAATTATGGTTGACCCTGGGTACAGACACCCCGTACTCAAATTGGACTGGACGGATAAATACTATAACCATGACGGTGCTAATATGAAGGAGCCACGTGGAGGATGGATCAGACCAGAACTTTCGTGTAGGCAGGCCGAGTCTGTAGATCACATCAACACCGTTGAAGATTACAAGAAAGAGCTGTCCGTTGACGCAAAATTATCCGTATCCATGCCAATGTACTTCAGTTTTAGTGCCTCAGCAGGTTACAAGAATATGGTCAAAACCCTAGCCACTAATGAAACGAAGAGCTATATTCTAAAGACCTATTGCCTTAGGTACGTTGCCGGAATACAGGATTTCAAAAACATTGAACCGGTACCATCGTTTAAATATGACGTGGACGCTTTACCTGACTCCTTCGAAGTAGGTGAGTGTACCATGGAAGTCTACAGAAACAACGAAGAAGATAAAAAATGTGCTGAAACGGTTAGACCGTGGATGAGATTCTTCCAGAAATACGGTACTCACTTTACCACCGTCATACATCTGGGAGGAAAGGTTACCAACCAAATACAAATCAGCAAGACCGATGTCGCGCAACTACAGAAAGAAGGTTACAACGTGGACCTATTAATCAAGTCAGGCTCCGCATTGCCCGTAAGCGCAGGCGTAGAAACCAGCATTCAAAACCAAACCCAAAGCACCACAAATCGTCGTGCACTTAACAGTGAAAAGCTTGTAATTGTCATTGGAGGCGACGTTCCCACCGATGGTACTGACAAGTACTCCATGGGGGAGTGGACCAAGAGCCTATACAGGAAACCCATGCCTATCAAAGTTAATATAGAAAGCATCAAGACGGTAATTGAAAATGAACAAAAGAAGGCAATTTATGACTCTGCCTTGAAGTACTACGCGGAGGTTTACGGTCTCTCTCCCGATGAAATTTACCAGAAAAATGGTAGGAAAACGGGTATTGCCGAACTAGCCAGGTATGGCACCCCAGTCACATATTCGGGTACTACTGGAGGAAGCGCAGTATGTCCGAATGAAAAGGTGGTTATGATGGGATTCGCACTCACGATCACCAAAGCACAGACAACAGTTTTCTCAGATGCAACATTTACTCTATCGTTATCTCCATGCCCTGTGGGAAAGGAGAAGTGTATGGTCTCTGTTTCGGAACCCAATACCGAAGCTAGGGTATGGATCCTCTGTGGATCGGAGTCCATCCCCCTATTGATACAGGAAACCAAGGTTGCTGAAGGAGAAGCCGCCACCGCAATGTGTCCGGATGAGTATAGCATCGCATTCGGATTCGGCTTTTCAGTTCCAAAGGGTATGAAGGCGCAGGCAGTGGACGGATATGCCTGCAGACCAGGACAACCGTCATGTACTCACGCCTCCCCTAAGAGCCTAAACAACGCAGTTTGGATCGCGTGTGTCGAGAAGAATGCTCCAGAGGTCAATGATATCTTGAACCAGGCAGTCGTGTCACGTTCCAATGGTTGTTCCAAGAAACTGACAGAAACATACCAGGACAACAAATGCCCAGCAGGTTACCGCTATATTACAGGGTGGGAATTGGGCACGTCTTTGGATACGTACCAAGGCATACCAATGATACGACCATGTTCGTACGGTTTGAACGGATGCAAATTCGACCACCAAGTATTCTGGCAACCGGACCTCAAATGCAGAGCGCAATACTCGTGGATTTCCTGCTCCAAGGAAAAGGATGATAAAAAAGATCAGAAACCTTAGTACATTACAATAACAAATGCAGTTTTAATTTGGGAATACCCAACGATCACTTCTTTTTCTTCTTAGTAGACTTAGCACTGTTAGTCGCTGGTGCAACGGACTTTTGGCATGATTTCAGCTGTGCGATAAGAGGGGCGATCTCGTAAATGAAGGTGCACTCTGAATGCTATTTGCCCGGTACATGAAACGTAACTCACTTGTAGTAGCCTTAGATTCCGCGTTGGGATGTAAAAAATATACGCGTATGCGACCCGGATTCATATAGTCTCGCGGGTAAAGCTTGTTCTACCACAATATTAACATTATATAGAGTAATCCTACTGGTTCCAGCACGTAGGGAACCTTAAGCTTCGCGCAAACCGCGCGAATATCCTCGACGCGGGGATTCTCAACCGCTAGGGATTGGTTCACACGACGGCCCCCGCTTACGCTGGCCTTTTTGTCAAAATACGTAGGATACAGTACTGCCCATGATGAAATCTCGTCCCCTGAAAATCCCGATGCCATTGTGACTGAGGCGACGCCGATGTGCGCCCTAGGTAACACGCCAAAACATCACGCGCCAGCGCGCCACAGTTGAAACAAAAACTAGTATTGTTCAATTAAACTATGATTAGACCTTGGGTGCGTTAGTTTTAAGACCATCGTGAGGCAGAGCGTGCGATTCGCAAAGCAGAAGCAGCAGAATGCCTAAGATAAGCTTTGCAAATGGCGATGGAACACTTACCTAATAACGAGCCACCCGTTGTTCTTAGAATATGCGCTTGAAACCTGAAATGTGATTGTTGCACTGTTAAACACACACGTACCAACGGGGAGACATATTAAAACGGGTCGCCAATACCTCGTTGGCGGCGCACAACGTGAAACAGCCACCTAAAAGACGAAGTACGGTTCTGGAAGAGACGTCAGCGTTTCCTGAAAAAAATAAATATAGCGCTAAAAGTCATACCCGAGGCAAACGCAGCCGCCAACACCCCGGAAACGGATGATATTTGCATATAATGTGGAGCCCAGTAAAACCGCCTCTGTAAATCATAAGAATGTTAATCATAGCTCACACTTACCGGTATAATACCGCAACCCAAGTAATGCATCAGACCAGATCTCAAGCCACACTGTTAAGGCGTCAATACTCTCTAGCATACACATACCGTAAATGCCAAATAAGAACTCAATAAGTGGGTTTCACCAATAATTATCGACCTAGATAATCCACTATTCGTCTGATCGTAATATTTGCTTGCGATGCCGCCTCCAAACAAAATGCTAAGAAATGTTCCTGTGACAAACTTTTGTACTCTAGGTACGCGGGAGTCAAGCCAAGCTTCACGCACGACCGAAAACAAGTCACTCTCGACTTTGGCTTGCACTTCAGGAGTGTGCGTTTTAATGGGATTAGATGGCATAACCTTGCCAGAAAGAGTACTGAAGGCACGGCGAAACATCATGACAACGGTTCTATTAGTTCTTGCTCTCCGTTGAGATATGGCTTAAGTACATCTGGGACGCGTATCGCCAGACGATTGTTCTTTTGCATAAGTTGATAGTTCTCTAAAATGGCCGAAAGAGTGCGCCCTAACGCAAGACCAGAGCCGTTAATGCAATGAACCTTAGACCTAGAGGACGTCAACAAATTCAAACGATTCGATTGATAGTCCAACGTATTACTACAGCTCGACACCTCTATATATTTGTCCAACGAGGGGAAGAACACTTCAAAATCAACAGTTTTGCTTGACGTTGCACCAAGCTGATTTACCGGCAGTAACACTCGACGGTACGGTAAACCTAAGGATTTCAAAATAAACTCAATATGAGATAACATAAGATTGTGGAAATGTTCCGAGCTTCCTGAGTCACAGACGCAAACTAGTTCCACTTTACCAAACTGGTGATTGCGTATTAGCCCACGTGTCTCACGTCCATAATCCTGAATCTCAGACCGGAAACATGGTGTATAGGCCATTAACCATAAAGGCAGTCTATCAGGATGTATCCGACTATTGCCTAAAAGTGCGAGCAGTGGTATCTCACCTGTAGGAATCAAATACCCACGCTCACCGTTACACTGGTGGCGTTCATCTAACTTGAAAAGGTCATCCTCAAAACGAGGTAAATGACCCGTACTTTCCAAACTGTGCTCGTTCACAATGAAAGGAACTGACACCTCCTTGTAGCCAAAAAGCTTATGATGGGTGTCAAGCATAAAGTTGGACAATGCACGTTCCAAACGACTGATGTTGCCACTGAATGCCGAAAAGCCAGTACCGCTTATACGAGTAGATTTAGATGTGAATACGTCACTAAAACGTTCTATAATCTCGTAGTGCGGAACTATTGTACCCGGAGTGTCTGGAGCAGCACTACCATTGGACGTTTTCTCCACTATCACCTCAGTCTCAGGTACACCCTCAGACACTATGTTTGGTAACGTACAGAGCAGTGATGAAAGCTGTTCATCCAATGTTTTAACACGTGATTGGAGGCATTTGACTTCGTTGCGAAGCGCAAGACTACATTCCCTAAGCGATGCTTGAGCAGGGTCAGCAGACTTATGAAAGTCCTTTGACAATTCGGATCGGCGAGCTAACAGAGCGTCCAATTCCTCCTTCTTAGATACTTTTTCGAAATACAATGTGTGAATCTTCAACAGTGTCTCACTATGGTCTTCTTTACGAAGGCAAAAATTCGCATGGAACAACTCCGGTACAGAGGCCACAGCAGTCAAATCAAAACTATTGGGGATAAGGTTTCCATCAGCCTCAGCCCTGAGAACTATACCGTCTCTTAACGCGGCAGCCAATCGTTCTTCTAGATCGTGGGATATCGCAGTGAGACAACTGTCTTGGCACAAATTAACGGACGAGACAGAGTAATGACCCAACCCAGATGTCCCAGCAGTCTCGACCTTATCTGCGACCGAACGAAGGCGTCCTAACTTGTAACCTGTCGGCACCCTTTTAGGTAACAAATATGCAGCTGGAAGACCACGCCAAGTCGCGGTACAGTGACCGTGGCAAAGACCTATGGATGAAGGGAACAAATAAAGCGCCAGTGCAAGGAATCTAAGTATGCACATCTCAAAGGATCGTTGAAAGGTTCCATTTTTTGTAAAATAAGAACGAAAAGGTGTTAAAGTACTGTCGCCGATGTGTACACTCGCTGAGCGTGGGCGCGTTCAACGGCGTGACAAAATAGCCGTGATATTTGAAACATCATATCGCAGCAAGCAACCAAAAACTGGTATGGTAAATGTGCAAAGGACTGTAAGACCGAAATGGCTCGTGCTGTTTCAGACGGCAGTGATCACACGAATGACGCAGTATCAGCTGATGAACTAATAAAACAGCCTTGGACACTATGGAATAAGAAATCACAATGTGAATCACTGTTGAAGAACAAGCTCTTGGAATCATTCAAAGGCGCAGTCCTACTTAAACGCCGCAAAACACATATCACAGATGAAATTGGTAAGAAACGTTCGAGGCGTGGCGCCGCCGTAAAGCGTGCTCTTGCTGCTGCAAAATCGGATGCAAAAAGGGTATATTCATCGGCGACCGGTTTGGGGCTGGATGAACTCTGGACATACCTAGAATCGGAAATCTCTTCTGATATCAAGCCTCTCACAAAACGCTTGGAGGCTATCTTAGACACACAGCCAAACCGCATCTTAAAACACGAATATCCGGAGGCTGCTGCCCGTAACGACATTACAACGTATCATAACAGTGATGATGAGGCGGATGAACGAGTTGCCAACAAAGGACAAGAGGAGATGCACGAATCAGCGAGCCAGTCAAGCGATGATAATGGAACTGATGACAACTATGACGGTAGAAGCGATGATTATAGTGACAATGGGAGCGAAGGGGATTGGGAAGAGAGTGCTGGAGATCAGTATGACTCAAGTGATGATCGGGACGCTAACGATGACATCGATGAAAGTGAATCGGATGCAAATAGCGATGATGAGACGGTTGTGGAGACAGAAGCGGTTAAAAAACAAAACAAAGTTACGAAAGATCCGTTTTTCAAAATGGAGGAAATGGAAGAGTTCGCTGACCAAGACTTTGATGAGGAAGATGACTTCAACTATTTTGAATCTTTGGGTGAGGAATCGGACACTTCAAAGCCAGCTGTAGATATGATGTACGATGACTTCTTCAGGGAACCAGACGAAGATGACGACGATGACGGTGAGGTATTGCACTGTACTCGCGACCTAGAGGGATTGGACGATGACGAACGTGAAATGGAACTCCTTTTGCAAAAAGTAGAAAACGAACTACCAAGTGATGAAGATGACAGTGAAAGAGACGAAGACGAACTGGTGGACTTCGACCGTATCCACGCTGCTGAAGATGAACCGCAAAACACTGAACAAGACTCTGCAGAAGAAGATGACCAAATATCGAAGGTTGAAAAGGACCTTATAGCGCAGAAACACTGGAGCTTAATGGGTGAGGCAACAGCACGAAAAAGGCCGAGGAACAGCTTGTTGGATCTTGATCTTGAGCTGCCGCAAAATTCATCATTCATACATGCGGAGTACACCGGAGAAGTGGATGGAACAACGGAGGACGATAATATGGGACTCGAGGAAAATCAGGATGTACCGGTAGAAATTATTATACAACAACGGATCAAAGCTGAAGTGTTCGACAATGTGGAACGAAAGGTGGCTCTTGAAGATCAGCTGGAAGCCATTGAACGGCTAAAGCAGAAACGCAACAAAATGAATCTAGAAGGTGGAGAAATTGATTTCAACAAAAGTAAGCTGGGTCTGGGTGATGTATACGCTAAGCGATACCAGGAAATGTTCATGGCCACGGACCAACTAGACAGCCATAAGCAAAAACTCACAGAAGACTTCGGGAAGCTTATGTTTAAACTGGATTCCCTATGCAACTATCACATGGTACCTAAAAGGGTCAGTGAGGCCGAAAAGACTAAAAATGTTGCTTCTATTACAGTAGAGGCACCCATCAATGTCGTCACCGCAAGCAGCCACAACGACTTGCAAGACAAGATGGAAGGCAATAAAATTACGAGAAACGCGAAGAAGAGGAAGTTTACAAACAAGCTAAAGGCGCTCCTCAAAAGCGGTAGGGCAACTGTAGAAGACGTCAAAAAGATAAAGCAAAGTATGATGGAACGAAACAGACAAAAGATCCAGGATGTTAGGACGATCAAAGCGACAGGGCAGACTAAGGATGGAGAGAATCGGGCAAAACGATCGAATCGGAGGGTGAATATCGCAGAGCTTATGAGTAAGGACAGTTAAAGCTACGTGCTCTAAAGTGGTCAGTTGTAGACAAGTTGTGTCAAATCTAGACATTTAATCGTTTACAAATGGTAATTTAACCGTATATGGGCTGTCTAGCCACATGAACAACAGTCTTTGTAGGTCCAGCGTGTCGCAAGTAGGCTGAGGTATGATGGCATACTTTCATATGTTACACGTACCAATTGACTTAACAAAACGATTCGGAGAGCTACATCTCGTTTCCAAAAATGGAGGATATCGCAAAGAGCCAGATCGTGTTTGTCAAACGTGAAACCCTTCTCCACGTTCTCTAGTAAGCGCGCCAAGCGATGCGTTGCCTCAACCTATACACATTTGTAATGCTTAAATCTTATCACATACTGAGTCCTCTAACAACGACTCGATTTGTTTTCTTAGTGCAGCCTACAAAGTGATGACAGAGAGCAACGTTGTGTTCGTACCTCTTTAGCGGGATCGGTAAAAACAGACGTATGCCCTTTTCTGTAAAGTGTCGACTAGTTATTAAGCCTGAACTCACGTTGGCGAGGCTCTTAGAGCGGCGTAATCCTTGACGAGAGCGCACGATAGTTTGCGATCGACGCTTAGCGATTTAAGAACGCGCTCTACTGCCTCCAGTTCAGAAGGCTTAAGTGTTACCATTTAAAAAATGTTTGTATTGTACTGTACAGTGTTTAAAGCGTTCCTTTTGGTTGTGTCGTATTAAAGGATCACGTATTGTGCATCCGACCTATGAGTGTGTTACCACTGCAAAGAAATTAAAGTGGCGCGTTTTTGCAAAAACACAATACTAATGCAGGTATGTAACTTGTACACGAATGAAATCGCCGTGTGCGAAATATATGGTCGACACGTTGCTGATCCAGAGGTATCGAGTGATCCGCGTATAATGTACATTATCAACAGTACGATTAGTAGCTGTTATTGTAGCATCATTTAGAGTTCTGGAGTCCTATTATAGGACCTGTGACGAAATGTGACCGGATACGTGTAGATACAGAAATGGGCGCACTTTTCTCTGGAATCTAAATCTAAACTATTTTTCCAACATTTTTCTCAGAGAAAGTGGCATCATCTGTAATCAGAACCAATGCAATAGTTCATCATTATTCTCAGATTTATAAAAAAAAGTTTGGCAGCTAGACACCCATCTTTAGCAATAACAATTAGACGAAAAAGAAACAACCGCAAAAAATGCGGTAGCCTATTCACATAGATTATGCTATCACCTAATAAGCTGTAATGTCGCATTAGAAGCGCTTTGTTATCGCATCGTTTGATCAAGTTACGTTTCTCGCAAATCAGCAATAACAAAGGTAAGAATTAACAGATTACAGATGACGGAATCATTTGTGGATTCATTCCATAGCCAGCTATCAGTTGTACCTGACACTGACATAAGGGCCAACTCATACACTGGGCAAGTTAAGGACGGTCTCTTCCATGGGACTGGGATATTTTATTATGGGGACAATGAAAGGTACGAGGGTAATTTTGTTTATGGCAAAAGAGAAGGTAAAGGGAAATTCTACTATGCCGATGGAGCTGTATACGAAGGGGAATGGGTGGACGATAAAATTAAGGGCAAAGGAACTGCCTACTTCGCCAGCGGAAATATCTACGAAGGTAGGTCTTTCCAGAACATGTGTGAAAACAATCGAATACAGGTCAATGGGATAACGGACGTATCAATGGATATGGGACGATGAAATTCGTGAACGGTGATATCTACGAAGGCGAGTGGATGGAAGGGACGATGCATGGTCAGGGGACATACAGATACGCAGAAGGTGATGTCTACGTAGGACAATGGCGAAATGATAAGCGCCATGGTAAGGGTGTAGTCACATACATGTCTTCTAAAGGGGACGTTATCGAATTTTACGACGGTGACTGGGTCGACAACGCAATGAGTGGGAAAGGCAAATATCAATACGCCGATGGTGCCGTATACGAAGGTAAGAAATTAGGTTATATTTGCGTACTCGACTAATGAAGGGTTTATATGACCCTAACGGAAATTCGTATATGATTTCTCACTATTTCACAGGTGATTGGTATAACGGGAAGATGCACGGGAGTGGGCAATACACTTTCCCTAACGGCAACAGGTACGATGGGGAGTGGGTTAATGACCACAAAGAAGGGTTTGTTGATCTCTTAATCATGATATGTCCTGCAGATATGGAACACTGACCTATTCAAGCGGCGAAAAATACGATGGATACTGGTTAAATGATAAAGCACATGGTACCGGCAGCTTCATTTACCCATCGAATGACAAATATGTTGGAGAATGGGAAAATTCGAAAAAACACGGGACAGGGGAGTTAATATATGTCAATGGTGATCGATTTAAAGGTGTGTTGCTTTTTAATATGCCACATCACAAATACCTCAGGTACATGGGTAGAGGACCAAGCCACCGGATATGGTATATTCGAATACGCCAACGGCAATCGCTACGAAGGTAAGGTCAACTATAGCGTTATATAGCATAATCAGGCGGCTGGCTTATGAATAAGAGACACGGAAAGGCAACATTCTACTGCCATGAAGATGGGTCCACGTATAATGGGGAGTATATGGATAACCGGAAAGAAGGCTTTGGCAAACTGACACTTGGTTCGGGACATGTGATTCATGGGGTATGGAGGCGTGGTCTGCTGGATTCCATCGATAAATTTGAAATATCACCTACCTCATGTTGGAGCGATCCGGACTTATGATATAATATTTTTTTATTGAACTTGTTGCCACGGTTTCATTAAATCAGGCTAATTATGATCTGAAATATTGTTATAATGAGTATTATCTTATACGTAATGCTGTATTTGTTGAAATTTTGGACACCGGCTTCAGCACTCTACCACCTTGTCTACAGGTCCAGGTATGATTCCCGTACTAAGCTGAACATTTTGAACATATGGCATACTAAGAATTGTTGTCTGTCGTTTTTAGTGAGTAATACATATTTTGCAGTGCCCGGTGTCGATTCCTTGGCAAAATTATGGACCTAGAATTATTGTAGCATTTTTATACCCCCTCGAAATTAGATGTTCAGCTGAATTAACTGCCTTGATTTTATGAAACCTTCATTCGCAACACCTTACGCGGTGTAGACACGCATAATGGCAAACGTGATATAGGTTTAGCCTGCATTTTCACACCTTGTATGCTCAGGGTCTATTGGGAAATCTTATGAGGCCTGCATTGTCGCTATCAAGTCACGGAACCACCGGCAATGAAGATGAAGGTCGATAATGATAATGATTTTTGACCGATTACCTTATCTCACTACATCCTCCTACACCGTTTATGTCTCCCCATAATATCCATTGCCGTATCGAGGATGTCTACCTTTCTAAAAAAATGATTTATCGGCTAATAAAGCACGATCCATCGATGACACTCTCTCATAAGACTCATAATACTAGTATAGGCGCTAAGGTTTAACGCAGATCATCGCACCCGGCAAAAGCTCGCTAGGTAGTAGAATGGAGAATGGCATATGTCGATTGCATGGTAACCTGCAATATAACCAACTATGAAACATATTCGATGGTAGGTGGATATAACATGTGATATAAGTAGGTTATACGGGCTAGAAGGTGGCAATATATCGCATTATTGGCCAGAAGATGTTGCTGAAGCATTCGTCTATAGCCTAGAGGAAGGTGGTAAAGTGCCACTGGGATCGAGTAATTTTTTAAGTTCGTGGACAAGCTGATCTCATCACCTTTGGCATCTCAAACGAATTCGATACCTTAAATCGGTGGCTTACAAAACTCAAGATTCTCTTTATGATTATACATATCACTTGCTGAAGTCCAACCTTCGAGTTCGGAGTTGTGAAATGAATCGGTTGACGAGACGACAGATAGCTACAATGTACGCTTATTAAGGTTCAGGTGGTTAGAAGTGCAGGTGGGAGATGGCTGGTTTGACCCTGTGCTCTCCAGTATTGGAAAGAGAGATTTGGTTGATGCGAGATCGTTACTTTCTCGGGGCAGCTCAACTTTCTGATCGATGTTGCGATAAAAATACAGTTCGAATATATTACAGCTATTCGGAAATCTTGAGGCAAGACGGCTGTTAAATAATGTCTCTTTGTGCGGCAGCGTTGCTCTCAGTATGACGTGCCACAAGAATTGGCACCTGCGCTAAGGCGGTCTATTATTAAAAATACGCCAAACACACCGGTCGATATCCACATATTTGACGTAATAGGCCATATAAATCGCTGATGTGTGTGTCATATTCTTGACTAATAGCCCTAGGCGCTTCCTTCATTATGGATTGTGCAAAAGCGTCATTTTTACGGGCAAGGCACTATATGTTGCGGTTCTATGGCTTCTTTTTTAATAAAGTAGTTTGGATTCTTGCGCACTGCCGGAATTTTGCCACCGTCTGTATTCATATATTGTGTAGACTCTTAGGGATACCCTTGGAGCCATTTAGACATTATTTCGAAAGCAAATACGGACCGTTGCATCCAAAGTTCTTTGAAGGTTCTATACAATCGGTAAGGACGTGACGACTATGTCGCTCATACTTCCTCTAGGCCAAGTCCCTCGCCTTCAGACACGGGAAGCTATTGGCGATCTACCTTCATTCTGAAAGTGGCAGGCAGCAGTATGCTAATGTCCTGACTAACACGATTTTGACAGAGTTATTGGTAAGTGCGTGCGGATTCCGGCGTTTTATTGAGCTTGCAGGATGCCAACTTCATTTTTTACGTTGAATATGCCAAGGGACCCCGAATGCGCCGACTAATCTATGAATTTAACGCCAACAGATTACCACATATTTCGATTTTGGCTATGAAGAGTGATGTTGATTACATGCTGATATCAAATATTGAAGAATTTTCCAGCGTCAGCGCAGTCATAACGACTATTGCCAATGCCATTGATAGTCCCTTAAGGTCGTTGGAATACGGCTTTGAAGATGTTAATACAAAACGACAACTCATAGATGAGCAAGATGAAGCTTTACAAAGGGCCATGGAAGCCGATATTTCCCGAATGCGCGCCAATGAGTTGCAGGCGAACAACGATGTGCATAAGGACATACATCGGGAGGATGCAGTAATCAGACGTCAACGGTTAATTCGCGATCGCAAAACATTTGCAAAGCAATTCGCTAGCAAAACTTCTACCGGGGACACAAAGATAAAGGTGCGTTTGCCGACAGGTTGTACCATTGAGTCGGTATTTAATAAGGACGACACCGTAGAGAGGTTGTATGAGTGGGTGGGTGCCGCGGAATACTTCAGCGTTAAATCAGTAAAGATTCCCTATGATTTTTATTTGTCCACAACATATCCTTCTAATGCGCTCAACGATCGCGCCCAAACACTGGAGAGTGCAAATTTGTTCCCCAACGCATCGTTGGTTTTGATCTCGCTCGATGATTCGGAAGAGGAAGATGTGTAATCACTACACATTGTAAAATTTGACCTTTTAATATATATTTTCGCATACGCTACTTAAAGATATAAATAGCACTCGATACCATCCATTTGACCGCACGCGTGATGGAATCCAACCCGGATACCCTCAGCACGCCACTTTCACTTAGAATTACAGAATGGTGCGTTTTTGGGTAGATGGTATTGAGGTGTTTTTCCCATATCCTCAAATTTACCCGGAACAGCTGGCCTATTTGCGCAGTCTCAAGAGCACATTGGATGCGCAAGGCCACGCTGTCCTGGAAATGCCAACGGGGACAGGTAAGAAGGCTTCCTCCATGTCCTATCATGATGATTCAGGCAAGACGGTGGCCCTATTTAGTATGATTACGAGTTACCAGCTGGCAAGGCCTGAGATGGGTCGTTTGATCTATTGCACCCGTACCATCCCTGAGATGGAAAAATCTCTACTTGAACTCAAAGAAGTCATAAAGTATCGGGATGCAGAGCTGGCTAAGGACAGAGCCGCACGGTTGGCCCTGGATGCCAACAATGGAGAGGCTTCAGCGGTTTCAATTACCCAACCTACACCTCAAGATCCTAAAAGTGGTAGGATGTTTGTGTTTAACATTTTCAGTTTCAACAGGATACTTTTTGGCCATTGGACTATGTTCGCGTCGCAACCTGTGCATAAATCCTACGGTATCGTCTTGCGCTGATCGGACAAAGATCGACGAGTTATGTAAGTTTTGACAAGGGCAATCCAGACAGTGATTGATAACACAGGTCACGACCTAACGTCTTTATGGCGTCGCATACAATATGAAGAGGATGGTACCACAACCTGCCAAGAATACACCATGCAATGTGACGGTGCTGGTACTCGTGGCACGCACAAGGCTCCGGTTGTACGACATTCGACAGTTGAGGATGTGCCGGACATTGAGCACTATACATCCAAAGGATTATGCGGGTACTACGAACACATGGAACGTATATGGAACCCTACGTTGATCCCTTCTGGTAAGCCCAGATTCTTTGTTGTGGACCGTGTTTAGGGGTATACACGCTGGAGGGTTTGAAGGAGTACTGCAACAATTTCAGAGACCCAACCAGCGGAGTATCAGCTCCAATATGTCCATACTTTGCCTCTAGAAGGGCACTAGATATGGCAAATGTGGTTGTGCTCAATTATCAATACCTGTTGGATCCCAAGGTATCGGAAGCAGCGTTCTCCCACCTATACGCCACGTTGCCAACGGACATAAGCAAAAACAAGGATGAAACACCCAGCCGAAAACGTGAGAATAAGACGAAATTGCCTATAGTGGTTGTATTCGACGAGGCTCACAACATCGACAACGTATGCATAGAGGCAATGAGTGTCGAATTAAGTGATGACACGTTGGACGAGGCCTTTTGCAACCTAGCCAACATAGAGGAACATGTACGCCAGCTTCGTGAAAGGGACGAAAATATTTTGCTGGAAGAGTATCGGAAATTGGCAGAAAACATTCGAGAAGCTTCGACAGACATAGAAGGTTACATGTGTCCGGTTTTGCCCGCAGACGTTCTGCATAAGGCAGTTCCCGGAAATATCCGTCAAGCGGAACATTTCATTTCCTTTTTGAAGGTAGTGGTGGGTTATCTAAAGCAGTACATCAAGGTGCAAGAGCCCAAGTCAGAGGGTCCTTTGATGTTCCTGCACAGGTGGGTTAAATTGTGAACAGGTTGCATTTTACCACATTGGTTGTCTATCAGTGCCATATTTTCGATTTAACGTTTGTATAGGTTTGAACTGGAGACCGGTATCGGTTCTGCAACTATGCAGCACAGCTATGGACGAATGAAGTCATTGCTGAACACACTGAAGATCACAGCCGTCGGTGATTTATCGGCGATTCAGTTGGTAGTTGATTTTTGCACATTGGTGGGGACATATTCCACCGGTTTTATTGTTATCGTTGAGCCGTATCCACAGGGATCATTGTACGATCCTACTCTCCAGTTCAGCTGCTTGGATGCGTCAATTGCAATGCAACCGGTGGTTGACAATTTTCAGTCGGTGATACTGACTTCGGGTACGATTTCACCTTTGGACATGTACCCGAAGATTCTAAACTTCACCCCCGTACTAACACAGTCTCTACCAATGTCTCTGGACCGGGATTGTCTTTGTCCATTGATTGTGTCCAAGGGTGCCAACCAGTTGCAAATGTCCACCAAGTTCGACCTGCGTAATGATGTAACAGTGCTCCGCAACTATGGCAGCTTACTTATAGAGTTGTGCAGAAATATACCTGACGGCGTGGTCTGTTTCTTCCCAAGCTATGCGTACATGGAACTTATTGTTTCTCACTGGTACGAGTGCGGCATTATAGCGTCTATAATGGAACATAAATTGATCTTTATGGAAACAAAGGATGTTGTTACAACAACTTTGGCACTACACAACTATCGCAAGGCATGTGATGTAGGTCGAGGCGCCCTATTCCTTTCAATTTGCCGTGGGAAGGTGGCAGAGGGTATCGATTTTGACCGTCACTACGGGCGTTGTGTGATTCTCATAGGTGTGCCATTTCAATATACTCTGTCACGTGTTCTAAAAGCTCGTTTGGACTTTATGCGCGTTAGTTTTACCAGTTTTGATTCCATTTTTTGCAGACCAACTATGGCATTTTGGAGAACGAGTTCATGACCTTTGACGCTATGCGTCAAGCTGCGCAGTGCGTCGGCCGCATTATCCGCAACAAGAGCGATTTTGGTCTTATGGTATTTGCTGACTCACGTTATAGTCGTGCGGACAAGCGTTCCAAGTTACCTCCGTGGATTCTAAAGAACCTAGAACCGTCTAATATGTCGCTTACCACGGAGAGCGCCGTCACTGCTGCGAAGTTATTGCTACGCAACATGGCACAGGACTACGTGTCCAGCCGCTTCACCCGATTCGACCAAGATATGCTGAACGACGAGGCCAAATGGTGGTCTTCTGTGCAGAACGTCCTGCGTCTCTCCAAGCACTAACATCACTGTGGGCAATGTTTCACCATGTACCTCTATCAACGGGCACACAATGCTACGTCACGAGTGTAAATTATGTCACGTTGATAATATTCATCATTATAATTGTGATATCTACAAGATCGACAGGTAGTGCGCCAAACGGTGGTCATAACCACTTGGTCTCGGAGATGGTTTGGGTTACACTTGCACTCATTACTGATCATAAAGAATGTTTCAGCTGTCAATATGAGATACAGAGACCTTGTTTCAGGGTATTAGCAATTAATACTTCATGAGGGGGTTCCTAGGAATGTGTTCTCTGTACTTTGGGTGTCCGAACGTCCGAAGGCTAGCTGCAGGTCCCAACTGTATGTTACGTGCCAGAACAGCCGCCCTCCGTTCGCGACCACATAACACAGCGATAGCTACTGCGCCGGCAGCCATCAGGAACGAGCTGCCTGCCTCGTTCTCGAATACCTTGTGGGTGAGGAATTCCCAAGCCTTTCCAGTAAGGAATATGTTTTCCGTTACTGGATCGCTGGATTCCGTTCTCTTCGACCTCTCAAAATCCACACCGGTCAACATTATATATCTTCAATTCAGTTGCGATTGGCAGAGTTGATGAGGTCAAGGAGGTTTTCCTTGGTATGAGGGCCCAGGGGTATGAAGTAATCAAATGCGTCGGGTATATCTCTGTGTTTGTAGAGTTCGTCTACCTTGCACACGGCAACACAGGGAAGGTTGATATTGTAGAGGTGTCGTGCGTATAGAACGGGGTCTAGGCAGAGAATTAGGTCGTAGTTTTTAGGGGCGTCAGTGATAAGTTCCGGTGTAGCCCTGGTAGTAGCGTGTACTTTGTCACCTGTAATGGCATGTATATTAAAATCCGACTGGTGTTTATTGCCTAGCACGAGCATATGCGCGCCACCTGCTTTTGCCAGCTGGAGAAACCGCAACGTTCGTTTACAATGTAATAATTGTATATATGGGTCAGAAAGACACCGGCTTCTTATAAATTTGCCAAATCTGCTCATATGAACACAATGCCGGCGCTCCTCTCCCTTCGTCCCCTGGAGTGGTAGGGGGTTAGTGATTTGCGAGCAACTGTACCACGTTAGAGGAGAACATTCGGTTTAATAATCATCAGAGTAAATAGCGACTCGTAGGTATCAGTATTTACGAGTTTGTGAAGGCGTTAGCGAACCGTCCGAAAGACATTTAACTTTTCGAGACAATTTGCGTTCTTAACAATAACACAGTGCATTAAACACAAATTCTAGTTTCGAAAAGCTAATATACCAGTAAAATATGCATTTATGTGCCGTTTAGTCGCGCGGACTCTTTGGCTGTGTGTGACGTCATTGAACGCCGTTTCTACATTACTAGCCAGTTATTTTAGGTCAGCTGAATAAAAGTACACTTTAGGCGTAAACATTTTTTGCTACGGTAACTACGAGGCATGCGCTACCATTTCGATGTGTGTCGCAGATCTCCGTTTGTTATTCCTGGTCGGCGAGACATAATTCTAATATCGATTACACATTTCAACAATGGTGTACTTAAACGTATTGTGCTGTTGTTCATGCACAGACACACAATTGCCATGTGTGTCCGTTGGGTGCATTTGCCAACATGTGATGTTGTCTACACCCGCTCACCGCTCATTGCCTGTGCCCTCTACGCTGATGCCTAGCCACATCACAAACCACCAATTATTGCGTGTGTTGATCTGTGTTGGTTAACAATTAGCATAGATCTTCAGTGATATAAATGGAGGTAGTGCTGTCGCTGTACCGGCGTTCTGTGGCTGCTGATATCAAAGATACCCTGCAGCCAGCGAATGCACATACGCTGCAGCGTATGCTTTACGAAAGCAGTGATATCTTTGGCCAATTGTGCAAATATGACAACTTTCACCGCGCATTTGGAGTCCCGCCTAATCCCTGCGAGAACGTTTCGTTCATCACTTTTTGGAAAGGTATGTGCTTAAGTTCCATTTTTCTATATTTACAAGATGTCTATTTCGTTTTTAAAGTTGATGTGTAGGTGTTGAGGACGTGATAACGGGACCGGAGTCCGTGATAGGTGGTACAAGCAGCATCGAGCTTCAGAAGGCGTTATTCGTCGAAGATGCGCTGCTACGTAGTATGCGATATTTCCGTGACGAACTACTTAAGCAGAGCTCGCCAATGACGACATCCGCTTTTTTTTCTGTCATTGAGAACTGCGGCAGGAATAGCGAGATGGAGGAATTTTGGTCGCGAGTCCGCGAAAATTCACGTCACACTTTTAGCTGCGGTACTATAGACACGAACGAAGTGTCTGATATGATTTTTGGCCACTTATGTCAGCGATTTAGTTGTCGTCCCGACGCTGGTGCTAACCTTAGGACCATATCCACCTGCATATCCCTTGACGCAGAGGATGACTTAAGAGCTACACCATCCACCCGCTCTCTTGTGAGCGATACATTGTCTGGGCGTAGCGCGACATCTTATGATGATCGTTACCGCCAATTGCTCGAGGACCTGGATGTGTGTCTTCCCGCAGTGTACAACCGTTTTTGCGAACGAATTGATGAGCTGACAACGCAGCGTGAGCAGCTAGAAAATGAGTGTGAGATCAAGGAGAAGCAGCTGGATGATCTGCGCTCCGAATTTGCTGCCTCCAACCTTGCACTAAAATCAAGGTGTGATCAGTTGCTTGAAAATAACACATTGTTACATCGCAAAATTGAGTCTCAGGAACTTGAATTGGACAGTTGTCGAATCCACATGGATAACATGAAGCGCCGTTTAGACTCATATGACACGTCTCGACTCGATGATGAACTTCAGACGTTTAAGCTTCGCTGTGAGAGTCTGGAGCAAGTGAACGCAGATTTACGCAATTCTTTAAACAGGGCAGAGTCCATTCAAACATCTATATGCACAGACAAATTTGATCGCATAGACGCGTGTGTCGGTGTGGAACTGGAATACAGCGAGCGTAACTCTCCGTCCACCGCGCGTTGCGACGAATGTTCTACTGCGGAAGACCGTACAGTTATGTTACAAGAGCTTGAAGGTTTGCGTCAGGAAAACGTCGAGCTGTCAGATAAAGTGTGTAAGATGCGCTTCCAGTTGGATTCACTCTCACGGGACCTCGATGCCGCCTTGCGTGAGAACGCAGAAGTGGCAGAGAGGATGATGCGTTCAATCTCTAGCGAACAACACAAGGCGGAACAACAGGGTTTGAAAGATCATATCACATCCCTTGAACTGGAAGTCGCGTCTTTACGTGATCAGCTGGGGTCGATGCGCAAAGACAGCGAAGACGCCGAAACCCAGTTCGTCACGCTACAGAACACCAAGTTGGACTTGGAACGCGAATTGACGGGACTTAAGGCTGAAACATTCACGTTGAAGAACGAATTAGATGTGTTACGGCATAAGTGTACCCAGTTAGAGGCTGAAGGTGCTGCGGCGTCACACTTACAGCGCCAACTACAGGAGTATCGATTGTCCAATTCTGAGCTACAGAGCAAGTTAGATGCTCTCACGAAGGAGAACTACGGTCTAGTCGCACGCATAGACGAACTCACAGCGCCTCCCACGGATACCACGGGTGTGACCGGGATTGATGATTATCCGGATAGCGGCTGTTCCGCATTTTCACCGAAGAGTGACATTACAGATTTTGATGGTTATGAGGAAGTACAACGTGGTGTACCAAGTGGTAACATGATAAAGATAAACCCTGCTTTGGCTGAAACCAGGCGGCTAAATACTTTGAACGCAATGAAGCATGGACAACTGAATTTATCTGACGCCCACGTGTCTCTGTCTAGTTTCAATAGCGGTGTCGGTGGTCCCTTGGTATACAGACAAGTTTTTGGCTTTCAAAGATCGATGACGGTGTTGTCTGACGAGGGTGATATCGATTTGCTGCACGACCCGCGGGATCTGGGACTCGACAGCGATACCGCTTCGTTGTTGGAGGATGACCCAAATGATGTGCTACAAAGCGCGGCTTCTTACATCTCAGATACATTCAACATAGGCCTACGTGCTGGCGGAAATGCCTAGACATATATGTATGTCGGCAGTTCTGGGAGCTGCCTCGAATGTGTGGTTCCACACACCCTCCCGCGAGAAACTTCGCGACACTCACCGCGGTTCTAATTTAGTTGTACACTAAAAATAACACGTAAAGATGTCCGAAAGGCGGCGCCAATCCGGGTCTACCACCGGCAACGGCGGCGCCTTTTTGGCGAATGAAGTGATGCTCTTGGCCTACCACATCTCTCAGATCAGCAAGGAAGATATTCTGCAATACAACCTCGACCGTTTGCATCTATCTCCTGGAATTCCCCCACGCCATGGCGATAGCAGCTCTACTTCGACGCGTCCGACAGGTCATATCGTACGGTTGCACGATCTCTTGCAACGTCATCTAGAGGAGACTACTGTGCGTTTATTGTCAGAATGTGCTGATATGGAAGTTGATGATATCGATGTTAATAGCATAGCTCGGGATTTAGAAATTTTTTGCGTAGACAATGCGAGTATTTCGCTACGGCGTCTAAAGGGTATGCTTTACACAGGGATGCAATGTTTCGAGCGTTTGCCGGCATGTCTCAAACTTCTTCTTCTACTTAAAGATTCTGGTGAACAACAAAGGGCCCCTTCCCTCGGCTCCGATGGGTCACGGGGTATTGATGCGTCAGCATTTCCGACTCCTGAGTCGCAGAACGACGACTCATATGGCGTGTATGGACCTTCCCCAGTCCATCCAATTGAAGAAATAGAACCTTCAGATGACTCATCTGCTTATTCATCAGCCGAATCGTCGCCTTATAAATCACCAGAAGAAATTGAGCACACCTCAGAACACGTTCACCGATCGGATGGCAGTCCCGAGGTGTCTGTCACAAGTGTGGTTACGAACCGTTTCGAGTTCTCTGAAATCGACGAGTATGACCTAGTTTCTGACATTTTGTTTGTACTACAGGGTATAGAAGGCCGTTTCATAAAGCACGCCGCTAATGGTCGTTTTACTCTTACAAGCCATCGTCAAGTTTCGCGGGGAGTACGGCAACTTACTGAACGCATATGCGCATTAGGAACGCTTTATCACAGTATAGTTAATTCAAAACCTCCAGAAGGTTTAATATCGCAGGCACTCTACCAGGGAGTGATGGATGAGGTACACCAATACAACCATTTGATAAACGTGATGGTGTCTAGTCGCAACAACGAACCGCTGACTTTACTTCGGCTCTATGTTTTAGTGCAACAACCATATACCCGTATGCGTTTACTCTACATGGCACTTGACCGTTCACCTGGTCTGTCGATTGACCGCATTTTCGATCTATACTGCACCAGGGGAGATGCAATGGGCCGTGAGTTGTATGGTGAGCTTCTTCGCAAATGTACCATACCATATCTGGAACTTTTGCTTCGCTGGGTCTATTATGGCGAACTGGAAGACGTTTATAGAGTCTTTTTTGTGCGGCATGTTGAGGGCCAGTACCGCCTAATTCAGAGCAAGGTGCCTAAGTTTTTCTCGCAAGAGTTGGCAGAGCTTTGTTTTGACGTGGGATGCTGCAGCCGATATTACTATCAGTTGAAGAGCAGCATTTATGTGAGGGGTTCTGTTGACATCACTGGCCTTTTACATCAGTTGTGCCCTCAAAGCCAGTCATGGTCAATTTTCGTCACGGTACAGCATCTACTCACTGTGGTACGTTCTATAGGCACTAGTACGGAGTTGGTACGGGAATTAGTTGGCAAGCACGACTTAGGGGGTTATCTACGTCGCGTATCTGGTCATTTGGGCATGGAGCACCTCGGCGCCGATCGCACATCGCCTGTTTTCGACGACTTTGAGTGCACAAAGGAGTATGGATTCGAGATTTACGTCCCGTTGTTTTCGTTCCCCTTGGCCTTGATTTTTGAGGACGAAAAGGAGGCACGTGAATCCTACATCACCTGTTTCCGTATGGAGTTTTTGCTTCAACGCGCTCTGAAGATTTTGTCAATATGCTGGGAGGAGTACTCGTGGAACAGCCGTTGTAGTCACGGCGCCTTAGACCTTTCTAGGCGTGTAAATTGGATGAACTTGTGCCGCAACGAGATGTCCCACTTTGCCAACATGCTGCAAAAGGGTCGCAACGTACCGTACATGCTTGGTCAACTAATTTCTCGCATATCATCGCGCGATTATCCCCCTGCTGGCACCACTTTGAGTGACCTCCGCGGTGAGTGTTCTGCTGTGTTTTTTCGATTGCGTGGAGACAACTTTTTGGAGATCATGGACATTTTGGAGTCTATCGTCGATTACTGCAGGTTCATCTTACCTCTGTTTAATCGCGCTATCATGCATCAGCTTCAAGTTTTAGTTTGCGAGGGTGCCACGCCCTCGTCGTTGATTGATTTCATACACAGCCACATCGCCACGGATGACGTGATGAAGATTATGGCTACCCACGCAAAGCGATTCCGTGAGGGGGTGTTACTACTGCTGCATCGTCTGTCATGCCAGGATCCAGATCGTAGGCGTTTCGGTTTGATTCTGGATTACAACAACTTTTATCGGCTACTGAGTGCGATTGAGTCGTGAGAGCGTTACGCCCACAGCTATGCACATTTGACGGTGTTTAATATAATAGAAACAAATATATTTGAAACGTTCGTCAACTATAATTTGACCAGTGCCCCAATCTAATATCTCAGCCAGTAAGTCTTCTGTCTGATATCTACGAGTGATGGCATGCCGTGCAGGGGTCCCATAGCTGTTACGGCCACCTCTTGGTCATGCAAGTAGTTCCAAGCAATACGTTTTACTTCCTCAGCGTCTATTTTTTCGAGTCTTATGAGGAATTCCGCGATTGGCATGCGTCTTCCATATACGATGATTTGGCGTGCGACCTCCTCGGCAACGGTTGATGTGGAGTCGTTCATTGAGAGGAATTGCAACATGAGCTGACGCTTCGCACGTTCTACTTCTTCGTCCGTGATGCTGTATGACATTGCGGTGATGCCGAACATGAGTTCCCCGACACAGTGGTCTACCGCAACTTCATCACAGTGGGCATAGAATCCGAATAAACCGGTATCCTTGTAGCAGGTGTTGAATGCACTGAAGGCCTCTGCACATCCTACAGTCATTCTGTTAGCCACAGCATGGATGGTTTTGTTTCCCGAGACCTTGCCTGGTACAATACCCTCTTGGTTTTTCTTGTAGCTACCTATGATGCTTTGCATGAGCATAAAGCATACAGAGTCCGGATTCGTCCATGAAACTCCCTCAAAAGCAACCGCTAGATGTGCGTAGGGTCCCATGTTGTCGTCCCTGTTGAGCAATTCCGATCCCACGAACTGTGGCTTTTCTAGATATTTTCCACCTTTCCCGGGTGGGATCTGAATGACCATTTGTCCATAATTAAATATGACTTACGGTGCAGAGATGTTTCTCGGCGAGTTGTACGATTTTGTCGTGCTCCACATTTCCGACGCAGCAGAATACCTGTGTCGAGCTGTGTCCAGATTTTCTTGCGCTTACCATGCGATCTGCAGTGTAGTTCTTCTGTATATAATCCACTAGAAACTCGCGTCTCATGTTTTGTATGTTTTCAACAGGCCCCTGTGTCACTTTTAGGCAGACAATACTGTGATCCCTACCAAGATAGTGAATCCAAGCGAGCTGTCGCGAAAAGCCGTCATGTGCAACCTGTCGAATATAACCTCTTCGGTTGATTTTTCTACTTCTTCCATTTCTCTAAGTATGACATGTTTCTCTGCTTCCACTTGCAAGGGATCGATGAGGCTGTTTTGCAAAATATCGCTGAGTAGCTCTGTGCACCAAGGCACGTCCCTGTTAAAACACCTAGCATAGTACCTGTACAAACATGTACGCTTATAGAACTGGTATACCTACCCTGTCTGTTCCCTTGCGGTGTAAGCATTGAGATGGGCACCTTTCTGTTCTATCTCTTCCTCGAGTTGTAATCGTGACCTGTTGGTGGTTCCCTAAGCACCAATGCATTCTGTTAAAATGAATCACACCTTAAAAATCATATGCTCTAGGAAGTGAGCGGCGCCATTGGTTTCTGGAGTCTCGAATCGGCTTCCACTGTCGATCCAAACACCTACGGTAGTAGAGTTCCCGGGCATCCATACGGAAGCAACTCTGAGCCCATTCTTCAGTGTGGTGACTTCTGTGTATCTATGTATATAGTATAGTATACGACATACCGCAAGGAGGCTGGTTGACAACGTTGGTGATTATCTTGCTGTCCTTCAGGAGATCCGCAGCCGTTGCGATCGCGCGCGTGCCACGCACCGTGGTTGGACGAATACCACGGCGCGCAATACCGGTGAAAGCGCGTCGAAATCCGGCATAGGTGTGGCTCGCGATACCGCTGGCAAAGCCACGCATCGTACTAATTGTCATTTTACTGCGTCGTCTACCCTTTTCGTTGCTGTAGAAGGGTTGACAATCGCACTTTAATCTTCCAAAGTCCACGCTCTAAGACGCCTGGCGCCTACGGTGTAGTTTGGGACTGAGTGGACCTGACTTATGAGGCACGCGCAAATGGTCTTCTGTAGTACAGATTGTCGCCTCTAATATGAAAAATAGTATTTTCTTTTCTTCTGCATAATTTTATATGATTTTGACGTTTGGAAAACACCACGCCGTTTATACGTTATCCAGCCACTGTTGCATATAGAGGTGTACCATCGCTACACCAAATACTATAACTCTTTCGTGCCAAAACCTTTGACACTAATTCTTCTATCTCTTGTGGATGCTTCCATTGTTAATCTGTCTTAGTTCATCCTGTTTTGGAAGCATGCTGGATTCAACCCTTTCGACACTTGAAACCAAACTGGATCAATGCCGTGAGTTGTTGGACCAGCTTGTGGATTGTCTATTGGGGTGCAACTTCAAAGATGAGTTGACCGGTACGTTATCTATGTTATATTATTAACCGTCGTTCCAGGGCTGGATTATAGCAAGGTGTTTGCTGCGATCTCCTTCACTTTATGTTCCCTGCATTACGGTTTGTCTCTTTTTAACTATTACCCGTCATATTATTCTTTAGTTAATCAGAAGCTGAAGGGTCATAACCCTGCGAATTATCCTATATTTAAAGAGTTGGTATGTTTTTTTTGATCTCTTTTGACTATTGTTTACAGTTGCGAGTGAAGCGTTACATGGAAGAAATACACGGAATTATGACCAGAGGTATGTTTTTAAGCGGCACCGCTTAACAGATCTGTACAGAGGGTCGTCCAAAACTGAATCGGTCTGCAGCGCGAAAAATAGTCCGTTCGCTGACCTAGTGTTCTACCCCCCTTTTATTTGTTCCTTACGGCATGATGCAATAGTTAGCATATCGTTCCAACCACCAAGCGAAGCCAGAATGAAGTGCCGCTTTTGTTTTATCGGCGACCTTTACGGGGGTGCAGTAACGTTTACCTCTATACCAATGACATTTGGGCGATAACATGGCGAAAAGGCATTGATCTCGCGAGAGACCCAGGGTTAAAACTACCAACAAACAACATAAATGAAGTATTGTGTGAATTGCGTCATTTTATTCAACAGCCGTATGGCGTTGCGATGTCTGACTTATTAGCCGTAAGAATGAAAATACCGTTTTTATTTACTCCTGGTCATAGTCTAGGCTTCTTTAGACTTTTATATGTGATTGGCTAACAATGAGGTTTTGAAGTCATTTGTTTCTAGTCTGGTTATTACGATAAGACATGGTACCATCACATTAGCGTCGTCAGACGACGTTTCATGCGGACTCAGACTCCATTCTATACCGCATACGGAGATAGTAGCTATCGTTATGGCGGTGGCTGTCTGTAAGTGACGAGTCTTCCACGTCCACCCCGCGCTATGCTGGGAACCCTATGCCACTGGGTTAGCACGACCTTACCATTAATATACCTACTGATGTAAATTGCCACCGTAGGGTTGCGCTTATATTGACTGTGTGATGGCCTTGAGGTGTGTATCTTTGCCGGGGAGGAATGTGTACAGTCATCTTCCGCAGGTGGCGGCTATTCTGACGGCTCACGGACGGGTATTTAGCCTTCATGACACTCACATATGTCATACCTCAAATCTATTGTGCCAAAAAGTGCCAATTAGTTTGCGGTCGTCCAATCTAGGATTTACGCCCCTGGCCATAGGCTCAACGTTATTATCGTCAATAGACCCGCTCATTATGTCATATCGAGACGACCTGCGACGGGAACAGTTCAACAAAATAGTAGGCAAAATAGGTATTCGGAAGAAGGACGCGGGGATATACTGGAACCAGTACAAGACCAAGCGCATCAAGATCCGCAAGAGGCGTCGTGTTATATAACAGTAAAGCTACATTTTGCAACTTGCCTGCGCTATGCGCTGTAATAATAGATCTTTACGTTTAATTATCGCATATTATCATTAAGTTCCGAACTGCTGGCATAATTTCGACAGCCTTATGTCCGGTAGTCACTTTGCACCTGTGATCCATGCCTCGACGATGAATATTTTGCCGTTTATGGGTTTTAGTTCATATGAAGCGTCGTTTCTGCGGCATGTGTTACAACGGCACTGTTTCTCACCCTAGTACTACAAGCTGGTCCGCCTCCAGCTTTATCCTACGTGCCACACCTCTAACTTGTACATCCAGGTAGACATTTTCTTGCGATTGTATACTAGCGAAATAAAGTACAGTGAACATCACTCCGCAATCAAGCTCATCAGTGTGCCTTTTTATTTCAGCGTTTTCGCCGGTAACTAGTACGACACGGACATACGAAATGACCTGCTCTGTCATTGTGCTGGTAGTCTTCAAGTTACCTGTAACATGATCTTGCATTTTTTGCACAGCTCAAAAGGTATTCTCTTGATCTTTTCTACCACCTTGAGAGTTTCCTGTATATGGTTTGGTTGCTTATTCTCTAATATACCCTTTGGTGTTGTGGTGAGAGGTGTTCCGATTTCAGCCATAATGTCGAACAGTTTTGATATACCGCACCGGCCTCGCTGTTCTGCAGAGATTCCATAGTCTCTAGCTGATAGCAACGATACCTTTTTAAATACACCGCAAAATTGCATGACTTCCATCTCTCGCGTGATTGCAGCCACCTGTTGTAATTAAATTATGACCAGACCACTGGGTGACCCACATCGATGGATACGTATCGCTTCACAAGTCCTATCCTTTCGTTTATGATACTGTATATAGTCTCTGGAGCCAGGTCGTTGAAGTCCTCCTCTGCATGCATTGGTTGCTTTTAGGAATCGGACACACCGCTGATCGCGCACAGTCCAGCATCCCTAGCCTTTTTAGCACATACTTCCCTTATACGTGGCACGGCGAACTTGATAATACTCTTTGTGAAGGCATGTTTCCATGCGGTTGAGATGAGTTGTTTGTCGACATCCGATGTGAGCTTAAGTCCATCTATCGTTTTTTAGCTCTTAGAAAGACACACCTACCTTTTAAACCATTTGTTTTGACCTTCTCGTATGAAGTTGATGCATTTTCGATGGCTTCCTCGATGATTGTCGCCATTTTTTCCTCACTGTGCCACAGCTCATCTACACATTCTCCAATGATGTCGCCTGCATATCATCTATTTCAGTAAAATATTCATATACCATCATCTTTTTGGAAGCGTTCTTTGCCATGTTCGTGAGTTGTGTGACCGATTAGACCATGCTCCGCGCTACCTCTGCGACGATTCCATCCCTTTCCGGAGGCACCGACCTGAGTTTGTTTTCGAGTGCGTGCCTATCCTTTTCGTTGAAGCTACGCCTTGCGTAGCGTATAAATTCCTCGGTTTCTTCGCGATTCCAATGACGAGCCATACCGTCGACTATACACAGCATGTCGGCGTTCTGACGCGGTGCTGTTTCCTCACACTAGAGGGATAATGGCCGCGTCGATCCAACTAGCACTGTCATGAGCTTTACTTTAAAAAAGTCCTCGTCCAATGCATCGCAGTAGCGGTTCGAGTCGACGCCGTAGGAGCTCCTACAGCTACGCGCACCGGGAGCGTCGGCGGCACGGCAGCAGTTCGCGCCGTGATTATCGTCGTCGCCACCGTCATCAAGGTCGTGGAAGCTCCGGTCGGCGTTATGACACGCGTTCCGCATCGCTAGAAAACGGTGACTTCGGTCGTTATCGTTATTCGCGTAGGGACAGTCGTCGTGACTCTCGCCGCTACCATCGCTCTCCGGCGCCAGGTGATAGCCCTTCTCATGGTTGTTATCATCATGGAGATCGTGGACGTGCCCGCTCATCCTCTGGACGTCATCGTCGTAGAGGATCGTACAAGAACAGCGGTTACCGCCGTCGCAGGTCGGTTGCCCGCAGTCGACCTACTCACAAACGTGAACATTCACCACATGATCGAATTATTCACTTCAAGTGGGAGCCAGGTATGTATCTAGGCGATTACAAGGTGTTGAGCAAGATTGGTGATGGCACATTTGGACGTGTGCTGCGTTGTGAGAAGAACGGCCAAAAGTTCGCGGTAAAGGTCGTGCGGGATGTGGATAAGTACGTGAATTCAGCAAAGATTGAGGTGGACATTTTAATGGACATCTTCAAGGTCGATGCTAATGGGGAAAGTCACTGTGTAGTTCTCCATGACCACTTCATGTACAAGGGACGTATTATGTGCCTAGTATTTGAGCAGTTGGGTGATTCACTGTATGATTTCCTGAAACAAAACGACTACAAGGGCTTCTTTATGGCGGATATTCAGAAAATAGCGTACCAGCTGCTGAAAGGTCTCGCTTTTCTGAAAAAAAATCGCCTCATACATACTGACTTGAAACCAGAAAATGTATTGCTTACGTGCGGTCGCGATGAATTCATCGAGGTCCCGTTTCCTCGTACGACGGTATGTTGTTTATGGCTTATTTCCTATAAGACCATCGTAGACGGGAATGATGACCAAACGACCCGCCACAGCGGATATTAAAATCATAGACTTTGGAAGCGCTATCTATGACGATGACTATCATAGCAGCATTATTAATACGCGGCAGTATCGCTCACCTGAAGTTATATTGGGTACGTTTCTTATCATTCATTGATCATTATTTTCAGATATCGGGTGGTCTTACGAGAGCGACATGTGGTCTCTTGGTTGCATATTGGTAGAGATTTACACCGGAGACCTGTTGTTCAACACCCACAGCCATCTTGAGCACTTGGCTATGATGGAACAGACAGTAGGGCCGTTTCCGGCCTACATGTTGGAAATGGCACGCAAAACAAATGGACGTCGCTATCTCCATCCCACCCGGGAAAGTATTAATTGGTATGTGTAAACAACTACATGTGTAATTTAGTGTAGGCCCGAAGGAGCACATTCGCATTCGTCTGAGGATCGCGTTGCGTGTTGCCAGAGTGTGATGGTATGTGTTTGCTCCAATTTTCATGACTTGTTTGCAGGAGCTCGTAAAGCCGGAACATCGGCCTTTTGCGGAATTCATTAAATATATACTGAATCCGGACCCATCGCAACGGCCTACTCCAGAGGATGCCATGGAACACGAGTTCTTCGTTTTGACACTCCCTGAGAATTAGTAGAGCTTCGACCATAATCTTCTGCTCTCAAATCCGTTACCCCCTGTAATGTTTAAAACTTGTTGTTTTTACTATCACTTGCCTGTGAGCATGTAAAAGTACATCGTTTTATCACTTGGGAAGTTGTAGATGGTTTGCGTGCGCTGCAGATGATGCACAAGGTTTGCGTATTCCTTCGCTGTGAATGCGCGCACTGTGCGAACTTCATGCGGCCTAAACACTTTGTATGGAGGTCACGTAAGACTTACATTATACCTAACAAGTCCGGTCTGTAGTTGCGCCTCTTGGTACGGGTCCAAGTGGTAGCTACCACTTTCACCCCTGCGTGGATTGTATGATGAGGTTTGCCAACTACCTCTCCTGTACTCTTCCCCATCGAACTTGCTGAACAGTCGCGGCATTGCGAGATGGTAGCTTGGTATCCACCCGTTGAACTTGGTGTTCTCATATTTGATGGAAAGGTACTCTGATACAGGGAAACACTCATTATATTCATCTACACGGTTTAGTTGCGCTTCTAATACACATTCACATACCAACAACAATCAGTAGTGGGAACAGAGTCTGGTGCTTAAGCTGATCGAATACTTCATATACAGCTTGATTTGCATAGGTCTCGTTTTCCATTCCGAACGTCGCAATTTGTGCCAACGTAACGGGTGCTGGCAGTACATCTCTGCAAAAAATCTGCCAGTTATGGATTATCTGTCACCCACTTGAGTACTGGTATCTTGAATTGTTGACGGTATGAGTGCCAGAGTCTGAGACGTTCCTTTTCGTATTCCAGAGCCTGAGTTCTCTTAGATCACCGTTTCCAAACGTTACCTCAGCACTTTCCTCCTCCAAGAATATCTCCAATTCCTCTTCAACGGCCTTCTCGATGACCGGATTGAACATACGTTTCGTGTACCTTATGTGGTTGCCATCTAGTGAGATATTTCCATAGTGTTTAAGATCGACACTGAGTGCCTCCAGTTTATCTTTATTTCCTAGCATGAGTTTTTCCAAGAATTTGACGGCAAATTCGCTCTGCGTGGTGACTTTATTGTTTCTTTGGATCCGTTACCTGTATGTAGACCCCTGCGTTGGAACGTTTGATGTTTCCTACTTCCTTGGCATATTTCGATGGCGACGGCTCTATCACTACCATCCATCCGTTTTCTCTGGCCCATAATGCAATATGGTTGAGTATGTAACTCTGCGTATGTGTCTAGTTGTGATCATCTTCATACCCTCACCTTCCCAGTTCCCCTTTTTCCATCTAGAAGAAGCCCTCTAGCATCGATTCTCCCATTATCCGATGCTTTCGCGTATTGTTTGAGTTGCGATATGACTTCCATAGACACCTTTCGGTTGACTATGCCGAGCGGCTGTCCCTCAGGTAGCAGTGCTATGTCCTTGATAACGTCACCTATACTATTTTTGAATATATTGTTACCTTTTCACCAACCGCAGGGACCTTCAGGTATCGCTGCTAATAGCGATTCTGGCTTGATTTTGACCACCGATGCGATATTGCTGACGTTGCAGTTTTGCCAATCCACGTACACGGCCCTTTCATCGAGATGGAAGGCATCTTTATCTGCAAGATGGGACGGTAGTATACCATTTGAAACACCGTATTCCCTGTATGCCTCTTCTGTAAGTCCGTATTGCGTTTTTAGCAGCGCGTCTGCCGACTGGTGTGTAGCATCTGCGCCGCGTGCGTTGTTCTTAGCTCTCGAGCGTCTACCAAGGGATCTGCGAGCAGCTTCTAAGGTTTTTGGCAGAGTAAAATTGACGGCCTTGCGGGCCATGTTAGTCTGTTAATAGCTATAGTGTGTATTAAAGGAAGCGAGTGAAGAAGGTACGGTACACTTCTTTGCACTCGGTATGAGGCACCGTGTGGGCAGCGGAATGATATCTCACTTCTGGCTCCTTGAAATATTTAAGAAGGCGATATGAGCGTTCAGGCTTGACAAATGCATCATTCTCGCTTATAAGGTGGAGTGACGGTATGTCTATTTTTGGCCCGTGTTCTAGGATGTCCAAGATGTTTTGATTTAATGCAATTGGAGCACTAAACAAGACAGCAAACTTGGGTTTCCAACCGATAGAATCGTCCTGCAGTGCTTTTTTAGTGGCAATAGCAGTCATGAGTCCACCAAGGCTGAATCCCATGATTCCATCTGCTTGATGCTCCTTGCAGGCATCAAATACAACCTTCAGGGATTCGTCTAGTCCCTTTACTTCAGCGGACTTAATATGAGGGGAGTACTCTCCGTCCTCTCCTACCCAGAACCAAGTGTTACCGTAACTTTCCTTGGCTCCGTAATCTCTGATATATGCTTCTCGTGCGGCATTGTCCATGGCTTTGATTTCTTCCTCATCTTTTCCGGCCCTCGAGTCATCATAGTAAGTGGGTGGTTGCCTTAGTACATGCGGTGAGCATACATACTTGATGTCCAGGTATTTCGAACACGTAGTTTTGAACGCAAGTGTTTTGTTTCTAAGTATTTCATCGGTTTGAGTATACCCGTGCAAGAACACTACCCTTAAACGGTTTTTAGCCGTACCGGCTTCGGCCTTCATCTCTTGTGGCTGGAATCTTATTTTCGACGTATGGTAGCCTATACAACCATAATTGCCGTAGCCAAGTCCTTTGGCGTTTCGAATTAGAACTCCAGCCAATTTAGAGTCAACTAAAACCATGCGTATTCTACGCGTAAGTAAGATTACTCCCCCGGCTTTTGGCTGTCCCAACGAACAAAGTTGTATAGGGCTTACACATTACGCCAGGCCTCGTCGGACCGCATCTATTTGACGTTGTCTTTAATTTTACATAATAATAATGTATTTCCCTATATTACTGGAAATTAAGCGGTTGTTTTTGTCGTCCCTTTTGACGGTTTCTTTGACCAATATTCTGACGTGTAGGTTGGCATACGAAGTTTCCGCAAATAACTCTGCTTTATACCACCGTATCATTGGCAGTTACTCTCCAATACCAGCCCGTAGCTGCGTTTATGTGTCGGAATGTCATCCGCGTGTAACCTACGTTTAGCAGTGTTCGTTTTCCCAGTTTCAAAGTTTTGTATACCTTTGATCTCCTCGATCTGACTTCTTCATCCGATTCTTCATCGCTTAGTACAATATCCGCTTGTTTTGCGGCGGCATGTAACCATGAGGTGGTAGTGGCTTCCTTGGAAAGCTGAGCGACTCTATTTTATTTGCAATTTCTGACACCCACCTGGTGCTCCTGCGCCTCAATCTCACTGGCTAAGGTCAACAATCTCTTGTATCCTAGACATTTTAGTATCATATTGCGACAAAACCAACTCTGATACTGCTTCTGAGGTATAAAACCTAACACTTCCTCCTCTTTATTCATGTCTTTGTTGATGCCTTTGAATAGTTTCTCCCAAGTCTCGACTTCGGAGCTTTCGCAAACGCATATCGCAGAACCTACCGAAATAGCTTAAATTTCACACTGTTACGTACCTTGTGCAGCTAAACGAGCTGTTCGTCCCGAACGGTGTATAAAGATGCTTACGCTCCTAGGCGGTTGGAAGTGTACAACGTGGTCTACTTTGGGCAGATCTACACCCCTTGCCGCGACATCAGTGCATATCAATATCGCTTTGGCATGCTTGTTGAATCTGAAAAGTGATATATATAGAGTGGCGATGTAGAGCTTACTGTTCCAGGCGTTTGATCCTTTGTTTCTGCTTAAGCCTTGAGTGGAGGCTGGTTACGTAGTTAACCTTGAACTCTTTGTCCAATGTCATGCAATGATTTTTGGCAATCCTCAGTTCGTGCTTGTCCCTCCAAAGTATTAGACTGCGTCAGATTGTATATTTACCCATTCGGTACCAACCTCAATAATGGTTCCAGACGGTAGGCGTAGGAGATACTGTTCACAAAAATGATCATGCGTCCATGTTCTACGTTTGAAAAGTGTTCCATGAGATATGCTACTAGCTTGAGTTCCTTTTCACCATCAAAACACTTGATTACTTTGAACGTGAGTGTTGGTGGCAGTGTGGTATTGGACGCATCTTCCGTTTCTTTCTTTTTGAAAGGTTTCTTTTGCATGAATTGGTTATACGGCAAAACAAGATCTCCCTCGTGAGAAACCGCGCATACTGTAGGATTTTTGATTTTCAACAATCTGAATAAAGCCTGTAGATCCTTCGCATGCTGAATTATACATAGATATTTTGTATGTTACTGACATACGTTGAGAATTGTCGCTGAGTAGATGAAATTTTGGGTTTGTTTCCCCCTGACTTTGGCAATAATAGCACCCAGCTCTCTGAATGATTGATCGCTAACGAGTCTATCGGCTTCATCCAATACGAGGTACTTCAAGTCAAACTTTATATCGATCTCCTGCATGATGTCCCAAAGTCTGCCTGGTGTGGCCACTATGACCTCGGGTCTATGTTTCAGTACTCGCTGTTGTTTTTGAATTGCGATACCACCTATCACAGCGAATGCGCTCATAGGTGTGTCTTTAAGAAGCATGGCCATAGTGTCCTTTACCTGAAGTGCTAGCTCCCTGGTAGGCAGTATGATGAGGCAGAGCACCGGACGTCCCTCATCTGCTTCTTCTTCCTTTTTTTCCGGCTCCTGTTTCTCCTCCTTCGGGCGGTCCCATTTCAACAAAGCCAAAGCAATGGGTAGTGAGAACGCGAGGGTTTTTCCTGATCCCTAAATCGCGATTGTTTATGGACTTAGTTCATCATTACCGTTTCTGCGCAAGCAACAATATCGGTATCTGCTGTTAGCGATGGTTTAAATACTAGTTTCTGTATGACCGTTGGTGAGACCATTCCTGCCGAATACAGATTGCGTCGGACTTCTTTTGGAAATGACCATTCATCGAATAGCAATTTGTTCCAACTCTTAGTGTATTCTTCGATTTGTACGTCGGAAATATGCTCTACAGTTTCAGAATCACCTTGTATGTCGTTTTCTGCCTGCTTCCCTTCCTCTTTTTTACCGGTTGCCTTACTCCTTTTCACCTTTTTGGACTTCTTAGGAGCAGGTGGACCGCATCCATCTTCCAGAATCTCCAATCCAAAAAGTCCTTCTGCTTGAAGCGTTTCGTCGTATTCGACCGGTGTCCATCTGAACATCTGGCCATCGTCCCGCTGCTCTTCGTCCGTCTCCTTCTGAGAATCTTGAGATTTTGAGTCGGTATCATCCATTTTTAATGATATAGAGCAATTTCTTTCCCCACTGTGTTTCCCTTAGCGTGGTGTAGCGTCGCTTCACTAACACAAGTGTGCAGGGTCACCTAAATTACATTTTCGTCATACAGACGTACGTATCGGTATTATTGTAGTGTGTAATACTCTCCTAGGATGGCGAAAGTTGTGTTGAACTCGGTTCGACTGCTGTCCATGGAGGAGCTCTGTTCGGTGGCATTGTCTAAACGTGCAGTGGTATTGGAGCCCGAACTGGCCAAATCCTTGGGTATATCCCCTACAACTTCAACTTCTAAATATGCTTCTTGTACCCTTGGAGGCGAACAAGTGCTACGAAGCTCTAACTACTGCGATTCTTTAATCAATCGCATGATTTGCTGCGCGCTTCTACAAAAAGCTCTCAGATGGAAGCCAAATCCCCAATGTACATTGATTCCCAAGCTGGTGGATGCACTTAACGCCAATATTATTAACGTGAGCCAGGCGTTAGATTCCATGCGAGTAAGCGGCAAGGATAGTAATGATGTCAATGGAGCCATCACTCCCAGGGTAGTCCACACCCTAGCAAGTGTTGCGCAGGTATCTGCCACCGGTTCCGGCGAAGTGTCCATACAAGAGGTTGCTAGCAGCCTAGGACTGAGCGTTGATGAATTCAGCTCTTTGAGCCACGGACAGACAGAACTCTTTGCCACAGCATCAGTGCTTGGTCTTGTTTTGAGTGCATTTTCCAAATTTTCCGATTGCGTGTTCGGTTTGGTTTGCGAGTCTCTTCGTCTGCCTATTCAGTGTTTTTCTAGTGCTGAGTTGCAGAAACTTCCACATTGCGTCGGCGTGGCAAGGAACTTGTTATGGCTTACGGAGGACAGCAAGCTGATTCCTTCTTCATCACACTCTTCATCATCGGATACAGGGATTCCCGGCTTGAATATGGTAGTTTCAGGTTATGTACTTGCAAATGGCGAGCTGGGCTATCTGTCGAAATCGGTGCTCAAGATAACATCTGAGATGCTTTCCGGAATTTGCACTTGCGCGAGGAGTTCTGGTTAGTTATTGGATATTTTGGTCACCTGATGTGTACTCAGATTCACAGTCGTTCATGGAGCATGCGTGGTCTTCATCTCTGCAATCACACATATTTAGCCTGCATCGGTGCCTAACATCGGTGGCCAAGTGCTACGTATCGCTTCTTCCAGCGTTGATCGCGGCCTTCCAGAAATTACTATCTACTGTAAGTGGCATATCCGTATTAATTAATTTCTATAGGCAACCGACGCAGGATCTTTGGAGCAACCCTTGGGTACTATAAATGCTAATGCATCCGAATATGAAAAACTGCTCAAGGACTTCGAATCAGCCCTATCGACATTTGAGGATCAACCTGCTGGTATAGACAATATGAATGCCCTATCTGTGTTATGTGGAGACCTGTCCGTTGCTTGTGCTTCGTTATGTACCGGCATCCTCACCATGCACGAGTCTATGCGCAAGCCTTCAGAGGGCAAGAAAGTCCCCTCGGACTCCACTGGACGCAAGGTTCTTCTTGGCCACGGTAATATGGGTGTATCCAACTTTTTATGTGAACTTTTGGATGACTCTGGTGTCTGTGGCATGGTAACTTACGATAGGTTACGCCAATCTCTTGCTGTACCACGTTTACTACAGCATGCTTCTCGTTTAGACATCTTGCTTGTTCCTCGAAACAATCAAGTACGCAAGTTAAAGGTCCCTAAGGGCACTGTTGACATTTTACCTGACGAGATGGTGATTCGTACAATAGTCCTGGATGCTGTGCGTTCTGTGTTCAAGCAGCACGGTGCTTGTGAGATTGACACCCCTGTATTTGAGCTTCGAGAGACATTAATGGGTAAATATGGTGAGGAGCAGAAGCTTATTTTTGATTTGAAAGACTGTGGCGGTGAGCAGTTGTGTCTACGGTATGATTTGACAGTTCCTTTTGCACGTTTCTTGGGTTCAAACAAGATCGAGAAAATGAAACGGTTTCACATAGGAAAGGTTTATCGGAGGGATGAGCCTCAGATCCAGCGAGGTCGTTTTCGTGAGTTTGTGCAATGCGATTTGGACTATGCTGGAGTGTACCCGCCTATGGTTGCTGATTCCGAGGTGTTGTTCATTCTTATACGTGTACTGCGTTTACTTTGTCCTGGTAAATTTCAGGTAAAGATCGGTCACCGTGTGATTTTGGATTCAATAATGAGTCACTGTGGCGTGCCTACTGAAATGCATCGCACTATTTGTAGTTCGATAGATAAGTTAGATAAGGAGCCCTGGTGTAACGTGCGGGAAGAGATGGTTAGTGACAAGGGTTTATCTGTGAGCGTCGTCGATGCACTGCAAGAGTTTGTTGAAGTTAAAGGGAGTATATCGAGTGTTGTTGAGTTTTTGCGTGGCAAGTCTCTGGGAGGGGCATCAGAGGCCCTGGAGGAGATGTTGCTGTTAGACGAATATCTCTCTGCATTTGGCGCCACTTCTGATGAGCTTTTGTTTGACTTGAGTCTGGCTAGGGGTCTGGATTACTATACGGGCGTTATTTTTGAGGCTGTACTAACTGGATCATCGGTTGGTTCGGTCGGTGCCGGTGGCCGTTATGACGGCCTGATTGGTATGTTGTCCGGTCGGCAAGTTCCTTCTGTGGGCATGTCGTTAGGAATCGAGCGTCTTATGAAGGTTGTCTCACATGGTAGTGTGTCGAGTGACATGACTGATGTATTTGTGTGCACGGTGGGTGACGCCTCCATGTTACCAGAGCGCCTGCGTCTGTGTTCCTTGCTGTGGGATGCCGGTATTGCGGCTGAATTCCACTACAACCCACGTGCTAATTTACGTAAACAATTAGATGCGGCTACTGCGAAAAGTGAGTTTACGTGATAATAGTTACACTTTGTGCAGGGGCCCAGTTGGCGGTGGTGCTAGGTATGACTGAACTTTCTTCTGGAACTGTGCGTTTGAAGGTGTTAAATTATGCTGACGATTCTGTAACTACCAGTGCTACTGGTGACGATTCCCAGGCTAAGATAGAAGAAATTGCTATTGCACGCACCGAGATGGTACACACCATCAGACGAATGTTGGAAGAGCGTGGTGGGCGTTACCATCAGTTGGTGAAAAGTATTATTCCTGGAATGTAGCACTTGAAAACAGTATTGTAATGCTTTGTTTTTTTTTCTATTACCAAATTTATATCTGCTGGGTTGAATGCAGCTCGAAACCTTCCATGGGTTACGCGGCTTAGTCTTACTCTTTACTATCCGGGTATCCATATGCTTCCCATCTTTTTATTATAGTATGGCATTGTATTATATTTCGTCCCTGCGGTGATCGTGAAAATGCGGTCCATATTCTTTGTTTCCGTCTTTGTAGCGTTATTCGCCAAATTGGCGATTCCTGGTAACGCATTTTTGTGTTTTTTCGGTAGTGGTAAGGGTAGTGGCAAAATTTCACTATTCTTCCATTCCATTCCGTATATATTCCGTAAAACTGGATGCGTGGTTTGGATACGAAAAGCTACAAATGATGACATCATCAACAACAAATATATATACATCGACTTGTTCAGCCGTTCCCATCATAATGCCATCGAGACAAAGAAGGAGGAGGATGACAATATCAACGGTCGTACCAATGTGATTACCTACACGGTGAACACGAGTAAGCTTCCTTCGGAGTTTTCGAATGCGACCTTTGGTGATGTATATTACTACCAGCAATTGTTGCAGGCGGATGGAGGCTACGACAAGAGGACCTTGGTGACTTACAACGACGAGTTGCAGCGGTACTGTGTATTCATTGAGTCCTTTGACACATCCGGCAAACGTGTATCTATGCGCCTCTACCGTGTGAAGAGAAAGGTATGGTGGCTCAAGAGTGTTGCTAGTGAGGGTAACGCGTTTACTGACACTTGGAATAGTTTCTTGAGCACTATCGGTTTCGTCGACCAGAAACCTATAGAGAGGCAGACCCTGAATATCACGGAGTCCAACTGCCCTATGGGTATGATAAACTACAAATCGTCGTCTTACGACCTTATATACACCACGGCTGCTGGAGGAGGCACTGCATTTATTGGCGATGTTATTTTCCGTTCTATGCCTATGGAGGTATCGCCCAACTGCACAGATCTCTACGTATGGCGATACTTCAAGGGGGAACACGCCAACATCACTCATGTTGTTATTGCTGAGCTCTTCAAAACACATTCCAGTGTCACTTACTTCAAATGTGTTTCAACTAAGAACTCACAATACGAGGAAATTGATTCATTTGGATCAGAAAACCAGCTAACCTCTTTGCCCGATATGATCGATACATTCCCGAAATACACAAGCGTGTATCTGCCTCTGGTATATAGATTCGGCCCAAGTGTCGAGCATCCTTACCAGAGTGGTCTTTACGTGATGGCGTATCCTCATGCTAATCACTACATAATTCGACCTATGTCGGACAAGGTGCTGCAGGTGATCACGTCGCTTAAGGTTGAGGGAAAACACAACAATCTTAACTTGGTTGTAGGCAATGCTGTTGGCTACACTTATGTCGCTAGCACGCATTTAGATAAGGATTTGGCACGTGAGATGAGTTTAACATCTGTAAGCAATGCTAAAGTTGCTATCGCTGGAGGTCGCATTTCATTGACTGGACCCGTGAACGGGCACACGTCTCTCGTCGACCAGCACACACTTGCGTTATTGAAATCTGGTCTGCCGTTACAGCATCTAAATATGCAACCATCAGAATCTCTAGACATTAAGGGTTCAGTTACTTTCGACATATTCAACTACAACGACGCGAAGATCTTAGATGCGCAGCTTGCTGTTGGTATAACTTTCTATACTCCAAATCTGATAGGCGCTACTGGCTTCAAGAACTGCGTCTCCAATAAGAATGAGGTTGTGAAGTTGTCAAAATCGTACAACACCCAAATATTGTTGATTGAGTCCGGTAAAAAGAATTTGGTTGTCCTATTTCAGGGAGACGTGAAAGACACAAAACTGTACGACATTACCAATTCAACCGAGATCACTAACAACAATACGAAGTTCAAGTACCTTAAGGAGCACAACTTGTCTGAATTAGACCGTATAACTAAGGAGGGTACAAAGCGTGAGAACAATGAAGTTGTGTTGAACTTGAATGATCCTATGCTCAACCCACACATCGAGCTCTTGGTGATTTCTACCAACGTTACGATATACATGCCATTGGGTGACAACACTCGCATTTCCACTCTCATCTGGGGAAGGAAACAGCTCGATTTTGACCCTGAGGCCAACCCTATCATCACTGTTATCACTAACGGCAGTAAGAAGTATCTTTTGGTGGACGAGTATGTTGCTACCCATTCTACAATCAACAGGGCCTTGTACACTATGGAGCAGCTTGATTCTGCATATAGGCTACGTTTGGTTGGTAAAGCGTCTTGTCAAGTAAACGAGGGTAAAATTGACATAACACGCAACTGCTTGAGTTCTACGTGGTACGAGATGATTTCAAAGACTCTCCCTATTCGTGCTGACTTCAATGATGTTCGTGTTGGTAAAGTGAAGTATGATTATCACAATTTGACTATGCTATTTATGCCACACGGCCATGATTTCTCTATTGGTATTGCACGTGTCAGGGACAAGGAGATGGAGACAAACCCTGGTCACCGTTGGAGGCAATTGCACCGTCAAGGTCATGACGAAGTCTATTCGGTTTACACCATGTCTGGCAAAGGTATTGAGGAGCATGTTCTGAATGGAGAGGGCGCCACCACATCTTCAGGTACTACACCATTCGTCCGTGTGGCCATACCTAAGTTGGATGCTGGTGCTGTTGCGCTGATGTTGGATGATTTGGATTACAATGGTATAAAAACTACCATTTCTAAAACTGAAAATGCCAAGGTTACAGTTATTAGCGCAGAAGAGGCGAATAGTTTTTTCAACCCTCTTGTCTTTGGTCACCATGAGATGCAATTCCTCTCAAACTCTCGCTGTGTCCAAGTGAAAATAACTGAACAGCAGGACGGTTTGCGCGAAATTAGCGCTGTCGTGAAGGATCAGGAAGGTGTAAATTCTACTGTCGTTTTTAGGGAGCAGTCTGCAGGTTCTGGTTATTTCGATGCTGACAAGGATTCACTCCGTGCTGTCCGTTTTGTGGACATTAACGGCCCTATTAACAACCTTACGAAGTACTGCAACCATTTGGACGTTATGGATTTCAACAAGGGTATCTTCCCGCACTACGTGCGTTATTTGACATTGAACAGGACCACCATGTACTTCACGGGCGATGTACTGAGCACTGGTTTACGTCTAGTGTTCGGGGAGCTTGACCTTAAGATTCCTGCCACGAACTATGCGTTCCATTTATGGGTGCTCTACCAGACTGATGATTCGTCTACAGCTACGGCATACCTGCACTATGGTACCGATCAGGGCATGCAAACTACGTTTTACACGGTTGAGAGTTCCAAGGACGCTCGTGACTTGAAACGTCCTATATCATACAACTGTAACTGGGGTCCAATGAGCAACTTGGAGTTTTACATTGTGAACCATACATTGATTAGACACGTTCAAACCAAGCATGAGTTATCTCCTATTGACTTGGATATTAGCAGTGAAAGTGTGGATCCTGCTATATTGAGACTACAATTCGACCACAACACTACTCTGTACACTACCTTGGCATCATCTGGTAGTGTGATAGACGACGTGTTTCACAAGGGTGCAACTATTCGTGGTGTGCCTAAGCAGGTAGTGAAACATGTGTATCACTCCAACGGCACATCTGATGACGTGATATTGGTTGTCGTCCGCACCGTAAGCTCTGTTTTGGCACAGGCATACCGATTTAGTGCTAACGACGCATTTGAGCCGGTAGCTGCTTCGGCGATTGACCCGAAAGAGCACTCTGGCATATACTCCATACTTAGCCGCATGGACTAGGCTCTATTCTTTCATAAAAGATTAAGTTTTAATATTTATAAATTAATTGTGTAGGTTGTATATTTTATTTGAATAGACCTTTGGCGTTACATGTTTGGTGGTGCGTGGTGCCGTCGCGCATCCCATCCAAGACGTGTCACATATAATGATATGTTAATTTGTGCTGTTCACATGTATTTTTAATGGTTGTTTTCCTTAATTAACGCACGTTGAGTGTGCAAACTACTTGTAGAGGGACGTTTGTCGGCGTTTCCGGCCTTCCTAATCGCATCGCCGTCTGGTTTGGAATTGTCGGTTAAAGATGGCGTTTAACTTGGTGTTATCTGTTGTACTACTTTGCGCGACTGCAGTGCAATCGTCAGGGATATACACAGTGGCACCTGCGAAGGATTCCCTTCACCATCAGCCTCGTCTTTCTAACACCCCTCACGAGTTTGTTCTGGATTTGTTGAATTTAAAGGTAGAAGATTATGTAAAAGGTGCTGTAGTCACTAAATTAAATGACAATACCTTTATATACGGGTTCGAAGACCGCAGGACTAGCCGTTCTGCCGTTGTGTTGATGATTGGCAATCAACGTCTATATGTCATGCCTCATGCACGCAATTTGAGTGTTAAGTTGACTGAATTTCCAACTAACTCTGAAGTTTTAGTGACATATGAAATCGATGGAGGATTATGCCAACATCACTACAAAGAAGAGTTATTGTCATCCCTGTCACGTGTGTTCTGGGACCGCATGTTCACTCCTCAGAGGATTTCTACATCAAAGGATGAAGATCCTTTCGCCATTGCCACATCATTGATATCTCAATGGACTGGTATGGTACAAAACTTTTGGTCGTTTGGATTCAACGCACCTACTCAACCAGTAGAACCTCCCAAGACTGTCGATGTCCCACGTGTTGTCATTGACTTGTCCGATGCCACGACGTACAACCGTATTGCAAAATCACAACGCTGGCGTCGTCTAGCAAACCGTAAAGTGGTCTGTGTCTCGTTTTTGAACAAGGATTCACGTTGGAACGGTATTTATTTACATCATGTTAAGCTCGAGATTCCAAGCCACGCTTCTGAGTTTACTGTCTGCCACGACGAAACTGTCGAATCATCTAAGAATGTAGTCGTAATATCGCTTATCGGTACCGTTTGGGTTGAATCTTTCTTCTCCCTAACTGGCATCGATACCAGCGCAGCCTACCTGACCCCAGTAACAGGTCCTAACTTCTTTGACACTTTCAAAGATTTGCCAAGCCGAAGCAAGGTAACACCTAGTAGACATGACGGTGATGGTTTCGTTTTGGATGTCGACTATCCTCTGGACGACGAGTCTCCCATTGAGATGTATGATAACGACACAGTCAGAGTATTCCGTTACAAGGAAGGTGAGGATATGGATAAACAAGGACCTTACTATGTGGATGGTGTAAAGTTCGGTGAGATTGAGCAGTCTTTACCTGAATCTTCCTCTTTCGTTCTTTTGGCGGCATTGAAACCTTTTGCATCGACCAACTACATGACGCTAGTGACCCGCAGCGGTTTCCAATACTCAATAACTAAGTGGTACAGTTCGACCAATAAGGACTTCAGGCCAGTGAATTTGAGTGATTCGGAACACCTGGCTACTGCTTTGTCAGAGATATACTACGTGTTCTCTAAACGCAATCACCCAGGTCCCATTGATTTGAACAATGCTGACAATGTTATAGATGGTGATCTCATTTGTCTGTTCAGGCCTGATGGTAGGTCTCACCACATGGGTAAGATGTGCAAGTCCTTGAAGGACCTTGCTCACACAACAGTGTTGTTAGAGGGTCCTGCACTCACAATTCTGAAGTACAGTGCTGATGCTCCCACTGGTATGCTAATAATCGGTACATCTATCGTTGAGTTGGATACTTCGAAATCTAAATCTGATTTCACCATTTACTTTGAGCATGATTCTGACAAACCCATGAGCATCGTTGTGTCGGACAAAGACAATGTATGGGCATTAAAGGAGACCTGGAAGGGTTCCAATGCCTTTAAGGAGTTGAGTGACTCTATGATTGACCTCCCTGAGACCTCCAAAATCGTGGATGTTGACATCGGAAACACCCAGGTTGTGGAGCCTGAGGGCATTGCATGGGATCACCAATATTTGGAAAGTGTATGGGTCTTGAAATCTGTGAACCACCCTGACACCGCCATAGGTTCTGTGCGATTCCACAACTGTCGCATCTTATCTCAATCCAAGTATGGATACACTTTCATTGTTGCACCTACCGCTGACTCTCCGTCTGTGGCGGTTGTATTTTTCCCTAACCCTGACGGTACGCATTCTGCCGTCTTGGTGAAAAGCACTTTGATTAATAATTACTCGGCTTGTGCGGTAGAGACGCTTGAATATGCGCCTACACCGCTCGGAGCCGAAGATGTCAGAGCTGTCAACTTCGACACTCTTTTTAAACTGCAAAATACTGAAATGTAATTTAGTTGCAATAGCAATTGTAATGTATTATTATCACTACTGTTCATCTCCTTCATCTTCCTCATCGGAATAGTTCATGATATCGTCTGACATTTGCCATATCTGCAGGCAGAAGTCTTCGCCTACTGATGCAACGAACTGCGTGTTGTTATTCACTAATTCCACATACTCACAGTATCTGTAGCCTCGCACGTACTCCAGCAGAAGTCGTATACTTGTTCTACATGTCCTGTGTGTGTGAATATAAGTTCTTTGGGGTCGTCCTCTTCCTCGTCCTGGTCCTCGTCTCCCATGTATTCATCTTCTTCTTCGTCACTGCAACCTGCTTCCAGATCGAATATACGCACAGTATTATCTTCCGCAGCACTTGCTAGAAGTGTTGGACAGCTGTTGTTGAGTTGTAATCTGACTATAGGTGCGTCGTGAGCTTTGAATTCATGCAAAGGTTTATCGAGTTTCCGGTAATCCCACACATGTACCACCTGATATAATACGTTTAATTACTGGATTCTATTCGACTTACCCCGGTAGTGGAGCCGGTAACAAACACATCTGGATTTAGGGCATGATTTGTTATGGCGTTTATGGCTCCTGTAACCTGTGCGGTTTTCGCAACTGGTTCGGGTTGGTCAAAGTCTAGCCTGCATAACATAGCTCACTATATTTTTGTTGCCTTACACTAGCACATGTCCGTCTTCTGCCGCCACTAATACTCTGTTTTCGTGATCAAGGAACTCGATAGCATTAAGGACATCCTGGTGTTGGAAGTTGTATGTAAGCGCCCCGGCTGAATTTCGTCATTCCCATTGAATGTGACAGCCTTTACATACCTTCTACGTTCCAGATATTGACTATACCGTCTTCTGAGCACGATCCGAGTATCGGATTAGTCTTGTGGAACGTGAGCCCGTATCTATAAGATGGTTAATTATCTCCTAATTTTTTTTACCCTTCCTTCTCGTGATCATTGAATGTAAGGATTGGTTTCATATCTGAGTCTCTATTCTCAGCGTTTCTCCGCACCCACCTTCATCTTCTTTGATCCCGCTGCCGATGTCGTATACATAGACTAGATAGACATGTACGATAATAGGTTTCTACCTACCATCCTTAGCTTTTGCCGCAAGGAAACTCTTTTCTCCATATGAGTGCGATCTCAGGCTGCATAAATATAACACCTAACCAATTCGACTCACCTAGAAACATCACCTTCCAACGAAGCCTTCGATACACACTGGTACATCGGTTCCCCGTATCCCGGCAAAGGGAACCCTTCATAATCGATACATTGGCTATATCTACGTATTCCTTCCTTTAGTGGTTCCGCTGGCAACGCCACCTGGACGGTATATTTATCATTATATCCGACATCACGCTACCTCGATAACATATAGCGCCACCTTCTCACCGGGCTCTGCCTGAAGACCGCAAGCTACATGTTGAAATGCTACATCTCCAATACGTTCACGTCGCCTGCATAATTCTATCGTTTCATGTTATAGTCATACCAGGATAGCTCCGGTAAGAACTCTACGGATAGCGGCTGGTGAGGCAGGCGAATGCAACTGATAAAGTTATATAGTACCTGAGTATTAACAATCCAGTTACGGCGTGCGTCCTCCATTGCTAATAATAATGGCAAACTGTCAACATCGCCGTGCCTAGCGCTCCACACACACAAGCGGGGGTGTACTAAACCTTATTGAGTGTGCACATTAGTTCAAGTTGCGTGTTTTATGCTCTGTATTACCTTCGACCACCTCCAACGGTCTTAGGTCGCCCCTTAACATCTTCCTCTCTTAGCTGAGACTTTGATGTCACAACAACAAAATACAACGTACCTGCATTACCCCTATTTGACGTCTGCTCTTCATTATCATCTCCCTATCGAAACCTTTGTACCAGTCGTAACTCGTGGCATACGCCAGCAGGTTGGTATCTGACTGTATCTTAACATCAACTATGGGCGAGTCCACGTTGTTAAAAGTCTTCACACGAGATCGATGTTCTTTGTCCCATATGGTAAAATTACCATCACCTCCACCTGTGACGAATGTACCGTGCACATTGTGGAAGTCCACGGCATTAACCGCGTAGATTTGTGTGCTTTTCCCAGGGGAATCCTGACGATGGCACTTAAATGAGAAGTTCTGTGACTTGTTCTCCTCCATAAAGTAGCTCACAACTGCTCTGCCTCCTATGGAGGTGTATACAAGCCCCGATTTATCAGTTACGTTTGGGAATAGGCACATTGCGCGTACTTGACACTTGAGTGTGGAATCCAGTGTTACCCTACTCTTGGGGTGTTGTATGTTATCTAGATTCCATGCATGGATTTTGCCATTACTTCCTGCTACACAAGCGATATTCGGTCTAAAATGTGATGCGAATATTTTCGTTCCCAAATTCTCACACCATACCGGTTGAGATTGTCTTCCATCCCACATGCATACCTTGCCGTCCCAGCTAGTGGTCATGATAGCATTGAACTTCTGTATCCAGTATACCCCTGTTACAGGCTTATCATGTTTAGCCACAAGTATCCCCGTAGGGTTCCTACTTGCGAGGTCATATGCCATTACGGTATTTGTACATCCTCCTGCAAAGAACTTGGAGGTATCTGTGGAGAAGCAGCTCGTCAACACTGGCGCCTCTTGTCTGTAGAGTATAACTGATTCTGAAGTAACTGTATTCCCCATAATTGGAGATATTCGCCAGATACGTACGGTTTTATCCCAGCTACTTGCAGCAAGCAGCAATGGGTTCGGTGTATGGCTCCATGATATGTGCGATATAGAGTCATCTGGCATTCCCGATAGCAAGTGCGTCTTGGGATCATCGTTATTCGTTCGATTATATGCCATCTTTGTTTTTAAAAGTTTCCCGTTGTTGTGATATTGCAAAGTCTCGTTTGCAGTTGGTGTACTAGAATGGCACCAGCAATTGCTACATTAAGCGAATTAACTAGTGGGTGCATCGGCAGCGTGACTCTGTATCCGATATATATTTCAATTTGATTTTGAAATTACTAACCTTTTGGCAAATTTGAGTATATCTGCGTCTGGTCCATGTGACTCGTTTGAGAGTATTAAACAGATACCCTGTGTTATTTTCAATTGGTCTACCTCTTTTCCTTCCAAATGTGCCACAATTGGTGTCAATTTATGATTTTTGCAGAATTTCTTAAGTGCCCTAATGTCACCTGAACATTGTGTACTTTCCCATTGCCAGCCATACCTTTTTGATACGGTAGCATGAACTGCAGTCCTCCCGTGATATATGATACCTTCCAGTCGAATGGATCAGCAGTTCCCTTGAGGTAGAATATGGCGTCTACGTTTAGGGCCACTGCCGTACGTATTATATTGCCTATATTCTCTGGGTATCTGACGTTGTCTAGTGCAATTACTAGCCTGTTGCGAATGGCAAGGGAATACAACGTGCTTACTTTGGTTGCTTAATGATTGCAGGCTTGGGTAGAATTACTTCCGCGATAGTATCCGAGAGTTTGAAAGCTGCAGTGGTTCCTCTTAGGCAGTACTGCAAGATATCTTTATCTACAAGTTGTACTCGATTATATCTCTCTCTGGATGTATCTTCCGCAACTAGCGTATCAACAAGTTCCCTTTGTGTTGTGAATATATTGTTGAATGCGCAGTTTGTATGTTTGAGCATATGCTTTACTATGTTTGATGATGTTACAATCCTCTTATCTTGTGTTTTCCGATATGTCGCATTAACTCTTAGTTTCCACAAATGCCTAACGATATCATTTTTACGTGATGGTGTGGCGATTTTCCTTGGATTTGCGTTGAAAAGCGAAAGCTGTGTAGCGCTGAACGGTCTAATGTTACGTAGCCGTTGTGCTCTAGCGTGCTGGATAACTTCCTTACTATGACTATAACCAGTATCTTTTTCGTACTCCAGCCAACTGGGTAGTTGTTTTTGTATTTTTACGATACTAGGAGCTGCTATTGTTTGATATTACTATTATGCCTATTAACATACCTTGTACTTCTGATCTTGTGGCTGGTACCGTAACTTTGTATGGATCTAGTGTTGTTCGATCGTTAAAAATAGTCCTTGACCCACGGTAGATGGAAGTTTTGTGTATTATAGACGATAGCTTGATTTGCCTTCTGACATTCATGCCGCGTCCTTCACTAGGGTTGACCGCTTCTGTTATTTGTAGGAAGAAATCTGTTGAACAAGAAATTTCAACAGTTTCTTTCCTCAAAAAAGCGTTATCAAATCCTTCCACAACGGTGTGCGCGCTTCATATCGTTAACACTAGACCACGGCTTGGGTGTTGGGCCAGTATGCTAAAACGGCATCGGATAGTAGCAAGTTAATTAGATGTATTGATACTATAATGTTGCTATGAATCGTAACTGTACTAGTCTTCCTTAAGACCGTGTTACTGTTGCTAACTTAGATGCCATCTATAAGTAGCAGACACATTGTACCATCTTGATGGTTTATATCTTATATATTGTGATTTTAAAGTTATGGGTAACTTTCATATCGAAGGCGCTCGGATATGAGTGTTTAACAGGTTATATTACGACTGCCCAGTGTCTAAAAGCGCCACGCGCGTCCATCTCATCATTTATCTCTTCTACACACACACAGTGGATGGACAGCTTAGTTAGATATCGCACATTTCCATTATACGCGGTTCCCAAGAAGAAACCTTCCAAACGGAGGACCCGTATTAGGAAGACCGCGTGGATGAAACGACTACCACTTAACTGGAAGCAGGTGTGTGGATATATATAATAAAAATAATATAATGTGTTACAGCCTATGATGCTTGACATTTTTGATGTTACCAAGTACACAGATGGGACTTTAACGAAGTCACGTACGACACATCAGAATTGGTTGAATTTACCGGATACTTCATTGGAAGGCGAACATTTTTTAACGAGAGAAATACGACCACGCTGGTGAAGTGACACACGAACCGTCGTTAATAGTTTTAGGCATGTAACCAAGGCCTCTGCCTTATTCTCTGTTGTGTGACTTAAACCCGTTTCTAACGTTCACATGTGCTGCATTCTTACACACCAATACCTTTGCACATTGTTTCGTGCACAACGAAGGCTTCAGTGCGGGATGCCGACATCATGTATGCGCAGTGCGTTACGGTGCCCCCGGCCGTGAGATGGGTAATGTTTCTGCATTAAAAATATTTCAACACATCTAAGTTATAAAAATTTAACTTTTGTATTTTCAATTATTAACAAAATGGCTTTATTTAGCTGCTGCTCTGGTGGTAACGTTGGCGTTCAATCACCGAATTTCGACGTTGACGCTCACCGCCGTGTGTTGCTGGATGCCGGTGTTAGCCCTGATGCTGTGCAATCGATTGATGTTGGCCACTTCCAGATTTTGGAACCCGTCACTCAGGTTAGTTTACAATTATTACTCCTCAACAGATGTGTAGACCAAGATTGTGGAAGTTACCAAGGAAATCATCGATGAAAAGATCATTGAGGTCCCCGCGATTCAATACGTCGACAAAATCGTCGAAGTTGATGTACCTGTTGTGAAATACAAGCCGGTATACAAGAAGAAGGAAGTTGTTGTTGAGAAGCACAGGCACGTACCTCGCATTGTATACGAAGACAAGATCGTTGAGGTTCCTCAAATCAAATACGTTGAGAAGGAAGTGGAGGTCCCTCAAATTGTCATGAAGGAAAAGATTGTTGAAGAGCCCAAGATCATGATTGTCGAACACGTCATCCCTGTTCTCAGGGTCTCAAAGGCCGACCACACCACTGACATCGACAACGCTGGAGAAGAGTTCCTTGATGACAACATGAACGGTGTCACATACGTAGAGGCTGAAGGAAGTGAGTTTTCTAATATAACATCATAATACATTTGCAGTTGATGCCCGTGCCGACATGGCATGCTGCACCACCAGGTAAAAATAAACCTACTAACCTCTGGCAACTTCACCCAGCGCGTAATGTAGCGCGAAATTACATTAAATTATGCTAAAAATGCTAATAAACAACGCTGTTAATGTCGAAATTTAGAACGGAAATGATATTATCTACATCTGCAATCCACTCAATAACTGTCATCCATTAATACTAAGAATCTTATATATCCTCTACTACTGGAGGAACTCACCTTCCTATAAATCACACTTAAGCTGTTTCATTGCCATATAACACATAATTGTTTAAAACAAAAGTCATATGAATTATAAAAATTAAAATTAACAATGTTATACCACATTTTGTAGTACACTGTATAACCGATATTAGTTGCAACCATTTTATGGTTTAAAATACAATATATCACCAACCAATACCTTCTCTGAGAATAGATTGGTTGGAAGAATTTCATGGCTTTTAGCCAACCTCCAATGCGACAGAATGTGCAGTAGGTCGAGTGGTAGGAGCATACCATATGTTAGGTAGGCTATAGCGACGAACCAAAACGTCAGGAGGTAATAAAGGAATGGTTCGCGAATGCCTTTAAGGAAATTGTATATGGCTGCAAATAGACCCTCGAATAGATTCTTAGTATCCCCTTTGGGATGCATCAGTTTATTCAGTTCTTCCACGAAGTCTTTGCATTGGCGCATGGTTCCTATATTACCCCCAGATTTCTGATTCAGACGAGTGGCATTGTGATATACAAATCCATATTTGTATAAAAGGGGGAACACCCCAGCACATTGAACTATGCTGGCGCACTCACAGTCTTTTCCATGAGTACCATTGTCCTTGTGATTACAATTACCTTTACATCCAATGTTGGAGTCACACTTGATGTTATTGAAGTCTGTGAGGAATTGTTCTAGTCCTTTTTTGAATTCCTCGTTAAGATACACTATCCACGATAGGTATACATAAGCAAGCTCTTTACAAAAAAACCAGTATATATGCCACGCAATGGGACCAAGGTATTGACCGCAGGTTTTGGCCTCACCTGTCCTGTTATTTTCGCAACCGCTGTTTTGCAGAGTGTAAAGGGTAGCGACTGTGTGATCGCTCCGACCCCTGGAACCGTGATATGTACCTACTAAGGTATTTAGAGCTTTGATCAAAGTAGTCCCACTATTGCGTCCTGGTGCATTATTCATCTCCCCCCTCAACACCTTTATGACATTGGTATTGTTACCGTCTCCTACACGGAAGAAAAACGCGAACGTGTCTCCTAGAGTACGGGGGACATGGCGTGTTACACAAAAGATGCACCACGCCCATAGACACGGATTAATATGGGTAATATTCTGCTGCACAAAGTCCAGCAAGATACGTTCGAGATAAGTACCGGTACGTGCAGATGACCAAAGGTGTGTTTCAAAACCCATGGGGACCGGACAGTGCTGGTAACGACTGTTGGTGTGTTCAGCGTGTTCTGTATAAGGTAGATAGTCCTTCTGCTGACGAGTTGAGTTCGGAAGAGACTTTTCGTTTTCCAACACTACAGATCGGAACTGTGATAGACCATCACATAAAAAGGCTTGAAGGGGAGATTGATTTCCATCTTTACCGTTGCCACAGGAATCGCTGTGACGACCTCCAGTGTCCGGACACATCCTTGACTTACCGTCGTATTTTATATCTTTACCATAATTACACCACCGCCATCCCCAATCACCACTGGCATAGAGACACTGTGACCTTAGAAAGTAAAGTTGAAAATACAATTCGAATACTATATCCGAGAACATATTATAACAATCTGAATCTACACTGGGATATGTGAAGTTGAATAGGGTATTAGCATATATGTCGTGGAGGATTACCTCACCACTGGTTGATAGCTTTGGCTTCGCAGTTGCGCCGGTATTTGGTGTTATACCACCTTGAATGGTCATCAATACAAATCCAGCATAGTAGCAAGGTGCACGAAGATGATAACCTACCGAATCATGGTGGAAACTGAAATGTTCTAAGTCATGCTTCCCCTTTATAAAGCTAACATCACCATCCCCATGACTAACACTGTGAATCGCAGTTTTTATATACTGCTCTAGCCGCCAGTAAACGGGACTAGATGGCAATACCATTAGCCAATACAACATTTCACGAATAGTTGCTGGTACACGTTTACCCTTGTCATGTGTTGCCCTGTCCTTGTTTTCTGCCGCTCTAAAATAAGCCCCTGTTGCCGCGTATAACCATGTGAGGGGATACTTGGAGAAGTTCAATCTCTGATCTTTGCTTGTGTACACCTCATGCGCATACCTGATAAATTCGGCATAAGGCCCTTGGATGACTGTTGCTGCATCAGCGCCAATGGTTATGGGATAAAGTGTAATCTTTTATTTTTTTTTCTTTGCATTCCTTGAATTCCTCGAATGCGCAAAGGATTTTTTCCACGCTTGAGCCAATCTGGTCACTCAAATGCGACCTATCATAGCCCATAGATACCATGAAGATGCCCAGGGTGGTATCAATGTCGTTTATCTTATGAGGTTTCCTATTCGTATCGTTCTCGGTCCACCTTTTATCATTATCAGAGCCAACGTGACATTTCCAATATAGGTAACTGAGCGCAGAGAAGATAAGTTGGATACAACCAAGGAATATACGAGCGCACTTTTCCTTCTTTTCAGGCACGTTAGAAACATTGTCCCACCTGACATTCTTATATGCAGATACATATTTGGACTTTCGCTCATCGTCATCGCTTGCATCACACCGAATATCCTTCGTATTACCAATACCTGCATCACCCAATTCCCATTTTCCACTACCAAGACCCGCACCGTTATTCTTATATCCTACGAATTTGGCCAGCGCTGTGCTAAGCGGGCTTATTAAGCCGTATGTGGTACCACTCTTAGCAGTCTTATCACTATTTTCCAAAATCGTTATCACTGCCGTAAGCACCTCCTTATCGCCAGCATTTTGGACAAAATCCTTGACTTGCTGAAACAGGTTTACCAAATCCGCAGCCAAGCCTTTCACACCTTCTGTAAACACCATGAAACAAATTCCAAGTATGAGACTTATTGGTCTTACCACTTCCATCCTCATTTTTATTTGTAATGCTCAAGATCCAATCTACAGCTTCTTTCAAATTCGCCGGGCATTCAGTTAAACAGTTGTATTTTGGACACTGGGAGGCTTCCGACGAAGCTTGGCTTAAAGCCTGCGCCATATCTCCGACTTACTACAGGAATATACGGAAGCGCTTGCATAAAATGTTGTATGTCGCGTTGTATGTCGACACCTGCTAAAGTAGATATGATGATACACTATCCGTGCTACGCTTCATTCGGAATTATTCACCTATAGAGCCTAAAGCTATGCTTGCAGACCCCCAATCGGTATCAAAGAAGATAAGACATAGATTCCGGCTGTAGCGGTTTCTGTGAAAAGGCTGGTAGAACTATACAACAAGCTTACCTCAAATGTGATGCGTGGCGCGGATGCTACGAGGTGAGAAGAACCACCCGAACTTGATCACTCCTAATAAGCTTGCAGAAAGTTAGACATTAGGCATAGGAAGTGGTTCAGATGGGTTCCACTGTAAGTATACGGCCTTTTGCCACTCTCAGGTTATTCTGTTAGATTAAACGCACATCATAGGGTGTTAAGGTACCGTTCTAATGTGAATGCAAATCTGGTAGCTCTCCAAGCCCTTGGCATCCATTCTATGGAGACCCTCAGAATGAGGCTGAGGCTTCAGACGCTTATGGGAAACCATAAAATCAATTCTAGCGACATGATACTTCGTCCAAAAGATCGACTAAGGGCCTAGTTCAAGGTAGGTTGTACAGGAACCGACCCCGTGCCGCTAGCCGCCGTCTCCATTATTATCCCAAAAGGTCTAGTAGCATGCAAGAACTTTATGAGCCACATCCACAAGACAATACATGGCAATTTATCCAAATCTTTAAGGAATGTCAGTCTTGCGTATATATTAGGGCACCTGCGTAACGTATCTCAAGTTGACGTAGATCCTCTAATACGATGGAGTTCCATTGCATAGACCGGGTGACTCCTGACGGTGATTAGACATAGTCTTACCATTCTATCGCGATTCCTAAAATGAGATTTCGAATTCTTTGGGTCAGGGCGATTGAGATTGGAGCGCGAACTAAGCATTAGAAACGCTGTAAAAGCGCTCCAGCCCTAATATGGAGTTATATCACTCTCTCTAAGATCATAAGCTCTTTATAGAGAGACAGTTTAGTCAGATTAGTCTCATCAGTAGTCACCTAGTCCACCGCAAGTCACATTGAGATCTCAGCATGTGCAAGATAAGAATATATTGAGCAAAATCAATATCATATCAAGTCCTCATTTTGATTCTTTTGTGAGTTCAGCTTGTCGCCCAAGCTGCTGAAATTGAAGTCGAAGAGGTCTCCCTGAGCGCAGCTGGGTGTCTGCGACATGATTGGTTCTTTACGGTGTACTTACAGTTTGAGAGTATGAGGAGTTTTTGAAACCTATTTGCTGCGGATTATCGAAAAGTTTCGAAATAGAGTCTTTTGCCGCCTCGATCTTGGTCTCTGTTAGTTTGCCTGACTCGAAGCTGTTGCTGGATACGACAGTACGGACCATGTCGTTATCGAATGAAGTACGTTGGCCAGCATTGCCAGCGGGTGTACTTGGCCAGAAATCACCAGACCATTTAGCAGCTGGTGCAGTGTCTTGAAACGCATCAAATGGCGTATTGTGTGTTTTGTTGTTGCCAAACAGGTCATCATGTGTGGGCCCACTGTATTAGCATGTTATTTTAAGCTTCACTCGGCTTACGGTCTACTTGCTTCAAAAGCGTTGAATCCCGCGGTTACATTGTCCCGGGTCACATGCTGGGCAGATGAAGGTTGCTGATGGGCGCTCTGGCCCATGGCACCTCTCGTGACTACCTCTCGCGCATTATAGCCTATGTTATAAGTTGAACTAGAATCCAGCTACTAACCTTTAGCGACTAGAATGTACGGCTCTTCTACGCCATCCATAGCATATACCCTACGTTCGTACTTGTTACGGATCCACATCTCCATTTCTCTACAGATTGTCAGTTACGCCGCCTGTATACTTACTTCGGTGGTGTATTTGCATTTGGTCTGGGGGCTCGTGCGGGCAACTTGTGTAGGTAGTACTTGTTTGCTAAATAGTTTCCAACTTCCGTGAGCACCTGATAGATGTGTCAATCACTGCTCTTGGCGTACCTTGATCCACTCAGGTTTCAGGTTATCCAGGGTAAGCGATTTCACTTGGGATATGTGTACTCCAAGCATACGATGAACACCTGAGCAGTTTATGCAGAGCAGCACGCCTAGGTTAACGCTGGCCCATCGTGGCGACGAGCATCCACAGTCCGCGCAGGCATTGTTGCCCTCAATGGAGCATATCCTGCCAGCTACCGCACTTCCAAACATTATCCCAATGTGAGAAGTGATGGTTTTGGTGTGTTTTCGAGATGAATATTTCTAAATGCCCGTCGTCTCGGTACATTGTGGGTGTGTCGGCGCATTTAGGAAGGTTGGGCTTGCGGTGCGTTCTTCGACCCACTGTAGCCAACAATCCATATTAAAAATAAATACACATTGAGATAGAGAAACTTTAGATGCCATTGATATAGGTTAGGAGCATGACGAGGGTCCTCAACGCGATCCTCTAGGCGCCTACCAAACTGTAACCCTTTTGAGGGGTTACCAGGTTAAACACTAGTTGATAAACATGATATTATAGTCTAAAATATCAATGACCAACGTTTCCGGGGAGTCGGACCCCGTATCAGCAACTGGGCTGGGCCCTGAACGTGTATTCTATCGTCCAGATCGGAGTATGTACGTTACACGTACGAAAGCGATCAATGAAAAAGATATGGCTGCTATGACAGCCGGTTGGCCACTATCAGCCACGGATGGTGAACTGGGTTCAACACTTGATGGCGAGTTCGCCTGGCAGAAAAAATGGTATTTACGTTTTGTCCCTCCTAAAAGTGCAGAAGAATTACAAATAGGGCAATATTGGCGTTATGATGGCCCTCGCCTTGAGAATTTTATCACAAATACACCGGAAAAACCTACAGCAGAAGAGGAGATGCTGACACCAACACCTATCGCAGGGCTGAAGAGCATGGCCACGAAGATATTATCTGGCATACCCCAAGAGACGCTTGCCGCAAATTCGTATCGTACAGCATGTGAAAGCAAGAGTTCTGTCGCTGCTCGAGAGAAAGCTGGTAGCACGGTATCATCGCAACTAAAGATGCCCGAGAGCCAAGGTGGGACTAAACGTTCGATCCTTGCGGCTTACACTATTGAAAAGAACAAAGCAGCAAAGAAAAACAAGACATAATGTCACAACTATTTAATTTAGTCTACTTTGTTGTACAACAGTTCCTTGGTTCTATACCACCTGTTGTGCATTGTGACTGTGGTGAACGAGGACGTTGCGTACGCCTGTATGGGTTGTTACCACACTGTTTAGCGTTTCTACAAGCTCGGTGATTGTCATCTTCAAAGTATCCAGGGCCTCTTGTGGAGTCATTTTATTACCACCTTTGGCCTCCTTACTTGTTTCCTCCTCAGGTTGGCTCGCCTCTTCGTCGTCAACGACCTGTTCATCGTCATAGTCACCCATATCTTCATCCATGTCCTCTACTTCATCTTCATCCTCAGGTTCATCAGACTTGTGCCCCTTCCCAGTGGTCTGTAAGAACCTGCCGTCTTCCGCGTTATCTTCTCCCTCGTCCACGTTACCCTCCTGAGAGGACTGCGGCGGGGACTCTGGTTCACCCTCGGTAGTCTCGGCAGTTTCCTCAGTGATATTCAGGTCTGGATTAGGTGAGCTCAGCTGGGTGTGTCTATACCCGTCTATTATGTATTCGAGCTTGTTAAGGGACTGGTATATCTGTTCAGGTGTATTTAGTTCCCCAGCTTCCCCAACAGGTAGGTTCTTGTATCGTGCCCTGTAACGTATTTATTTTTTTCATATAAATGAGATATTTACCTTTGATAAAGGTTCTCCACAGCAGATCTCAGTTCCTTCATAGGATCCACCTCTTTTTCATTTCGTGGAGATGCATGAGTTTGGTTGGTGATTATAATATTCCCCTCTGCATATTGTTGTCTATATATATAATTACACTTTCTTACCTCCAGTTTTTGGTATTACGGTCCTTGTGACTTCAGTTTCCTTGGTATTCTCCTTACTCTCGGTCTCATGGCTGGCAGCACCCTGTTTCATGCGTTCGGCCGCAGCTCTCATCTCATTGGCTTGAGAGTTCATATCTTTCATTGCTTCATGTCTCGCATGGGCATCCACAGCACTCTCTGCGCGGCGAGTGCTCTCCACATCGTCAGGGTGGAAGTTCGCTGGCCTTTGCATCTTCTCGAAATCGCTCTCCTCAGGGCCGTTAGGGTGCCCTAATCTTTCCATTTTCTCAACGTCACCATCTTCTACACCGTCAGCATTGTAGACATCGTTGGGATATCCGTTATCCTGCATATTAGGTTGTAGAAAACGTTCGCTCCAAAGACCGTGTGGATGATCACATTCTCCAGCTGTGCACCTGGAATGTTGTCCGCGTGGTAGCCCGAACGCCGGACCTCTGAACGTTATATATAGTACAATTGCTCCAATAAGGAGCCGGTGCCCGCATGTCGCCGCCATGTGTAGCGATATTGTCTTCTTGCCGTGGTTTAAGTGTCGTTCGAGTCGCACACCCTGGGTGGGTGTACGCCCGTGTGAATTATCCTTTTTAATACACTAATAATATACGTCTGTATGACATCGATACTATTCCGCCGTAAAGTTTCTGACCGTCTTGTACATCCTCGCGTTGCGATGTCGTTTTGCTTGTGGTGTCCACATTTACAGCTCAACAATACCACTTTAGTTTATATGGAATTACAACATTACTTTTGTATATAATTTGGTTATACACCATCATTGGGGCGATTTAATGATGGACTAGGGTGTGTGTGTACATTTTACCTAGATGTACATCAAAATCGAAGTAGCTCGACATTTCTACTGGATTAACACTTATAAAATTTCTTGATTCCAACACACCTTTACACAGAGTGGTTTCTGGAGTCAAACCGTTGACACCCACCTTACCGCCTTCCACACCCTAACTCAACCTAACATAGCCTGCACAATGCTATATTCCAGATAAAACCAGCTGTAAAACTTGATATTATCATTTGCTATTATTTTAACTTTATACCACGGCTTAGTTCGGCATTTTTAGGCAATTGGTACTGTCTTGGCCCGCGTCTAGCAGGCGCCGATCTCGGGATTCCCCCCAAACCATACCGAATTCTGCACAATATATATACAGAACTAGTTGTATGATACAAGTGGGAAGATTATGGATTAGCGGCTTCTTGCTGCTGACCATAAGGCTGCTAAGTTCAGGGTCAAAATGGAGATTGCCACTGGCAGCAACACTCTCGGCCCCGGCTCCGCAGAGAAGACCTGCCCTAGGCCTTATTAACATCAGTAACGGTACTAGATGGCGCAATAAACTCGTAGAACCAGCCGCATGTTTCGTTGGACGATATGGAGCACCTGGACCTTGTAAAACTATATTCAGGGCAAAAAGACACTCTGAATTTGCTGCTACCGGTGATGACGGAGTTTCCGGAATCGCTAATATCGGACTTTTTCGACGTGTATGGGAGACGGTAAAGCGTTTTTTTGGAGCTGGAGAGAGGGCTGATGCTTCGCAACTCCTTCAAGTGAGAGACCGGATAACAGTTCCAGGCTCACGGCCATTCTCACCAATGACCATCAACATGGCAATGTCAGACACTGGCGCGGGTGCTCTCGCGGAGTCATCACCGTATGCTCAACTGGTACAATCTCAACCGTCGGCCGTAATGACGCATTTTGTGGACCAGGCGCCATTGCGTGTTCGGGAAGCAGTGAAGAGTACGGTGTCCTCCTTGGTAGGGTCATTGTATCGCCATTGTGTAGAAACAACGATCATAACCACGGCGGAGAGACTCGCAGCATTGATACATAGTATGCAAATGACGGGCTATATGTTATGGAACGCGGAGTGCCGATATTGCCTATCGCAGCAGCTGGAGCAGGACACTCCCCCGCCGCCTGCGAATGTTACCGCCAATGCAGAACGCAGTGGAGCAGGGTTAGAATTGAAGGACCAAATAACTCCACCTTGCAACAAAGATAGTCTCTTGTGGTATATCAAAAATATGCCAGACGAAACTGCCAACGCGTTACTTGACAACATAACAACGGACGTCATGGAGGCTATGCAAAAATCGGCCGACCTGGTGGTAGAGTCCCTAACTGGCATGGCGTTAGCCCAAAGGCCACCGATATCCACACCCATGAACAATGGTGCATACCCACCGAGGGTGATAGTCCAACAGACGGGATCGTCATGTGTACAGTTGTGTTTCTGGCAGCTGGCACTGGGATACTGTTTACGGCAGCAAGAAGCCAAGCTAGAATTACAAAACGCACTCAAAGATAGTTAATATCATTCATATAGCGATTTTCTGCTTCTTTGTTGATTTATTACGAGCGCCGTCGTCGGCGGGGTTGCGGCTCTGCGTAACATGTGCACACCATCTATAAAACACACCTCAAGAAAACGCAAAATTGAAAATAAACCGCTGTTAAGATCCGTTCCACTGTTTTCCACGCCAGATTCAAGAGTTGTCTGATAATAAATGAGAAAAATCAAGGCATACGGGCGTACCTCTAACAACGGACCGTCAGACGCAGAGCCACTCTTGACGTGCAGCAACTGATTGACAGGTATCGGTTCATAGTCATTCAGCGGTACGTGTTCAAAGGTGGTGCTATCAAGAGAACGCAGTAGATATTCGACAGCATCACTGTTTGCATACATTTTAGGAAATGCGCCATGGCGAGACGGTGTGGGCAACACACGAAGAAGGTCAAATAGCACCTTGGGAGGTGTAGCCACAGCATCGATGGGAGTTCCCTCTTCGGGAAGAACCGGACGCTTGCTGCCATGTAGAGTCGCGATAGCTTCGAGTGCGCCGCTACTCGCAGGGTCCAGAGCTGACATGTCAGACACGTTCGGCCTCACGATGGAGACCCGCTGAGAACGTTGAGCGTCTTCAGTTGCCGATCGCCGGGTGAAATTCGAAGGGCTCACTTTCGCCTCAATTGTCGATGCGGGAGTAGAACTGGCAGCGTCGACCTTGGGAGCCAGCTGGTGATCACCCAGCATGAATATAGGATCGAGTTCATCGTAGTCCAGTCCACCGCAGAAAAGACGTCGTCGAAGCTCAACAACAGAATTCATACCCTCCGTAGCCACTCGTTTGCTGGAGTCCATGTGTGTTTGCACAAAAGTGGGTCCGATATCACCGAACAACTGCCTGACGTTGATCGGTGCGTCGTGCTTGGATTTTTCTGCGAAGGTATCGAGACCAACCTCGTTGGCGATTCTATCCTGCACGAAAAGCGATTGTACTTGTGTAAAGTGGGCTTTCGACCCGTAGAAGTATTCGGCGTGTAGCCAAAAGTACCACAACTCCATTTTCTCCTGTGCTGTGTATTTTGACTTGTTTTCGCCAACCACAGTAGCCCCAACCAGAATTTCAGTTAGAAGAACACGTGCATCCACCATACGTCCCATATTAAGTAGGAACTTTATATGAAGTATGGTGTAATACATGTCAAAAGGCATACTATGTTGTGCTTGGTTTAGTATATTTGCCGCGGCATCCAGATCACGGAAACAGCGAAGTTCTGTATCTGCGGCGTACCAATAAAGCTCCCAGCTGCGAAGTTCCCCTTTAGTCAGTAGCAGATGTAGGTCTTCACGCCACTTTATACATCCCATGTTACGCCGGATGTAGTTAAGGTAGTGAATGAGTTTGATTGGTTGGACGTTGGCAACGACACCTGTCTCATCGAACTGCAGAAGTTGCCGAAGGTGTATATCCTCCTTATCGGTAACACCCTCGTCTACAAGTTTAAGTCCAATATCAACGAGCCTTTTGAACTCGATGGACGCATCTGCAGAGGAACCGAGATCGTCTAGGTATGCAGCAAGCACAAATTGCATTTTGCCTGGTGGTTAGATAACAACATAGTAAAGGTGGACCTACTGTCATCGCCAAGGAAATTCTTTAACGCAATTTTTAACTCGGAGATAGCTGTTGTTCATGAGCAAGTGTGTATCTTTAGACATTCCTACCTTTGTCTTGCTGTGAATTTGCCAGTAAAAACTGGAAATACATATACCATAGCCGTGCAGAAAAGACGTGAGGTGTAAGTGCCGCCTTAAATGTAAATGCAATTCTTTCTACCATTTCATCGGTTGGTAGGTTTAGAGGGTTTATCTCCTCATATTTTATGATATCGATCCAACAGTTGGTTAAACGGTCTCGTTCCGCTTTTTGTTCTTCGTTTAATTGGCGTTTACATGCCGGTTTTGCTGGTAGTACTTTGCGGTACATCAATGCTAGTTTTTCATAAACTTCAACTGATGCTTCATATACGATTTTTGCATCAGCGAGTAGTTTGGTGCACAGCACGTTTGCAGCGCTCACGATGTTCTCGAACATGGAGTATCCATCCCAAGCATGTTTGAGGTTGTTAGTTGGTGTTTTTAGCCACTGTGAGATGTGAATATAGATGCGCCTGAAGTTGACTAACCCTTTGAAACATCTTACGTACGTGGTTGACATCACTGTACAGTTGCAGATATGTCTGTTCCTTCTTGTCCAACGTGTTCACGCCACGGAACACCACCTGTTCAGCCTCCGAAGGGTATAGTGGTCCACCTGCTGAAGAGACCACCGACTCCTGTTCCCGAGTAAAATTGTTTATACAAGCCCTTACCGAGGGAAATAGATTAGGCAACAATCCCGTGTGAACATTGCGTTCCATAAGCTTACAGTTGTATATCTTCACTAACACGGTTATCAGCTCCTTCCATAAAGGATCTGCTCTTAGGTCCAAACCGACCTGCAACATTTTATCGGTGAATGTGCTCAACTTACCTTGTCGAGTGCCGTGAATAGCGCCGCAATATACTCGTGTACGGATGCCATATGGTATAGGAACTTAAGATAGGATACATGTAGCGTGTAATCATCATTGTTTTTGACAGCTGCGGTGTATACTTCAAAAGTTTGGCGCGTCCGTTTGTGCAATAGATGAAACAACGCACATCGGTGATGTACTTTCCAGTAATTTGGGAACATCCTACAGGCTTCTGTAAGAAGTTCGCCATCTTTGGTGACCTGTAACTCGAATGTATATAGTTGCGTCAATGTGTAATGGCGTCTTAAGTATCTTCGCCATTTATGTGTGGGCCACTCACCCTAATGTAGTTGTACCAGAGGGAGTCATCTTCAATTGACTCCAACAATAGTGCCTTCCCTGGCTCTTCCTTAGGTTTAGAACCGTTTAGTACCGGTGGTAGTAGAGGTGAAGAGCCATGGAGAATGGAAGGCAGGAGCTTATTGGCGGTGACTACCTTCGTCTGTTGCGATTTACTTTGCTCCTCCATTGTTTTCTGTAGTACAATTACAGGGTCTATCCCCTGAGCCTGCGTGGAAACGCAGTTCGTAGATGTTTAAGGTACACCGGACAAAGTGGCGTTTGTCGGTGCGGGATCGCTAGCTCCACACCCAGTTATTCCTGGGTTGGAGAAGCATAACACAAAGTGTTTTCAGATCCCTGATTACATGGTAATATGATGTGCTTAAGCGGTTAAATTTATCGGCCATATTTATCATCATCGCGCCTGTGCATGGGATCAGCCGCAGCAACGGCCCGCAAAACGCTTGTGGTAGTTTACGCTATAAGTATTGTATGTGAAGTGGGTCATCGGCAGGGCCACGTAGCCAGATTTGCATAAAATGTTACAGAAGGCTTGCTATAGATAAATTTATATGAATATTGCAGCTGTAAGTACAATGGATGATACTGGGATTTCCTAATACCATTGACACCCCAAATAGTCCATGTACTTCCAGCGCACAGTATACCATAGACATCTTTCATGCGTCCAAGCACAGTATCATTTAGAAAAAATGTGAAATGGCTCGGTGCACGAGCCGTGCAAGTATATGATTGCAGCTGGGATAGGAGGTGAAAGTTCAGGTTGGACCTTCCCTAAACCGTCAACCATTGGGTTTTGACGAACCAAAAAGTGCAATATAATGTACAAACATAGGTCTATAAGTGAGATGTGTCGTATTTAATTTAGCCCATCTAATGGGGGATGCAGCGATTTATTCACCAAGGTTGAGCGATGCTTTCCGCTCAAGAAACCGAAAGGGACACCTATTTGGCAGTTAAAATTATAAATGTAAATAGGTAAAGTAAAAATATACACGTTTTTAGCCACCGCATCCCATTGCGTCTCAGGGTCGTGCCGGCCCACGTGTTAGGCCGCCCCTTCCGCACACAGCTCAATAGGTGCCTATATTTCGCCGTAGCTGACCCTGCGATACTGCAGAGATTCAGAGGCTCGGGCTGGAGGCACAGCTATGTCTGTTAATCGCTAGCAAAATCGCGATACACACCTCACTTGTCAAAATGAATAGTATTATACACGCCGTTTCGGCGGTTGCCTGGTGGATACTCCTCACGGGATCCTGGAATTTATCAGCTAATGCATATCTACTTGTACCAGATCCACCGGTAAGTTGAAACTACTGCCTGCCACTGTTAAAGGGAGAATGTGGACTGCCAGTGTGTGCCATATTTTGACTTTTATAATGCCATCGCAGCTAGCCGAACAACTCACAGCAGAGACTTACGAGGAATTCCTCAAAAGCACTGACAAGACTGCAATTGTGTTCGCATATCCTTCAGCAGCAGTATTCGGCCAAGCAAGCATTATGGAGTTCGCCGTTGTTACCAAGATGCTGGAAGGTAACACCAAGGTAAGTCAAAAATAGTTGGAAATAACAATATATAGTGCAAATTGGGTATGTACCAGATCAATTTGACCATCAATTCACCAATTGAGATGATGAAAGCATCACTGAGTTACCTAAAAGATGGTGAATTGGTATCAATGCCAGGAGAGGTCAACAAAGTCGCGGGGATCATGTCATGGATCACACGCGAACGTATTTGTGATATGCGTCTACAGTCTATAGACTCTGCTCGCTACTACCTACGTGCTCTCGAAAGAGGACATGTACACACCCTGTTGATTATGCGCGAAGGATACCATGACCCAAAGCTGGAAAAACAAATTTATGATACTATCATGGACACAGGGTTGAGCACACCGTTCATGGTCGCTGATAGAGATGATATCATCCGACATACCTTCAAGACACATCGTTTGAGTGAGGACGCTATGATGCCAGTAGGATTGATGATTACAAGAAACACATCAAGGCAACATCCAATCAAGTTCCTATATGAGAACCTTAACGATATGGATGTAGTACGTGATTTCCTCTTCAAGGAATTGGTACCACCAGTACACGATACCAACTCGTTCATGCTTAACGAGGTCGTGAAGATGCATAAAACTATGGTATACATCTACACCAAAGAAGATAACCTAGAAGTGAGTATTATTACTTTCACGAAATGTCATATGATGCAGGACTACATCGACCTAGACTGGCTCAACAGCTTCGCATTGGAAAACAAAGACAAATTCATATTCATTCACTCTAAAGGTGATGACACCGTTGAAGAGAGGTTGAACCATCTATTGGTAATCGACAGTGATTACGTTGAAACGGCCGTACGTGCCTTTGAGCTTCACCCAGAAAAAATGGAGTTCGTTAAGTTCAGGCCACTCGACCTACCAGATGGCACACTTACACAAACGGTATGTGGAGCATCATAACGTCATATTCCATGCAGCACTTGATAAAATTCATCAATGATCTGCGCGAAGGAAAGATTAGGCATTTCGTAAAATCTGAAATGGCTATTCCTGAAAGTATTGACGTCGGTCATGTTAAAACCATTGTCGGAGAGGACTTCCACGGGCGTGTCATAGATTCCGACCGTGATGTGCTCATGTTGTTCTTCTCACCGTGGTAGGTGGTACCCTGATAATAGCTCAACGGCGTGAACAGGTGTGGTCACTGCCACCAGGCCAAACGTGTCTTCCGGGAACTAGGCCGTCGTCTACAAGGTATCGACTCAGTGGTTGTTGCTAAGTTTGACGCTTACAACAACGAGGTGGAAAACACTACCTTTACCGCGTACCCGACGATACTATTGTACCAACACGGAGCGAAGCACAACCCTATCGAGTACGTCGGCGAGTTGACCATAGAGGCCCTCGCCAAATTTTTGGAAAGCGAATGCAGGAGGGATGTCGTCAAATCAAGCACTATATTAGAACGCGAGCTCGAACACGAGCAGCTGTTTGAACGCCACACCGAACTTTAAAACGTGGCATAACCAACATAAAATGTACCAAGACGCAAAACACACAAATGTGATGCTCTCGCGGGGGACACCACGCAAGAGTGTAATATGATATTTAATGTAAACAATTACTTGTACATTGGTGATCCTGTAGCCAAGGCCACTACACGCTGAGTAGCGATGACATCCCGAATTTTGGGGATAAAAGAATAACAGCTGTTACAACCGTACCGCATCAAGTACACCATAGTGAACCGATGACTTGCAGCGTGTGTTCAGGAGCTGTTAAACACAACGAAGACCCACTTGCGTTTAATGCGATGTGTGAGGGGTCCCGTAATTAGCAATCATGTGGATATCATACACACTGTATTCCCGGAGAAACAAAGATTTTAGCCGCCGTAACAACCTTGGAACAGTCTAGAGAGAGAGGAAGTGCAAAGGAAAACTCATAACGAGATGAAAACACGTCTACACGTCTACCTACGAACACCGCCACGCTTGACGTATTCGTTAGATGAAGATCGACGCCGACGCTTAATTGTAGTCTTCCTCACACCACTCTTATATTGGGGTATAAACTTAGCAACGTAAACACAAGAGTTGACACCCGAAAACGCCTGAGACTGCTGGACAACAGATGCTACCGCAGATGAAAAACGGGTACCGCTGATGTCCACCTCAGGTATCTCGTGAGGACCACTACCTTCAAGCACGATCCTTGGGTGCCAATACTCTTCAGACGCAGCAGCCAATGTCAAAGGACCTAGAGTCACAGGAGGTACATTCTTGTTTGGTTGGGAACTATCGCTGAAACAATAGTCCCATGTAGGAATAACTGATACGCTACCACTTTTAAAAACCGGCAAATCAGAACTCAATTTGCCGATCTCAGTTAACAGCTCATCCATCTGATCCCTAGAGATAAGAAGGTCGTTGCATAAATCCATGCACTGCTGCTCAGAAAACTCATCTAACTTCTCCATACCGTCAAAACCATTGCTAAGCAAGCTTCGAGCGATGGGATGCATATGTGCATTCTGACCAGTGGCATGAGCAGAGGGAAACCTCTGTAACCCGAACTTTTCAACCTCTTCAAGAGTGCGCAGACCAAGAGAGTGCCAAGTGCTCACTAGACGTAACCGCTTCTCAATTTCAATACGAGCCACAATTAATTTAGTCAATTTCAGGTGGTCTTCCTCAGTGTGGAACCGCATAAGAGGGGTAAGCCTCCAGTAAGCGGCCTTTTCTATCTGGTTCATGGACTGCAGGCCAACCTCTCTCGTGGGATAGTCTCCCCAAAAACGATGTATCATTATTCGCTTGTGGTATATGCGGTCATCTAACATGGAGTTATAAATCTCTACCACACGAAGTTTGAAGTCTACTTCGGCAGGAGTGTCCAAAGGTTCGAATTCCAAATCCTTGATTATAGACTCAGCATCGTTATTATGCTCAGGGTCCAACTCATCTCTATACACGTTATATCCAGGGAAGTTTTGAAAAAACTTGAGCTGCGCACTACCGGCGGTGCGAACGTCAAGCGGTGGCGGGATTATGTCCACATGGTTGACATTCACATCGGAGTAGGGGAATATCTCCCAAGAACGATGCTTGTCATCGCGATGTGCCTGTTGCACGACGTTGAAGAAATTCTGCAAATGGTCCATTGCCTGCCGATTACTCACGGGGGTCATCATACGGCGAATATCCGGAAAAGGACTGCATGGCGAGTGAATGTAAAACTCATTATAATGGTTTTCGCACTCTACGGCGGACTTGTTCTTAACGCTTCGACGATTTACCATGTCAGCCACCTGATTCCAGTTACCAAAACCGTATTTGCTGATACCCTCCAGTAAAAGAAGCTCTGTATCACCATTCCAATCACCAAAAAGTGTGAAAGAGTGTGGAGAAATAGGGGTGTAACTATGGTCATTTTTGTGATCGTTCTTCTCAGCTCCTTTGCAAGCACAGGGGATGCAGAGATCAAAGTCAACACACTCCATACAACGGATACGGAACGTACCAAGAGGCAGTGCGGTCTGACAGACGTTACAGTAGAAATCCACTGCAAGAGGCCCTGGGTCAAACTCATGGTCTCCAGTTTGTGGATTAAGGGACCACATGCAGTACTTATCCGCCTCCTCCACGTAATGCTCAATTTCCTGCTTTACTATCTGCGTCTTACTCTCAGCCGCATCGCTCTCCTTATCAGTGCGCTCCTCGTTCTTAACGGCAGCCACATTCGCATCTATAAACCCACTCTCTGTATGCCCGAGATCGAGACCATTATAGGGCATTGGAGTAGTCTCTATATCTTTGGTTTCAGGCTCACTATGATTTTGATGCGATACCGCAGTGCTAATATCGTCAGAACCCATGTGGCCGGGGCCTATTCCGTTGTTATAACCCATATGCTCTGGGCTAGGGATCGGATAGTGGGCCACATCCATCGGAGTCGGCTGTTGATTGATCATATGCCCCAAAACCTGGTATGGTTCACCCATATCGTTGTATAACGGTTGACAATTGGCACCGTTAGCGAACTCATGGCTCTCACTGCCAGGGCCGATCCCACCTAATATCGTTTGATGAGAGCCATTAATGATAATGGGATTCACTCCATGATATGCTCCCACTGCAACACCTGCAAAAGGCACCTCCGCAGCTACAGGGATCATTACAGGGGCGCTAGCAAATGATTCCATGAACTCATTGCCACCACCAACAGCCTCGATTAGAGATTCGATAGAGTCCGTGTGTATTGGACCACCTTTCATCCCCAATGCACGAGGGTCCCCATTCGGATTTTGTTTCTTTCTCTTGTACAAATTACCATTAGACCTCGCTGGTCCACTGTCGGAACCACTGTTTCCACGTGATTGCCGGCTACCTTTACCCTTGCGAGGTTTACCGGCAGAGCGGCGAGTACCCTTACGTTCAACTCTGAAGTCCTCATCGGAATTGCTGAGATCAACTTCCGTTAAGTCACTTGCCATTCCATCAGCGTCTCTACCGATGATACCTGTTGCAGTGTGATCATCAGGATACGGCGAACCACCGCCATACATTCCAATCGTTTCAGTCCCGTAGACTGCCCCCGCAGTAACAGCAGAGGCAACATTATAACCTTTAGCAGCGATATTAATGTACTCCTCCGCATCAGTAAAAATGCCTGTGGAGTCTTCGTGTTGATTCTGTTCTGAACCCCGGAAGGCTGCAAACGCCGGATTGTGATATGTGTCGCACCCAGAGTCCGGATACAAGACATCCGAAGCATCACACATCGAATTGTAGTCATCTGAATCCCTCGGGACGGTGTCGTCTTCAGTATGCTCATGGTCTATGTGCGATGAGGGCATACCCTTCTGTGGATCCAATGTAGGATATATATTTCTCGGTACCTCGAAATTCTCGAATTCGTGGCATTGTGATTCAGATAACAAGTCGATGGCAGCATTTCCGTGTTGGCGAACTTCGGTTTGATCGTCAAATCCATATTCAGCCATGTCTACGTTCAAAGCAGCGTCCTGCGCAAAGCATACCAAGTTTTAGGCAGCTTGACATTTTGTAAAGCTCGTAGAAGTGTGTTTCGCTACCGTAGCATAAGCCCAGTGCGTCAACTACCGCGGAGGCAATACGTGCGCGCGGCAAAATGAACAACTGTACGACGCCTAATAGAGCAACGCGGCACCGCCGCCTAAAACCACAAATAGCAAACTATTTAAAAAGGCCACTTATATTCTTCGCAGATCTGCGGACTATTTACAACTAACAAATAAGGGGAAGGCCTACATGTGAGGGCACCACCATCGATATATATGGAGGAAGAAGAACGCGCACACGAACTTAAACATTTTACAAACAATAGGGTGTGTATCATGTATTAACATATATATGCCCAAAAGAGTGATCAGAGCTGGGCTTCTGACACTCGCCGAGGATCGCATGGAATCCTGCCTCAAAATGAGGGTTTACTCTCGATAGACGCCTATTAGCTAACATAATTCTCTGATTTCGTCAAAATCATCACTGTAGTTGGTGCTGCACGTATGCGGGCACAATGTATAACTGCAATAATTGCATCAGAAAAGGAAACAGCGGAACATACCCGTTGCCCTTCCAGAGTTGTGATACAACCAATCGTCAATAGATCTTTGTAAGATAACTATTGGATGTGGTTGACATCAATGGAGACGAAAAGCGCTTCAGATGACGATAGACCGGTGGTACCAACCGCCATGTCTGCCACCTCCAGGTAGGCAAAGTATCTCTGTGGATATAGCATCACAGAACTGACCCAGACCACTACTTAGACGTACTGAAAACAGCATCTGTCTTGGTAGTCGGAGCGGGAGGGATAGGTTGCGAAGTTATCAAAAATCTGATACTTTGCGGGATACGCAAAATGGACATTGTAGACCTCGACACCATAGACATGTCTAACCTCAACAGACAGTTCCTCTATCACAAAGAGGACGTAAAACGATATAAAGCAGAGGTTGCATGTGAACGCGCGCGTGCAATCTCACCCAAGTCGGATATATCAGCTAAGGTATGCAACGTACTGGAATGGCGGCCGCAGGATGTGGCAGACTATGATGTGGTGCTCAATGCACTTGATAATGTCAGAGCGCGATCACACATCAATTATTGTTGTATGCATGCGGGTTGGTTTAGAAGTCAATTAGATCTCCAACAACCATACAGGAGTACCGATAATAGAGTCTGGGAGCAGCGGATTCAATGGACAGGTATACCCTATAGTACACGGGGTTACACCGTGCTATGACTGCCACGAAAAACCACGTACAAAGTCTATTCCAGTATGTACCATCCGACAAATACCAGAGAAGCCGGAACACTGTATCGCGTGGGCACGTCATCTATACGAGTTAATATTCGGTACAGCAGACAATGGCAATGTTCTCAATGACCTTGCCATACCGTATATCCCACAGTTGGGCAACATAACAAAACGCACAGCTCGAAAATGGGCCCATGATGTCTTCAAGTTTCTATTCGACACTCAAATATCAGAACTACTGTCACTAGAACAGGTTTGGGCAAACAGGCAGGCACCTGCATGCATCACCTACCAGTTCACAGATGACAAATCTGACAACGATTCCGAAACTGAAAAACCAGCATCTGAGGAGGATGAAACACAATGCAACCCCGCAACAAACGACAAAGCGGGGTCGCCGGCCTCTCCGGACATGATGCCGGCAGCCAAAGTAAGAAGGGTTGAGACGCAAGAGGCTGAAGCGGTAAAACCAGAATGTACTCTGGATAAATCTCTACGCAACGCCGCTTTACACGCAGAGAAACAATCGAACACGCTGGAAATCGGTATTCAGGACAAGATGCGTATAAGCCAACCCGAGGAACTCGCCGAACAGTTCAGGGACTCATTATTGCGCTTCATCACAGAGCGACAGGATGCAATTGGTCATGCGGTCTTCGACAAAAACGACCCTCTGTGTATACAGTTTGTTGTGGCGGCTTCGAACCTACGCATGATCAATTTCCACATACCGCAGCTCAATGCGTGGGATATAGAGTCGATTGCAGGGGCGATCACACCTGCTATAGCAGCGACTAACGCCATTGTAGCTGCTGCCCAAGTTATGCAACTCGTACATCTTTTGAACGCTCGTCATGAAAACGGTGGAAATCTGTCACGCGAGGCACTCAAAAACAGCAGGTGCAGATTTGTATGGGTCAGGTCCAACGTTACGGGATCGTCCCCGCTGGTGAAAGGGCCGCTGTGCAGTCCAGAAACGCTTGACGACCCTAACTCCAATTGCGCAACTTGTCAGAAGAAACTTGCTCGGGTAGAGCTACACTCGCTAGATGACTGGACGTTGACATCGTTTGCAGAGCGCGTTTGTGTAGGACAGATGGGCATGAGCATGGTTAACATCGATGTTGACGGGCGTAACATATTAGACTACGAAGTACTGGAGGAAGACAATGAGTACGCGAAGAGAGCACGCGACAAAACGCTTACGCAGCATGGCATCTCACATCAGTCGATTTTGACCGTCACATGTCTGGACAGTGGCAGACAGGAAGACGTACAGCTACTCGTAGAGCCTTCAGTCCCACTGGGAGAGTTTAACCTGGTTAAATTTGACTGAGCCACTACGTACGGGGAGCGAGGCTATCTTGGTGCTGATGCAGTGGCCGGGAATGGGTTATGTTACGTGCACCAAGGACGGCAGAATCAAATGTCACTCTGACTTCGTTGACTATAAATGTGTAAACATTTTGGGATGTCGCGGCGCCCTTGCCATCTTCTATCGCTGTGGATTCACTTATTGTAGTGCGTCACTGTTGGATGGACGTGATATAAAGTATAAACGGAAGTGCCCACAATTCGACACTCAATTGGACGATATAGTTCAGGGCGGTTGATTCAACACGCTCATCAAGGCCATCAATAGCGTCAAATATCACATAAGAGAACCAATCATCACTTTTTTTCGTAAATTACAATATAAAAATATAACGTTCGTGACGTGCTTAGGATTACGTCACTTCTGTTGGCATCAATTATGGCTCAAGATGCTACAGTGAATTTACAACGTGGTTGAGATAGCATTAGTAGGAGTTTGTAACATTCTCCGTCGTCTAAGATATCCATACGGCACAGCATTGTGTACCCACATAACACATTTGTATTGCTGCCCTCCTACGTTCACTGTGATACAGTTTAGTAAACATAATAAGTTATAATTATTTTCTACTCTTTCTGAAGCTCAAATATGATCACTCTAACCTCTGAGTACAGGGCGCTCTGGCCCTGGGTGTTTTGGTGAACGCCACCGCGCCAGAAGTCCCTGATGCAACCTAAATGACTTTCCAGTCAGTTAAGTTGACCATTTCGATGAATAATTCTACCTCAATCCTACCAGCAACTGGCGTATGCCTTTCCAGGAATGGCTGGCACGGTGTGTCCGAAGTGGCGTATGTCGATTCGTCGATTATTGCGCATAATGACACATCCTTTTGCAATCTGGCAGCCAATTATGGCTTCCTAGTAAGTGTAGAGTACAAAAATGAGTTATTATGCGACACATACAGCCATTAAAGCTCTCGGGGTCTAGGTCAGAAGGCACTGTGCGACCATATCCTGGACCACGGGATGGCGAATAGCCATTGGCGTCGGGAATACACAGAATTCAGTACACATATACTTGTTAGTGAGCATTCACATCTTAGCGACCCAGTTGTTGCATAGAAGTAACATATTTTGAGAAAAATACTCAGATTGTCTAAAGTCCTTTCTAAGACATGTTATTTAATACTAATGTAAAAAACATTAGATGAACTCTTCTTAGATATCGGTGTTAAATAAAAGGTTTATAACCGACTGTGAGTGGGTAGAATATTTTTTAAATTTGAATAGTCAAGAACATGAGTGACCGTGTAAAGAATGGTATATTGGACCCTCCAACTAACCTAAAAGAGGCAATAGATTGGATATTAAGGGTAACAAATAGAGACGGGTTAGATGACACCAAAACGCATACTGGTAAGGGTATTGACTATATATTTCATTCTGTTTAGGTGGTGTAAGCGGGCTGGCCGGGGAAGTTAAAAAACTACTAATCCCTGCCAGGAAGCATGTCAAAGAAAGAAATATTAAGGATCTGATCGATAAAGTGACCCTAGCATTGGAACAAGAGAGGGAAAGTGGTGATATTGCCATTGGAGGGATACTCGTTCCACTGAGCGAGAAGTTGAAAACATTTATTGGAAGCCGCAGCTTGGTCGATAACTCGTTGAAGGCAGATGGTATTGCTAGTAGTGGGTACGTATCGGCTTACAGGGATAACGCTAAGTGGAGTAAATCCTTTGAAAAAATCGAGCGTGAAAAATGCGCCCAAATATTCCTCGGCTGTATCCCATTGATCTTCTCTGGCCTCAGCTATCTCTACTGGCAATGTAATGTAACAGATGGAAGTTACGGTCAGACGCTTAAGGTCCGCGCGAATGCAACGATAAAAAATGAAGTTAGGTGGACCGGGACTTGGGCACAAGTAACAACCACAGATATCTCCAAGACTATTCCACAGAGAATCAATGACGAAACCACCAAACTATCGGTCTTTATGGAGACTATGGGCTATGATAAGCACCAGTTGTCCGATAAGAAAGGTGCGGACGTAGAAGAACTGCTTCGTACGTTCCTTGAATTCAAGGAATGCAAAGATGTAAAAAAGGAAAGTGTACCATCATATGCTCAAACTAAGATTCAAACCACAAAAATTGTAGAAGGGCCGTACGCTGAGTACATTGAATTTTTATACGGCCATAATGTGGCGGAGGTAATGAGCAACCGAATTGAGGACCGTCCATTGGTTAACTTGTTTATCGCTACTCAATCATATTTCCAAGTCTTACAAAGTAAATACCCGTCATCTTGTGGTAAAAAGCCAAAAAGTATACGTGAAATGTTATACTGGTTAATGGGATTACCCTACTCCCCTATGTACCTCGAAATCAGAAAAAGCCATTTAAAAGACCTACTACATAAAAGCTATTATGTTATTGATTTCGTCAATGGAGGCAAAGACTCCCTACCCTTCGCATTATCAAGTGCCATTTACTACCTCCTTGCTTCGTGTTTCTACTCAGGATTCGCATTGATGGCCATCGAAGGTGAATTGAAGGGTAATGTGAGGGCAGCTAAAGATCGCAGAAGTGATCCGGTATTACTTCACGAGATATTTGCAAACACTGGCTTCAGATTTCATTATCCACCGACTGTACAAGAGTGGTTTAGTATGCTCTGGGATGTCGTATGTCCCGTATACTCTCAACTGACTTTCTTGAGGACACAATGCCAAAAATGTTTATGTGTAGCTAGAGGATGGGAGTGGTGTACATATGGCCAAAGTGTAAAATGCGAGAATATAAAGTCTTGGATATGCGAATCTGAAGATCTTTCCAAAATAGAAACGAGAAAGGATGGAGCAATCACATGTACAGAGGCTAATTGTAAGGTAACGCATGCTGACTGCGGCAAAGATAGAACAAAGCCCTCTCCACTCCAAGCATATCTAACGGATGTTCTACCAGGTTTCGAAATCGATGCTTCTCAAAAGGATGAGTACAGTGTCCCTGGCCACGACGTGACCCTGGCTTTAACATCTAAACAACGGACTAAGATTGCAATGGGATTCGCAACTCACCTTCCAGCATCTAAGCGCAGAGGTTACCACCTCTTTTGGACATTGAAGGATTACACGGAAGACAAAATCACAGAAGTCAGTGTATACAACATTATATTGTCTTTGTTATCCTCTGGTTTACGTGCACCCTCCACATTGGGAGACTTATTCGGATTCTTCCTTTTCTTAGGAAGGTTTTACAGTAGCAAAGGTAGCGATAACAGCCTGAAAGACGTCCTGGTAGAACTTATCGATAGTCACCCGGGTGTGCATAAATCTCATGAGGATGGCAGCCACTTCACCGATTACATTGAGAAGCTGCACGGCACTTCAAGTGACAACCATGAAGGTTTAATAAGTCTACACCAATGTACGACTGTTGATACATCGTGTGGAAAATACCTCTATCCCCTTTCTTATGCATTTTACAAAACTTTGTCTCTCAAACACGCCAGCATATACCTATCTTGGGCAGTATATCTACCAAAGGAACTTAAACTGGGTCTGCAACAACTCTACGAGGATTTCAACAAGATCGATTGCATGGATTCCAAGTGTAAAGAGTGCAGGACCGGTATCACGTGTAGATCTGGTACCCATGGAGAGAAAGATAAGTGCCATTGTAAAACCATCGTACAATGTGCTGGAGTACTCCCACTGTTCTACAAATATGGGTTCGTGTACAATAATGCTGAAGCTTTAAATGGAAACCTAAAAGAGGTGCCGCTCCTTTCAGAGAAACGGGCAAGGAAATGTCATCAATTTTCGGAACAACTGCAAAACGTTCTCGATAGCGATGCGCTCACTAAATTAGTTGATGGCGCTACCCAATTCCTCATCAACCTCCGTTTTCCATTCATGATGTTTACTGCCGCTATGTGGTTGGCTGTGTTTCTCTACTTTATGTACGCTTTATTGGTTCCACTCAACATATTACGCTTTGGAATACACGGGGATGGTGACTCCGGACTAAAAGCATCACCCATCACCCTTTTGGCCTACACCACTGACGTGCCTAAACCTGTCTATGTATGGCCATGACATAACAACTAATTTTAATCATTTAAAAAGATAGATATTCAATTTCACTGTATATGAGCTAATTTTCCTTGTAAATTAACAAATAATGTAGTATATGATTTTGAATCTTTTCATAGAACCTGTGGTATGGTTATAGACAAGGGAAGACTGATATTGTGTGTCGTCCTAATATCACCAAGAGAGAACACTATGGTGTGACATCTCATAGCACTAATAAAAAGAAAAACTTGATAAAATGTGTCACTATATATCCCACCCGGTTCATTGTCACAAAGAATGGAGAGACGTTGTGCCGCAAGGGAAATTGAAGGTTGTCCTAGGCCTCGTAACTAACAACATATGAGTTGTACAACTTTTGTGCGATATAGTTTTTGCAAAATGCGTAAATGATTAGCTATCCATATTATGCAGCTTCTAGTGGGAGTGGTGGGTTAGTCACCAGATTCGGCTCGCATTATCATTATGGCATACTTGTGATCCCAAGCTACGTGATTACCGTCTAGGCAATCAAGGGATGACGAAAGTTGCAAATTTCATGTGGAAGGAGCTCATGAGACAATCTCTTTCTCAACTATTAAAATAGGAGAAACAATGCGTTAGAGATGGCATTTACACAACTTATGATGACTACACAAGGTACGAGAGACCAGCCAAGCTGTACCTCGTTAAAAAAGCGTTGTCTTAAATGAACATCGGACCGATGCTACATTTGTAATTAAGATACCATTCGCTTGCGACTCATGAAAATTATAGAGACAACAAAGTTGCAAATGTGTTAGATTACTACTTGTTCACAGAAGAAAGATACTTTTGAAGGTTTGGCTGTGATCCGGTGTATCGGTACAAGGCGTAATAAAAACAACGCCGACTGAGCCGAATCATGTTAACACACATTATCACCTTTAGCCTAAAAACAACAGTTTAATGTGCAGCTGCTCGGAGGTTAGTTTCGTCGGGATACTAGATTGCTTGGGAGGCGTGTCCCAGTCGCTGCGATTCATTTCTGCTCTCTCCCCACTCCGCAGCCGGTAGTCACAAACATTTTTACGTGCGAAATCTTGCATTAAAAAATTTCGACTTTTGATCAAAATGGTAGGTGCATATGCATTATAAATTAGTTGCTGTTTGTGTGCTGCGACCACCAAGTAATGGTTTAGACTACCCTATTTCTGTGATTCGTGCAAGCATATAATGTGAAATTTATGAGTGTTCGGAGTTTTGTTTACGGCGTTTTAATTGTTGTTTGTTCATGTTGGTGTCGTGTCCTGGCTTTCGGACGTACAGTGTAGACACTGTCGTGCCGTGTCTATGTCCCATCAAACATCCTTCTTCTGGATCGGGTGTCAATTGGTTGTACTATCGTGTTATTTTACGGCTTTCATTTCACTGTGACGTTGCCATTTCGTTTTGTTAATTTGCGATTCGTGCGTTTTCGGGATTACATGATGTGTGTTCCCTCCGACATGTTTGTTTCTTTATTTTACTAAACGAACGTTATCCTGTCTATATGTATTTCGCGCATGTTCAATGTTTTTCAGGTGAAGTTGTCTCAAGAACGCGCCAAGGAGTTGGCAGAAAATGCCCGCCTGATTGCTGCCCCTGGCAAGGGTATCCTTGCTGCCGATGAAAGTACTGGCACTATTAAGAAGCGTTTTGACAATGTTGGTGTTGAGAATACTGAGCAGCACCGTGCGGAATACCGTTCTATGTTATTTTCAACCAAGGGTCTTGGCCAATACATTTCGGGTTGCATTTTGTTCGAAGAGACTTTGTTCCAGCAATCTCCTTGCGGAAAGAGCATGGTTCAGCTTTTACACGAGGAGGGTATTTTACCCGGTATCAAGGTCGACAAGGGTTTGGTTACTATCCCCAACACTGATGAAGAGGTGAGCACCACTGGTTTGGACGGTTTGGCTGAAAGGTGCCAGAAGTACTACAATGCAGGTGCTCGTTTCGCCAAATGGCGTGCTGTTTTGTCTATTGATGTTCAAAAGAACAAACCTTCTAACCTGTCTGTGCTTGAGACTGCTCACACTTTGGCGCGTTACGCCGCCATTTGTCAAGAGAATGGTTTGGTCCCTATAGTGGAGCCAGAGATTTTGGCTGATGGTGATCACTCTATTGAGGTTTGCGCTGAAGTTACTGAGCGTGTATTGTCTGCGGTGTTCAAGGCTCTGAGCGATCACAAAGTGTTGCTCGAGGGTGCTCTTCTGAAGCCTAACATGGTAACTCAGGGTGTTGACTGCAAGGATAAGCCATCTCCTCAAACAGTCGGTTTCCTTACCTCACGTACTCTCCGTCGTACTGTGCCACCTGCTCTTCCCGGCATTATGTTTTTGTCTGGTGGTCAGTCGGAGTCTATGGCTACTCTTCACTTGAACGAGATTAACAAGTGCAACAAGCACCCATGGAGCCTCAGTTTCTCATACGGCCGTGCGTTGCAATCTTCCTGTTTGAAGACCTGGAACGGTTCTCTTGCCAATGCCGCTGCTGCTCAGGCTGTTCTTTTGAAGTTGGCCCAGCAGAACTCTGAGGCTGCTTTGGGTTCATTGAAGAGCGAATTGTCTGACGATGGCGAGTCGTTGTTCGAAGCCAAATACATTTACTGAGTAACCATGAAAAACTTCTTATAATTGTTCGTTGTTTAGCGTCCATTATAGATTTAGCTGTTTTCGCGTACTCCCCATTAGGGGTGTCGGTGGCTCATATTAATTGCTGCGTCGACGCTGGTAGTCGCTACTATTTTTCTAACTTCTGAGCATAATTTTCTATACGCAGTGTTGAGAAGGCTGTCTATAATTTCGCCAAGATGTCGTTGCCGCTTGACGCGTCCACTAAGGTGATTTCGGAAGTTTCTGATACCAGTGTGCAAAACCTGAGCATTCAGGAGTTGAACCTATTGATTTTGAAACTGGAAGAGGTATGTCTACACTGTAATTGTTGTCTATATCTCATGTCGCAGGAGATCAACCATATGCAAAATTTGGTGAACGTTCTAACGGGAGCTGTAGAACGTTTAAATGAATCTAAGAATTGTCTCAATGAATTTACTGAGGAGCGTCATGAGATCCAAGTGCCATTGACATCTCTTGTATACGTTCCGGGTGTGTATTATGTTTTGGTGTTATTATAAGTTTTTAGGTGAGATAGCCAACCCAGGAAAGGTGTTAGTTTCTGTTGGTACCGGTTACTTCATTGAAATGACTACTGCTAAGGCGAAAGAGTTTTATGATCGGTGAGTTGTACTGTTGTTTTTCTTAACCAGTTTACAGTAAGATCGAAGCCGTGGAAGACCAGTTGCGCAAGCTTCAGACAATTTGTACTACAAAGAACAAGCAAATTACAACAGCGTATTCGATCCTTGACCACAAGTTGAGCCAGTTGCGTAGCGCTCAGGCTGCGGCTGGAAGCGCTGCTCACGCTTAGGATGGGGGACGATTTGTCGTTCTCTGACATTATTCTGTCATTCACATACTGCAAAGTACAGTAATATCGCATAAAAAATACAATGTGTTATTTCGGTGCGTCAACATATTATCAGTCCTTCGATGTGTAGGACCTAAATATGTTTCTATTTCTTCGTTTTAATTAAATATAACACTTAGGGTGATTATGCAATTAAATCGAGATGGCAAATGTACTATTAAACCACCAAGAGGAGATAGTTTCGGCGGTTGAAAGGCACAACGTCGTTGCGGTTTCTAGATGCCGTGACTCTTCCGCATTTGCCTATATTCCGTTTTTTCTTTATAAGGCGGGGTTTACAACAAGCAATGCCTGTAGAAAGAGTCCTCCACGTATAGCGGTTGCACATTCTCGGGTTAAGGATGTCTTGACCAGTGCCGACTCATGTTCATCGCTTATCGGTAATCCCTCTAAAGTTTCATCTCATCTAGGTCCGGCTAGTACCCTTGACTCCTCAGCTGATATTGTGTACGTCACAGAGGAATGTTTGTTACGAAGGGTAATTTCGGATCCTCTGCTATCGGATTACGGCGTTGTGGTCCTTACAAATGTAGAGAAACGGCTACTTAGCACGGAAGTACTTCTCGCTTTGTTGAAGCGGATCCTATGCAAACGATCGCGTTTGCGGATAGTATTATGTTTTGATGGAGGCCATGTTGATGAGGTACTGGCTTTCTTTCGGCAACGTAGTAGGGACAGCGTTGCTTCGGTCGATGACGTGGATGGCGGCGATTTGTCCAAACCAAGTTTGGGATCCTTGAAACCACTAGATGCGGTCTACCATGTTCGTCTAGAGGGCCCTGAAGAATTGTACGAGGTGCTGTATCTCTCTGCACCGTGCCCAAACTACCTCGACACCGCTGTTTCCACAGGTATGTAAAGTGGTCTTCGAAATTTGATTAGTTGCAGTGTGGAACATCTGCAAGAATGAATCTCTCGGTAACGTATTGGTGTTCGTGCCATCTAGTGTAGAGCTGGATATGTTGCATAAAAATTTACTGGAAAGTGCCAAACTTTTCAGGGACCATGGTGTTGGCGGCGTGAACGTCACTCCGTTATACCCTACGGGCACTAAGGAATACACCCATAAGTACAACCCGCATGCGTCTAGAACCATCTACATCTGCTGTGATTTTAAGGATTACCGTAGCAAACTTGATAGCATCACTTATGTGGTCGATTGCGGTTTTAGTCGTCGCAATGTTGCGGACTACATCAATACTGGCTCTGTAGAGTGTAACGTACATGCTACACGTGACGAGATGCGTCAGAGAGCTAGCGTTATACGTGGTAAGGGTAAATGTTATAGGCTCTTGACGGAGGCACATTTTAATGACAATAGTATTGTGATGGAGTACCCGATTTCCGAGATGAAGACTAACGACCTCACATCTACAATTCTTTTTATTAAGTCGTTGGGTGTAAACGACTTCTCCCAGTTTGAGTTTGTTGTGCAGCCTCCGATCGCCGCTATTGAGCACGCTCTGATTTCTCTTTTTTTGTTAGGTGCCATAGACAACAGCGGTGAGATAGTGTATCCTTGTGGTAATATAATGGCTGAGTTACCGTATACGGCTATGATGTCCAATTTTCTCTATCGCAGTACTGAGCTGGGTTGTTCTGAGGAGGCGCTTACAATTTGTGCGATGCTTGAAGTTCAGGACTTGGTACTGAAGCGTGGCAATATGAATTCCATGTATCAAACTGAACGTTTATATTCTGCGATGCTTGGTTTTGGGGCAAGTGAAGGTGACTTCGTTTCTTATTTCAACGTTTACCAGCTGTCTCGTTACTACCGAGACGAGGACGCTCGTTGGTTAGGAAGGTGTGTTTGTAACCATAATGTCATTTTCTGAAACTTATTTTAGGCACATGGTAAGTGGTTCTGGCATTCGTTTGGCTGAGAAGAAGAGGGCTGAGTTGGCGGCGCTTCTCAAAAAGTACCAGCTACCAGTGGTTAGTACATGATGTAATATTTCATATTCTTTATAGGCAAGTTGTGGCGACAAGATAGAAACATTGATGGAGGCTATCTTCAAAAGTTTCTTTTTGAATGTGGCTTGCAAGGAGCACCTTGTGAAGACCATCATCACATCTCGCCAGTTAGATGTTGAGATAAAAGTGAAGACAAAGGTGGTCGACGAGGAGGGCAACGCTATACTTACTAACGAGTTGCAGCCATATTTGATGATTTCGAGGTTAGTATATTTCGTTACGCGACAGAGGTTTGTCAGTCTGGACACGCATAAGGCTCGTCGTCTATACATTCATGCTGCGTCTTTCTTAGCGCGGGAGCAACCCGACTGGGTGGTGTTCAACGAGGTATATGTGTTGGATATGTGTTCATATCTATGCAGTCACTGGACATTGATGGCGAGCTTTACATGAGAGATGTGACAGCGATTCAACCAGAGTATGTGCTACGGTGTCTTAGACATTACACCTTCTTAACAGATTCCTTCAAAAATATGCGTCACACTACTATGGAGAGTTACAGGTGCAACGTTATTTGGCTGAGTACTGATTTACACCACGTCCAGTGTTGTAGGTGTGTAGTATCCATACGCGGGCTCTTTGATTCGTTACATTGCCCACTGACAGGACATTAAAAATGTATAATTAGTATGGTTTTAACTATATGATAGCGTCTATTAATTTTTTGTGCCTTATATTTTGGCATCGTTTTGTGGCCGATGTGCGGTCTGTTCGGGAGGTCTTTTACGCCCCCAAAAGTCGCTAAAGCCGTTTATGACGTATTAAACAGGACACACGGCTCTGTAACACCTCAAATAACGCGACAGCAATGGTTATTTGCCTGTCGCTCGAGACTTTTGACGACATCACGTCCATGTCACTTTAATAGTGATAGGACCGCCTTTCCAAAATCGCATACATCTACGCCTTCGGATCAAGATGTGAAAGGCGAGGACAAATTTATGTACCTGCATAGTCGGTTTTCGCGTGAACCTACGGTATCGCCCCTTAAAGAGGCTGACTCTGTTGGCACAACTCTGCTTGGTGTATTCATTGCTTTATTCGGTATAACATTTGCTTGTGTACCGCTTTACGAGTTCTTTTGTCAACAGTCAGGTTATATGGGCACAACAAGAAAGGTTAAGACATACAAACCTCCGCCAGAAGGTGTGTTTTTACATTTCACTTTATCCATCTATGCGCAGACCGTGGTGGCCGTATGTTTGAGATCGATTTTGTTACCCATTCTCACTTGAAATGGGATTTTAAGCCGGCTCAACGCAATGTGGTTATAGGTGCTGGTGAGACTACGCTTGCATTTTACACGGCCAAGAACCTCACTGATAAGCCAGTTATTGGTGTGGCTGCTTACCATGTTATTCCCGATGAAGCTGGTGGTTACTTCAACAAGATTCAATGTTTTTGCTTTGAAGAGCAGATGTTACACCCAGGTATTACATACGTTGCATTAATCTAAGATTTTCAGGTGAGGAGGTGGATTTGCCGGTGCTTTTCTTTTTGGACCCTGACATCTTGAAAGACAAACGCTTATGTTAGTTCCTTTTTTATTTACTATAATATGTTTATAGATGATGTTGACAAAATCACACTGACTTATACGTTTTTTGAGGCGAATTCTGAGATACCACCGGAATACACTACGTTATTCAACAGTAAGTTGGAGGAACCCTCCCGACTCTCATGTGTCACATTTGACTGTAGGGAAAGAAGAAAACGACCATACAGTTTCTTCTGAAGAGACAACTACATCTTGATAATTATTAAGACTCTGTCTTATTCATAACTATTGGCAGCGCTATGTAAAGCCCAATCACCGCTAATACGACAATAGCGTATACCAAAATCTATAGGAGATTATCATTTCAATGGGCAGACATTTTTGTCGCCTTTATATAACTTACATATACCATTTTGGGGTCGAGCCGTCTCCTCATGTGGGCTGCGTCTTGTTGCAACTGTGATGTTCATGTGTATCATTATCTATAGTTGTACCTACCACTACTGATAAATCTTTGAGTTGTTCCGTTTTGGTTTTTAGTGTCTGTAAGTTAGCGCAGCTATCGATAATTTTGTGCAATGTCTCTTCAACTGCGTTTGTGGCTTCGTTTACTTGCATTTGTGTCTAAGTGGATTGATTGTCGCTTCAATTTCCCACTCACCCGTGCAGTACAGTCGAGATCGGTTTTAATATCATAAATTTGGAATATGTCGACCAGTTGAGTACCTAGTGATAGCTGTAGTGTTTTTGGACGTCCGTTGCGATCATATGGACGGGGTTGGAAGGTATCAATTGCCTTCCACATTTCCTGAAAAACGTTTCATACATGACTAGCTAGCGTACTAGTACGCCTATTTAAACATAAGTTGGCGATCAGGATCACATACGTATAGTGCACATACCTGAATCATGGAGTAGACAAGTCTCTCTGAGTATTCTTTGTTGTGTACCATTGCTACTACGGCGCCGTTATTCTCATCGTCTGCTTTATAGTAGATCCTCATGCGATTTGAATTTATCCTTTTAATGGATTTGTCCACTGTGAGTTGGTGTATAAAGTTGTGATCAAATTGTAACTTACTGGCTCTAGTTAGGGCATCTTCGTATACCTTCCCTAGCCCTTCCTCCACGAGTGCCGCGGTTTCCCGATTAATACTTCGTGGATAGGAGGCAATTACAGTTTTGTTCGGTATGTCTACATATCCTATATATGTTAGATTTCCGTTCGTCATGTCGTTGTCGAGGTGTTAGCGTAATTTAGAATGAGCCTGAACTAATTTTGTGTCGATACTTCGGATCATTCATGAAAGTAACAAATTAGTTTTTTTAGACGTGTTAGAGTTCACATATGTACAGACAGCCATGTTAGTGTCATCAACATGTATTATTTTATGTTGAGTTTCAATATCGGCGGCAGCACTGCGCTACAGCATTTGTCTTGAAGCAGATTACAACTCACAATGCATTATTTTGTATTTACGTATATGTTTATGGGTCTATGTCTTTTTAAAATGTCGAAAATTTATGAGATTAACGATCGCTGTGAAAATTCTTTTAGATTCATCGAATCGCCTTTCTTTTCAAAAGTGAAGCATCTCTAGGGTTTCAGCTCTAGTTTTGTGATTTTCGCCAATATTTGCGGCAACAAATACGTTGTATTGTGTTTGTCGGTTTGTTCCTGTTGTACTTTCTTCAAAGCTTTAAGTATTGCGGCGATTTGTTGAAGATCCTCATTCGCCATTTTATTGCGACCTTCATTAGAAATCTCCACCACAAAGCCAACTAGAGTATCGATTATTGCATAAAAGCAGTATAAGTTTCGTTTTGTTTTGCGGTATACTTGCTGGCATTCTGGGTGTTGAGGTAGATTGTCTAAAATGGCATGGTTTAAACATATATTGGTCACAAGACTCCCGAAAGTAACCTTTAATCCTGGTAGACGTGAGATGTTATTATCGCGAGGGGGTATTGTAGGTATTTCTATGCTTGCGATTGTTGATTCAACCACCTTCGTTATGTCTGGGTCTTGACATCCGTCTTTGCAGATGTTATTTAATATTTCGCTGTACTCTGGTGGCCGCATGCCATATATGTTATAGAGATTTCTCGTATATGTCAATAATGTGCCTATGAGGCATATAGAGAGTGAATTTGTCAATTCGCTAGTGGCCCTCAGCTGCAGGATATCCATAGCCGTTTCAGCAGTCCTATCCCGCTCGTTGAAGGGAGCAAGACCCGCGGTAGACATTAGAACCCCGTTCGTCAGATCCAAAGAACCATTTCCATAGATCGAACAGAACAAACGGTATTCTTCCAGTGAGTTAGCTACCGTAGCCTTGTGATATATTCCCACTGTAGTCCCATAATGTTTGAGCTGATTAAGTGTGTTACATTCACGCGTTTGTAGCTGTTGCATCGCCATATGACAAAATTCCAGATTGTATATCCTTCTAGATAATTGTATATATATCAGTTTGGTTATTTTTTCAGTTTTGAGTTTGTCCAACAATGGTACCATTTTGGATAGTATCTCTTTAAAGAATTCGGGGTCGAAATCATTGTTGCCCGAGTTTTTCAACTCTTGTTTAGCCTTTTCAGTGGAATGTTTACTGTTATCTCTAGCATCTTTGGTTCCTCGTTTGTTCATCCAGCGGCATATTTGATCATATATTAATAGTAGATTAGCGTACTCGAAAGGTAAATAATTTTCTTTGAGCCTCATATCAGTCACCATATCGTTGGTTAAGGTGGCCCACCTGTCCATCGTAGTTAAGGAGCACTCCCTCGATAACGTGCATATGAGGTAGTACCTCTGTGCCTTTGTAAGCACCTTGTGATCATATGCCTCTAACAACCGTGTTAGCAATATACGTTGTGCCTTTACTATCAATCTTATGTTGGCATCGTTTACGAATGCATGGTATATCGTGAGTTCATGAGCATTTACCAATTTTTGGCATTGGTCTTCGATCCCCGTGACAGGTGTTAGGGCCGCATTTTCCGATGTATTTTGAATCTCTTTGGATTCACTTCCATGTTGCTTGTTACCCTGTTTAACACGAAGTAGTGGTTTTTTTATCCGTCCCAATATATCAAATATTAGTATACATTCTCTGTTTGAAAGGAATGTTATTTTTGCGATAAGTTCCTTCACGATATTCTTTGTCGTATCTTCATAATGAAAGTTGTCCTCATTAATCTGCGCTATCGTGATATACTTCATTACTGTAACTCTACCTTGTAAGATGCAGTTGATTGGCGGCCGACTCCTTTTGCGTTATCTTCGCATTTCTGTAGATTGTAAAGTTTTGAACGCAACCTGAGCCTTTTGGCCAGCCCCTGGAACCGAGCGAGAATATCTAGATTTCTGTTACAAATGAAATGTTGTAATGTGCTGTGTCTTTGTGGATGTCTGAGTATGCGTCTACACATAAGCATTTTTGCCTGCTGTAAACATTCTATCTTCGTTTTTTCCACTGAATATTGCTAAATATGGTGATTTGATTGCTCTGTTGGTAGGCATTTGGGGGATTCTTAGGCCACTGTAACCCTGCACATACTGGTTATTGTGTAGAGCTTGTATTTTAATGTGCGTTTTTACATGGATTATTATCGTGGTTAAAAATAAAATTCATTTTTTTTTATTTGACCACATGTTAATGTGTTATCGTCGTGTTGACCTTGTTCGTGGGTGCCAATGGGCAGTTTTTGGGTGTATTTACGTCTAGATACCGTTTAATATGTGACTATAGTATTCCAGCATTGTGTTAGAGTGTGTTTATATAGTAATTGACGATGCCGCGTGCCGAGGTTGGCAGCCAGAAATGGCTTGCTAACAAGATGAAAGCGAAAGGTCTTCAGAAGCTGAAGTGGTATTGTCAGATGTGTGAGAAGCAATGTCGTGATGAGAATGGGTTCAAGGTGAGTCTGTCGATACATATACAGTTTAATTGGACTATTACTTTTCGTGGTAGCTCTATATGAGGTCTATCATCTGCTTTGACATATCTGATGTGTTAACATTATACATATTATTGCAGTGTCATCGGTTATCTGAGGGTCACCAGCGTATGATGCAAGTGTTTTGTCAGAATGCTGGTCGTTTTATGGATGGTTTTTCTCGAGCTTTTGAGCATGAGTTCATGAAGCTTATGCGCACCCGTTATTGCAAGACTAAGATTCTTGCTAACTCGGTTTATCAGGAGTTGATTTCTGACAAAGAGCATGTACATATGAATGCCACCGTGTGGGTTACACTTTCAGAATTTGTGTTATACTTGGGTCGGAGTGGTAAGTGCAAGGTGGAAGACTCTCCTCGTGGGTGGATGATCGAGTACATAGACCAAGATCAGATTCGTCGAGACCAAGATGCGGAATCCCGTCGTAAGCGTGAGATATCACTTGAGCAACGTCACCAGCGTCTTATCCAAAAGATGGTTGAGGATGCACGTAAGCGTGGCGGTTTCCAGGAACCTGAATACACGCCACTACAAAAAGATAGCGATGAGAAATTGCGTTTCGAGACAAATCTGGTGAAACCTGAATCTTGTGGCGAGGGTTCGAAGAAGACCAATTTGTTTAAGGAGCTGTGCAAGAGCTCTAAGCCTGCTGCTACTTCAGGTAGTGACAGCGCTGAGAAGCCGCCAAATGATCCTCCTGCGAAGCGTAAAAGTGCAATTGAGACATTGATGTTGAGTAGTGCATTTAAACGGTCAGCTCCCTCCAAGGACCTATCCACTCCGGGTGATATCTCATCGGACTCTGGGAGCGTGTCTGATGATTTATCATGGCCTATGAAGGGTATATACGTGAAGGTGATTTTGTCATCTCATCCTTTGTACAAGCACAAGTGTCGTGTTGTAAATACACTTAACAAGTGGGTTTCTTCACATCGGTGAACATTTTTGTTTAGTGGTACTAAGGCGGTGATCCATGCTGTGGAGGGTTCAAGTGCCTATCAGGTGGATTCTAAGCATATTGAGACTGTGGTTCCATCTGTTGGTTGTAAGGTTGTTTTTGTTCGCGGTCCGCACCGCGGTACCACTGGTGTATTGACCGATGCTCGTGCATCTGAACTGAAAGCTTGTGTAAACTTGGATGGTATGTTTCTTTTTTGCCTTTCGTAATATTTTCCTAGGTGGTGATACTTTGGATGGCGTTCATTACGACGACATCAGTAGGATTGATTAGTTGATCCCACGTTCATCTCTCATTTCATGCTTTTTCCTGTGGATAATTGTACATTGCTAATGATAAATATACCTTCGTAGATTTTCGTTATACTGATCGATCCATTCCCTGTTATTTTATTTTATTTTATATGTTTGGTTGTGTTACCTGCGATGTTTGTAGTAGTTGAACTGTCCTGTTTTGTCTAGCCATTTAAGTTGCTGTGGTAATTGTATTTTTTTTTTTGTGTTTTTTTAACTTTACCTTTCTATAAAAGAACCTTGTATGTGCGGTTATGTATGGATACCATTGTGTAATAGTTTGTGTTGGTACCCTTTTTTCATATATAGCAGCTCTCATTTCAGCTCCCATGCTCTTTGGTATCTGCGAGTGTAAGTTAGCCTCTTGGTATGTCAATGTGGACTAGAAGGATGTTGTGTTATTACGCAATACTAGTTATCTTTTGTCTGGCTTGTATCGTTGTTGTTACTTACCCTTCCCAATATGAATATTTTTTGGTAGAATTCGTTCATTGGCATTTCTCTTATGCGATATACTATTGAATTCCTCCATGTTGACATGATCCCGAAATTCCCTGATTATCATGGTTTACTTGGTGTTATAGCTTACTTAGGGCATGATATTTGATCTGTTTCATTGGTGTTTTATAGTTGATGATCATGTTATGAATGTATAGTCTGCTTGGGTCTCCATTATATTCTTCATATATTTTTTTTTGTGCGTCACTTAGCTGTTTAATGTTATATGTGTACATTTTTTGTATCTTACGTTATTGAGTATGCGGTTTGTCCGTATAGTGGGCATAGCGCAAAGCCAGTCGATTGCATCTTGCAAGTGCAGGTTAGTAAGCTGTTTCTTATTTTCAACTATTTTTCTTTCTTACCAATTTGGTATATAATTTCAACCTTTTGAGTCCTATTGGTAGTCCGTCGATTGTGAACTCCCATATATTAGCATCATGTTTGGTTTTAACCTATTACCGATTTGAGTTCTATTACAGTTGATGGTTGTATTATTACTTACCGGTGTTTCTTCGGGATCTATATCCTTTGGAAGAATGAACTGTCTTTTGTATCTTGCTTTATTTAGCCTATATATTAATTTTTTTCTCCATCTGAATTCTATAACATTTCTTCATGAATTGCATACTCCCATAGTCCTTTTTTTCTATAATATGGATTTTTAATTCTTGCATTTTTATTCCTCAATCCTATTAGTGATTACTCGTTTGATGTGTATATGTTACCTGAGAATAATCTGATGTCTGTATGGATTGCTGTGTTAGTGAGAGTGTTGGTGATAGGCCATGCGGAGGTCCATATTGGCCTTCCCTTAATAATATTTTTAAAAAAGCATGCCATATATAGATATATTAGATTGACTGATTGTTGCGCGATATGTCCACCTTTTGGTGTGTTCCGCGGCCCTGCCGCACCTGGGTTGGGCCTACACCTCGATATATGGGCTAATAATATTTAGAAATAGCCTTTTTTCTTGGTGATTGTTGAACATGAGTGGTATACAATTTCCATTTTCCAGTAAGTGCAGTGCTACGGCGTTATCGAAGTTAAGTGTTGGTCCTGTAGTTTGTACTCTACTGAGTTCTTCTCTTGTGTGAAGTACCTTTTTGATTGCATCGAATCCCATTTCTCGTACCTACATTCCGGTTTTAACAGATTCTTAATAGTCGACATATATTCTATCAGAGTTATGTCTACCTACCTGATCTTCACAAGCAATCCTTATAATTGACTCTTCGCAATTAACTCTTAGAGTACATGCTAGTTTACTTCCATCCTATGGCTATGTTTATCTTGTGTATTTGTGACTTACTTCTAGCATGACCATGACATTGATAGAGCTTTTTAGCCTATCCTTGAAATGTTGTTCTGCGCGTATTTAGTTCATTTTGATATATATATATTTCTGTGATACACACACATCATTGGTGTAACCGTTTCGTTTATTCCGTTCGATGTGTCCTATTCAGTATCATGTTAGTTTGGCCCCCGGCTGACGTTCACTTTGGGTTGCGTGAACTTACCTTCGATTTCAAACTCATATCCATCTTGCTTACAATCGTCGAATGCACAGCAAGAATCGAATATTTTTAGTATCCCTAGGAGCGATGAGGCCACCGTCATGGTGGCATAGAGGTACCCTGTGTAAGGGTTGAGAAGGGTTTTGTGACCGCGTAACTTATATGAGTGATAATATCTTTTAGATGTGCATTAGGTTATTTCGTTACAGGGAGCTACACACCGGCAGTTTTCGTCGACGGGTGTTGTCTAATGGGGATCTCCTTGGCACGACGGTGTCGTCCTCGTGGTTTGTATCACATTGCACTTAACGTGGTACCTATATCGACGTACTTGCTATCAATGTCTACGGCGAGTTCCTTCAGCATAGCGGCATTAAGGGCGATTACCCTGAACATTTTCCCATTCTGCACATGATATAATTTTGTGAACTTAACGGTATCATATGATGTTTCTAAATATCTGTTGCCATTTATATGTACGGCTTACCTTACATATATTTTTGCAGGAATCAATTGTGACCTTTGCTGCAGCGGCACTGTTCATGTAGAACAGCGCCACTGCTACATTGTTGCTGAGCATATTTTCGCATGCGGATACCAAGAAGCTGTCTTCATATCCATTAAATGTCTTTTGACATTCCGTGAAAAGGCTGTACGCTCCATCTATATCACCTACAACGGTACAGTATACGGCCCGATAGAGTTCGGTATATTCCGATCCAGCTTCAATTGCGATTTCCAGATGTTTTTGAGCATTATTGACATCTCCCATCTGTATGGAATGTTATTTATGTGTCCTTGAAGTGTACCTGTCCATATACCAGAGCGAGCATGGCATTTGTTGCGTGATCATTTTTTCCATATCCTCTTTGAATTTTTAAAAGTTCTTTCATAGCATCCTGTATTTGTATATAGATTTTGATATTTGTTGTTCATACCATATGTCTTTTTTCGCTCATGAGTACATCTGCGAGTAGTAACCCAACGCATATAATGCGTGACACTATGACATCTCTTCGTTGCGGTGCCTCATGTAGTTGTTTTTCTAGATATTCTCGCAACGTATGTAACCTTTCTAGAGCCGTGTATGTCGATCCCATTAGGTATGGGTGATATGAGTACATGAGGTACAGGCTGAATGGGCACATGCTCCCCCTGTTGTGTTATGAACAACTTATCTATATGTTATCTTACTTTTTATCGGGGTATTTATCAGGATAACTCTCATACATCCATTTTTCATTATATGGTGATTTGATTAAGTTGAAGTCTGTAACGACATTTTGGTTTGCCTGCGTTGATGTTCGTTATCTTGGGGTGTTCAACTCACATTAAGCTGTATATTGTAATATATTCTCATAGTGAGTACTGTGACAAGTCTCCTTGGATTTTTCTCATACTTCTATATATATCATTTGTTTATCTATTAATTGTTTACTTACGTATACGAGGTCCGAAAGCATTTTGACAATCTCTTTGAATTTGTTTTTTTTTGCTAGTGCCTGTATCTCCTCGACAACTTTACTGATCTGTTTCGCCATTTTTGGTGCCTATATTAGTTTTTCCAGTTTATGGGCGATGTTATATTCGTCTGTGCGATGCGAGCTTCTGAGTTGGTTCGGTATCCTATGTTTTTGTTTTGCAGATGCCGTTTTCCGCGGCTTTTGTATAAACTGCTGTGATACGAGTTGTGTTTATGCGGTATAGATATTGCTGAGCTGGGGTGGCTATCTATGTTTTGCTTCTGCCTATGTTATGTCAGTGCAAGCTTTTCATTATTTGCACGTTGCTGCTTCCGCATTCATTGGCTCAGTCCTGTAGTAGGTATATTTTTTTGTATATTATTTCATGTCTGTTATGTATCTATCTATATTATTTTCATGTTCCCGCTGAAAATGTATTCCATATTGTTTGGGCTACCTATCCCTCTCTTTGTAAGATAGGGGTTTTTATAAGCCATGGTCTATGGCTTGTTTCATGGAATCTAGTTTTTTAAATTTGATTTTGGTTGATAAAACTGTTTATGGTATATTCAGGAATCCTAGTGCCGCACTACACCTCTGCCCACCGCGTTAGACGTCTAGCTATTGGATTGTTGTCTTTGTTTATTGCGGTTTCATTGGTTTAGCTGGAATATTTCGTAAGATTTCAGGTAAGTTTTAACGGTCAATTATGGCATTGTACGGCCATGTGTTTGATATACCCATGAATCATCGTGATATTTTGCCACATATTGAAAACATCCTAGCGCGTTTATACAAGTGGTTAACATTAGATCTATGTCAATGTTATAACATGTTTTTTTCTTTGGTCGCAACGCCGCGGTTATATATGTTCTAAATTACCCTTTTTAAGTTTCTGTTATTGTATCGCGTATTAATATACCTATTTTCTGTACTATTATATAATTAAAACATGTTTTTTCAGCTTCAATGTCATTGTCTGCAACAATGGACCCTGCCTCCGTGGAGAACGAGGTAGTGGAGGTGGATATTAACACAGATGACGAAGCGGCTAATAGTGTGGTTGATGAGCCCGGGTGTCCTGTTTCTGCACCTGAAGTAACGGAGTCAGATAATCAGGTTTCTGATCAGTTAGTTGAGGATGTTCGTGATAAAGAGAGTGCGCGTGAGCAAGAGTCAGCGCCTGAAGTTTCTGCTGAGGTTCCAGGTGGTCTCCCTGGTGAAGTCCCGGATGCCCCGGAGCCTGCCACCAAAGAGCAACCTGATGTCACTGTTGCCCAATCTAATCGTTCGGGAATATCCGACGATGACTTTTTGAAATTGAACCATTTGGTTGACTTGGTTGTTTCTTTTGGTGAGAGGGTTGCTGAATCTCGTGGCGAGGATGATGATGAGGAAGAGGGTGCAGTTGAGGAGGACGAAGTTCCTTTTGAGCGTATCGCTGACAAAGTAACGCACAGCAATATCGTTCATTTGTTGAATCTTCCGCCCGAACTAGAGATGGATGCTTTAGTGAGTGATGTTGGTGTGATGTCTGACATCGTTTTGCACTGTTTCCGTTACAAGGCTACCGAGTTGAAGATAATCTTTGTATCTGCGGCGCTTGCTACAGAGGCACGTCGCATGTTAGATTCTCGGAGGTTTCATAATCGCATAATTCAGGCGGTGCTTAGCAACGCTGAGGAGTTCAACCCATTGCAACAGCCTATAGTTGCACCTATGGGTGCTATAGCACCACCTGTGGTCCCACCTCCACCGATCGCCCTGATGAACATGCCACAACCATTGCGGGGTCCACCACCGTTACCTCCGTCGTTTCCGTTACCGCCACTACCCCCAGGTGTCGCTCCACCTCGGCCATTAATTCCGCCTACTCGGTTACCTGATACCCATGAGCGTGTAGTTGGTCCAACAGCCCATGTTACCTCTCCCCCTATGGATTCATCGAACAAATCTCTGTTTGGTCGGAATGTTTTTAAGCGCAAGGGTAAACCTCTCTATGACATGTTAGTGTCTTTCCCTCAGGCGTGCCATTGGGGTCCGGATCAGTCTGTAGAGGAGCAGCAGCGTGAGTATGACATTTTGAACGCTGAGTATGGTATAACTAACCGTTATCTTCTTTTGGGTGGTTTGCCTGATACGGCTACGGAGAACGTGAGCACTGCAAGGGACTGGTTATCTAAATACACTCAGAAGAAAGTTGAGATTGAGGTTTGTAGTCTTGTAAAGTATGCGTCCGATCGCAATTTGCCAAGTGACAAATTTTTGCATCTTACATTTCAGCGAAGGTCTGACTGCACAGATGTCTATGGCATGCTTGTAAATCAACTTCCCGAGATTATGTGTCGTTACGCTGCGCCTCGTAAAGCGTTCGATACATTATGGGTTGGCAATGTTACAGACACTCTTTCGTACTGTCGTGATGACCAAGAGATGAAGGAGATGTTTTCTCGTTTGGGTGACATGAAGTTTTATCGTTATGCTCCTGACAAAGCATGTTTTTTTGTCACATATGCTTCTGTTGAGGATGCTATAGTTGCGAGGAACCGTCTGCTCGGTGTATCATTTTCTACAGTGAATACTCTTGCGCTTAACATTGATTTTACGCTTGACATTCCGCCTAGGATATCTACTCGTTCTAGGGTTCCACCTTCTGACGGTCGAGGTTACGGTAGCAACGATTTGTCGACAAAGCTTGGTGAACGTCTCCTATCAGCTTTGCAGCGTCGTTCTGATGGTGACATGGTGATTCGTCAGTTATTAGACGGTCGTGATGGTGATCCCGTGAGCCTTTTATCTAAGGTTCATTCACGTCACTACCCACCACCTCGTGGCTACGAGAGTCGTTCGAGTGACTATTCTCGTCATGTTCGTAGTCATCCGTCAGGTCCCCCTAGTCCGTGGTCAAAGTCACGAAAGCGTCAGTATTCACCAGACTATCCTCCGGAGCCATACAAATATCGCAGGTCGGGCCCACCTCGTGGTGAGATGAGCCCTGGTGACTACCCGCGCCCATCTCCAAGGGAGCCTTCATATCGTCCTCGTGTGAAACATTCACCCTCACCAGGTCCTCGTCACCACGAGGAGCATGTTCCTGAGGCTCCTGCTGACCCGGGAGCTAGCCGTCCTAAGCCTCCACGTATGCTCATGTGTGACTTGCTTAAGCGTGGTAAGCCTATTTGCAAGGTATCTGCTTTATTTGTACGCGGCGACATGTCACACCGCATCCCTCAGAGGCTTGACGTCAACCAGCGTGCGAATCCTGAGCGTCTTGGTAACTATTTGCAGAAAGCCCCTGAGTTGTCTTTATGGCAATTAGGTGCTGATAGTAACGAGGACAGTGTGAAATACGACGGTCTTTGTGACTATTTGATATCTAAGAACCGTGTGGCGTTGGTTCAGGAGGGGCCCTATGAGATCTACATTGTACCCCCTTCTGAGAACAGCCCTTTGGCTCCCAACCTCCCTGATTCACAGTTTATGTACGCCTTCGTGTTGCCGAAGGGTTCGTGACATATATTAGCTTAATCAGCTTAGTTGTATAGATTATGACCGATCCGTGCGCAAGCACTGGATATAACATGGTATATCGTTTTATCTTTTGGCGTTTCTATGATCGCCTCTTTTACTTTTTTTTGGAGTGCGTCGTTTCCTGGCTGCAGTGGCTGTACCTTGAAATTGGTCGCTGCGCGTGCATATGACCCTTTTTGAAGCAGGTCATAAGGGTCGATGTCCAGGGAGCACCTTAGTGAGGGTTTCGCGGGTTCCTGCGGCGTCAGCACCATCTCTATGGTCATGAGGTTCCCCGATGCCTTGATAACCGGTACGGATGTACTATTCAGTAGCTGCAGCAGTTCGCGCTGTACGACCCTGATTCGTGAACTGAGTGCAGAGCCGTAGTCCATAATCTCCCTGATCAGTGCTAGTAGCGTGATAGGTCTCTGATCCGCGGTTTTATCCAACGTGAGCCTCGATTTTAGTCGATCTATGCGCTTATTGGCCGCATTGAGTAGCTGCATTAATGCCTGTTCCCACACCTTTCCTTTATCGCCACCAGCTTTCAGCCTGGGAGCTGTGAATACGATCCTCAACCCTGTGATGAGTTCATCGATATCTACTTCATCATCCCATGTGACATCTTTTGCTGCTATTCGTGGCGGTTCCGTGGGCCCCGGGCTGCCATAAGGCGGATTGATACTTTCAACGCCGTTCGCTAGGCTGGTTGTGGAACGTATTCCTGATACGTTACTCCATGTACGGCAGTCTATTCTCTTGCTTATCGTCGGCGTAGATACAGTCTCCGGGCTGCTCGACGGTATTTCACTGCTCCTGAATGCCGGAACATGTGCACGCCCTGATGGCGTCCTTGTAGCTTCCTGTACCTCCGGCGACGAATCTTCATCGAATGTGAGTACCGATCTTTTGCACGATGCGTAGAAATCGCCTTGCGCGGCACTGTCGCCCATAACTCTGAGGTACACCAGCATATCTACCTCCGGATTATATCGTTGGTCTATCTTCAGACGGTGGTATACCACAGCCTTCTGTAGGATGGTGTCTATGCAGCTGTCAACCATTTTGACTACATCTGTTTTCCACGACTTGGTGTACCTCCTTACAAATCTCTTTGTATTTGGATCGGCGTTAAAAGCTACTACGAAGCACCATCTAACATGTGGTATACCGACATCTACAGGTACTATCCTTATACCTGTTGCGGTATAGACATTGCTGATTGTGGAGATGTTACGTTCTGGTTGTTCTGAGATTGTACCATCTGTCTGCGCCGTCCTATTGCGTAGTTCTAGTAATGTAATTTTTTCCTTTAGACGTTTTAGCCGTTCAATTTTCATGTTCATCATTTTTCGTTGTAGTCCCATGAACATCTCTCTGTGTTGTATCGACTTGTTCAACTGTAGGCATTCTTTGACTAGTGCTGCATATGTCGCTTTAGATCCATCCTTGAGTGTCGAGTTCTTGGTAGCGTTATCCAAGCAGTTATATAGTTGCACTTTGATAGCATTTACAGCTTTGAGTTTACCAATGAACTCCTTTAGCAAAGCTTTAGTATCGTCTTGTACCTTTCGATATGGGTTCGTTCTACTGTTTAGTGGCGTAGCATCTCCTGGTTGTCTATGATACCCATTTTCGCACAGTTTAGCTCCTATTACGATTTTGACACTTTTGAACGCATCAGCTACGATCCTTTCTGCCGATGGCGTGATAGCTCTCATTTTCGGGGCAACAGATTCCAAATCATCGATTAAAAGTGTATCTTTTCCCGATACTTTTGGTCTTTTCGAGTTGGTTGCAACGGGTATATTTTTATCAAACGGTGTATTGGTTTCATCTCTCCTTTGTGTCTTTTCTCTGAATAGGTTTGCATAGAAGGTCTTCATATATAGGGGTTCGCTGTCCGCTGTGAAGTGCGTATTTTTCATACCATCCGACGGCGTAGATGAACTCATGGCAGTACCAATAACATTTGCTGATCCTGTAGATTTTATGGTTTTTGATGACGCCAAATCGCTTGTATGAGATATTTGATCAGTTTTGTTATGGTCAGTTGTTATAGTGGGTGACAGTGGATTTGGTGGCGGGTGTTTGTTGACCTCGTTATGCTGCAAGAGCGTGTTACCCATTGTAGGTGTATGTAATCCAGTTAATGTGGCGTTATTTTGTATTCTAGCTTCAATAAGCGTAGTTAGTACCGTATCTTCTTGAATGCCATCATCCACATTCATTGGAGTTACGCTCCTTCTTACAGAGCTGTTTATATCGTCATTTTTTTGTAAGCTCTTTGGCGATATTAATTGTCGATCAAGTTCCTTAAACCTATCAGCTAAATCTATACTTCTGACCTTCGTTTCATCCCTCCCTCTGCTGGTCCTTTCGCTCTCTACTAGTTGTTGTACTCTATCCGAGAATGTCATTTCATCACTTTTTCGATTCTGTTCTGATAAAATGGAAGTATTGTCATCTTCGATAACTATCGGTCTGCTAGGTGTCCTTATTTCCGATGTTTGTTCACTTTGGATGTCATGTTGCTGTAGTAAGCATTCCGCATCGCCATGGGAGAATGTGAAATTGAGTGTATCATGATTATCGTAATCCTCTTCATCAAAATTATCCTGTATATTGTAAACTTGGGATGCCTCGATTAGCGTGGTAGTGGCCATGTTGCTATTGCGTTGTGTTGGCGGTGCATAAGGGTTGAAATTATCTGGAATCAGGAATATATTACCTTCTTCGTCATCGTCTTCATCTATAAGTTGATTATCGTCACTTATGGTCCCTCTTAGCCTTTCAGACATTATTTGTTCAAAATCCTGGCAATAACTTTGTATCCTATGCTCACGTTGTGAGTCTTTGCTATCGTATGAAAATCTATCATGTTGTGTGTCTCCATCCCGCGTATTGTATTGTTGTATATTTCCTGTTTGTTGTCTGGCGTTATCATTTTCAGTGCCATGTTGTGTGGGTCTTTGTATGGTACTTTGTTGACTCATGTGGGTGCTGTGTTGATTTTGTGCAGTGGGTGTTGTAGCTTGTGCCGAGTTATTTTCTCTCATCATGACGTTTGATTCTGGTGTTCTATATTCACTACTTGACGCGTACTGTGGGTTAGACTGTCTGGAGGACCACTCGTCCATCGAGCTGCGTGAAGGTTCATCGGTTGAGTGTCGTGTCGACGCATCACCTATTGAGTACTGATTCGATGCACTTGACTGTGTTCTTTCTAGGTAGTTGTTTGTGATCCTTGTGTCTATATCATCTGCAGTGGATGATCCATCATTTATCTGTCTATATCTCATTTCGAGATCGTTATTGGTTTGCGGCTCACTTCTTGACGTTATTCCTCCATTATTACCGTCCGTTGTTGTGAAATGTAGTGTGATATCCAAGGGATCGATTTGACTTTGTGATTCGTTTTCTGAATATTGTGACGTCCCTGTAACCACGGAGCCAACTGGTGACATTGTTGATATAGTCCTTGAAGTTGCTCCAGTTGCTGAGCTACCTGTTGACACTATTGACCTTGCGGCTGCCATCGCTCTAGTGCTGATATTATAGCCATGTGTAGCAGCATTCGCATCACCATCGAATGTTATTGGCACACTGGCTCTGTGTGAGTCTGCCCGTTCTCTGCCTGTGTGATATATGGACGCCACTCGTCCTAAAGGGTCACTTGACCGTTCCACCGCTGCTAGGAACCTGTCACTAACAACGCTATCCCGTATAGATGGTGGTAGTATGATAGGTGAGTTCCTTAATGTTTGTTGTGTTATAATAAGTCTTTGTACCTTCGGCGACTGTTCTGAGAATAACGAATCATCATTTATAGGTTCCCCTTCGTATGATGAGGGCAGTGATTGTATAGAGTCTCCGGTGCTGGTCGGTGTGTTAGATACTGATATTGATGATCCTCTTGACCTCCTCGGGCTTAGGTTCCTATTGTCATATATGATTGACTCTCTATCCATCGTGTTTCGTGTTGTTACTACATTTTGGTGAGTATCGATACCATTATCTGCATTATTCCTATTTGTATCTGTTGTATCTAGCGATTGTCTCTGTATCTCTTGTTGTAGTGTTTCTTTTTGTTCAATATTTTTTTGCGATATTTCAATATCTGCATCTTGCGACACGTCTTCATGTGTATCATCTATAGCGGTAGTTTCTATGTCCTGGCAGATATTGTTTCCTTCTATATCCAATGGTAACCTTTTCCCCGAGCCACTTGGTCTTGCTGTGAGGGGATCCCTTTTAACTTCACTATCAGATTCTTCATTCATTGTTTATATCTCCCAATTGGTTACATTTCCGTGTCTATCGGTTTAATCATTCAGGTCGTTGACCCTAAGTGACGTCGACATAGCTGCTGTATGTCCTTGTGGAAGTTTGTCTTTGCCTATTTATGAAATTGGATATATTTTATTATCTGAGTCCCATCTATCATTAGTTTATGATATGCCGTCTAATCGTTACCTGGCATCACACACTACTCCAGGTCGTCGTGAATAATTATCATCGTCAGTTAATACTTCAGCCCTTACTATCTATTTACCTTTTAGTAATTAGAATGTCATTCATAGATCTACTAGATATCTGGAGTTTATTTTTGTCAACTTATCGTCGCAACATCTTGGATGAAGGTTACGAATCCAATAGCTATAACATCTGAAACGTGTACAATAGTGACCAAAAGTTGTTCATATATACTTGTTCTCTAATGGCAACACATTTGCCTTCCTTCCATGGGTCTTCCGTCATCTCCTGGGCCCGGAGTCCATGAATGTTATATCACTATATAAAGTGTACACAAGTTATTTTTTTAAATTAAGATTATACGGTTTTCGGTAGCTTCAGTGTCAAGGATTAGTTCTTGGCATATTGAGGGTACATGTCGACCAGTGCTTTGATCAATGCCTCTTGCAATAGTGACAGCATGGTAGAATCGTTTTCATCTATATTGTAGCTCATAAACACCGCTGTGTTGAACCTTTTAGCTGCACATATATGTTCTATTGTAACATTTGCACTCACCGAAGGTCTTCGAAAGGTCGCATGATAAAGTGTCTAAGTCGCCGATTAACGTACTGCCTACCACTTCTTCTCCCTGTACATGGATCTTATACCAAACATATTGGCATATCAAAAGGCCATTTGAATGACCATAGTGGTTGTAAATGGGTGATGAATTTGTAGAAGTAACTCAGAAACCTACTTGTATGTTCTTAAAAGGGAATCCGCAGTGCAGGTCCTTGCATACCTGTGACTCATCGCCGACCCATATATACACTCCCTTGTCAAATTCTACAGACAACACATTTATAACCTTGTCGTAGACCGTGAACGATGTTTTGTGTACCTCCATGGTCTAAAATATCGATACGGTGTGCCCTGGGATATACTAGGGTACGGGCTCTTTAACCTTGTTACACATAGAATTAGGAAGGCCGCGAATAGTTACTAGATATATGTGTAATGTAATAAATTAATGCGATATATTCATGAAGAAAGTCTTCACGTGCCACTTTATATCCACTCACGTTCTGTCCTAATACATACACACCGGTATGCCATAGACGCTGTCTTCGTACACTCCATTGATCTGTTGTTACACAAAATCTACATAATATGGCTCTTTGATGGTTTTCACATTATTTCGGCGTCGTTATATGCGCGCTGCCATCCTCTGCTTGGCCATAGAGATATTGGTTAATCTGCTACACGTTTCAGGTTACATCCCACCTAGAAGCTTAATACATTCTTATGATCCATATAGCCCTAAGTGTGTTAGCTATTTCAGTCCTAAAAAGCGTGAAAGGCCGCTTCGTGCAGAAGGAACACCGGTTGAAAGTAAGGGATTAGAACAATCCGGTGACCTTGATGCAACTTCTTCTGAGGTCATACCGGCCTATCTACCACATGAGCCGGTACTCCTTGAGGAATCTATTGATCTTTTGGTGACGAATCCTGATGGTCGATATTTGGACGTCACCTTTGGTTATGGAGGTCACGCGGAGGCTATATTAGAACGTCTTTCGTCTAAGGTGTGTCTATTTCAGAATCTTAATCAACATTACAGGGCACACTGGTGGCAGTTGATCGTGATCCTGAAGCTATTTACAATACATCACGTCGTCTTGAAAAATATGTGACTTCAGGACAGTTAATACCCATTATCGGTACATTTAGTAGCCTGAAACATGTACTAAAATCCCAATCATTACCAATAGAAGGGTACACGGGGTATGTCACTATGTGTTAATATCAATGGTGTTTAGGATATTGGCCGATTTGGGTCTTTCAACCCACCAATTAGAGAGTGCGAAGCGTGGATTCGCATATAATTGTGATGGGCCACTTGATATGCGCATGTCAAATCCAAATCACGACCCTTTCCGTAAGGGGATGGAACCGTCCTCACTGGAAACATCAAACACTGTTTTCAAGGTGGGTACCAGCATCACACTCTACAATGATTTCAGTTAATTAATCGGGGTCGTGAATATGACATTGCTCATATCATTCGTGAGTATGGTGAGGAGCCGCGTGCTTCGATAATTGCACGTCGTATCGTGGACCTTCGTCAACGCGTTGGAGGAATTTCCACAACTTTTCAACTGCGTGATATTGTACTAGGGTGTGTCAGGGGTAACCACAAGGTCGGCATGAAGACCCTTTCTCGTGTATTCCAGGTAAATCGATATCAATCCGAATGATATTTAGTAGGCATTGAGGATATATGTTAACGATGAGCTCTATGAGCTAGAAAGTTTACTAGACACAGCTCCATCGTTGTTACATCGTAAACATGGCAGATTAGCAGTGATTTCATATCACTCTTTAGAGGATCGTGCCGTAAAGCGTGTATTTTCAGATTTACAAGCGTCATCGGACCCGTCATCTGACATTAGTGTATACCGCGTACTTACCAAGAAGTGCGTGACACCTACCCGGGAGGAATGTCGAACTAACCAAAAAGCACGTTCTGCTAAACTACGATGTGTAGAACGATATAAGTATAAACCTACTAAATAGTATAATATACAAATACTATTTATCTCATTAGTTAAGTTATGCTATTCTATAGATGATATGTATCCCTGAGTCGCTGTCTACTATCCCGCTGATGTCTCCAACCTGTAGTGCGAACGCAGCATCTGAAAATGCTTTTTGCATTTGTTCACGTGCGAAGTATCCGAGATCTCCACCTTTTCGAGCACTTGAACATTCCGAAATCGTTGTTGCGATCCTTTTGAATTCACGATCACGGTCAGGCACCGCCATAATGATATCGATATACCGATTAATCTCCTTTATAGCTTCATCTTTAGTCCTAGTCACAGGCTGGTTGGTGTTCCTGTTGATCGGGTTCCTCGAACCTCTGTGTTTCAACAATATGTGGGCACACCTCACAGCGGATGGCGCAGTTCCCTTTACCATTATTACGTCAAAGTGTTCACTCTCTTATGTGTTATAGTGCGTTATCTGCAGTCTCCTTTTTTCGATATTACAACGTGGTGTGTAAATGGTACTTGTACGGATTTATCAATCTCCTGGTGTGGTTACCTCGTAAAATGTTATTGTTTTATTTTTTACGACATGGAGCTTGCTTCTTCGTTCTAATTCTACCTGCGTATCCTGACTTCCCCTTTAGGTAATCTGTGCCGTTGAGTATCCTACGTCGTCTATTTGACATGAACAGCACTGTATTGAGGATCCACTGACAAATTCCAACCCTTGGCCGTGTTATTGGCAGTAGATATGCCACTTGTAACATACTAAGTTGATATATATTGCCAAATTATTCGTTTTATTATGTATTATAATATTTTTGGTAAGCTAGGTCACGTATTGCGGCTATATTGGCTACCCGCGTAAAGTTGCAAGATTAATAGTTAGTGAGAGGTCAGCAGCATGAATTTTCTCACTTTTTTATGTGGAAGGTTGCAAGAAAATTGACCTGGGGCCCTTATTTTTTTCGTCGGGTCTCTTGCTGCCCTTTAACTACATACAGTAACAATTTCACTCTGTACAGCAATTACACATTATTTCATTCTAACGTCAATCTATATGGATAACATAATATTAGAAGTATTATAGACTATTTGGGTGATTTTTTGTGTTTGGTTCAAAGACAGAGGCTTGCGCAACCGCGTTTTATCAATTTTCGAAGTTAATTATCAATTTTTGCGATTCCTTTCCCACTACCCTCACAACAGATATTCGTGAATATTCGCAAAATATTCACGGAACATTTTATCTTCAAATTTGAAGCGAACTTTTTCTTCGCCGAGAAGCGCCGCTGAAATATAGCAAGCCTTCATCATATCACCATCGATTCACAGTAGACACCCCTATATACACATGAAGGGGTTCGGAGCTCAAGTTGACGGCTCCGACAAGGAGGTACTCTCCCGTCTATTCGACAAGGCTTTCGCTCAATATTGGATGATACAGTGGTGTCATCAAGGACCCGAACACTTCTGCACGTTCCCAGAGGAACTGAACAGTGCAATGATGCTATGGCGTGATCGTATGCCGGCGTTGGTGGAGGCGCATGTACAGGCTGCATCGGGCACCGTTGGCGGTGGTTCATCTTCCTCGAAATTGATGGGAAGAGGTGAACAGAATAGCATGGCGTTCCCCCTTGAACAGTTGGAGCTCGCATTCCAGCTCTGTATGATAGGTTGCAGTGAATTGGATGTAATATCACGAAATGATGAAATTGCTGATATCCACACTGACAACCTCAAGTACCTTATGCTGCCATACTTGGCAGCTCATGTCACTATGCAAAAACCAGGTCTATCAGATCGAGCAGTACGTATCAGGCGGAGCATGGTATACGTCACGGAGTTCCTGCATACACTAGCACGGTTAGGGATATTGGGGCAACGTGAATCTGTATACTGGGACCGTTGCTTAGGTGACATACCAACCGAACGAAGGGACTTCAGGGTCGCATCAACGAAACAGTCTATAGAAATATTAGGCTCGTTGAGGTCAGTATTCAACTGCCCGGAGAATATTGAAAGGTTCTTCGCCCAAGCAAACTCAATGTCAAACGATGAAGAAGCGGCAAGGGCACACCTATTAAAACTGCTACAGCTGTTCTCATCCGAGGCGATCAATCTGTATGATATGGTAAAAATAGTAAGTTTAAAGAATTATAAAAAAAATTATAGCGCCTTCAGGAAATGCCAATGCTATCCAGGTACGACCATGAATCTAGGGCAGGTGCCCGTGATAAAAGGGAGCCGCCATCACAGGGCAAACCTTCGGGTAAACCTTGGTTAATACATGTAGATGGAAAGTCGAAACTGGACCCGACAACGGCACATTTCCTATACAAACAACTGATATTCGTACCGGGGCACCGCCTACCGGAAATATCACTAGATGAATGCGCTAGGATAGAAATGGAAATGGATGTCAAGACCATTGGAGCCAAGAAGGATGAAGGTGCAAGGATAGCCTCTAGAGAGGGTTACAGTGCCGATAGCGAAGGCAGTGAATCGGACTACACCAGTGATTCACGTGATGACGCTGAAGTAGCAAAAGAAAAAGCTAAGTGGGATGACTGGAAAGATGATCATCCAAGCGGAAGCGGGAACAAGAACCGCAACGTAGGATAAACACATTGCGCGGTAAATACCGCTTCATGTAACATGGGATAGCACCGGGTAATACACCAGCCGATGCTATACCATTCCTCTTGCATTAAAAATAATGCAATAAATACACTTGTGGACCATCGATTGGCGTGTGAAATATACCAAATCGACGGTCTATATAGCAAGGTCGATGTGGACTTGTGCAACTGTATTAAAAAGAGTACAGAACTGAAACTATCCATTAATATCACTCATAGCGTCAAAGTGTTAGAGAAAACATGTCCCAAGCCGCACCGACGGTGAGACTCTTCCGGCAGTCCTCCTCACGGGTCCGGTAGTAGCCCCTTAGGGCCGAGTGTGCCACCCGTGACATCGTTAGGACACCCTCCTTATCCGTGACGTCAGGACTGTTCTGGGAGAAGTGGGTGAGTATCAGCTTCTTTGCACGTGTACGCGCAGCGAATTCACCCGCCTGAAGGCACGTCGAGTGGCCATTGAAATTCGCATAACTGTTGTAAAGTTCCTCCCAATCATCACGCACATAGTCACCCGTATCACGAACAGGAACCCTGCTACCAATTATCTCCGACCAGTATTGGAACATCAAAGGAGCCATTCGGTCAATGGCATGGCTAAGCTTAGTGTCACGCTCCGCATTATATTGAATATCCGTTGTAACACCCTCAGCCGCCAATAACTCTGTAGCAAGAGCTCGTATGTTACGCTGCATGGAACGACTGCGAGGTACACGAGACCCATCAAAGGTAGTACGTAACTCATCGATAAGTGTCAGTAACCTTTCAAGCTTGTCAACTTCTTTAGCAGTTGCGTGAAAATCACCGTACAGCCGAAGTAACCACTTCAAACGACGAACGATTAAGGTCCAACTCATGCTAATAGACCGGCTCTTGCTATCCTTAGGAGGATCGTTTGGGGACGGCAGAGTTCCCAGCTGCGACAAGGTATCCTGCAATTCCTCATGGTGTTCCATCGCCTCGCGTAAATATCGCAATTTACGCGAGTAATGGTATTTCACGTTGGCCAGGGTACTGTGGTACATTTGAAACTTCATCTCCTCTGTCTGGAGTAACCGGTCGAGTTTATGCAAGATATGACGTGTCAGCTCCGCATCCGGAGCTTCCCTAGTAAGACGCAATAACATTTGTGAACCACTGCTGGTAGGAGGGTTAATCGTAGACTCGTGTATAAGCACGTCTGCGTCCATTGCCAAAGGTTGCAACAATGTGTTATCAGCTGAATCTTGACATATGACAAATTTACGCAAGGGGCCAGGAGAAGCTGAGCTACCCTTTTGACTCTTCTCCGTAGCCTTCTCCTCCACAACGTAACCCACTGTATTGATGGTATGCACCAGCGGGGCCGCCTTGACAACGCAGGAGTCTTCCTCATGAACCACATATTGCATATTCTCATCAGGGTACAGGTAATTCACTTTGAACATCTTATCAACTTCGCCTTGCTCCTGCTCCCCCTTCATGCCACCACGAGGGATAACCAGCTCGTTGACCACAAATGCTCGAAGAGCATGTGATCGTGAAGACGATGTTATAACATCTGCGATGAACTGGGAAGTACCAGATGGACCGTATACTTCCAGGGGTGCATCCTTGGCAAAAGTGTTGAGGAATGCGAATAGACCGAAACAATGGTCACCATGCAAATGTGTAAGGAATATCCTCTTCACACGCGAAGTTGCAAAACCCGCGGACCATACACGGGTAATGGCACCCTCACCGCAATCAAATAACCACAAAGGGTCACCACTTCGAGCAAATAAAACAGTGGAAGTCAATCTTGTTCTCGTAGGCCTTCGTGATCCGGTTCCAAGGAATACAAGACGCCATTTACCCCCAACCTCCGGGTGGAGAGGCTGACATGATGGGTTACAATTAGAAGAAACATGTATATATGACCTCGGCATTTCATAATATTTCAATAATGTAGTTTCGTCGAAACGAACAGAATGACCACTTTTACGTTCAAAATGAGATATAATCCAGTTGACGAAACCTTTTGCAGGGGACATTGCAGAGACCAGACGCGAAGCTGGTCTCAATGGTAATAACGTGTCTACCACATTAACCGCCGTTTCTTGCAACCATTGGACAACATTTGACAGCCACGACCATCTATAGTTACATTCCGCCATGTCGTATTCATCAACAAGCTGATCAATCAACAGCTGAAATTCCTTGCGGTCCCGGCTACAATACACACCGAGCGACTTGGTCAATGCCCTCAACGCAATATTACCTTCAGACACCTTGGTTTTCAATCGAGTTCTACAGTCATCCATTATATTAGATAGACAACGTTTAAGCCCATCCTCCAATTCCTGATAGTTTGCAGTTTGGATTCTATACACCTCTTTGATGTCGTTTATAGGCTTCGACCCATTTCCCCAGAGACCAGGGTTCAACGATTGGACAAATGATTCTAAACTGTTAGACAGCTCCGCATTATACTGCTCCAAAGAAGAACAAACTGCTGAAGTCATACGCACCAGGTTCGAATACAATTCTTCCTTACGTGTCCTGCTATTCCCCTTTGACCTTGTATCATGGCCACGGATGTAGGTAGCAACAGTTCCTTTGCCATCAGAAGATAAATTCTCAGGTTCCAAGTCGTTACGGTTTCTTGGACCACTCCGACCATACGACACGCCCTTAGCAACCTTCGGTTCACGGTCACCAGATTTAGGCAACTCTTTATGTTCCGACTCAGTGTCAGTAAACAGCAGCGAGCCTCCATCCCCTAGGATACCATTGCCACCAGCATTAATGACGTTCTGTTGATAACCCCTGGAGAGATACGGAGTAGTTCCGCTGGACACAAACGCTCCATTTCGGGATCCGAACCTCCCATGTGCCACTATGGCACCTATATGTTGACATTCTATCACTATATACACGCAAAATGCGATATGGAGCCATACACTCTTCACCTTGGTGTCTAGGCAGCTCATTATCGCCGAGGTGGCTCGATAGAGTCCACGAAGACACGGTAGGGCATGTCCAGATCATGGAATAAAGCCCATAGTAACAATATAAATGCGATAGGTTTGGTAGAAGGACGCTATAGAAACCAGGTCACATATCTACCAGCAAGCGCGCGGTCAAGTGATCCAAAGTCACGAATAGTCGATAACGTACAAAAATACACAACCTTCTATTTTATATATTTAATTAAGATGTTCCACAGTTTGAGATGGTATGCCGCGAGTCCTACTGCACAGCATACAACTTGACTTCCTAAACATAGAAGACATAAATCTCGTTCACTCATGGGGCCAAGAATCTACATAATCAAATGTATACAAAAACAAATAAACACTCACCCAAAGAGCAGCATTCAGTAGTGTATAATTCTTGGTGTGTTCCAGTAATCCGGTTTTCGGGTTAAACCTATACGCCCGTGTGTGTACATAGACACAAGTGTGTTACCTGGGCGCCCTGAATCGTGGACAGTGAATAATACCAATGAGCTGAACAATATAACATAGACGCATGTCCTAAACATACCTGTGGTATGGATACAACGAAGTTCACCATTTGAGGTACGAATAACATGAGCATCATCAACGAACTATCACAAAGGATCGAAGTTGCAGCAAATAATGCACCCTAAAAATAATAATAACAAAAAGAGAGAGGGAGAGACTTACCGATAATGAAGTATACATATTACCGACGAAGGTAGTTGCAGGGTACCAATTGTAACAGAGCAGACCAGCACTTATCGATAAAAATGGCAACGTCAGCTGTACCGATAGAAGATGTTTCTCAATTAACTCAGTCGCAGTAGAACTGTCAGATATAGCAGCAGTTTTTGCAATCTCGATACAATTGTGAGCCAAAAGTGATACTGCTATAACCGCAGATTCTCCCAATTCAAGACCATTAATACCTAGAATCACGATAATACACAAAAATAGTTGCAACAACTTACCAGCATGGATATTTATCGAATTCACGAAAAATACAGTCAGAAGAACGGCCAAAAAGTGACCTAAATAACCTAAACCGTAAGCATCCCTTAGACCAATCAACGATAATAGGGGAACTGATGGCCTCGCGGTACCGTGCAGGGTCACGTAAAGTGGTATCGCAGCTGTAATATATATATATATATACATAAAACTAGGAAATCGAAATACCTAAAACGGGAGCCAAGATCTTAGCAGGGTATCCCAACGGCACCATATCATCCATTAGACCCTGGGAAATGTCAAAGAATCACATAGTGGAAACACACTTACCATCAAGGTCATTACAGCCATGTTCACTATAATGGTATTGAATAGAGTAGTCTGGCTACCTCGGGTACACACCACACTGAGACCTATCAGGTATAACAGGTATAATGCACAGGCCCATAGTGATCCTGGTTCAGCCACCCTTTGGGCATCAACTTCGGCATTGAGATTGATATTACACAAATCTGAAACAATAATAAACATTATTAAATCGATTATGACCATACAATAGATTTAACAGTCAATATAGTATGGAAGCGATCCATGGTCACAATATATGCATACCTTTCTTCCTAAGTGCGACAACCAGACGAGGGATGCTTACATATGTTGCTAGGGCTAAAGGGAAGCAAGTTGCCAATGACGCTATAGTGAGAGCACCTCTATCAGAATGCGGGTACAATATCACTGCCGCAAGGACGTAAGGGGTTAACAGCAGTGCTCCTGTAACTTCTTCGAATCTTAGCGAAGGTTGAATCCTAATATGTTGGCACCCTGCATTTTTCAGATGAAGCTCCTTCATTTCACAAAATCGACCACACTATAGACAATATAACCAGATCCACATTTGCGATACTTTAACCAAAGGCACGTCACACAGTGCACTACATATAATTAACCCTTAGTTTTCAGGGGTATTTTGCTATAACACAGAAGATTAAATGCCGATGCCACAACGATTGTGGCGAATGAAAACCAAAACCACGCGTTTTAGACGATAGAATGATGGTGCATCCGACACTATCAAGCTCACGTCAATAGTATCGCATATGACTCTATAAATACTATGGAAAATACATTAGAAAATGTTATATCATAGACGTTTTTAAAAAAAAATTGAAAAGTCCAATAAATCAAAACAAAATACAACACCCAGTAAATGGATAGACTAGGACAAGACAGACAAGTGGAACGATATTGGTTAAGGTACACCGTCCTTTTTACAGTACACGCTAACAGTATATATAAATACGTGTAGTATTAGGGTCACTATAACCTGGGCGTTAGCAGTAGCGGAACTTTATAAAAAATTAACGTAATCAAACCGTGTGTGAATGGGATACCATCCATATTCTGTATATATACTCTAAGTGATGGGGAATTTGTATATCAGATAATTATTAATCTAGTTTATAATATAAGATAGTTTAAGGCCACCAAGTGGGACTGACGGGATATACGCCCGACGGTTCGTAGTGTGGTTGCACTGCCTCGAGAGACACATAACTACATACAGTATGATATGCCATTCAATGGCCATATCCACGCACACTTAACAAAATACAATATTAAGCAATAGCTAACATGGAAAATAAATGGAATTACGCCAATTTTGGTGGTGTACCAGGCTTCTATGCCGTGCCTATCGAAGGAACGGAAGAAGAAGGTAAGTGTCTTTATCAACCATAATACATACGCATAGTTAACAATATATACTAATATTATACACTATCAATATCATGCAGGCTACTCCGCTATATACCGGAACTCAGGTGCACAAACACTCAAAAATGCATACGATTATGGAAACTTTAAAAATATGTAAGCGAAATACAATCAACAACATATAATATACATTAAACAGGTGGGATGTCTTTCAACATGGACTCAAAATGAACCCCGATGCCCCTTGTATAGGAAAAAGGGAAATAAAACCAGATGGAACAAAAGGAGCATACAATTTCATGTCATACAAAGAGGTAAACAACAATAAATACTTAAAACATCATATATATATATTATAGGTAGAAAAACAAGCTATCATTATTGGAAGTGCACTAGCACAATTGCCAATAGTACCACAAGTATCAGAACACCCAGAAGTTAAAGATGCAAAAATGGTAGGATTGTTCGTAGCTAACTCTATAGAATGGCTCATTCTGGAACAAGCATGTAACGCATATGCATACACCCTTGTACCTATATACAACACACTCGGACTAGAATCAATCCACACTATACTACTGAACTCAAGAATATCAGTACTACTATGTACACCAGAAACCACCAGGACAATATTCACAGTACTGGAACTAGGCACAGGAGGCGTGGAGTTGCAGATGATCATATTGATGGAATGCGACACTATAGAGGAGGAGTTTACTGCTAACAGATACGGGATCAAGTTCATACTATGGACAGACCTAGAACAAATGGGAAAAGATAATATCCTACCAGTAGCACCTGCTGAACCCGGAAATTTAGCACTTATATCTTACACTTCAGGCACAAGCGGGGTACCAAAAGGGGTCATGCTCACTCAATACAACATTACTAACCTTATAGTAGTCACATGCGAGGATCGTAAGTTCAAATATCACAAAATCATAGTCAATCGCAGATGTCAAAAAATCGTTCCCTGAAAATCCATTCGAAAGACATATCAGCTACCTACCTATGGCACACCTATTCGAAAAGAATTTTGTTAATGCGACTTACTATTTCGGGGGGTGCATTGGACTATACTCAGGGGATATCAAAAAACTATTGGACGATGTTCAGGAAATGAAACCAACATTCTTCCTAGGTGTGCCAAGACTATTCCAACGTATACATGATAGAGTTATGGCTGGAGTACTAGCGAAATCCGCAATTGTAAGGGGACTCTTCAACATGGGACTCACAGCAAAAATTAACAGATTGGACAACCATGGGATATACACACATTCGCTATGGGATAAGCTAGTGTTCAATAAATTGAAAAAATTACTAGGAGGACAGGTTCGGTGGATGTTAGTAGGATCTTCTAGCATGAACCCTGTTATTATCAAACGACTGCGTGCAATATTTGGGGTGCCGTTGCTTTGGGGATACTCGCTAACTGAAGGGTGTGCTGGAAGTGCAGCACAACACTTCTTCGACACCGACCCGACCGTTTGCGGTGGACCACTGTCCAACCAAGTGTTCCGCCTAAGATCCATACCAGACCTACAGTACTTTGCAGATTCGGATCTACCAAGGGGAGAACTGCTCATCAGGGGAAACACTATCATGAACGGTTACTATCGGAATGAGGGTGCTACGAATGAGGCACTGGTTGATGGATGGCTACATACAGGTGATGTCGTGGAGGTCACGTGCAGCGGAGCCATACGTATCATTGACCGGGTAAAGAATGTTTTCAAGCTGGCACAAGGGGAATACGTATCGCCAGAGTTTGTCGAATCTATCATTAACATGTCAACTTTGGTCGCACAGTCGTTTGTATACGGAAACGCCGAGGAGATCATGCCAGTTGCCATAGTTGTGCCTGATGAGGAAGTAATTGCTAAGTGGAAGTCGGACAATAACATGTCAAACCTATCCTTTGAGGACGTGTGCCACACCACAGAGCTCAGATTAGCTATACTGGCTGATCTGGCACGCCTATTTGACGAGAACCGACTCCGGGGGTTCGAGAAAGTTAAAGCTATATACGTTGACCATGAACTATTCGCAGTAGAAAACGATCTGTTGACAGTCACAGCAAAACTACGCCGCCACAAACTACGTGAACGATATTCTGCCGAAATAAGCACTCTATATGAAGAAGCAAGGGCTACCGGCAACTAACCATAACGTGATTTTTTAAAATTTACTCGTGCAACAAGCACAATAATCATCGTTCCGCTATATCCAAGACCTGATATTGGTAAAAATACTATCGAATGTTGCCCAAACAATTTTGGCACGTAACTGGCAACCTAACGATTAGCCATAGTTACCCGCTGAGCGTGGAAACGGGAGAATCTTCAAACAAAAAAAATATAGATAAAATATTGGAAAAATATATACGAAATTTATAATCGATCACATAACGATATTGAGAGTGGACCCTACCCGGCGATACACATCCACCGCGGAATCCCGAGTGGATATTCTAAAACAACACAATATACACCGAATATGCAAAAAATAAAAATTCGTCAAATAAATTCAATAACAGAAGCCCACTCACATCAACTTTTAATCAACATAGTTAGCAATGTGTTCCAACGCATGTTGAACATAGTGTACCGTAGTATATGGGAACCATCTCCGCCATATAACGTAGAATATTGACTCTTACCGATGGATTCAGAAGCCCGGCCGCGGGCAAGAGGCAATGCAGCCTCTGCATATACGGATGACGGTAGCGGCACTGCGTTCTCCTTGCCAGAAGGTAAGTGTGTGACGGAAAACCACAGCCTTCTGCGTATCATAGCACCTGTAAGGATCATGCAGGCTTCGCGGGATCGGTAGGCAAGGTAGTAGAAGTGCGATTGTCCAACTTCTTAAACCATGAGAGCTTAGTAGTACACTGCTCTCCATACGTTAACATGATATTCGGGATGAATGGCCGTAGGTCACTATTAGACACAACTCACAGTGGGTGTCAGAGGGAAAAAGTGCTATAGTTCAAGGCATGGCACTATGCTTCGGTGGATATGGGCGATCAGCTGGACGCGACACTATCCTCTCACGTTATATCAAAGACTTCCATCTTGTAGATGGACCGAGGTAGGCACAACATAAAACTAGATCATAGGTCATACAGTCACGCTATAGTAGAACTGGTCATCTCAAATCATGGAGAAAATGCATATAAACCGGAACTATACGGTGATGCTATCACCCTGACGAGAAAAATAGGACGTAATAATTCGGGATACTACATCACCGGTAATCGATGTAAAAAGTCAACAATCGTCAAAAAGGAATTGAAAAATTATCTAAGACATATAGAAATGAACGTAAGTCCCATTATGTTACCTTCCATCCATATAACAGATCGGGTCACCGACCACTTATATGGACCAAGAATCTAGTAAGGAGTTCTTTTCACAATATAACCCAAACACGTTCTATAAATACTACTTCTCTGCAGCAGGATTAGTGGAGATGGAAGAAAAATTAAATAAGGAGAAACGTAACCTGGAAGATTGCAAAGCAGAAATCAAAGTTAGAAAAAAAGTACTACAGCCAGATAAAGAAAAGATACAGGAACTAGTTAAACAAATTAAACTATTCGAAGAAAAATTAGCTGAATGGAACTCCGCAAAAGAAAAATACAGACTATCACTATATCGAACTGCAAAAGAACATTATGAAGCATTAAAAGAAACATACGATAGGTTCTCCAAAAATAACCCACAAGATGAAATTGTACAACTTAACGAATCTATCACACTCTATACCGCGGAATATGATGATACAAATGAAGAGCTGCAGTGTCTCACAGCATCGACGGCAACGGAAAAGGAACGAATAGCAGCAACTACCGATCAGATATCAGGTATTGTAGATAGCATCAACGACAAAAGGTCATGTATTGCTGCTAAAATGGCATCAGTTTCGCAAGTATTAGCTGCGATGGAAAATATGGACAGGGATATTGCTAATATGGAGTCTGAGCCTGCAGATGTGGAGAAGATTCGCTTAGAAGAGGAACTAGAAGTTTGTAAAACAGAATATGATGAAAAAGATAAACAACAAAGATCTATACAGTCAGCTATTACCGATCTAGAATATAATGTTAGCGAGATGGAGATACAACTCAACTCCCTTAGGGCAGAACTTACAGATCAAAGACGTGAAAATGCTGAGATGGAAAGAGGACCAGTTTCAAGGTTGCGTGAAAATACTATAAGAACATCGCTATATCGATATGATGTGGATAAAGTAAGAGAGGATATATATCATATGAAAAAAGATGGATACTTTGAACATGAACCCATAGGACCTATAGGTGAACATATTGTTGTCTCCCGGGATGCCCCCAGCTGGAAGATCATGGCAGTAGTAGAGCGCCACCTCAAAAATGTACTACATACTTGGCTAGTAGCTACGGAAAATGATAGGAGAGCATTATATAATCTACTTCTTAAACATGGGTGCAGCCGCAACCGAGCTAAGGTCATCAAGAGTAATGTTTTCAGCAGACCTGATCTGGTTGAACGTATGGATGAAGAATATGGAAAAGATGTACATAGCCATTCAATTCTAAGGTACCTTTCTGTTACTGAGATGCCACCGATCTTGTTATATGTATTGGCAGATACTTGCAATATCGCCAAGGCGGTAATATGTAACGACGACGACCGTATGTACGAGGTGTTGACAGAGGATGGTAGCGATATATCAGTAGCTTACTCCCTGGCAAAATTAAATAGCGGACGCCGTCTAAATGGCTCCCTTCATTTCTCACCGTGTTATGATAAACAACCTTTTACATACGAATATGTACGTGTGTCCCGAGATAGATGCCAGGAGTTCACGCAGAGGCATGAGGAACGTAAGGGCAGCGCCCTTGAACGCGAACACTCGCTGGTTACCCTCATAGCCTCACTTACAAGGGAATTGTCGGAAGCGAAGCGACGCTTGGATGAACAACGTAATGATATGAAGAGCATTACTACAGAGAAGATCAATGTTATACGTAAACGCACTCGTTTGGAGGCCGATTTGAGGGAAGAGGTAAATCACATAGAAACAATGAACCATAGTAGCAAGTTCATCAAATACTGTGAAGCTATGAAAGAAATCAGGATGGACTATCGTAAACAGCTCAGGGGGTTAAGGACGGAGCTGTCAGAACTTGAGCGTGACATTTCTTCCCTGGAGCTGGATAAAACCAAACGTGAGGAAGAAGTTGAAAAGGCAAATGAAGATTTGAAACAGATACTTAAGAGCATAGGTGAAACTAAAAACGATTTGAAAAAGATGCAGAGGCGTATCAACATGCAAAAGACACAAGTAAAAGCTTTGGAAAAGAATATGAAAGATTATCATTTTAAACTAGAAGGTTATGTTAACGATATGAAGGATGCTGAAGGTAAATTACGCACTCTCGAAGAGGAGATGAAGGCAGATGGGCTAGACTACTCCTCGGAGCTGCCTAACAAGCCACCCGAAGAATACCTCAGGATAATGAACCTTAGTAACGATGTATTGCAACGGTTAGCTGATGATACAAGAAATGTAGAGGCACATCTGGTATCACTACGTCAGACACATGATACCCTGGAACGGGCTCTGCATGACAAGATGGAACGGCTCACAGAAACGACCGAAAACTACCGATTACATAAAAAGAACTACGCAAACCGATGTAAAAGGTTTGAAGATTGCCGTGCTAAAGTTGAACGCAGGGCAAAACGGATGTTCAAGAAAACTCTAGAAATTGTCACCGGATATGATGGTAACCTGGTGTTCAACGATGTGGAACGTACTCTGGAGATACAGATACACAATAGGCAACAGTTGTATTCACGTGACCATGTGGCTACAAATTTGAAGGTAAGGTAACACCGGCTAAATAACTATAAAATCTGTCCTTGTCAGCCCCTAGTTCAACTCTAACACTTTTTTGATTCATGATATAGCGATGCAATGTGATAATGCTGAACCGTTATATTTCATACACTTCACTCATCGGTTACTGCAGACACTTAGCGGAGGTGAACAGTCGACTATCCAGCTGTCCATGTTACAGAGCATGGCATCTATCTCATATTCACCCGTGCACATGTTCGACGAGGTGGATGTATATATGGACGAGAGCACACGAGTTAGAAAGTGAGTAGCTTATTGCATATGGTTCAGCTGTTACAGTATCGAGTCTTTGGTGAAGTTCGCATCGAACCACCGTGATCGTCAGTTCTTCTTGGTTACACCGCACTCTGAGTTGGCAAATCATATCAAAGGTTGGTGGGAACCGTTTGTTGTCGAATGTCTTGTCAGAGAATTATCCTCTTATTACCAAGATTTTTAACGTCAATAAGGACGCATGAATAGCGCATTGGCGCATTTTCGCAGATTTTCCTACAGAGTTGTAGACTTAAGAGTCTTGATTATCTTGTGAGTGTGTGTGTGCTTTTGGTGAAATCAAACGATATGTGATTGTTTCGGTCTTGTAGTAGCAGCAGGTCAAGCATTTTATAACCCCTTGTTCCGTACCTGATGTCCAGTGGCGTGCAGAAAGTGTATGCACATGTACAGATAACGTACGGAAATATATCCAACACTATCGCATTTAGCGAAGCGTGCTGGTAAACGGATCCAGTAATGTCGCAGCGTCAATACGACGCATTAGTATCATTTTGCCATATCCTTGGCTTTGAATGTATAGCTTGCCGTAAAATAGTCACAAGCCTCTTGAGAATTTGAATATTTGGAATTTTCATTGTTTGAACTCGATACCTTCCCTTGAAAACGCCCCGATTGCTACTGTAACACTTGATTGTAGCATAATAACCTATATGATTGCACTTGAATGTGAGGGTTTTAGAACAGTTCCAGTATGAGCGATTCATTCTTTTCGTGCGGTACTGCTGGAAGTACCAGTAGCATTAGTCCACCCAGCAGGATATATACCTTCAGGTGTCAGTTCCTCCCTGTATACATCCCATGGTCCTACAAAAAATGGCCTGTCCCTGCTACGGGTACTAGCCATTGTGGAGCTGCTAGGCTCCTCTACGGGGGCGTAGGCGGCTTGGTTGTTCTCTTGCACTGGCACATATTGACACATGTTTTCCATCTGGTTCTGCCCCATCTCGGCCATAGGAGCATTGAACTGCTCATCCATCCTTGGCATATCTTGTCGTTGACCTACATCCTGAACATATCCATTCGCAGAACCCATCGGGTAAGCATAAGGCTGGTATTGAGGTATGTAGACAGGAGATATTGGGACCATTGTGCTCGGGTAGGTTGGCGTCTGGAAATGGGTCGCCGTAGGTGCGTAAGGACCTCCACTTACAATACCATGACGGTTCACGTCAGGGTAAACCCAACGAAAATCATGAGGACCAATAATACCGATTGGAGCGGGCTGGTATGCACAATGTCCGTAAGTAGCTACCAATGGGAAGTGGCATTGCCTCTTAATAACATCTCGGTAGCACCCAGGGGTTTTACGTCGAACGATCTCAGCAGTAGCAAGATGCAAAATACACTGAGCTACACGCCTCGTCATTATCGAGTACTGGTGCATTAGCAAACCACAGTCATTCCCATTAACCCCTCGGATAAACTGAGCATTGTCAGGTGGTGTCATATATTGCCTACCTCCAAAATAGCAGCTGTACAATTAAGCTCTTCAGGGATCGATGATGCGCCCGCAGTTGTCATAAATGACGGAAGAGATGTGAGAAAAAACTTCTCACAGATGCTCTGAAGTTGTGATGCTGATTGGATCCATGTTTGCGAAAAACAGCCATCTGAGCATCGGTAGATCACTATTAACATGTAACAACATACCTTCCTTCATAAGAATGTCCAACAGAAGCCTCTTTAGCTGCCATATCAGGCTAACCATTTCGTTAATCGTTGGATGGGGTTTCCACGAATCACCGGAGTGATCAAACTTAGGCCTCCCTGTACTCTCCTTGCTAGGCGGAGTTACGCTACAACCAGCAGTTTGTTGCTCACACGTGTTCATTGGCATATGGGTAGGGAAATATGGAGGTTGGGCTATCCAAGGTTGACACATTGACCTAGGAATGTCCTTACCGGTGTCTACTTGGTTCGTTACTTGGTGTAAGTTTCGATGTTCATTTGACTTAACACTTTGCAAAATTTTCTTATCTTTCATACCGACCACAGAGTACTTAGAAGAACCCGAGCGATCAACCATATCATTCATCTCGTTAGGCTGTGGACCACGCATCGCCTTGTATGCCTTACCTAATGCAACTGCGCATTCAATATCGACTCCCGAAGATCGCTGCATTATATAATTAGTTAGTTAACCTGGCGACCCTCAAATGTGTACTAGATGTCGGCGCAATAGTCACCAACCAATGCGTCGGCATATGCGTTGAAAATTTCACTCTTCTGTCTTCCACCTCGTTTGGCGTAAAATTACGCTTATAAAAACAATTTTTGTGATGAACTAACGTCTAATAAACTGAAGATGCGACTGCAGCATTTATGTGGATGAATACATCCATAAACCCAAATTGACTAGCCATCGACGAAAAACCTCAAAAACAAAATTCCAGCCCCCAATTAAATTTTCAAAGCAAAAACAACTTCAGACTCACCATTCTAACACTAATGAATCAATAAATGCATCTATATAAATTTTCAAATATACAAAAAAAGCTCCAGGGCGGGGAATCGAACCCCGGTCACCCGCGTGACAGGCGGGGATACTTACCTCTGTACTACCCCGGATCTGTTAGCTGTGCAGAATACATATTCAAGTATTGTAGCCACTTATCAAAATCAACGTACACGGCCATGTATAACCAGCACGTAGTATATTAACTTGTAGTTCCAGGTGGCCCCGGCAATTTCCGTCGACCCTTCGTATATACCCTGCAACAATTGTATATACTTATGCAATTCTACTGTAATTACCTAGTATCTACAGGGTCGAATCCTTCCTCCTTAGAACCAAAGAGAGCCCATTCGGGGGTCGCCACGGAATACTCTAGCCCGTGGAAATCCCGGCCGCTCATGGCCTGAAAATAACATCAAGTGACCTATAGCCAGCACTTACAAGCTCGTGGAACTTATCGTAATCGATCCATGTATGCCATCTACCCTCTATGCGGAAGCTGGAAAAGTGTCACGTGTGATACCACAGGATAGTTGTTCCTACCATTGTTTAGCAATGAGCACACAGCATGAATGACGATGTTCGCAGGCGATGGCGTAATTTTCACGCGTGAAAGCCGTAGCGTCCACTAAAGCCTCTGCATAACGGATCACCTGAGCGGCCATACATGGGACTAAGTAGTATTACATTACCTCGTCATGCCATGGAACATTTTTCATGGTTATTGCATTGTCATGCACCGTTCCACAGAATGTTACTGCCTTGATCTCAATGAAATCAGGCTCCCCTAATTCAATCAATCTGCCATAATCACTAATTTCATCTTGTTGTTCCTATAAAACATAAAATTCAATATATATAGAAACTCACCGATATATTGAAGTTTTTTACTAATGTTAGGCGGAATACAGTCCGCTCTTTACGTGTCCTTAGCAATTGGATACACCTCTGGAACCTCGCCCAGAAGTCTCGGAAAAGTGGACGATCTAAAAATAATATTAAATCCACTTTAACCATACGTACCAGTGTTTTTAAGAGTTGTCTCGTCAGCGCCATCTATCGACAAGTAGAGCTGAGTCACCTGTCGAAGATGCTCCATCTCCTTGGGGAACTGGGCATTAGTAACCAAGAATGTAGAGATATGTCTCTGGTGCAACTCAAACAACAACTCGTTAATTTGTGGGTACATTATAGGCTCGCCCACAAGCGATAGTGCACAGTGTCTTACATTCATGGCCTCAGACAACCTCTCACTCTTGGTGTCGAATATACCTGATACACTGTAAACCATCAAAGTAAACAGTTACCTCTTAACTCCTTGATCAATTTCAAGTGCGCTTTCACCGATTCTTCTGCCAGGAAATCGGGGTCATCTGCTGGCCACTTCCAACGAGTTGATACAGGATTCGTGTGATGACGCCAACAGAAAACACACTTATTCGCGCATGCCAAACTAGGGGTCATCTCCATACACTGGTTGGATTTTATGCCATAGAATGTGTGCTTGTAACAACCTCCATGACCACGGACACGTGCCTTGGTCCATCTACACAGCTTGATAGCACTGTGATCTCCAATAAGCTTGTAACCCTGCTTCATCAAAGACTGACGTTGTACATCGGAAACCATACGATCAGCACCCGAACCGATATTCTCGATATCATCCTCAGGGCTACACATGCCACCGATCTCTTCGTTATCTGATATGGCATCGCTTTCGCAATTTTCAGCGCAAACGCATGATGCATTATCTTTTGTAGAATGGCGACCAGATGCTGTGCAACATTTTGCCGGTGTTACTGACACCTCGTTAACGGCATCATTTTCATTTGCGTTATCTCGGCTTCCCGTGTCGGTTGCTGCATTTAAAGGAGATTCTCTTTTTACAGCCTCGCTCTTAGGCGGTGTTACTCTATCAGTCAGCTTCTTATCACTTTTGTGCCTTCTTTTATTGCGTTTATATCGCAACCCTAGGCTAATGATACTATCCCAAGCTTCGTATACAAGATTGGTAAAAGTGACAATCTGTCCAATATCACCTCTACCGAAGCAAAGCGACTTGTCCAAAAGGTGATTCGCTCCCAGACCATTGAGTGATTCTTCAACAGTCAGGAGTAATGATGATACATCAGCTCTAGCATTGCGGTCCCTTGCCGTGACGGTACCACCGATGTCATCAATGCAAGCGACAATAGCGAAGTTTAGGCCGAACAGGAGCGTCTTCGATATTCTGAAATCTGACACCCAGTCATGTACAGTTGCAGCGAAGGCGTCAATATCCGCAGAACTTCTTTGGCAGTCCACAATAAGCACTAGAGTGAACAGTGACGGCTGCCCTTTGCGAACCGATTCCGAATGACATAGCTTTATAAGTTCACAGAAGATATCAGCTTCTGTTTCTAGGTGCTTAGAATCGGCATCGTTACATGTTTCGCAATCTAACAACGATCTTAATGGTACACAGCGGCACTGCACATCACGGTTGCCAAACTCGTAGATGAGGCTGGATGCCAGCTCTGAACAAACACCTGAGTTGCACTCATCATCAGAGTACGCAAACAAGACGGATGGAGGTGGTACCCTGGCCATTTGTGTATTCCTAGTTACTGGATGTTGTTTGGCAGAGACGTGCGGGCAGTCAAACCCGTGATTCCCCGGTTAAATCACTGAAAATTGTAATGAAAAATGTAATTTATATTTTGATTAGCATAGGCATATTTGCCTCAGACGCAGTTGTAGCAATCGCATTACTAAGAAGAAGGCAATGGCAAGGTGTGTCTTCACATCTGTCTAACAACCAGCTGCTGTTTATATACCCTCACGGGAATGACACATCCTGCGGTGTCAACCGACGATGGAAGGATTCATGCCTCCAGGCATTGAATCCCGAAACGGCAGAGCTACACCCTGAGGAACTCAGCAATGTAGAGCCTACTATTAGCGACGAAAGAATCGCAGAATTGAAACGCCTAGGTGTCGTAGAAGGTGATAGTAAAAGTTGGCGTAACTGGCATATAGTTACAAAAGGTAATGTGTAAACAGATATCTCTAACATAAGAGCATAGGTCAATGGCCAGATATAGGACAAAATGTGACGCCACGATCAGAAGTTAACCCGGTTATTACCGAACCATATGCATTACGTAAACCTCTAGAGTATTGGGGATTTATGCGTGGTGTGGTAGGTAAACCATGTGTTATGCTTACAGGTTGTAGGAAACTAACATCGCATCTTACCCAATAGTATGGGAGTACTTCAGCAAAACGTTTGGGAAGGTTGATGTTGCTGAATACGGTGGTAGTAATCCACTCTATAACCCGGCTCTATTCCAACCCAAGTGGCACATTTCAGAAGATCGTGGTGGTTTAGGATACAATGATTGTCGTCTCTTTGGCGGTTGGATTGGTCTCGACCTAGATTCACCAACGAAATTAAAAACAGCAAGTGAACTTATATCAATACCCGATACCGGAAGGTTGTACCAGAAATTTTATATGGGACCATATCCCATCACCATGGGATGGACAATAGGATCATTGCTAAAAGTACTATCTCTGGCGAGGAGCCCAGGCCACGGTGTAGTAGCGGTCAAGATACACAATATGCGTGAGGATACAACAATCGAAGGCGTCGTTGACGACTTGCTGAATATCGCATTAAATCTAAACGAGGTAGGGTCCTATATCTTCCACTTTAAATAATCATGTAGGTAGCCTTGGAGACTCTGAAACCAGGTGAAGAGGCACGGTTGCGTACTGTAATTCAAGGTCCAGCCACTGTATGTGCTGGAAGCCTCGAGTGGCCTTCCTTCGTACGAGTGGCTTCTCCGGACACCTACATCACACGTATCGAAGAGGGTGCTTATCTAGATATAGAACTTAAGATTGAATGGGGGCGAGGTGTCTGGTTAGCTGATGATAAAGGTCTTTTTCGTCATGAGGAAGCTGCTGATTCTGCAATTATGAAACGGCGTCATATAAAAGAGGTAGATGAGGAAGGTTTCTATCCCATGACTACGTTCTTCGGGGGATGCCGTATGGTCAGGTTGACTGTACACAAACTACTAGGGCAACGCTGGGATACAATATCGAGCACATGTCCTGACCCCCGTGAACAGCTCGTAGTAGAGATATGGACCGATCGATCTACCACACCCAAGGCGGCATTGGAATTTGGATTATTAGAGAGCCTTGCATGGATTCGCGAACTTAAACGGCAGCTTTCCCAGGACGTGGATTTCGACGGAGAAGATGAACAGTTACGTGACACCTGGGAGAAAATAGACAAATATAAATCATTGGAACATCGTCAACGTATGATGGGAGGTCCCCCAGTCTATAATCTCCACGAGTTGGACGCTATACCTGGTCTAAAGGAATCAGATTGTCAATATGTTGGATCCGTTGACGACGTTAAATTGGTGCCACAGGCGCCTTATTCGCTGCCAAAAATCCCGCCACCTCGACCTGAGCAAGACTCCTTGGAATGGCTGGCACGTGACTTGCAAACGGAAGAGTATACTGATAATTCGGCGATAAATGCCAAAAACTTTGAAAAATTCATACCAAAGGATGAAGATGATACAGCTAACGTCGATATATGTGTTCTTCCTGTGTCACGTGACGTAGTGGAATCACTGCGGCTATGTGGTTTCAACACTGTAGCCGATATCGTGCGTCTGCCTGTAGATAAGCTCGAAAGCTATCCTGGAGTCACTCCGTCTGATGCGAAAAAGATTATAGAGTTCATAGAGGTGAACCTGAAGATAAAATTTGCAGACTTTCAGGACTAAACTTAATCTTAACGTTAACTGCTACCTGCGTGCCATCACACTATCCTATTCCAATTTTTATTGAACATTGCAAGGAATTGCACGTTGTAAGATGGTCCAACGTATGTTTGTTCTGTTATGCTTGTCTAAATCTAAAAAACTGCTTGGTGATAGAGATGCACTGTTCACATAGTTACGCAACACTAGTAAGCATGAGCAACTGAATGCTGTTAAATTATATCTGATTTCACTAAGGCTTCCTGCAGAATATCGTTTTCTTCTTTATCAGCGCATTTCTCTAAAACATTTATATTGTATAGCATATCTATATATGGTTCTGCCCAAAACATATCGAGGTCAAAGTATATCGTGTTACCGTCTTCGTCATGGCGGAAGAATACTTTTTGTATGCTCGCAACCTTAGACGGCTCAACTTTTATAGTATTTACCACGACGTATTGCCATCCTTTTGTGACGTGGTTGAATACCTCCACATGTGTAATGATAAAATTTGGCAAGCCTTCGTATATTAGATACTTGTCTGAATTCATCACCTTAACTGAGACTGTGCTTTGGTCCATCAAAGGTATGATGGAATACTGACTATATAACCAACATCCCCTTCTTAGATTAGCCAAAATGAATATGTCGGACTCAGTGGTTTCAGTGGTTGATATATCTATATTTATGTGTACATTTCGGTGGGATTCTGCACCTTTCGCCGGTAATGTGAAATCGTATATAAAGGACAACACGTTTCTCGGTTTGAAAATGTTGTCTTCCACTTGCGGTATTCGTGCCCTGTAATGATATTTTAAGTGTGGATGTTTGATAACCAGTACAGTATGCTGCTTAGTTGAAATGTGTATGTTGCTATTGTAACAGCTTATTGACGAAGGAGGGTCGTTCTCGTCGTTATACTCTTTATCCAAATTGACCATCGGAGATATCATATATCTGTCATGACGATTTCGTATTCGTCTAGCTGGTGATAACTTTTGGTATCCTCGTGATAGTGGTATAATAGACCACATAACATGTTGTACATCCTCGTAGCTAGGCGCGACAGCTATGAACGGATGTTGTTTTGGTGCGGCTAAGTCTAATTTCAACGATATAAGCCCTCCGACAAAAGCTTTTTTCAATTCATGAGATGACAATCGGAGTTCGTTACCTTTGATTTCATATACGAATGTATGTAAGACCTTAAACTCCTTACCGTGAAAACGGCTGATGGTAACGAATACATGATCGCCACGCCTATAATCTTGAACGTAGGTATCACTTTCGTAACATTTTTTCGAGCTGACATCAAGCAAAGTTACAATACCATATTCAACAATAGAGATTGGCGAAGAGTGCGAGTGGAACATCCTATAAACACCACCTCCACTAAAGATTCCCTCGAAAACATCAACACATGGAGGGAACTCGGTTGCTGTGAGATTTATACGGGCTGTTTGTATTGATAATATGGTTGCGGTATAAATGAGAACGCATAGTGCAGCGTTTAGCTTACGATACCTCTGTCCCATTTCTGCGGGAGATTGATTAGAAATATTTTGCGGGAATAACGATAAATAAATAGTCAGTGGGCTGGTAAATTGCATAAACTTTCTAGCAAAGAAATGCTCCACCGCATGTAGGATAGCGTAGAACTTTTCTGCTGCGAATGTTAACCAATCAATTCTGAATAGAGACACCTGGTAATAAAGCGAACTACAACACGGTGAGGGATTTATATCGATCTAATAATATCGAAAAACAGATTTTAGTGTTATTTAATTGTAAAAGTTAACGTTTGAGGACATTTGCCGAACTAGCTATGGAGGCAATAACATAAAAAATTATGGAACCGATTATTGACCATTCGCCATATTGATAACGCTTCTAATAATTAGGTCAAATTTTGTAGGTATTGTACGATGAAAGAGAATGGTTATGCTTTTGTGATGGACAGATCGTATAGAGTCGTGAACTCACTGACTGTTGCAATGGCCCCGCGGAAACGAATTTTCATTGATGTCTCAACTAGGTTTAAACCACCGGCATTAACGTTGTCACCCTGGTGTATTCTAAGATTGCTCTGTCTATTATTTCATGGAGTAGATAGGTTGTATTTACCTCGCGTGTGTGTATCATTAGCGAATGTAGTTAGTGGGTGTCATTTCACTGCTACGGTGCTTAGCTGTTCGGAAGTGAAATTCAGAGCTACGACAGTCATACGTAATTGCAACTGTGAGGATCGTGGCTACGATAATAATACGGCACATTGCTCTCTTTTTAGGACCTATAATAGATGTCATTCGGACGACGTGCCCGTGACGAAATCGCTATTCATTACGCTTTGGCAAGTGTTATCGACCGTGTAAATGGTATATAACATGTCTACGTAGAGTTTATCCCATCCGCTGCTGACGTCAACGTATTTGTCTTCATAGCTCTCAGAGACGAGTTTGTAGACCTTTTTGATATTCTTTAGGAGGTCATTTTCCCGTTTCTTAACGTTAACTACCACATATTGAGCACCGTTCGCCGTATGATTGAATACCTCGACGTGCGTGACGAACGCATCAGGGGTGACATGATATATATCGCATTTCCTTTCGAAATTAACGACGTTCACATAAATATACTTTTGATCCCTTAAGGGTAGAATACTATACTGTGTATATAACCAACAACCTCTTTTTAAATTGGCCATTACAACGATATCTCTGGCAGTTGTTTCAGGGTTAGATATATTTACTGTCAAGCGGATAGGTCTATATTGCACGTCACCTGATGAGGGTACAGAAAATTTATATCCACGACTCACTATATTTCCTGGTTTGAATGTACCGTCCTCGATCTGTGGTATATGTAAAATGTAGGTTCTGGATATTTGTGAATGGCTGTTCCATATCTGTATATACTTTGGTTCTCCGGGAAAGTAGATTTTCGTGCTTTGCGAGCTGATAGATGATGGCGGAAAGTTTGGATCCTGCGAATCTCCATCTATGTTTATAAGGGGAGATATGTGGAACGTTTCATCTGGATCTCGCAAATATGAGAGTTTATGTCTACCTTGGCGTTTGTGAGTACTTCGTATTATGGACCACTTGTTAGATTTTATCCCATCGCCACAAGGAAATGAATTTATGAAAGGGTGGAACTTATCTGCATTCGGATCCATCGGCAGCGATATAGGACTTGTGACAAAATTGTTTTTTACTCTGCGTGTTATGCGTTTTGCGAAATGACCAATAATTTCATAGCAAGTTGTGTATACCTTATATGAAACACCGTAGCGAAGGCGACTCACTGATATGATTGTACGACCATTACACTTATATTCTTGAATGATTGTATTGTTTACTAAAGTATCTGTGTCGCTGTTACGTCCCAAAATCCGGCCTCGGTATGTGACGATGTCGATTGGTGGGTGGACTGACTGAAACAATCTGTACTTCCCACCTCCGCCAAAGGTTCCCTCATAGATTTCGACAGACGCTGGAAAGGTCGACGCGTTGAGTTCGAGTTGCAGTGCACGTACCTTGTAGATTGCTAATACCACTGCGATTGTGCATATCAATATCCATTTCGTCCACAAGTAAGGTAACATTTTGATAAACATTATGTTCAAAAAATCACCATCTAATTAATTTTAATCCTGCCAAAACGTATATATTGACATAAAACTATACACTTGTGTTACAGATTATTACAGCTAGCTAAGAAATTTCGGCAGCACTTTCTCGGAAAATTATTCTGATAAACTAAGCCAAGTATAAACCTATTTTAGCCCATCTTACATATATACATCAACCTGTCATTGTTAAAACGACCCTATACATATATTTAAATTTATAGCCTAGAGTGAAGATTATTGCATCAAATAAATGTGTGCAACATTTACTTGAGCGATCTCTTCTAAGTATATCGAAAACATTAGGGTATAATGTTATCATATGTAATGTGCGAATAACATTGTGAACGGTTAATAAGTTATAAGCCAACCTTCTTCATGTGACAGTCTAGAGTACGCCCACTATCCTCATCGAACATTTCCAAAAAAATAATGTTATAAACAAGATAGCTATCTTAATTCAAAAGCCCTTTTATCAATTGTATTAGGTAGAAATACTAAAATTAGGTTTTTAAAAAATGTATTTCATTCGAGAACCTGTCACTGTAAAAATAGTGGACTACTGCAACACCGCTGCCTTGTAAAAACAAATGTAACAACCACTTAACAATAACACCTTTAGACAGTACTATGACATAACCAGCATAACGCGGAGTAGCAAAATCATCCTAGAGATTTTTTTTGAAGTCAATGATACCATTCATGGCGATGCACCAACTAATGGTATTAAATGTAAGTATAATCCATGGGTAGCTTCAAAAGATACAATTATTTTGACATTGATGTATTTAACCAAATATCTAGGTATTATTGAGAACACATAGCATCGTGAAAAATTATCATTATTGTTTTAAATACCACAGATGACAGGGTTCCATTGTCTTCTGTGAGAATAGACTGGTAGCACTCGGCCAGTGGATATTCCACTCAAGGTGTGAAATAGGTGATCTCTATGGGTGATTTATTCTTGCCTAGTAACACGAGTGGAGAGAATAAAGATGTACGTAGGTGTGATCGTAGGTGTAGAACGTCGAGTGGTATTGTGAGTGAGTGTGTTAGGTAGGTGATGGCGAGTAGCCAGAAGGTGAGGAGGTATAGGAGGAAGGGTTGGCGGATGTGGTAGAGGAATTTGTTGATTGCGGCAATGAGGTCGCTGAATGGTAGGCCGTTAATGACTGCGTTGAGTTGAGTGGCGAATTGGGAGCATTTACGTCCGGTGTCACCTGTTTTATTTAAGGTAGAGTGATCGTAGTATACGAAGCCGTATTTGAAGAAAAGGGGTAGGACGTCAGCGCATTGGACGATGGTGGGACAGGAACATTTTCCGGGATTGCCAATACCTTGGCCGCCCAAGTCACCGTTACCATTATTGTAACCAATGAATATAGCTAACTTATCGGCCAATTTGGTGATCACATCTTCAGTATTCTTAGAAACATCACTAAGTACAGCCACACTTACCGCAAGTTTAGCAGATGCCGAAAGGGCATCGCCGGGTACATCCGTTTGAAGGTTCCTTACATGTTCCTCCGCGCCCTTCAGAAGCTTATTTACTTCTTTAATCAATTCCTTTATATACCGCATAGCTCCATTAGCACCTCTTACACCGTGCCCATCTTTATCACATACCCTTATAATCCAATCTACAGCTTCTTTCAGGTTACCTGGTGGAGATATAAGACTATTTTTCTTAGTTACTGTTGATGTTTGTGTAGAGGCTGCTTGGGCTGCCATCATGCCATTGGATTGGATATAGGTAATAAAGTTCCAGCTACGTCAACCGTCACGTACTAGATGACGGTTACATCAGTAAAGCATTCAGAAATCACACATACTGCAATCTCCTGATTTCAGTGGCATTGCAGAATCGATGTCATAGACAGACAATGATGAAGGACATGGTGACCCGTCAGGGGTTCAATTTGAGAGCTGGCTTCGGCTCTGAAGCGGTTCCAAGTGTCCAACAAACACCTAGAGACGCCAGGGAGGATTTTGTTCCCATCTGTGGGGAATGGTACACCACCAAACCGAAATCGATCATTACTCGCTTGTTGTATCCCGTGAGAACTCAGTTCTTGAATGAATCCCGTGCTACGGAGGCGGAGACGATAAAAGCAGCCCATTAGTAAACGCGCATGCGTCGCAAGGTCGATTAAATTGTCCAGTTTATCACCTGGTTCATGCTTCGAATATTGTTTGAAATCAATACCTGAGGAGTCAAAATTTTCGTCGCATCGGTTGACTTGTCCTATATAACTTCATCGGTGTAGCCGACTTGTCGCTGAATAATATATTTGACAGATAATGCATAGATTTGCCACAATCATGCATAGCTTGACTTACGGTGATCCATGAATATGAGGCGAGGTAGAATGAGTTTTGTCAATTTTGACAAATATAGGTCGTTGTCACCTGAGTTTGTAATGTGGCAAACTTACAAGGTTGTTTTGAGGGATATGAGCGCTTTGTCCCACAGGCGCCAACTGTGTCCAGTGGTTGTCTAGGGACTCCACTAGCCAGTGCATGTACAACATACAATACGCCTTTTTAGCAATAGTTTGAAAGCCCACTCTCCTAGAGTGTTTGATATTGTACACATCCTCGTGTTATCTGAGGACGGAGTGGCAAGTACCATTGGAGTTGTGCACAATGGTAACTTGGGGTAGAGTTAGGGCCCATTCGTACCACACACGTCGTTTGTCATGTTTCCTCCAAAAGTGTATCATGATGGGTTGTCCCTCCTTCACGTATACTGGTGCGACGAGTGGGAAGAATATGGGAAACCAGCTAATTTGGTCATCCATAACCCCTGGCACTGTTGACATTTTGATATCGTTGTATAGCATTGAGTCGAAATATCCTGCGAAACCATGTATAAAAGTATCCAATTTAGCTTGGTAGGTAATGCAGGCATAGCGATTGTTGTGATCGTTGCTATTGAAGCATAACCCTCGCACAGGGACTTGATCATTTGCCCATTTATAAACAGGGTCGGTAGGATGTTGAAATTTGAAGCATGGTTTTGGTTTTTCAGCGATTTTGCAATTTTTGTACAAAGCCACTGTGTATGGTTGTTGGAAAGGTCTTTGCAATTGAATAGAATTTAGATTCCCCCACAGTTTAGGCGAATATATGGGTTCGACGTATGAAATATAGCTGTTTGGCATGAATGTGACATGATGTCCTGGGAAGTGTGAGTGGAATGCATTTTGCACCCCATCTAGACACTCCGGTGCGAGTTCATTGTCTGCAAATGATCCCATAAGTTCGCTGAGTACTAGGTCGGCGGGTTCTGTGGGTTTCAACGTGCGCATATCTTGAAAAATAAGTTTGACCTTGTTCCATCCATTTATGGGGTTGGTAGCAATTTTGTGTTTGAGTGTGAAAACCGTCGCTGGATTTTTATCCAATGCGTATATCGAGAAGTCCTCGATGTTGTTGTGTGCTAGCGCCCTGAGGCTGCAATCTACGAGAGGTCCCCTTCCAGCTCCGACAATGTATATTACCGGTCTGTCGTTCGATTGTGTCTGATTATCTTTTTGATGTGGCAATGTTCCTGCCTTGAAGTCCTTGAGCCATAATGTGATTGCTTCTTCGAACTGTGCATATTTTCTGGTACACCTTTCGAAATTTTCGTAAATAGCTGTTTCTAGATTGTCACGTACAGGTTGCAGTGGTTCCTGTAGTACATCTAGGAACCCCGTTTTGAACTGTTCGGCTTCTGTGAGTGGCGTTAATGCAGCATATATAGCTTTGACAGCTGCAATAGCCTCTTTGATTGCGATACCATCAACCATTTGTGGTGTGTCGAGATCCTTGAGTGTGATAAGTTCCAGTGAATCTGAACTTCTCAACTGGCTGGCATCTCTTAGAAGTTTGAAATTGAATTCTCCACTTAACATAACTTTGACGTCATATTTGAATAGAAATTGTAGATATGGTACGAGTTCTCTATTTAGATATACTCTATCTCCATTTCTTTCGAATGCCGATTCCTTGAGTATAACTGCTGATAAAGGTTCTGCTACCCATCTTTCCAAATGATGGTGATTATCTTGGTCTAGTACTATTGCTACTCTGAGTTGTGCAGAATAGTTTGTCATTTCATGTATTGCGCTCCAGTACCCCCATGCAGCATCATTTGCTGCAAATGAAATGCATACGGATGGCATATTTGGGGAGTGGAGGTATGCCTTGAGTTGTTGTGCGAGGTTTGCAAGAAGCTCATGTTGTTCGTTTATAGTTTCTGTTTGTTTGAATATTGGTTCACAATGTATACACACGGCTCTTAGTCCTAAGTATGCAGCCCATTCCATGTATGCTTTGAAAGCACCACCGATATTGTCGATTCTTGCGACTATCCTCTGGCTCCAATAGTTGTATGTGAGCACTAGATCACTTCCACATAATGGTACGAAAGTATCTTGTTCGTCATCATTGGCCGAATTGAGATTGAGTGATACGAATGAGATTCCTACGCTTTCTATAATTTTGATGATTCTTAGGAGATCATTGGTGTTTGGTTTCGGTAGATTCCATCCGAATATTAGTGGCGTTCTTTGCGCGCCATTTTTTTCTATTGGCGCCATGTTGTTGATATGTTAGGTGGATCTGCAGGACCTCCGGCCAATAGTTGATGGAGGTGAATACGGCTACGATGCGAAGCCACAAAGGGCAGAAAGTGGTCGTTTACTATTGTCATGGCGGGTTGAGTGCGCGTGATAACGTCACCCTACAAGTGTATATATCATTCGTTATCTATAGTTCTGTTACATCTATTTATGATGTTTAAAACTATGGCGATAGATTAGTGTCTAAGGTGTAACGTTTATTTATGTGAGTTCTACTGTCCTAGTTTATCTGATTCTATATGTTCGGCAGGGAATCCGTAGAACTATGGCTAAATTTGGACCATACCTGTCTGTATGTAATGTCCAGTTCGCTATATAGATGCCGTATGTCATCATTGATGGCTTAATCTGCCGTCGCGTCACCTTCTGTAGCTTATAGCGTATAAGTTCCTTAAACTCACGTCGTTAATGACACCTTTGTTAGTCACGTACTGTGTATAATATTTTCGTAATAAGGCATCATGTGAGGGTGTCTCGCCAAGGTACTATAACGCGATGATAGGTAGTCTGGGGATAGCCCATTAAGTCTACCCTTCATGAGGCGGGGGTGCAGCAATGTTTAGGGTGTCTCGTGGCTATTGTGTAATTTTCTTTTCTAAATTGCACGTGTAGTTTACGTCGTGCTTCTCTAGGCACGGGCCACCGTTACATTACATTGCTTCGCGTGAGTGGGTATCGTTTTAGTTGCGCGTCGCGTTACCCTGCTGACACAGGCGGTGTTTAAGGCAATAGTTTTAGTGCGTTTATTGGTTTCCAAATATCTGTTATATGTGGTGCTTTATGAGTTGCAAATTAGCGTTATATCTAGCTCCTATATGACAACAAGACCAACTTTTATTCTTTCTCTCCGGAAATGACAGGCCAAAACGACCCTTTTGGTGGACGTGCGCAGCACACACAACAAAGTCCTTTCCAGAACCATGGTGTGCAGTCAAGTCCGTTTGGAATGGGCGTGTCTGCAGCGGGCAAGAACCGTAGCCAGCATACAGGACCGATACCTCCGGTGGCGGAGACTCAGGTACAGGCGCCACCGGTGATAGCTCCTCCACCAATGGCAGCAGCCCATGTGGAGAGTAAGCATGATGTAGAGGGTGAGAAGGTATTGAAGGGTAGTCTTCCAGGCCAAGTTTTCCACGACAATTTGACCTTCACTGGGCATAGTACTACGTCTGTGGTTAGCAACTTTACAGAGGGGAAGACGGAGGCGGAATTGATGGAGAGTATAAAGCCCATGAACACGCCATCGCATTTTATCCGAAGTTCGGTGAAAGTATTACCATCAAGTGCGACTTTACAACAAAAAACACATATCCCCTTGGCTATTGTTGTACGGCCTATGGCGCCTCTATCTGATGCTGATACTGAGATCCCATTAGTAAACTGCAGTTCAGACACCATCACACGTTGTACTAGATGTAGGACCTACATCAACCCTTTTGTGCAGTTTGATGGATCGCGTCGTTACTGGACATGTAACGTTTGCGGTGTTTCTAACGAGACCCCAGCGCGTTATGTAAACTTGCCTATTGGTGGTATGGATGAATCTTTACCTCCGGAGTTGCGCACTGGTGTCGTTGAGTACATGGCTTCTGCTGACTACATGGTACGACCACCTCAGGCTCCGACTATCATGTTTTTAATTGACGTATCAATTTCGTCAGTTAACAGTGGTATGTTAGAGGTTGTATGTCAAACAATTTCTGACCTGATTAAGAACCGTCAGTTACCAGGTGGTCCGCGTACAATGGTTGGTATAATGACGTACGACACTTCAGTCCACTTTTACCAAATGACTAGTGGTTTTAGTACCCCCAATATATTGGTAATGTCTGACCTTGAGGATTTATTTTTGCCTTTACCTGGTGACCTTCTTTTGAACGTTTGGGAGTCAGAGTCTGAGCTTTTGAACCTTCTATCATTGCTTCCATCTACGTGGAAGAACGCGAATGTGGCTGGTAGTTGTGTTGGTAGTGCTTTGAGAGCAGCTCATTTTGCTATGAAACACATAGGAGGTAAGATGTGTGTTTTTATGTCATCTCCAAGTTATTTCGGCGATTTTTCTTTGAATTCGAATGCTTTAAGCCAGTCTAAATCAGGTTCTGCTAACCTGCAGCCTGTTGAGAAGTGCAAGGATTATGCTACCATGGTATCTCAGACACAGGTGTCTATAGAGATGTTTGTGTGCACTCCTCAGAGTGTGAACTTGAATGCGTTGTATCATTTGTCAACCCTTACGGCAGGTAATGTGCATCATATCCCTCTCCGTACTCATGTGGGTACTGCAAAATTGGGAGAGGAGCTTCGCCGCGTGTTGACCCGTGAGACTGGTTGGGAGGCCGTTATGCGTATTCGTGCCAGCAAGGGTTGGAAGATAACTCATTGGTTTGGTCATTGTTATATTCGTGGTTCAGATTTGATGGTTTTACCCAACTGTCATTCTGACCAGACATTTACCGTGACATTTGAGCATGAGGAGAATGTGGTAACATCGAAGGTTGCGTATTTCCAAGCTGCGCTTTTGCATACTACCTCTTTGGGTGAGCGTCGTATCCGTGTAAGTACGTATGCTATCCCTGTTAGTGACAATGCTGCTGAGATATTGTTATCTGTTGATCCGGAGGCTACTATGGTTGCGGCGGCTCAGCTTGCGATATCCACAGCTATAGGAGGGAAGCTTAGCGATGCGCGTACCCAGCTGCAGACGTTGTGTAGCCGGATATCGAACACGATGTCGAGTATAACTACTTTGCAGGATGTGATAGCTAAGATGGTTGTGTACATGTTGGGTCTTTTGAAATCGCCATGTTTCAGTGAGGGTAATATCCCTGCGGATACCCGTGTATACCACTGGATGCGTATGATGTCTCTGCCTATCGGTGAGATCTCGGCGTATTGTTATCCTCGTTTGATGTGTGTTAGTGATTTGGGTATCGATTACAATGACAAGGGCGTTTCATCGCTTCCTCCTGCATTGAATTTGACTCATTCATGTCTGAGTCAAGAGTCTGCGTATCTGTTGGAGAATGGCGAGTGTATGATCCTTTGGGTAGGTAAGGGTGTATCTCCTCAGTGGTTACAGTCGGTGTTTGATGTCACATCGTTGGATGCTTTGAACTGTGATTTGGCAGAATCATTTATGTTGAGTTCTAAGAGTCCTGCTGCGGTGCGTCTTTCACTTTTGTTGCGCACACTACGTTCTCTGCGCAGTCGTTACATGCAATTATACATCACCAAGCAAGGTGATGAGTCTGAGATGAAGTTTTTCTCTTGCTTAATAGAGGATAAGACCCCTGGTATGATGTTGACCCTTAATGAGTTTGTCAATGCCATAACATTACGGGCTCCTTTCAATTTCAAGCCATCCGTGCAATAGGCAACTGCTATATTTTCAACTAATATGTGTATTGAGAATGTTATGTTTTATGTGTTGTTGCTTAGCCCCCTTGCACGATCCCTATTGTGGATTCCGTGTTATACGATTGCCTTTATATAGTGTTTTTTGACCTATGTTATCATGGCATATAGTAATACTGTCTTTTATTATGTTGAACATAGCTTGATTTTATAATGGCCCTGTTATTATGTATAGGTGTGTATGATATAGGTTATGAATATAAATTGTGTGTAGATATATTGTAGTATTGTTGTATATTATAGGCCCTTATTGAGTATCATTGTGCGTGTGTATTTTTGGTTTCTACGACTTGTTAGAATCTTGGTTGCGCGTATAATGGATGGTCGTGGCGAGAATTGGGTTGGCCATAACCCGGTGTATCCTCGTAAAATGATGCCACCTAAGATGATACCGAAAGGACCTCCTTTTATGATGCAGATGATGCCACAGAAAGGAGTTTATCCTAAAAGTGGTCCTGCTTCTCCGATTTTGATGAACCATGGCATGGGTCAGATGCCACCTAGTCGAATTTCTCCATATGCTGAAGGTGTAGGTCCTATGCCTAAGATGATGGGTATTGGTGGGCCTGGATTTATTCACCCTAAGATGAAGATGACCCAACGAGGTATGATGCCACATATGAAGCCATCTGATCCTATGGCTAACCATTCGCCAAGGATGAACCATGCTAGTAACGGCGTCGGTTCACCACCTGGTATGGGTCATCAACACCTACCACCACGTCACATGGGTCCTGTAAATAATAATATGGTTCTTTCTTCTCCTCCAATGCCACCGAGCGGTATGGGAGGTGGTATGTCTCAGGGTGTATCGCCAAGGCGTATGGGTCCCAACCTGTCACCTTTGTCTATGGGTGCTAACCGTGGTCCATCTAATATAATGTCAAATAACTTATCGCCCAAATCGCTTGTACAAAGGTTCCCGCCTGAACCTGTACATCAACATGGTGGTATGCTGGTTACCCCTAATCGTGGCCCTGTATCTCCACACCTTACATCGCAGATGATGTGTCCACCTAAAATGTCAAATTTAGGTCCCCCAATTGGAGTAAAAATGCCACCAAGTGGTATGGGCTATGGACACATGGGACCTCATATGGGTATTCAAGGCCGTTTACCCGGGGTACCTATCCCTAAACCGAAGTTACCGCTTGGTATGCACATGGGCCCACATATGAAATCCGGTCCAGCTACTTCTGGTCATCATATGAGCCATCACGCAGGTTCAAGACAGCATGATCACGTGGTTAAGCCATCTAGGCCACCAGCTAGACGTGCGCCAGAACCGCAATTAGAACGTGATCCACCGCCATCAATTTCATCTCCTCCTTCTGAGAGTGAGCAAGGGGAAACATCGGCACCAGATGATAAAGAGGTTGATTCTGAGTTGACTGATAATATGAAGAAGTCAGTAATTAGTCTGGTTCGTGAGCAGCTTGTAAAGGCTGAGGGTCTTTACGCGAAGAAGTTCACCTTGTCTGACGAGTCAGAACTCGCCTCTACAATGATTGATGGTTTTTTACCAATTTTGAACACTTTATGGGATGAAACGAAGAAATCACATAAGTATAGCTTGGATGAGATGTATCTGAAGCTGAGTGGTCCTGATTCTTCAGTGTTTGGTGACTTACAGGTGCGTCGTGAGATGGAGCACTTGGAGGATTACTACCGCAGTAAGACCGACCTTGAGAGGTTATTATCGTTATATCGTTCTTATAACAAGGGTACTATGCGTGACGCTATAATTGGTGGTGTACCGGGTGATAGTGAGATGAGTGCTATGATGCGTGCTCAGGAGTATGCTGAGGTTGGTTACAACCAGCGTAACTTGGTTAAGAAGATAACGGCATTAGACTATCGTAATGCTCTAGAGAATGAGTTATGTCGATCAATGTTTCCTGAGAGTTTCCGTACGCAGCAGATAAAGATGGCGTCAAGTTTACACTTTGATGTGCGTACCCCTCCCCAATGTGTATCACCACCTGCTGAGTCTGTAGATAGTGATAGTGCTGCTGCTGCTTTGTCTAAGTGTGCTAGTACTATGGAGAGTTCTCATTTTTCATCTGTTGCATCAAAATTGATGTCTAAGTCTAGTAGTACATTTTTCGATAAGATGGGTGATATGCCTATGTTACCATTGGATATGCGTTATACGGGTGGTCCTCAGATGATGCCTGCGCCTGATATGTTGATGCCTATGGGTAATGGTAAGGCTGGTTTTGGTGGTATGCAGATGCCATTTCCCAAGGGTGTGAACTTTCCCATGGTGCAGATGCCGAAGTTAGGTGCTATGCGTCCTCCTGTGTCACAGGTTCCACCTAAAGGTTCTCCTAAGCCAGGTTCTCCTATTCTTCATGGTCAGCGTGGTCCTGTTAATCATGCTGTAGTGTCTGTTTCTTCAAGTTCGCCAGCTTTACCTGTTCCCATGAAGATGGTTAACCCCAGTCATAAGTTTGAAGCTGCGGGTATGGTTCCTGGTTCTCGGCCTCCTCTTATGAAGAAGCCGCCGCCTATGTTCAATAACCGTTTCACGTGATTGTATGAAGGGTGATACGTCGTCATCGTCTTCCAAGGCTCATTTTGGAGCTGCGGTTGGCTATGTGAATTTTGAAAAATATAAAATACTTATTTATTCTATATCTTTTAGCTGGTGTTTTAGTTTGGTTCTGTGTGCGTCTCACGTGATCCTGGTAGGTGGAATTGCTATGTGTTGTACATGCTTTTTTCCTATCTATTTTAACATTATTTCAGTGTTTTCGTTTAGTTGACAAGAGGTGTGAGTCTAGCGTGATCCAGTTCAATGCTTATTGTGCTGGTAATGTTTGTTTCTAATCTTGGCTTTATATGTTTAGGTTATTTGATATTGTTTGGTTGTTTTGAGAGCCTTTGTGCTACTCTGGTAGGACCTTTAAGGGGTACTTTTAACTGTTTTTTTTCGTTATTAAGTTCAGTTCTTCACGGTTTCTTACACCGGGACCCGAGTGTTTTGAGAGGAGGTATGTCTATCCCCTTTGTTTCCATTTCACCCTATTTACAGAGTCTAACGCACTGTCACTTTTTGTAGCCCTAGGTACGACCCTCTTAGGATGTCTAGTGTCAATATGTGAGTACAGGTACTGTATCATCTGGCATTGCTCTGCTGTTGATGCCGTTACGTGGTAAGTGTCGAATTCTGTTTCCTTATATTTTGTTCAGGTTTTTACATCTGTATTGGCGCATTATCATGTAAAGGGCATTCTAGATTGGAATACGTAGCTACCGTGTTGGTTTCATGTATAGACAGGTAAGTATCACCCGTCTGTTATATCATGTTCAGTTTTTTGACATGTGCGATATTCTGGGCTCTCGTTCGTGGACGTGATCCCAATCTGTTGGTTAAATCTAGCAAGGGGGTTACCAAAGTAAAACGCCATGCAAAGCCAGCTGGAGCTCCCTGAAAGTATTATGTATTATGGACATAATTGCGAACAAGTATATTAATTAAAGATGATAATTATACATTGTGTATGGCATGTCTAACTTCATAAAATTTGAAACGAACATGACTTTTAAGGTTTCTTATAACGAGATTCCATAAATGGTTAGATGATAATGGTAGGGTATTACATCTGCCAGTTTAATAATGTAATAGGTATTTTCAAAAACCATATCAATGACTTTATATATTTTGGAAGAGGATTTGTATATATTGATGATGAGGTGTAGTAAGTTTGGTTGTGTAGTTTGGTCTTGACGTTGTCGCGATGTCGCACTTGGCCAATGTGTAGATGATTTCGTCATGACTATTTAATATAGTATAATATGTTGTGATATTCCATATCTTAACTTATATTCCTTCACGACATGATTCATTGGTACATCGTTGGAGTGTGTAGGCTCTAATGATCTGGATATTGTTAGTTGATAGAAGTTAATGTGATTATACAATAATGTGAGGAATTGATGTTATACGGAGAGTGTTATTGTTATTGACAGATTTGTGTATTTTCTGCCGTATCCACAATGGATAGCGGCAAGGCTATTTTGGTTGATGTGCTCCAACTGCTGCCGTTAGTAGAAGAGCGGTTAGTTGGAGATGGTTGTGCTCTGCCAGATACTTTGGAGTTGACTAGTTTGCGTCAGGTTTGTTTTGCGTGGTTACTATGATCTAATAATGTTGGTAGTCACTAGAATTATTAGAGGTTATGATTGACAAGTGTGATACTGTGGTCAGTGCCGAGGGTAGGTCTTTGTTTCTCAGTGTTTAATATTGTCTATTCAGAGATTGATAGTATCCTTCAGCGCATAAATGTAGCCCGTGAGACTGTTGACCTGTTATCAAAACGCAGTTCACTTAATGCTACTAATGTCCAATATCGTGACATGTTGTTACTTCCGGAGCATGCTACTACTTGTGAAGATCGTGTTGTGGACTATGGGAAATGTCTGAACATGAGTAACGAGGAGTTCGATGCTCTTATCGATGAGTGGGCGGAGGACCGTGATGGTTCATCTGTTGGTGTGCGATCCAGGCGTAAGAGCCGTGTTGGAAGTGATGATGCTAAGGAGCAGATCCGTAGCGACCTTGTTAAACTGGCGGATGTAAGTTTTTGTCCTTCCCGATGCTAAACATTTTCCTCAGACAATGAAATCCAAGGCACTTTGGTATCGTGATTTATTAGTAAAAGATAATGAGGTGGGTAATTATTTGTCATCTGATAATCTGTTATTAGGTCTTATCTAAGTATACTATGAAGCAAGAGAAGCAACTGGATACTGTTACTCAAGTAGCGTCGGAGGCATCTAAGCTTGCAAAGACAACTAGGTTGTCATTACGCCAATCTCTATTTATGATCGCATCACTGTTCCTTTTGACAGTTTTCATGTTGATGATATTCATCATCACTTGACCTTCCAAATGTAAATGATGAACTACAGTAATGTGTTTAGAGTGAAATGCAAAGGTGTTATGATCAATATGACAAATAAGGTGGTTTTTAACCATGTGATATGGATAGTATACACGGTTTCATGTTAAAAATATTGATATTTTTTGTAATAACTGGGTTCACACTATACTTGTGACATTTGCCGGAAATATTATGGATTGTATATATGATCATTTGTATTACATATACGGTTGATTTGTTCATATATAGCATATGGAAATGACGCTAGGTGTATGTCCAAGTGTTTGCATCTAAGTTCCGGGGGATGTTGGGTCGGTAGATACGGCCGTGTAGTTTGGCAGTACGATTTAGCATCTATATTTTACCGTCTATTTTACTGTGAAAAAAACAGCGCTGTGTGTACCTAGCTGCTTGCCATATTACCCCCTGGTTTATGTCGTCTCACGCTCGGCCTGTTTGGTATCAGGCGTTTGGCCGCGGCTATATTATCGATTTATAGCCTTAATGCGATTGTAAAGGTGGTGACTTTGCTTTACAAAAGTTGCAAGGTCAAGTTCGGACGTGTATCAAGATACATTTTGGTTATAACTCTCCGTTGACCCTGGTTACCAAGATAAGGTTTCTGATCAAGTTTACACAATGGCCTTGCTAGGTAGTATATTTCGCGTACCATCTGGCGTGCGTCAGTCCCTAATTGCACGCGGCATTAATGGTTGCGGCGACTGTGGCCCACTTTACATGTCGAGAGTTGATTTCGGTCTTTTTCGTCGTCTGACAAGTTCTATGCGAAGTTGCGGGGACGCAACAACTTCTGCATCATCACGGGAGAATCTGAAGGCCGATGATGGTTCTTCTAGATTGGATGGTACATCTTCGCGACCTAATGAAGATGACGCTAAGTTCAAGAAGGGTAAATACCCAGGGTTAGGGCTGCCAAAGGCAGTTGGTCAGCCAGATGATCTTCCGAGTATCGAGTTTGGTAAACCAACTGGTATGTACAATTTTGTAAGACATCAACATGGTGACCCCCGTGGTCATTTACAATCGGACGGTCGTTACCGTCCTACTTATGCTTCAGATAGTTTTCACTGGTATGATGCTTATACTGACGTTCCAAAACAGAAGTTTACCATAGTTGATGGCGAGACTATGATCGTTGGCAAGGCGACTCGTCCTATGGAGGATTTGTTCGGTATTGAGCAGACCAATATTCCATTTCATCCCCGCCGTCGTTTGAATGTTTGGGGTAGCCATCGTATAGTGTTGAGTGCGGAATTTTGTTTCTTTTGGATCCCGACATTCATTATTCTAGGACTGGCGGTACCTTGTTACACCATGATATATATGATGGACGAGGCTGTTGCCACGTCAATGACAGTTAAGGTGATCGGCCACCAATGGTATTGGGTCTACGAGGTGGAATCTCCGCCAGTAGTTGAGTCAGAGTCGTTGGAAGAATAGGTTTAGAGTGCTAGTAGTCCGTTTAGTTCAGATGGTGGCTAGCGCGACCACCTGGCATGTGTCAATTCAACTCTCTATATTAAGAATACATTTATATCATCATTATAATAGATATAGTGTATATATTTGTATGTTTCCTGGTGTCTGTATGCGTGTTATAGGTGTTTGTTTGTCCATGTGTTTCAATGCGGTACTAGAGTGTAGCGCATCGTTTTGAGTTATTCTCTTGTTGTATCGTGTTATTCCCGGTAAGAATAAGGTGGGATCATGCCATAGGGTTTGTCAAAGCCCCATCATTCCTAGGCTGTGACGTGTCGCGTCTTGCGACTGGGCACGTAGTAGCTGTCGTGGCATATATGCTAGGTACCTTTAGCGCTTATTTGTTGGCGCATTGCTAGACCATTAGATGTGTCGTGTACTCCTCGAAGGTGGCCTTTATACGATGCCCTGGTTACGCTCCGGCGAAGTTGGCCGATGAGTCTTTAGTATCAAAAGCACACCTCGTGATGCTCTGTATATCATTCAAAGTAACTACTGAACATATTTGAAACTGAATGCGTTCGTATCATTATCTATAATACTCATACCTTGTGTGTATAGGTACCCTTATTCCATATATATTTCTCAATTCTTGAATAGAATAGTAAGACGTTGGCTCTGTTTGAAAAGTGAAGATGGCGATTACACGTATCCGTCGTGCCGCTGATGGCGGTGTTGCGCAGGCCGTAGCTTCTGTGAAAGAACACCAGAAATTCAAAAAAATGTTAATGTTCGGCATGCGCTCACTGTCTGATTTTTGCAATCCTCAATTACAATTATACGTGGAGAATGCTCTAGATGCGTTAAATCGTGATGTATTGCCGAGTTTGGTAACGGCATTATCAAATTTCGGTGATGATGAGGATATCATATTCTCATGTAGTCAGATTTTACAAGCTATGGCTCGTGCTTGTGTTGAAGAATCCGAAAATCAAGATTTATCTAAAAAATTTATTAAAGATGGCGGTATCACCGCCATTGAACTTATACTTAATCAGAGCCCCCAAGAAGATGTCGTACTTGATTACTGCTACACAGTGTTTGAGTGCTTCGGAAAACTACAACGGTTACCTGATGGCGGTGCTGGACTTGCAGGTACTATCTGTAAATCAGTTAAAGGGGCACCGTCCATGGCTCCATCTGTCGCCAGTAGGGCACTTATGTGTCTATCTTCTATTTGCGTCTCATCTTCGGGGCCTGCTAAAATGAAGCAACATGACGGTGTGATTGTCATGTTACAGTTATGTCTCTCGTTACCTTCTGAAAAGTCGAAGGTAGCGGTGGTTGAGAGTGCTATGAAATCTGCAACATCTGTAGCTGCTGCTGGGATGTTAGATAAAACATGCTTAGATTCCGTTATCCGTGTAATAGAAAAATACAAGACCTCAAAGTTGGTTGTTACTCACGGTAGTGACATTGTCAAATCAATTGTCAGCACTGCAGCATTGAAACAAAGTTTAAACGATATTCAAAAGTGTCAGGCAGGTTCACCGGGGCATCAAGCTGCGGTCGACACTCTTCGTTCTTTATCCTACATTTCTTCTGTAGGTGAGCAATTAGCTAAGGATGGTGCCTTGGGCCTTATTGTGGACTTGATTAAGAATGCCACATCACAGTTGGAAACACATCGTGATATTATGGTTAGCGTGATATCCGGTGCCGCGCGCATATTAGGCGCAGTTGCCGCGAACCGGAGTTATTGCGAGGAGGTGGTTAAAAAGGGTGGTGTAGAGAATTTAATAGCGGCTCTACAACCATGCATGACAGATGGAGCTTGTGTTGCAAGTATAGGTGATGCTTTATCCCAACTGTTACAATCAGGACCTGATGCTTTTATCAAGACCGATGCTATTGCTATTACATTACCTGTTTTGTACGAAATGGCGGATCAGGAAAATGTATCCATGTCTCTTCTTGGATTTGTTTCTGTAGCGTCTCAACAGAGTGAGCTGCAGCCCATATTTTTATCAAACAAGATTATCGAGATCTTGTGTACATGTAGTCAGTATCATACTGAGAACATGGCTATACATATGAGCATTATCCAGGTATTGAACCGTTTTTCAAGTTATGTAAAGGACCTCTCTGTTGTGTACGAGTATGGTGGTTTACAGGGTATATCGGCATCCTTGTCTGCCCACTACAAGGACGACAAGTACTGCCTCGAGTCCCTGAAGCTGTTACTAACATTTGCGTGCACCCCGGATGCGGAACAGTACATGAAGAGTGGCGATACTTCTATTATCGACACTATATTGGAATTGATGTTGGAGCATCAGGAAAACGATGCTATTTCTGGTGCCGCTATGAAGGTACTTGAACTTCTGGCTACCGAGGATGACGTACGTCGTGCTATGAAAGATCTCAGCCGATCTTTACAAACTGCAAAGGAGAATGCGGATGCTGCTTTCAGCAAGATCGCAGCCGTTACAGGTCTATCTCGTATTGCACGGTTACGTCCTATAATCTTGTCATCTGGTATGCCTAAGGAGATTATGCAATCTGTTAGCTCATGGGTCGAGGGCTCTAACTTCAATGGTAGGTCTAAATTGACCAAAGCTGCTATGCAATCTGCCGTGATGACTAGTGACGACGCTGCTCAGTGTGAGGCTATGATCTCCACTGTCTGTGATTTGGCTTGTTTACCTCAAGTGAAGCGTGTTATTGACCTCGAGGGTGCGGAGGACAACTTCTTGTTACACTGTGCCGGCGCTTTGTCACAAATGTGCTCTGTTGACCGTACCTACAGCAGTGAGCAATGTTTGACCATCGTCGAGAGCATTAGCCGTGTGATGAGGAAGCACGTGGATATTAAGAACGCCGAGACCCAATGCATCGATGCCCTCGCACATTTCTTACAAGTTACCGGTAACGATGGTATGGATGCTCTATTGTCAACAGGTACTATAGTTGGTGTCGTGGGCTACCTTATAAAGATCCCTATGTATTTGCCATGCCAAATAGTTGGTGTTGGTTTCTTGTTAACCTCTGCTAAGATGGATTACCGCGCTTTGGAGTGTTTGAAGCAGTGTAACACCTACCAGTTGTTACGTGCACTTAACCGTACCCACAAGAAATCACGTAAATTGAAGATATTGGTAGGCGAGTTGCTCAGTATGATCATGCCTCCGGATGCTTTCGAGGCCGAGTTGACCCAACTATTGGCTGATCTTGAGAAGGGTATGGCATCTAACGATATTTTGGCAGTGCATACCGCCTTGTCATCTATGAACCAGCTTTTGATTAGCAAGGAGTGTATCCGCATAGCCGTGCGTCTGAACGTTCCCACGGTTTTGGCCAAGACCTCCGAATGGACTTTACGTAACAAAGCTTTGGCCGATAAGGTACAGATCGTTGAGCCTGATGATGTTTCTGGGAAGGACCTGGTTGACTCGATTATGTTTGAGATAGCCCAAGCTATATTTAACCTGTCTCAGAACCGTGTAGGTTTGATCGCCATGACAAAATTGGGTACCTGTTCCACGGCCTTGATGGTCTATGAGAATGTAAAGGGTCCTGTTACCCCAATAGTTGAGGACGGTGCCTGTGCGTCATTAGATGCAATGACCCTTCTGTTCATTCATGACCATGCTAACGTGGATGCTGCTTTAAAGAGCGACGTGCTCACTAAAGTGTGTCGTGGGTTCACATTGTTCCAAAACTGCCCTAACGTGATCCGTAGTATTTGCAAGTGCCTGGCCGCCATGTGCATTACAGAAGCGCGTGCCAAGGCCCTGGTTGAGAGCCCTGATTTCAACAAATTGAGTGCCACTCTCGTCAGTTTGGTTGAAAACAGTGATGAGCAGGTATCACTTGGTGCCGTTAAAGCTGTAGCTGAGCTCCTCAGGTGTGAGAACCGACTATTGCTAAACCACTTCTCTAAGAAGACTAATTTGATAGACGCTCTATTCAAGAACATCGAGATGCATCCGGATAATACTAAGCTTGTTGCCCTGTCTGCCACTTGTCTTAACTATTTCGGCAAGGATGTACTGGCTACCCGCAAGGACATCCCTGCAGTGTTGGCTAACATTACCAAGGCATTGAATGAGAACAAGAACGTTGGTACCACAGTGTTGCCATTATTGAAACTTCTGGTTCAGCTTTGCGCTCCCGAGACTAAGCAAGAACTCAAGAGTTCAGGTGTTATGGAAGTAGTGAGTGACGTGATGATGGTCCACATCGATGACGAGGCTATAACAACAGTTGGTGGTGAGCTTTTCGGTTATTTGGGTGCCGAGGCCCAGATCCGTGCCCTCATGCGCAATGTTATAGACGCTGTCCAGATGCGTCAGGATACAATGGCACAAGAGGTAGATTCTATGTGTCTCCGTTTGGCTATGTACCTGTTGTCACCACTTGAGAACCGTGCCGATGCCCTGGCTGATACTGAAGAGTTTTTGGCTGCTCTAAACACTTGCATGGCATACGCTGCTGATAATAAGAACCTTATAGCGAATGCGACGTTGGTATCTCGTCGTTTAGGTGATGCAGTTTTTGATGATTTCGAAGACCAATTTGGTGCATGGGCTATAGCTAATTCGAGTAACTTGCAACAGATTATAGCTATATTGAATTCGGAATATGGTGGTAGCAATGTTAAATTTTTATGCCATGCCTACCGGGTGTTCAGCTGTTGTGCTGTTAACACTTATGTTACCGACATGATGCAAGCTGAATGTGCCACTGTGTTACCACGTACTATGGAACTACTAGAGCGTTACCAAGGCAATCCGGATGTAGTCCACTCTATCCTCGAATTCCTATCACATCTTTCCAAGGCCCCTGCTACCGAAACTTCACCAGAATATTCAGGTATCAAGTTGATCCTTGACCATTGTCAGAAACGCAATGTTGACGCTGTCGCGCTCCTTACCGACCTGATGGTCACCCACAAGCAAGTTGACAATTTGGTTATCCCAGCCATGCAATTGATTGGTGACTTTGTAGCTAGTGGTTTATACAAGAACGAGCAATCTGTTAAGGCGGCCCTATCTGCAGCTGAGCGTATCTGTATCGGTGACGTCTCGGAGCAGCGTAAGCTTGCTTATATGGACATGGTAGCACGTGTGCTCGGTAGTTTGGACAACGCTGAGGCTTGTCGTGTAATGGAGAACATCGTCCAGATGTTGAATGCCGGTGTTATTGCTCGCAAATCCCCCGAGGTGCTCTCTGCATATGGGCGTATCCTTGCTGCAGCTGCAGCATCGGATACCGAAGGCAAGGATGTAATGCGTCATCTTAACAAAATCGGTGCTATCAAGATGTTAGGCGAGCTCCTGGAGGACCGTTCTTTGATTGACAAGGGTTCCTTGATGTCCGTAATCCAATCATTGAAATCTAGTGTGAACTCCTGCCCACCTTGCGCGGTACTGTTACTAAAAGAAGCTTTGCCTAAACTGATTGATAGCGGTTCTGATTTGTTAACATCAGACCCTGAGTGTAGTATGGCCTTCTGTGACCTATTGTTGGATGCTGTTAGTATCGAGGGTGTTGGTCGTGTTCTTGCTGGTATCGAACCAGTTATGAACTTGTTACACAACTTACAGGTGAAGGCTAAGGAAACTGGTAACAAACCATTGAACGATGCTGTTCTCCAGATCCTCAAAGGTATTGCTAATGACCAACCTAAGATCCGCAATTGCCAGAGTATCTATTTGATGCTTGAAGAACGTAAGAGTGAGAACAAGACTCTATCTTTACTTCAGGCAATGGAGCTTACTGACGATGCGAATTTCCTATTACAGACCATGGCTAAATACAACGGCAAGGTTCTATCATATGAAGAAGAGGATGGTAAAGATTTCATATACGGTTCTATGGCGTTTGACATGCTCTTATCTGAGAGGGAAAACATCCAATACCTTGTGGACAACGGTATTTTGGAAACCTTGATCGACGCTTTGGCTAAACAGACTCATTTGAACATAACTAACTCTGTGGCTACGGTGTTATGTACCGGTTCTTTGGAGCCTAATTTGGTCGCCAAGCTGTTAACTCGTAAAGATTCTGTCCAGATTATTGGTGGTTATTTACGTCGTGTTCACGAGGGTAAAAATGTGATTATCCCTCCAACTCCAGAAGGCTCAGACAGCATAGTTGAAGTGGTTTTGATAAACGCGTTATTATTGGTCGAGCGTACCGCTGTAAACCGTCGTATATATCTGAAATCAGATGTTATCCATGTAGTTGTTAGTGTCTGGAACGCTTATGATGATAAGAAATATGTTATGACAAGGATACTTCGTCAAACGTTCCGTACCCTTCGTAAAATAGTTGCTGAAGGCCATCTCGACATTATGTTGAAGTGTAACATGGTAGCTCGTATTAAGCAGATATTGGCTACTTCGCAGGATGTCAATTTGATCCCTGATGCATTATTCTTGGTTGGTAGCATGGCCGTGGTTAAACAGATCAAATCTCAAATTTGTGAATTAGGGCTATTGGATGGGATTGTTAACTTGATGAACCGTCATGTTGGTAACCCCGATTCTCCAAATGCCATTATCACTAATACCTGTCTAGCCCTTGCCAACGCATGTATAGGTCATCGTCAGGCTACCGAGCGTTTCTTGCAATTGAAGGGTCCAGAATTGAACGTTCGTATTTTGAGAGATTATGCTGAGGTACACGAGATCACTAATGGTGCCAGTATCCTTCTATGTAACATGTTGTATAAGAACGACAGTTTGAAAGATGTCTATGGTAAACTTGGTGCTCCTGAAGCTTTAGTTCGTTGTTTACGTGCTTACGCGGGTTCGAACGAGGGTTTCGCTATGAGGTGTATCGAATCAATGTTCAAGGCTATTTCTAACCTTGCGCTCTATGCAAGTAACGTTGCACTATTTCTGAACGCTGGTATCGAAAAAAGTTTCTGTGCATGGTTATCTGACCTTGAACCATCATTTTCAGATGTACAATTGAAAACTGGTCTTCAGACCCTTTCTAACCTTGTTATGGACAACAAGGAAGAGAACATGCGCAAGTTTTCCGTACTGCTGTTACCAGTACTCCATGTATTATCTCAAGAGCGTTCTGATAGCAAAGTTGCGCTATTGCTTTTTGATATTTTAAGTTCACTCTGTCGTCATCCTGAGAACACTGAGATATTTTTGGCCAATGGTGGTGCAGAGATGTGTATCCAAACTATGCGTCGTGTGAGTTACGATTTGGTAACACTTACATTGGGCATTAACCTTTTGGCAGCGCAGACCGGTACCCCAGCAGGTGTCCAGAAGCTTTTGGAGTTGGATGTGTTCAGTTTGTTACTTGCTAATTTGACATTTGAGGAGTACACTCCGGAGTTAACGGATATACTAATATCTACTTTACGTTGTTTGAGGAAATTGGTAACTACACCAGAGATGGTATACCTTTTCTGCAGTCAAGATGGGCTTGCTACCGCTATAACAGTTTCTCGCAAGACACAGCAGTCACCCGCTATAGTAATAGAATCGTTACGTCTGTTATTGGGTATGTTGGAGCTTACTGAGACCCACGAGGAGGGTGCTGCTCCCGCTTGGGAGAACATTGGTATGGAGAAGGAGGATATTGACACGGTTCTTGGTATAGTGTGTGTCTGCTGTTCTATAGAGCAGGCCCAAAAGATGCCGCGTTTACAGAAGATTCTGTTTAGTATAATGGGTTACTTCCTGTCCCAAGGTCTCGGGTCAGAAGTGTTGATAGTGAACAATTTCTCATCACTATCTTATACGTATTTGTCTAACTTTTCAGGAACTTTGGATATGATAGTTTTGATGACCGCGGTGCTTGAGAATACTTTCACTGTGCCTGCTGAGGTGCGTAACAACATGTTATCTAAGGAGTTGATGAAGAAATACCGTGACGTAACTTCAGGTTTACCTAACAAGAAGCCTGAAGACAAAGCTTTCTATAGTCGTTGTCATAGTTTGGTAACAGCTTTGGCATCTACCGATAACAAGACTTTGGAATCTACTGGCCGTTTCAATTTCGCTTTAAGCGAATGGAACGTCGATCCTTACCCCCATGGTATCCACGACTTACCAGAGCCTGTTAAACAGACACTACGTACAGGTGGTCGTGTTAAAGGTTACATTCGTGATAACCCAACTCGCGTGGGTATCCGTTGGCGTTCAAGTCAGGACTTGAACTTTTTGGAATGGGGTCCGGAAGAGGAGGAGTTCCCATACCGCATTGCTATTCGTCGTATTCGTAACATTGCACGTGGATTGCGCCACCCCGTGCTAGAAGCTGCGAATGCGAAGGAGCCTCGTAAGGTTACTAACAACACATGTTTCTGTATCCTTGGTTCCGCTACTGAGGACTTCCCCGAGGGGTTCACACTACCTATAAAGTGTAAGAATATTAAAGAGCGCGATGCCATCGTGGAGCTCATGGTCCAGTGGCGTGACGCCGCTACGTACAATTATTAGCTGCCTTGTTACGGTAGGAACAATTTGGAAACTGTATCGTGCATTACAGGGTAACTTTCGTCTGTAATATGTATGAATTTATCATATCCTTCATCGATTGTGGGTTTTTCCAATTTTCTGTAATAGCGATATATTGTATCTTGCGTTGTCTTGTGTCTCGTCTTGGGTTCCGTTAGCTGCGTGGTGTTTATAGATGTAAAATGCTATTCCTACCTTCCTATACCTATGGAAATGTATTGCGAAATCCGTGCTGACGTCTAGGAATATGATTGTCGATTTTACATGGAGTTCGCGAGCGACGGTAATGAACTCTTGCCGCTGTATTTTTGTGCAGTTAAGTCCATCGAGGACTACGTTGTCACTTTCTTTCAGATGACCAGTTACTTTCTTGATGCAGCTAGTTCTTGATCTCATATCATCAACGTTTATACGTGTAAACGATGGCAAATAGTGGTCACATAAGAACGTCTTTCCTCCAGCAGGAGGTCCCACTATAACTACCATCCCGTCTTTAACATCTATGTTGACACTGTTGGTCCCTATATTTCTAGGGTCGAATGTGATGGTGGGTCTAACTTTCGGTAGTTTTGCAAAATATTCTTCCGGTGTATAAAATTGTAGCCCGTTATTAAGTGCGAACTTATAATCACAATCTGAGAAGTCAACATCAAATTTAGCTTTGAGAGTAGCTGGTTTTAATTGTGCTATAATATCATTTGCATTAGTTTTTTCAAGTGTACGACCGTTCAATCTCACATAATTTCGATCACTGAAATCTTCTGCCTTTAGTAGAGCCAATATTCGCTGAACATTTTGGTCTCTTAGCTCCGGTGTCCATGTCCTGCCTGCGGCATCACCTACATAGAATGATTGTGTTTTATCTATTTTGATATATCCATTAAGGTGCTTTTCATAGAATTCCAGCATCCCACATGCCGGTTTTCTATAGAAATCCTTTTGGGTTGCCAACATGATATATAGTGGTATGTCTAATTTTTCTAATAGTAAACGTATTCGTTCGAATATGAGTTTGGATAGTTGCGGTTTTAAGAATAGTTGACTTTGATTAGAGCATATGAGTATAGCTTTTCCATTTTGTATTTCTTGTTGTAACATTTGTTTGACATTTGTATGGTATAATATGAAATCGTTTGGTACAGCTGGTTTGTTGATCAATGGTTTATTTCCCTTGACCAGTTCTCCCACTAGTGTACTCGGTGTCAACATTAATGTGCTATCCATATCGAAGATTGCTAATTTTTCAGATGGTCTTGGTTCACCATAACGGTGATAAAATAGAGTCCCGTGTCGCTCCCATTTCGGTATGGTTCCAAAGCCATCCGTGTTCATTATTTGACAATATTTTTATTTATTAAGCCACCAGGGCCACTTTACTCCTTGGTTCGGGTGGACCGTAAGGTTCCTAGCGGTGTATGACTCAATCTGGACACTTATAATATCCTGTATGGGATGTTTCCTCTAGATTGTGAAATATACCACTCTTAATTATTATTTATAAATTTTTTTTGTAAATGTGTCGATCGTTGTGGCCTCAATCCCCGTCATTTTACCTGAAGGGCGCTCATACAGTTGCGTTATGACTACTGGGTCTCCGTTTTCGATTTAAAAGGCCATCTATTTTTCATCTAGGGCTTTCTAAGCGTTAATGGATGTATTTTGATCAACCATATTCAATCATTAGGTAGTAATGACCAGGTTTCATTGATGTTGTTTGTCGATTGTCTAGTATGTATGGATTGTTGATATGTTCCACTATCTTCGTATAGGTTTTGGTCAGTTATTGTCTGGATATCGAGCATCATGTCGCGTCTGGATGATATTCTGGGTGATCCTGATGCATCCGATGCCTGTCGGCAGTTGTTAGACTGTTACAGCGCCGACCTGGGCATTGATGTGTTGACACGTATGCCAGATGTCAAGGTGGCATCTTCGTCATTTTTATCGCAATTGTCTGGCAAATCGGCAGAACATGTATCGTCTACTCTTGAGAATTTGAGTCATGCGTTGCTAATAGTGAAAGCGTTACGTCACAAGGCCGTATTGAACAATACAAGTGACATTATAGAGAGTGTTGGTGAGGTCAACAATTTCATGTCTCGTCTTGACGATGTGACGGGTTCCGTGTCACATTTGCAGGATAGTGTTGAACTCCGTTACGGTCGCTCTATTGCGTTATACAAGGGTCTGAGTAATGATATATCTTGTATAGATGGTATGTGTGATGTCCAAGCTTGTGTTGTGGAGTGCATGGATATATTGACCTGTATCCGTACCCTGCAATGCGAGTTAGAGTGTCTAGGTACTACGTTAAAAGATTTGGCTGTACTGCTCAACATTTCGCGTAAACTTGGTCAAGTAATATTACGGTTGAAGTCCGTTGAGTCTAGTGCGGTACGTGATTTGATTATGAGGTATTGTTGTGAGTTGAAGTCTGAGGTGTTTGATCGTGCTTTTGAGGTTGGTGTGTGTCCTGTGATAATTCTTTCGGAGAAAACTGGTAGTGACACTTGTGATTACGATGGTTGTATGAAGACATTATCAATATGTCATCATATATTTCGTGAGCTTGGTGTGGCCCCGGATTGTGCCTTACGCCTGGTTGACCATATGGTGGCATCGACGGGCCGCTGTATCGACTTGAGTCGATTAGTAGTCTCTGGTAGTTTTACTCAGATGTGGCAGCAATTTTTCATATCGCAATTGGCTGAATTTATGGCTAAGTACAGGTCATGTCTTATAGCCCTCTACACTTATTGCAGGGCGGTAGACTACCGTTTACTTGATCACTTGGATGATGAAGAGAAGCGTAGTTTGAAATCGTTGAACATATTATCACATACATCTCATGTACTTACTAACCCATTAGAGGTGTTTGCTGCATGTGAGCTTTATGCAAAACGTGCAGTTGGACTTATACAAACTGCCCTCACACATATCGAGTCGCAGTACAAGGCTACTGACCTTTTTGATGTCGAAATGCTGGTGCCACAACTCATCACTATGGGTGAATGTACTCATGCTGAGTTGAGTCACTTGAATATCCGTTTTAACTTGCACGCCTATTATTTCAAGACTGTTTGTGAGAAGTATGCCAAAGAGTTCATGACTAGGGCTGCTGAGCATTTACTTCCATCATCAAAAACTGTATTTTCGGTGTGGGTGAAGGTACTGCAACAGCATGGAGTAAATAGCATGAAGGAGCTGTCTCCCAGCATGGAATTACAGGTTGCCTCTGCAGTGCTCCACCAGATACCGGTTGATGACACTCTTGCGCATATTATCTATGAATTTCTGGACAAGTCTCATTGTTGCGAGACCCTGCATCAATATGTGTTGCAAATAGCCAACTCTGCTCTACAGAATATACTGGAGTCTGCTGAAGCTCTATCTACGGTCTCGGGTTCTAGGCTGATGCTTGGTGATGGTGGTAGTAAGATCTCGTTGAAGCGTCCTACTGATGCACATTTGTTGAATGTGCGTATCCATCGTTATATTACCTCATTGGTCGGGATCCTGGAACCATGTATGGCCCGTTCGGTTGACCTAGAGTCACCCTTGTTCCAGACCCTACAGGCGTGCAAGAATATCGATCCTATAGAGCATTGGTCAGATGATGTCGGTGCTACCCTTTGGCATACTGTTTCTTATGTAAGCTCTGGTGGTTGTCAAGAATTCGGGTGGTTTGTTCATCAGGTCTTGACGGCTACCCAGCACATGGTAAAAATCTGTAAATTCTTGCGTGAAAACTACTTCAACCAGCTCGTTCCATCCGGTCGTATGAAGGTTTTTAGAAGATTATCCGCACATGCAATTGCTTCTTTCGTCATCTATGCCATCACGGTCTGGCCTCTGGATGAGGATGACAAGATGGCACTTCTAGGTGTGATGACAGAACTTGAGATGGAACTTGCTGAGATCTCGAAAGAGTCACTTTCTAAGCCTGAATCAGACTACCTTGCTGCGTTTAGACGTCTGATCTATCTAGGTGACGAGCTCTTCGACATTCTCCAAACGCCGGATTTCCAGGCCCACACATGCCTGTGGCTACCCATAGACGTTATATCGCTCCATGTGATGGCCCGCATTGTAAACAGCCCACAACTGCCGTCAACAGCGCGTGAAGAACTTGCGCAAACACCTCTGCATAAATTTCTGGGACACGAAAGTACACATGCAATGCTGTCCAAGTTCCACGATAAGATGCTGAATTACCGACCCGATTCACCTACCCAGCCAACACTTGGCAATCGTCTATCTCAATATTTGCAAGGTTTCCCATCGTTGGAACCTATTTTAAGCAGCGAATTGAAACATGCGTTTTCCTTGCTTAACACACACTAACACCTGAACTAATAATCCGCTCCGTGGCATAACCCTTTGCGTGTTTACCTATGTTTGTATTTTATATTGCCAATGGCAATATATGCCTATACTCTACACATATTGATGGTAGTGTATGAAAAATATTAAAATTTTGTTATTAGTGTACGAGCTCCGCTTAGTAGGCGCTGCTCGCAGCACTCTCTCCATCTTCTGAGCTAATAGGAATGCGCAGATAGGAGGGGTACTCCTTATCGCTGAGGCGGAGACAATCAAAAGCCATGGCCACTCCCCAAATTGACAAAAATAAAAACAGAACGCTGCGCTTGAGTTGATGACATTTGCAATTATAACCGCAAAAAAACTTGCATTCGTCGCTGCAGGGGCACTTTTCGGGAAGGTCATGTACTTGTTCCCCTAATAGTTGTTTTCTGCGCTGTAATTTCATTTGTTTGGGCGATACTGTGGGTTTACATGGTGGTGGTGGTGGTGGCATTTGTTTTTTCGCCTCTTGTTTCACTTTTTCCAGTTCTTGTTTCACTTTTTCCAGTTCTTGCTTCTTGGTCTGTTTTTTATAGCGTCGCAACCATCACACTTTTGCGATTTAGACCTGGAAGTAAACGTTTTGACGGCAGCACCGCCGAGAGCTACAAGCAGCGCAAATCCAACACAGCAACCTATTGCCATGGCTGGGTTTGTGTTCAAATAGGGCATGGTGGAGTCCAGCATCCCGAAACGATGGGCGAAATAGGGAATTGTTGGGGCTAAAATGGCCGTGAATACGGTTAAGGCAACGACGGCCCCTGCCAATTCCTTTACCGTCTCTAAAAACAATAAAGTGAACCACGAAACCACTTACGCTCGTCAGTTTTTTTGCCGCTATCAAGTCCATCCTTATTGGTAACCCTCAGAATCCAATCTATGGCTTCTTTCAGGTTTGTTGGAAAGTCCTTGAGGCCTTTAAGCGACATCTTTGTGATTCAACAGGTACAGCAACTGACGTTGGTGAGCGTACACAACAGTTGCGTGTATCCTATGAAATGCCAAGTAACACATACACTAGAACAATAACGCAGTATAACAACATTGTAAGTCATTAACAATGTCAGCGGTACATATTTACATACCGCAGTTACTTGTCACCGTGTGGCATCGAAGAACAGAAGTTCATCGATAAAGTTTATGCAGTCGGTCTCATCGTTGGCACAACAGAGAGACCATACTCACCGTGATGCATTGTGTGGATTAGGTATGGGGAAATAACGGTTACGAGCAATATTACACTACTTCTGAGAGCCCATAGTGATGTTGTTATTAGTCGTAGCAACGAGCGTAGTCCACATGTACGGCGTCCATGGAACTACCAAATGCTGAATCCCAGATGTTTCAAAATAATCATAAAATGTTTGTTGAAAACGCAGTGAAACCGCCGACAAATCGTTATTCCAAATATTAATGCAGCTGTTTCTAGTAGTTACACTCCGTGTTCCATGCAAACATGTTCCTGCCATTGCGTGGAGATATCACAATAGTAACAGTAGTACGACATGTATCTCGAGAGCTAGTGCTTGTTTGTAATAACATGCGAGGGGTCTGTTACGAGTGTTTTAGATACATTCCCTAGAGTTGTTGTCCTCCCCAAAGGGTGGCGATTGTGATAGAAATGATGACAGGATTTTTGTACATTAATTTTCCATTTCAATTTCTTCTGTATTGAAGTGTACTTTTGTAAATTTGGCTTGTATAGTGCGTTTGATGCGTAGCATTTCCCTGAAGCATTCCTCGTTTCCATGCAAAACCTCAAATTCACGCCAATCTTTCCAGAACTGTTCATGTTTTGCAGGATCGCATAGTTGTGCGCAGTACGTATAAATAGCGCGTGCTCTATCTATTTCTCCGAGTCCACGTTCCATCTGTATATACATTTCGCATAGTTTTCTTGCATTATCGTCGTCGACAAACTGTAGGCATTCTTGGTAAATATTGCGTGTCTGTACTATTCCGTAGAATTCCGTAGTTTTTGCGATATACAGTTTGATCATGGTCAGTTGGTCCTCTTTTGCGGCACATTTGGTGGCGTCCTTGAGTATCCCCAAGCATCGTCGTACTAGTCCAAACTCTTCTTCCATATTTGCATATAGGAAGTATAGGTACTTGACATATTGCGGCGGTATATCTTTATTTTTCGAATCTTGTCCTGAGTGTAAGCATTGATCGAATATTTCCCTCGCGCGTTCAAGTTTAGTCCCTCTATACCTCTTTACAAACTTGGTTAGATACGGCAGGTATAGATAATATAGTTGTGGCCACTTGAATAGTGCGACGCACTTTTCGAATGCGCTGAAAGCTGCTTCGAAGTATTTATTATCTTCCAGGTACATTGCGAAATTGAGTGCGATTTGCGGTGTAACTACTTTGAGTTCAACCATGAGATCGAAAGTTGCTCTAGCTGTAGCAATAGTTCCTAGATTTTGTTCTAGATCGAGACATAAACTCCATAGTTTTACTGATCTATATAGCCTTTGTTGAACATAGTTTGGTTCCTTTTTATTTCTTACATCAACAGCTTGTCTTGCTAATTCCAATGCCCTTTTAAAATTGTTATGCCTTATATGCATTTCTACCCAAGCACACCATACCGATGCAAGATCATCGACGAACTTGAAATTACCCTCTACTCCCTTTTCATATATCTGGTCTGCTGTTGTGATATCGTCCCTGTTCTCGAAATATGATGCATAAGTGGTCCACAATTCAGTTACCCTACCTACTGACCTTTTGGGGTCAACGGTTTCCACCGCTTCTTGGAATATCTGTTTTGTCCTTTGTACATCATTTTCCATGAGTTTTGCATAGTGCAACCAATTGTAGACGTTGTGTACATTCTGTTTGAGTTTGACTTTTGCCAATAGTGTTGCCCTATTGTTGATAAGGTTTTCTAACCTGTCAACAGTGATGACAACATCTATATCATTTTTTTTAATTTTCTTGCGTTCCTTTGCATATTTTTCAAGGAACTTTGCATATACATCGAATATTGTTGAGAAATCTTGTACCGTTGTTACCGATTTCAGAGCTTCCTCATATACATCTCTGGCATTGTGCATTTGACCCCTGAGAATATGTATATCTGCCAGTATTATCCACAATTGTGCAACTTGGTCACTGTATTTTCCTATGCCTTCTTTGATAATTGCATCTATTGGTATAGTTTTAATTTGGTGTGGATTATCTCTGATGAGTTGGCATAGTTCTAGCCAAAGGTCATATTGTGTCTTCCCACTTTCCGAAACGAAGTTACCATCGTTGAGTAGTTCGCATAACACCACACATGCTTCATCATACTGCTTATGTCGTTTGAGTATTTGGTATAATGTTTCTCTGGTGTTTGGTTTGAGCTGTATGTATCGTTTGAGTACAGCCTTTGCCATGGGGAGGATGTCTACGTGTTTTACAAATTGTAGATATTGGTCCCATATTAAATGATGTTGTGTGATTGGTAGGTTGAGTAACGCTCTATCATAGGTTTTTCTTGTTCTGGTGATCATATTTTGCGTTCTTAAGAACTGTCCATAGAGTATGTATATTGCTGGTGCTGCGTATACATGTACTAGACATCTTTCGAAAATTGTATTAATTCGCATGTGTGATATAGGATCCCCATAGAATGGTTTTTGTATAGCTTCTATGCTATCTTTGATATATCCGAACCATACCTTGTAGCTGAGCGGTACACGTTTGACAGCCCTTTCGTATGTGTTCAATATCCTATTAGTAATATCATCTGGTGTATCGGGGTCACTGCGTTTGCGTTCCGTTTGGTTTACCTTTTCAAGGGTGCATATATCCCTAACTCTGTATACCCGTCCATATCCATCTGGATGTCTAAGTGATTTTAGTAGATTTATATGTTCTACCCATGGCTTGCATAGATTTGGATGTCTTCCAATTTCTTCATGGAACCTTTCATCATACAATGCAGCAAGTTGTTCATTTTTATGCCGGTCATATGTAGAGTCTAGGTATGCTTCCGCGCTATAAATATCCAATCCACGTTGTTGGTGCTTGGCTCCAGCATCACTATGTGCGTTATTTCCGGTTTCCATTGTCCTCTGTAGTGCATATATATATATACTATAACAAGGTTCAAAGTCGTTTTTGCAGGGTTAATCCACACGCAGTGTTTGATAATAGTGATTCTTATGCTCTATACCTATCTTTGGGTACGTTGAGCATCTAGTATTGATTTTTTTAGTGTTATATTTTGTTTATGTGGTCCATTGTTATTATATAGAGTGGGTTGTCCATCGCGCGCGTGACCTGTTTTTGGCGGGGCGCGTCTATTGGTGTCATGGTCATATAATGTTAGAGCGGTAGCTCCCGTGATGCAACCTATGCTATTAGTTCATGATTTTGTATAAGGCTGCAGCATGGAGTGCCTGCCGCCTGATCGTTATGATTCTGTGGACGTTTATTCGGAGAACTCAGACCCGGATCCTTTGAATGAGAGGCGTTTACGTGTTTGGGTGGGAAATATACCACCATCCGTAAGCACTCAGGGTTTTTTATCATTTTTGAAGGAGTTGAAAGTACCTCCTGTTAGGGACATAATACTAAAACGGTACCCATCGCGAAGTCGTTGTTTTTTATTTTTTCATACAAGAGAGGATGCATATTATAGTATAAATGTTCTAGACGGTTCTCGTATATTTTTAGGTAAGTTTACCATTGTGGATGTTATCATTGTTAGATTCTGCAATTCCCTTGGAAGCCCGTTTGGCTACCCCTCATGATTTGATGGAAGAATGGGAATCTCCTTTGTTATCAGCGCAATCTGATGATTATTCAGTACTCGGGAGTGAGACATTACTGAACCCTGTATACTGTAGTAGTTTTTTGAGTACTATGTCAGATGACTACGAGATATTGCAGGACGCTGATGACTCCACATTATGGCACATGTACAAGGACAAAAATGACGTCCCCTATTATTATAACCATATTACGGGGTGTACGCAGTGGGAGCGCCCTATACCTCCGCTGCTTGCTGTTGAGACTGCAATAAATGAGCGCAGTCGTCTGGGTTCCCCTGATGGGACCAACTTATTCATATTCCATATCCCTCCGTGTTGGAGTGACACCGATTTGGCTATGCATTTTACTCCTTTTGGTAATTTGGTATCTGCTAAGATCCAAAAGGATGCAAATGGGTTTAATGCAGGTATGTTGTGTACATATTGGTCTATGGTGTAATACATTATTTGTATAGGTTTTGGCTTTGTAAGCTATGACAATCCTCAGAGTGCGGCTGCTGCTGTACGTTTGATGAAGGGTTATTCTACAAATTCTAAGTTTTTGAAGGTTGAATACAAGAAGCGTAACGGTGGTGCTTAGCGTCAGCGTTGTCTTTTTGTTTAAATAACCCATCGTAGTAATCTAGATAGTAGTATAATAAGGGCTGCGATTAGCATTGCGACGAATACCACTGTAAGTACTACGCTGTTCAGCCTCCCTTGTCTGAGTAGTTTTGTAAGGTATTCATCAGCTTCTTTGATTGAGAACTTAACATTTCCTACATCATTCTGTACTCTATATATAACATTTCTTTGTTCATATAATTCCTCTTCCGCTCCTGCTCCTATCATTTCGGTTTCCTGTGCCATGGCACACGATGTCTGCAGGTATGCGTACCCCTTTTGTATAAGTCTATCATTTTCTTGTAGCTGGCTGTAATGTCCTGCTGTATTTGCGTCCGCGACACCCGTGATTAATTCTGCACGTTGTAGATCTATATCCAGTGCGTTACTGCGATTGATTGCATTTTTTAATGTTGTTTTTATCCGTCCTATCTCCTCTATCCGTATAGCTGCGATTTCCTTGTCGGATGCATGGGCCTCAAGCTCAAGTTGTCTGACCTATATATACCATTAATCACATTATAATATCAATTTGAACATATCTTCAATCACCGTTTAGATCAATATGGAACAACAATGTGTTTTTCTGACATTACTCCTTCGTCGCGATACACATCAGGATGTTGGCTTGGAAAACACAGGTTATCAAGATAACAAATGGTACACATATACCATACATATGTAAAATATGTGTATTTCTTACCGTTTCTTCTGCGGAATTAATGGTTTTCTTCAATTGCTCGAGGTTATATCTCCGTGACGCTACTGTCCCTGAACAACATATTAATCTAATATATTTAAAATTATTATATTCTATTTTTTAATGCAGAATCTAAAAATAAAGTGTAATGAATTGAATTTACTCAAACATTGCTTACTCGGATTTTTTCTGTCACCTACCTGAAGTACTTTGCTCACAAGTCTTCAGCTGCTCAGCAACAGTGTCTAGTATCCTCTTCACATGACGGTGATACTCCTCAAAGAGGTCACCCATGTTGCTATATTTTCTACTGATTGAAACCTATGGTGCCACGACTCCACCTTCAGGCCTTGGACCAATAACAAGTGTGGCTGGATCCATCGTAGCACAAACGTTTATTGACCTCTAAAGCCTAGATATGCTCTAAAAAGATTGTATCGGGGGTATTTAATGACAGGTAAAAACTGTCCAAACCAGGAATCGAACCTGGGTTGCCACGGCCACAACGTGGTGTCCTAACCTCTAGACGATTTGGACTCAATGGAGAGTTGCATTTTAGCTTTGAGTATCTACATGCCGTTTTATATATACGATAAAATGGTCCCAATTTGTCAAATTTTATCGATAACAATATCAATGTTATGTTCTGAAGAAATAGTGTCTTGGTATATGATCAATAGTCCACTTGTTGTGGATGATGTGCGTGATGGTATATTGCTATATAGCTGCAAGTTATATTTGATATTGGCTTATGTTTAGGGTTGATTGTGTGATTTGTAAGATTCCAGGTTGATGTGGGTAGTGTATGTTGTATGTTATTTTGTTATTCATAAAATGCCGTGACCCGGGATCGAACCGAGGACCTTCAGATCTTCAGTCTGACGCTCTCCCAACTGAGCTATCACGGCCCACGTTGATGGTCGATTCCTAAGCTAACCTTCTATGGCATAGCCTTCTATTATATGTATAATTTTCCATGTGTTGGACAGTTGGGTCATCCCTACCTTTCCTGTACTGTATCCGATATTATATATGTAATATTTGTGTGTCACCGTTGGCGTTGCGTGTTTATCCGTGCAGTATATATAGAGATCGTTGTTGGCTGGGGTGTACCAGCTTGGTTCGTCTCTGTTGACTGTTTGTTATGTGCCATTCTGCACATTTACAAGGCTTCACCACGATATCCATGTGTTTTTAATATTATTAGTTAGGTGTGCATGATATTGGATATTTCATTTATTGTCTCTGTGTCCTTGTTAGGGTAGGATAGCTGTCCGGGTTATTGTGGTTGCATCTGGTGTTGTATAGGATTCTGTGATGTTTCCTATAGTGTGTGTTGTGCTGTAGCCATGTGATCGGTTTTGGTTTGGTAGCGTTTGTGCGTATTGATTTTGCGTCTGTATTTTCGAAAAGATGTCAAGGTCAGCAAGTAGAGCCTCGAGCCGTGGGTCACATTCGCTTTCTGGTGAAGAGGATGGTTGTGGAGCGTCTCCACAAAGTTATTCTGAATGTGATTCCCCGAGTGGTTGGTGGTTGTATTCACAGACTCGTCGGTTATTTCGGTCATTTCGTGATCGTAAATCTGATGAAGTGCAAAAGAATGTATCTGAAGGTGATAGTCGTCCGGAGGCTGCACCTCAGCGTTCCATATTTCGTATGTTATCAGGTATTTTTATGAAGAACCAGGAGAGTGACGATGATGGTCAATCTAAGGGCTCTGTGCCATCAACCCCGGCATCACCTGATTTGAGTTCTTCGACGCCTGTACGTCGGCGCCGACGGTGGAGAAGCCATAGTGTATCGTCTCGTGGCGATAGCGATACTGACCGTGCGTTGTCCGATAGTGACTGCAGTAGCGGTCGTAGTAGTAAGCCTGTTCGTGGTGCTGAATCATTGAGTGACAATGAGTACCAGATCCATAGATCGTTGTCGTCGGCGTCGTTATCTTCAAATGCGTTGACAGCGGTAGACCATCTGGATGGTGATAGTGATGGTGGTCATGTAGAGTTGTCTGCGACACCTCCAGCTCGTGATGCTCACGGTCACCTGGGCCCGTTAGATGACAGTATGATTTCTGCCCGTGGTTCCGCTGACAGTCGTCGTACCCGTTGGTTAGTGGAATGTTTTGACGCTTTGCGTAAAGGTGCTAGTGATTCAAGTTCGGATGAGGGTGGTGTTACCGATTCTTCATTTTCACATGGTCAAAGCAGGACCCCTAGTCATGATGGTGGTTCCCCTCGTAGTACAAGTGTGACTCGAGATGTTTGGTTAGATGGTGACGATGATAATGGTGAAGATCGTGGTTCACGACACAGTGAGCGTCGTCGATTTAGTTTCCGTAACAGCATCTCATCATTTCGTCGTAACAAGTCGTCACCTAAATACAGTCGTTCTACAGGTGGCGATTTGGATATGGGTGTGTCTAAGTCTCGTGGTGTGCGTGGTCGGCATGGTTCTCATTATGATCGTGATGATAGTGTTTCGTCGTTATCTGATCCTGAGAAATCTCCTGTTAAGGGTCGTGGTTTAACGCAATATGATTATCCGAGTGCCATAACATCTTGGCGTCCAGATACTCCGCATGTATCTGATGGTCATTCTCGTCGTGGTGCATCTAGTTCTATAAAATTGGTAAAAGAGCGTGTTGTGGTATTAACGTCCAAGGCTCCGTCTGACCATAGTATAATCCCACCATCTTTGTCTAATTGGGATGCTCAATCAGTGCGTAAGCTTGAAGAGGTATTTAGTCGTTTACCTTTGCTTAAGGATACACCCATGTCGTTACGTGGTGACCTGTTTCAGCGTAAGCTGATCGCTTGTCAAACCGTGATTGATTTTAACTATAAGCGTGTATTACAGCGTGCTATAGAGTTGAAGCGTCAGACTTTGTTGGAGATTATTGAGTATATCAGTACTGCTCGTAACTGTCTGAACGAGGGTGTTTTGCGTGATGTGATTGACATGGTTTCTGCGAATGTATTTCGTAGTTTACCTCCTCGTAACCGTAAGAACCCTTTTAGTAACGACATTGATGAAGATGAGCCTAGTTTAGAGAAATCTTGGCCACATTTACAGATTGTGTATGATGTGTTTTTGCGTGTTGTTGTGAGTAACGATGTGAGTTCCAAGATGGCTAAGAACATGATCGACAAGCCTTTTGTTACTAAGTTATTGTCTATGTTGAATTCCGAGGACCAGCGTGAGCGTGACTATTTGAAGACCATTTTGCATCGTATCTATGGTAAGATAATGTCGTTGCGTACATTTATCCGTAAATCCATCGACAATGTGTTTACTAGTTTCATCTACGAGAGTGGTAACCCTTATGGTATAACAGAGTTATTAGAGATATTGGGTAGTATAATAAACGGTTTTGCAGTTCCATTGAAAGAGGAGCACAAGGTTTATTTGGAGAAATCTTTGGCTCCGTTGCATAAGCCGAGTTCCATCCGCAGTTACCATGCAGCGTTATCTTATTGTATGATCCAGTATATAAATAAGGATCGTAGTTTGGCTAGTTTGGTTTTGAAGGCGATATTGAATTTTTGGCCTAGTACTAGTGCTCAGAACGAGATATTATTTTTGAATGAATTGGAGGAGGTTTTAAGTTTGACCGAGTTAACCGAACTGAATGACATAATCCGTCATGTTGCTATCCGTTTATCTCAATGTACATGTTCTACTCATTTTCAGGTTTCTGAGCGTGCTTTGTACATTTGGAACAACGACCGTGTGTCTCGTTTGTTACATATGCACAAGAAGGTGGTGTACCCTTACATGGTGCCCGCATTGCGTTCTAACATGGAGTACCATTGGAACGACGTGGTGCGTAACCTTACTTATAACGTTGCTGGGATGTTAATGGATCATGATCAGGCGTTATATTCTAATTGCATTAGTTCAAGTGCCGGTACTAGGTGAGTCATTGTGGGTGTTTCTTTGGAATCTAGGTTGTGTAAAACGTTACAATCGTTTAGTATAACCCCTTTAGGTAGTTTCGGTTCGACATCATCTGGAGGTGTGGTTGGATCTTCTACATTGGATTTATTTTTATCACCTCGTGATATTGGTCGTTGATATATTTTTGGTTTATTTAAAATTACGGGGTTGTATGGTTCAATATGGTGAGTGTACGTATGTACCTTTTAATCGGTGTCGGTGCTGTGCTCTAGACAGTGCACACCCACCACATAAGTATGATTGGGCATGTATCTGTTGTCATAATTCTTTTTGTAAACGTTTGTGCAATTGATTGGAAATAAATTTTTGTAAAATGGACTCGACTGAAGTAAGTAACGTTCCTGTTGATAATGCTGGTGTGATGGATAGTGATTCTCATATTGAGCAGCATGTGGATTCCGGTCGTTCCCGTGAATCAGAAAGCGTTGTATCATCACCTGCTGTACCGGATACCGGTCGTGTGCAGCGTGAAGATTCTGGTAGCGTTAACTTCACAGCATTGACATCGAGTTCTCCAGTATGTTACTGCGTGTATGAGGAGGTTGCCCAGGGTACATTTTACCTGCAATGGAAGGGCAGCACTAGCGAATCGATTAGCAACCACGTTATGATGTTTTTGCCTGGTAAGACTGTGCCTAAGTTCAAGCTTGTAAATGATGGTGGTCGTTCTGAGTTAGCTACTAGAGTAATGGTAAGTATCCTATATTTTATCTATTTTATTTTTGTTTTACAGCCTGATAAACATAAATTCTGGTCGTCGCTATGTTTATTTATCAAGACAGCTAAAGAATACAAGTCTAAGCTACAATTGTTTCCCGGCTGGAATGATCGTGTACCTTACAAGTCTGATATATATTTCCATGATGGTTCTAATACGGTATGTTATTCGTTTTCAACTTTGTTCTCTATATTGTTTATTTAGGTTACCAAGGTTGGATATGATCCCATTGATCTTGAGAATGTTGCTGCTATTGGTATAGCTGGTCGTTCTAACTTGTTGATGGCTAACAAGATGTCTAAAGAGCAATTTTCTCAAGGTATTCGCAAGGGCGGGTACTGTCTGCAGCTTTAGAATTTGACGTTGAGAAGAAAAAAAACTCCTTAAAAATGAATATTCATTTATATTTGTATGTTGCATATATTGATTATTGATCTTAGTTGTGGTATGATTGTTTTCTAGAATATGTGTCTGGAAAAGGTTAGTTGTTATATGTATATATATATATATATGTCTGGGTATGGTTCTTTTTATGTTGGTGGTATTGTTTTGGCGTGGTCGCGGCGTGCGTACTGAGCCCTACTATGTCTATATTGCATAATGGTCAATCTATATATTTTATATTTGGGAATTTCTTTTTAAAAACGGTGTACCGGCTGCGTATACTGTTGATAATATTTCGTTGCCATTTGCTTTTGATGCGGTTTATCGGTGTGTGTCACCGTGTACCGGCGGAGCTAGGAGTATATAAAGCCCGAGGTAAGTATCGATAGTGTGTTCAAGGTAGTGTATAAATGTTGTTAGTGTGTATTAATTGGTGTGTGCGTCAGCATCCGCGAGGAAAAAGAGGTACACGTGTGTGTCAAACCATGTACTCCCGAGTGGTGATATGAGTCTTTTACACATAGTTATAACTTGCGAACAAGTGTCTAGTGGTGTGATGTTGACATAATGGTGGCCGCCAGTCGTAGTTCCCTAATGTTCTTACAGAGCGATTTTTCCAAGCCGAGTGTTAACCTGCAGGATAGTTGGCACGAGGAATTGGATCGTAAAAGGCAAAGTCTAAAGAAACGTTGCAAAGAGTTGGATACGGTATTTGGAAATAAAATATCGAAAGAAGTGCAGCTTCGGAATTCAACCATAGGTGATGGTAATGATACTAGTGCAAGATATATAGATAGTGTACATGAGAAGAGGTGTCCTTCATGTACGCCGAAGTCTAATCCGAAGGTATACGATGAACAGCGGCATAATACCCCTGGAGTAGATAGTAAGGTGTCCGATATCTATGAACGCTGTAGGTATGTAAAAACACCTGTATTGGAACGATCGACAGATAGACATTCGTCGTTAACAAGGGATATACCAGATTCTGTGCCTTTAAGACTTTGGTTGGCATGTCAAGCAGACGCTGGTAATAGTACACCAAGTTGTAACAGGTCGTTGATACTGTTGGATCCGCCTGCGAAGTGCCGTCGTAAACGCACAGGGTTCGCCAAGCATCTCGGTCGTCATTTTTGGCGTGATAATTATCGTCGGTATTCAAGTTCAGTGGTTGCACCCAAGTCTCATCACAAGTGTAATTTGAAACACCAAAAGAGATATTGGAATTTCCCCTACTGTAAAGATAGGTTCTGTCCCAAGGGCGATTCACATAGTTTGTATAAAAACAGATATTACAAAATGGATACACCAATGTACAGGGATAGGTTGGATATTAGTTCATCGGTGGATGATACGGATTGCGCCTCTCCTGATTCCAGAGCTGTGGTTACCCCTGGTAATTCCGATGTGGTTGCGCGCACGATGCAACCAAGAATTAAAATAGATTCCAATTATATAGATCGTTTATTATCAGGTCAATCGGTGAGCCTTGATGTTTTGAAAGCGCCAGAATTAGGGTCATCGGAAGCGGCACGTTATACGATATCGATATGCCGTGAGGTGTTCATGGCGGCTATAGGGGCGCAGATGGTCTATGTGGTTACCAGTTTGATGTTTGGTAATGTTGCTGCTGCTATAATCGTCTCTTTATTATGTCTGCAGAGTGCATTATGTCACTGTGATGGTCGTCCCATGGCCTACGTAATAAATGGTGTTTTATCCATGCTGGTCGGCACCACTGTGACCGTGGCTCTGTGCCGTGACGTGTCTGGCTTAGAACCTTACCGTCGTGACCCGGTATTGAACACTATGTCGTATATTTACGTGCCGTTATGTTTTTGTTTCGGCATCTTTTCATTTTACCTGGCGCACAGTAACTACGACCTGCAGAAACAGGAGCGCCGTGCCATAGTGCACGCGGTAAACCGTTTATTAGGTGAACGTTACCGTGTAAACGAGCGTAACCTTGGCGTTGAACGTTCGACGTAATACAATGACATACTAGAATGTTTAATTAGTGTTCCAATGGCCACTTTGGCCAAGCGAGTTTGTTTCGTCGCTACTACAAACCGGTACATTTGGTGTCCGGTTACGTGTCGTCCACCTTTTATGGTAAGTTATGCGTGTATGTGGGTCCTCTTGTGCCATTATACGTAGCATATCTTCATCCGCTGATTCTACAGCCGTTTTGGCGCCGACAAGGTCGTCGTATGGTATCCTTGGTATGTCCTCCATTGTTTGGTTTGGTGGTCCCAGCGGCTCGAAGCATACCACTGCTGGCGCGGATACCAAGTACAACGACTCACAACCTTTATCATCTTCACCTCCTAGGACGCAAATGACCACTATCTAGATTCTATGAACTTACTGATGATTACTATGTCACACCGATGAAGATCGATAGAGTATAGCTCCCCCTTGATTTTTTCTCCAGTAACCAGCTTGACCAACACCTGTACTGCAACCGATATTTTCACGTAGCCGTTATATGAACACACCTCCGATAAAATGGAAGGCATCGACGTCGGTAAGGGGTCCTACAGGTTCCATATTGGTAAGCGACCCCGCTGAGGGCGGTCGCAACTGGGCTGTTAGTAAATCGAATGATAATTTTCTATTAACTGAATTATTTCTATAATTTTTAAGAATGCATTTGGATGGCTGGCAAGCCAGGGAGAACTTAACAAGGTAGCCCAGATGGGGAGCTGATTTCACCGGTGAACAACAGCTCCCCGTCCACTGCAGATATCGGTATTTTCAGGATATGTGTTAGAGTATATAGGCTTTGCAACGGTATATTGTCTATGTTACGATGTGACACTATGCTGGCCCGCAATGTCGATATTTGTTGAGTGGGCTTCCGCGTATAAAAACGGCCGATTTCCAGAACCCAAACTGCAGTAGTAGTACATTAGCATGATATTCGCCTATTATAGCCATGTGATAGGTCCCCCGAGTGCCCTGAGACAGATAGTGTAGCCTAGCGTCACTACCTCGGTGATACATCCCCGGCGAGATCATAGAGAGCTGTCGATTACCCTGTAGTCATTTAGGCAGTGCGATAATGTCGGTTGTTCCGTGCTGCTAGAAGGAAGACCAGTGAGAAAGGTATGATCGTGAGCGCCACCTGTAAATATATATATATATACCACAGTATCATTAACTCTATAACCACGGTCTATATACATCACTTTAATATACTATAGAGAGATGTTGGATCGGTTACCGTTGATATACTCAAATATGTACATGCATGGTCTATACGTACCTGTACCCATGTTTTCCTAACGTAACTTGCTACAATTATCCATCCATCTAACGCCGGCGGCGGTCTAGCTTCCATAACATCAGGGTTATCCATGATATATAGAGACTTTGTATCCTCTGGCGGGAACCTAGAGGTGTTTGGGAAGATAACGTGTAAAGGAATCTATGTCTGGCTATCCTGTACACTTTGGCTAGGCTATAACGGATGATATGGTCCCCTGCGATGGTCACTTTCTATGGAAGTATCGTGTAGAAGTGTATCGGCACCTTTCTGTAGGATTAACGCTTGTATATGTGTATATTTGAGGTGATACTGGGACGCTAGGGGCAGTACGATCACACACTAGTTGTATATAATTGTATGGATATCATTCTGTCGCCTATATAGCATCGGCTAGTATCGAATATGTAAATATGTGGCGCTTGTGGGTGGAGCAGCAATAAAGAAGGGAAATATCGTGCGGATCGCCCCCGCCCCCCCAAAGAAAAGTTGCTAGGTGTATCTCATTATATAAAAACGAAGGATCTGACGCTAGGTTTCATAACGGAATATTACAAAGTATAGATGTTTATTACACCTTGTAATATATACAATTGGATACCCAATTTGTTTGACGAACCTACACACCGCGGCCACCGCGGATTCGGTGGTATACCGATATTTACGGTAAGGTATACACGACTATTACGAATTTAGCAATATGGGTGATCAAGAATCCGATAGTACAACTATACACCCATTAGGTGAAACTGGAGGGATAAGGTCCATGGGAGCTGGAAGGTGGATGTCGATATTAAATACCTTGACATCGGGAGAGCACATGGACCAGCTGGTAGCTCTGGGTGAACTGTCTGCATTCTTGAGCTATGCGAATGAAGATAGCATGGTAGGCTTCCCTTCGTGGAAGTATCTCAAGGTACTCATGCATATCATCAACAACCCTGGAGTGAAGTACGAATCGGTCAATAGCAATGGAGGGGAGCAGGGCAACGAAAGGATGCCTGCGATGCAGGGGCCCTCAAGGTTCCGAAAACTATTACGCCATATATGCAGAAGGAAAGGACAAAGGACATCGGACGATTCACAAACGGAAGGGTTCTCAGAATTCAATGATCAAGTTGATGAATCTTCATCATCGTCGTCGTCGTCACCATCATCATCAGATGGTGGTGGTGGTGGTGGTGATGATAATGATAATGATAATGATGACCACGGTGATGATGCAGATGGGAATTACCCAATCACAGTGTCGCCGTCTGTATCAGATACGCCTGTAGAAAATGTAGAGAGTAATGAAGAGCCTATTACGGACGATCTAGCTGCTAACAAGGCTATCACAGCGGCAACATGTCTAAACACCATTCTAGACATTATGCCACACGCGTCAAGCTTCTTCATCACCTACAAGTGCAATCTGGATATATTGCAGAAAGTGTTGCAAAATATCGAGTATATCGATCTGGCAGAAAGAATACTATTGGTTTATGAAAAATTGATCAAAGAGATACCAGTGACGATTGTGAAAACGGGAGCGTTAGTATCGATGTTACGATATTTCGAGTTCTTTCCCATGGATGTACAGATTGGCACCTTCACAGCGGTCATGACCGCAGTTAAGAGGATCGAACGTGGTGAAAGTGTCCGGAACTACCTGATACCATTGGTGCCGCATTTGACACAAGCACTGGACAGCGATAACAAGAGGATAGTACAAATGGCATGCGGGATATGGAAAACAACCATTAGTGCCGCTATAAGAGCATCGTATAAAAGCGGAACACACTCGTCAGAGGTGATCGGTACCTTGGTAAGAGCTGCGGTATCCGTTAATGCAGTACTACACATGTGTCAACTGGTGTTTGGCAATAGTAACAAGGTTAGCCGCGAGAACGTTATCCAGGGATTATATTGCCTAGCCATAATATGTAACGAGTCGAATGAAGTATTATCACAGTTTTACGAGTTAAATGTGCTCGTGCATGTTAAACGGTGGATATCACATAGCGGGGAGTCTATGGTACTGAGGTTGGTCGATTTGGGTCTGGGTATGCTGGGTAGCTACCATACCATAGAACCCCTGGTTACAAACTGCAACCAATTGTACCAGAGGGGGGAATATTTCTCCAGGGAGCCTAAAAAGCTAGCAATGATAGCAGATACCTTCACGATGGAGAAGCTTCTGGATATATACGACCAAACTATCTCGCAGCAGCTACGTAATCGTATAATGCTCTTGGTTGTGCGTCTACTAGAGATGGCGGCCGAGGTGGAAGAATGCCGTGACCAAATTGTAGAAGGGATCCCTTTGTCCAAGTTACTAGAAGCGATATGTTACACTTTACGTTACAATGGTAACGACGCTTCTACCGAAGTGGCGGTACACGCAATCACGTGCTTATTACGGTTACTGGAACACAGCAGTATCAGCAGGACATTATCTCGACACGGGGTCTCGTCGTTACTGACCTCGTTGAAAAATTCGAAACTACATCATGAGGTGTGCTATATAATGGATGCGCTGCCACAAGTTCCTGCTTCACTTAGTATAAAATCGGGGTATGAACTGATCGCCGAGATTAAGATGCATGGAAACTCGCTAACGCTAAATGAACTTGTACAAAGGGGGATATTGGATATCGATTATGAGCGCATAATATCAACAGACTCTTTGCCCGCGTTACTACGCTCCATATTGCGTGAAGATTCGAAAACCGGTAGTTTGGAACTGCATAATGTGGATGTGGAGGGGATAAGGTCGCTGTGGACCGCTTTTTCAAATGTTCTGGAATCACAATCTGAATTCACAACATGCCTTAAAGATGATCGGTCTAGCAAGAGTACATCAAGCAAGGATGTAGATAGGGATAATGTAACTGTAGAACATTTGGATAACTATGTGGACCTTGGCGCCACAGATTCCTCAGTAAAAGGGTCAGTAGGAAATGATACTGAAGAACCACAGTGTGGGTCGGAACGATCTTCTTTGAGTAGCAATGACACACCGGAGTTACCACAGGATGTGCTGTTGGACCTATCGCGTGATAATGCAGCGGATGAAACCGATATACATATCGACCTTTCCAATGTACGACAAATGGCCGATGAGCAGGCAGAGGAGTTGGAACAATCGATTGAGCAGGAGATTCAGCAGGAGCTGGACCTAGAGCTTGAACAAGGGGTTCGTCAAGAGTTGGATCCAGAGATTGAGCGAGCGATTGAACAGGAATGGGAACGTGAGGTTGAGGGACGTGTACCAATTGATTTGACTCGGGAGAATCTAGAGGCTACACATTGTGAGCCGCCTAATAATTCTGTACAAGATGATGACCAGGTTACTCTCCAGATAGAACCCAATGATAGCCAACCGAACACTGCGTCATCACGTATAGGTGATACTGTGCGTGTGTTATTGGAAGAGGGTATGTTTAGGACGAATCCTATATTCGCTTCTCCCGAGGTGCTCCGCGGTCTCTGTGAGAACTTGGCGTCGGAGTTTACAAGGGAACAGCAGGCGACTGAACCATCAGAAGATACATCTAGGTCAAGGTCCAGACGTTCCGAAAGTCGTTTAAAAAGATGTAGTGATAAACAGATTAGAAATAGGAACAGGTTACAAACTATAGGCTATATGACCCGTTTTACAAGAAATGATGGATTACCATTTCCATTTAGTTATATAAATCGGGATGTAAAGATAAAATTGAGTAGCCTTGAGAAAGAAGATGAGCTAATGAATTTACCTATACTCTCGATATATATCTCGCCGCTAGTCTCGGTATCAAAAGTGGAGTCACATTTACTGACCTATATGAATAAGCGTGAGCAGGATATTGCTGGGTCATCTAGGTCAGCACCTAAGAAAAGGGCAAAAACAGAAGGTAATTTACTACCAGATGGTGAAGATATGTTCATGGATGTACAATTATATTATAAAGGTGTTGCATTAGCGCCCACAATGTCACTATACAGGGCATTGGTCAAGCTTACCGACGGCACTAGGTCAAGCATATGGAAGGAATCCCATAATATACAGTATCTATTGACCCGGAAATCAACAGGTTCTATGGAAATGCACCAGATACAATCGGGAAGGTATAGTCCTTTGATGGCGGATGTGGCTGATGAACGACATAGCCCACTTAGCCTATTCCTGGGACTATCTACCTATCTCAATGGTTGGGAAGGGACCATTATAGGTCCCATGATGTCTAAAATCTGCGAACGTATTATAGAGGATAATTTTGACGATACGAGTATATCTCTAATTTTGGAAGAAACGTTCTCTTTATACTCACAAGGTGGTGATCTGGACAATCGATCTAAAGTTACACAATCCTGTGTAACTGATAGTGCCATGGAATACCTCCATAAGCGTGTATTATCCGCTTTGAACTCAATGGATAGAGTTATTAACTCCGAGCTGGATAGTGATATATTGGTAACTAGGCCATTGGAATCTAAGGAAAGCTATGATCTTAGTCAAGAATCACGGAACCATTTGAAGATACTAGTGGTACTTAACACGATATTCACCGAGCTCAACGTGTCCACTGGCACCCTAGATTTCCAACTATCATTTTCTAAAAGGTTAACATTGAAATTGTTAACCATTCTAGGTGCAATAGAGAAGACGCTATGCTACCAAGTCCCGACATGGTTCATACATTTAGTGATGATATGTCCAACGCTGTTTTCATTCGATTCCAGGAAAGTGCTGTTCGATCTGTTGGCTACAGGTACACATAGGTTCCTATCACAGTTCCACAACAGGCTGAGTTCACTAGTGGATTCTGGTAGCGCACCATGCAAGGACTGTGAAAATTTTACCATGGACCCACTTGATGAGATTATCCGCCAGAGGCTATTATCAGTTCGTACTATAAAACCAAGCTCTCTACAGGAGATCGAATCTGTAATGCAGGTACCTAAACTAAAAGCGACATGTTCGAGATCGGATATATTGATGGACGCTATTTTGATAATGGACCAATTTGTAAGAACAGCGTCTGATAGTAACGCTATCCCGAGGTTAGAAATAGAATTTGAAAATGAAGTTGGGGTTGGTACAGGACCTACACAAGAATTCTATTCATTAGTTATAGAGTCTATAATTGTTGGAGATGAAAACGGTCAGAGTCCTTTGGAGAAGATAAATGAGCTCTTGTATCCTAAGGTAGTCCCCCCTACCAGTATAATGTTGGATGATTTTTCGTTGGATATGTTTAAAAGGGCCTCTAAGAGCACTGTGGAGTACAGTGTTGATGGTCAAGGTACCGTGGTAAATAGTTCTGGTGTCCCGGATACGGCTAATGTCCGAGTTTTCCGGATATTCAAGCTATTGGGGCAGCTTGTGGCTCTAGCATTGTTAGATCAGAAACTTTTGAATCTATATATCCACCCCCTTTTCTGGTATATATGCCAAAATCCAACGGTTGAACCAAACTGTTCACTTTCTACGCTAAGGTCTGTAGATCTCGCCCTAGCAACATCTTTGGGTAATTTGATATCGGAAGATTTGGAATTTGTCGAGTTGTTCTTCACGTATAACGGGGTACCGGTAGTACCGGGTGGTGATAAGCTGCGTGTAACCCGTGATAACGTATCTGATTATATAAAATCAGTAGTTCGTATGCGTTTGTATGATGGCATAAAGCTCCCCGTATGGGCATTTAGGATGGGTTTTGCTACTATAGCACCTTTAGGAGCGCTATCGTTATTCACGCCAACGGAATTGACGTTCCAGCTGTTTACAACAAAAGATCAAAATGAGTTCTGGACAGTCGAACATCTGCAGACGTATATAATACCGGATCATGGTTACGACCTGTCGTCGGTAACATATAGGTGTCTGATATCAGTGCTATCTGGGTTGTGTGATAGTGATCGTCGTCGTTTTCTACGATTTTGTACCGGGGCACCGGTGTTACCTAAACAAGGTTTTGCTGGTTTAAGGTGAGTTTAACATGTGTCAAATAAAATGTTTCGTAGGCCTATGATGCGCGTTGTCAAAAAAGGTGACAACCATCATGAGCTTCCAAGTGTCATGACGTGTTCGAATTATCTTAAGCTGCCATCTTATAGCTCGGATACACAGTTGAGAATGAAATTACTGCATGCTATCCGAGATGGGCAAGGGTCATTTCACCTTTCTTAAATGTTTATATTCCGAAGCGAATGTTTCGTGGGCATTGGCAAGCTGGTCAAGGTACGCTGCATCTGCTTTTGATGGGTTGTGTAGTTGTGAGTTTGGAGCCCGGATCCCATCAAGGACATGTTTTAACCTGCGGCTCTCGTCTAAAGAGGTCGTACGGTCGTCGATAACGTTCTGCACGAGCCTGGTCAGTTTGGGCCCTGAAGAATAACATTCAGTAAATGTTATATAGACAACTCACTAGTGTCTGAGTTAAGAGCACCCTTAAAATACCGATCGAGTAGCGCTAGTATATTAGTGAAATGGCCGCGCTCGGTGATGGGTTCCCTGATATCTTCAAATAGCTCCAGCTCGTATAGTAGCCGGTCTTTAAAATTCGATCCAATAGCCGGATGCTGACCCAGTACTACAGGGTTTTCGTCCATCGATATTTCATAAACGAACCCTGGAATGAAGAATCGGTGGGATCATGTTTATCGTCGTTTCGGTTAGAAGGGGTGGCCGCAGCACCGGGGAAGGGCGAATATGCCGAAGTTCCCATCATGGCGGCCTGGAACGCCCGTGCTTCTTCACCTAAATTTTAAAATACAAACCTTTGTAAGAATAACATACCGTTTAATGGCATCGGCATCATTACCGGTGAAAATGGTGGCACCATGCCCATACCGGGAGGTATCATACCCATTTGCGGTGTAGAACCCAGCCACAGGTTAGGCGGGAAACGTGATGGGTTATTGACCTGGTCATCATGAAACATTACGGGTTCATTTGGCCTTGGCCATGGTATACTAGCATGACGTTTGGATGAATGCTCAGAGTCCGTGGTAGTTTCCACACCAGACATCTGTTCTCGTCCACGGGAAAACGACGCCATGACACGAGCTGTTAGGTTATTATATCAGGGGGTATAAAATGGTTGAGTTGGTTTTAAATGACGGCATTATTACAAGCGATCCATGGCTAATATAATGTACATTGAACGGGGTAATATATCTCTATCACGGACTATCGAGCCAGGGTCACGGCGGGGGGGGGCGGTAACCGACAGTGGCATATTGGCCGACACCGCCGCTACACATGGTACACATTGATACGAAAGGTTACGGAAATTTGAAAAGATGCTGGAATCCGAAAATAAAGCACCGAGAACAGATACCGCCATAGACAGAATTGAAGGTAATATGGAAGGAACCAATAAGGTGGCATTAGGCCGATTAGGTTGGAGGTCCCGTTGTCGTGAGATGAAGGGTGTCAATCGGCGCCGCAAAGGCGACAAAAATGAAAATAACGAAGAACGCAAAAGGGAACGTATCGCATATACCGATGCTGAAGCACATAATCCAGAATTTGAACAATATTATAAAGATCAAGGGATATGCAAGGATAGCGAATGGCATGAATTCCTAGAATCCACAAAAAAATCGCTACCTATCGCATTCAGAGTTAATACGTGTATCCCGTTATGGCGACGTACAGTAACGGCCCTTGAAACCTTCGGAAAAACATACTCACAGTTGGAACTTACAACTGCACTAGAACATACAACGAAGTTTGTAAAGACAAAAGTACACGCGCCGTTATACTACCAATTGGCCACAGATAAGGCAACGTTAAGGAAAAACGAACAGGTGGTGACGTTCCGAAAATGGCTAATCGATGAAGATAACAGGGGCACACTCGCAAGACAGGAAACTGTAAGCATGCTACCTGTTATATACCTAGACCCACAACCACATGAAAATATATTGGATATTTGCGCGGCACCAGGAATGAAATTCTTACAAATATTGGATGCAGTAAATAGCACAATACACTACAAATATAGACAAACACCATGTAATAATACAGGAATAATAGTAGGAAACGATGTATGCCAACAAAGAGTATCAACACTGGTACATAACGTTAAAGCAATCAACTGCCCATCAGCAACGGTCACAAACTACGATGCAGCACGGTTCCCATATATGTACAATGAGGATGGTCAAAGGCTACTGTTCGATAGGGTACTCGCTGATGTCCCTTGTAGTTGCGATGGGACCATGCGTAAGGCACCCGAACTGTGGAAATCATGGAAAACAACTGGAGGACTACATATGCACAGACTGCAGTTGTCAATTGTAAAACGAGCAATGCAGCTGTTAAAACCAGGAGGAACCATGGTGTACTCCACATGCTCACTCAACCCCCTGGAAAATGAAGCTATTGCAAGCTATGTAGCCTCAGAAGGAAGACGGTTATACGACGTTGAACTAGTGCCCATAGAACCGATACCAGGGTTCAAAGTAGCACCAGGTTTAGACACATGGAAGGTACCAAACCCTGATGGTGGGTATTTCAACAACTACCAAGATGTACCTGAACAGATGCGCAATCGTGTGACACAATCCATGTTCAAAGCACCGGAATGGAATGAAAATGTAGCCAAAGGTGTTATCAGGGTACTACCACATTATAACGATACTGGAGGGTTCTTCCTCTTCAAAGTACGTAAGAAGAGTGAAAACAACGATAAAGAATATCAAATGAAACAAGAAATCAAACCTGTAGATGTAGCACCGACATATCCTAATCCGAAATGGATAGCACGGAAACGTGGAGAAAAGCTTTTACATGACTATGTACTATATTCAGAAGCTGAACCAAAGCTGTTCGACGATATATGCCAGTTTTACGGAATAAAACATGAAAATAGACAAATGTTTAATAGAATGCTGGTCACAAAGAGATACAGCCATAACCACGCGTTCATAACAGGGCAGCTAGACTCAGCGGCATTGTATCAAAAATGCAAAGCGACAAAACTAAATACACACGTTAGTGCCGAACAAAACTTTATAGACAATGATATTGAACATGATGAAGAGCTGAAACCAGATATGCAAGAAACACAGGATAATATGGAGGATGAGGAGGAGGTACAGGAAAATAACGCTATTAAAACAGGATATAAGAGATGGGAACGTTGTAGGTTTGCTATGGTAGGGATTAGGGCGTTCGTTCGGCTGGACTCTAAGGCCACACGAGGATCACAATGTGTAATGCGAGTGGCACAGGAGTCAACAATTGCGTTGTTGGAGTTCATGAGCCGCCGTGTCATGTTTGCAAATATAGCCTTTTGTGCAGAATTTATCAAGGGGAATATGAAATCACAAACATTAGTGGAACAGGAACAAATAGGTAATATACATTCTTTGGACCCATGTAGACGAGACGGGGTATTGGAAAGTGGAGGATGTATTGTAATAGTGGTCCCTGGTTGGGCCAGGAATCGCATACCAGCAAAAGGCATCACTATTACTTCAAAAGGGGCCGTTAATGTGGACCAGAGGTCACTGGGGTCGGATTACGATATATCATCCATGCAAGTGCCTGTGGATATACTAGACACAATGCCGGTGTCGTGTGTTATCTCAGATATGGGAGAACTATTTGCATACGCGTCACCTTATGTAATGAATGCACTGCGTAACGCAGTGGCGGAGCTAGAATCACAGGGGTAAGATATTATGATGATGGTAGTCTCTAGATGCTACCGTGGTAAGGGCGACCCTCGCGTTTGAATTCGTCGACGTACTTCTTTATGTCCTCAAATAACACGTAGAGCCTCACCTTGTGGCCGGGGAGCCATTGCGCATCAGAAAATGACTCGATTTCAGCCAGGGAGTCCCTGTTAAGCGTGAGGATAGTGTCCAAGGTGTCAAAACCAGCGTTGGTGAAGTGATATGCCACCTCGACGGGGAGGTGGTAATAGTTGAAGAACTGTAGCACCTTCATACGGGTAGCCTCGAGCTCAGGATCTGCACGGGTTATGATACGATTCCCTGAGAATGGGGAAATACAATGGTAAGTGGGTAACACCCATTAGACATGACCTAATATTCCACACACCGGGACCACACGTATACACATTACTATTAGAAACTTTTACAGGTATGCTCGCATACTCACCGGCCTTCCAGAGCTTGGCGTAACTGTGGAGGTGTTCCGGGTAATGTTCGCAGAGGAAGTCGACGATGAACTCGACAATGTTCTTGGGCTGTTTATGAACGATAGCCTAGGAAATATATACGTATTCAGAAATAGGGGTACCTCGTGGATACGCTCATAGATCTCTTCAATCAGTTGCTGCTGCAGCTCCTCAGCCTCAGGACGGGCAGGCTGCTGCTTGCGCAGCTCAGCAATCGTACGACGGACCAACGAATTATCGTCGTCCTGAAGCTCCAACATCTGACACTCGACCATTTTTCACCGTTCAGTGGAATAAACCGATGTGCCAACACAGTGCCAAAATGTGCGAGTGTGTGGGGAAATAAAAACAATAAAATAATGATAAAATAAACTAGACATTAATCCCAGTTAGTGCGCATTTCGCAAAGTAAAGACCTATAGGCAAACAGATGAGTTAACCACGGAGAGTAACGAGACTCAGCGGATAACGCACTCGCGCGATAGGAGACATAAATCTCACTGCAACGCTGATTAAGCAAATCACAACCACCATTCACAGACGAACAAAGGTCATAAGAAACCTCGTTATGGTGTGTATATTGCAAAACAGATTGCAGTGAACACTTGACAATGTGACGACCGTAACGCCATAATAAAGCCCGCACAGCAAGAGGGATACTACCGCCGTCAGCATGGTCCACAAATTCCTGAACTATCGACAAATGATTAACAAATGACGATACCAGATCCGATATGTCACGAATAACCTGGTAACCGTGACGGGGACCATGCTGCAAACGGTGAAGCATACCCTCAGATGGTAACCTCTTGTGAAGCAACGATAACATACACATGGGGTACACAGCCGCACGAAAGTCAGAAAGCACACGCGATATACGCTCGTAATGAGACGTCATAACATCCAAACAACCAATGCAACCAACATCAAACCTATGACGTAACAACACTAATAGACAAAACATAGATTCCACACAGTTGACACGTCGTGAGAAAACTGAAACTGATCCACCATCCTGAACTACATGGGAAACATCCGGATCCGAATCTTTGTGAAACAACATAAACCTAGATAAATCAGGAAGCTCACGATTTACAGATTGCAGCTCACACTCATGTATGCGATGGTTCAATAACCAGTCATAAGTCGATAACAGCTTAGATAGATACGCAGCAGCACGATCGGGATGTAATGACATCACACGAAACACTTCAGGCAAATGTGACCAAAATGTATAAGATGTAGACGTAAACACAAAACCAAACTGCTGATCTAACAAACCCAAATCGGGAAATGATACATCATTTATACGACATGATATACCAAGAGAACCCACGGGAGAATCATCACTGCGACATGAATGACCCTTAATAGGGCGCAGACGTGGGAACCAACTGTCCAAGTTGATACCCACAAAACCACTACTCGGAGTCCAACCATTATATGGATTTAAAGAACAAATGGGAATACCATTGCAAAAATCCATACTCAGACGCACACGACCCTTAAAAATATGCTGTAAAGAAAATATGTCGTAAGTATCACAAACACTTAGGTCACAAGGAAATATACGACGACCAACATCACCCAAAGCGCACATACGCAGTTTCTCACGCAATACACCACATAAATGGTCCATATAAGGAACCAACAGACGACCGTGAATCATATCCGAAAGACCATCCAAATACCTCAAAGGTTCTTGAGAAGTACAGGAAAAACCATCTTTAGGTAACGAATCCAATGAAAGGTTGCCGTTTATACGCAAATAATCACGGGCACACTTATAATCACGATTGTCAGCCTCAAAAACGCCAAAAGAATCATCATCAGCCGCACAAGTAGACTCAGAATCATCAGAATCAACACTAGCAGGCAGAGCCTCAGACATAGAAATACACTCTTGTTGAGTTGTCAAAAAGAAATTCAACAACAGCGATAATTTCAAATAATCGTTACGATCCTTCACGGCAGCCATGTTCACCTCACTAAGAAGTAGAGTAAGCAAATGACAAGCATACGCACGAAGTGACATGAAATCACGAGAAACAAGTGATAAAACACGCTTCAAATAACGATCCATACGGTAACCACTCAATTCTCCAAGGTAACCACGAATCAAATCTACAGAAGAACAAGAATCATGGTCAAACATAGGTGCCGGTACCAAAGGTTGCTTCAAGTCGTTAACCACAGAATCAAAAAATACCGTAAAATCACATAAAACCTTACAAACCGTTAAAAGGATCATGTTAGGACCGAGAGTACGTGACCAATGACCGATATCGCATGGTGAACGTGATTCAGCCGATGGAATAACAGAATAACTAACATCCACATTCACATAACGCTGGACAGTAGATAGCATTACACCAAACATGTGACGACGATACTCAGCCATGATGCAAGATGCAGCAAACTCAGGAGATGCACCAACAAGACGCAAAAGACGAACACTGCTCGGAAAACCAAGATCCAAACCCATCTTCACAGTACAACTGTTTATCATGCTGTACAAACGAATCGTAAACCACTCATTTAAACAACGCAACAGACTCCATTTGGAAGCTACAGAGAACGTCGCCATCGACATGTCGAGGATCTCCAAAGCAACAGCACAGGCGACGATACGATGCAAAATGTCATAGACATGACTACGCACAATATCACGCAATGTAACAACATCACTAACATGCTGCAATAACTCGTTCAACTTCTTCAAAGACACAACATGCGATAACGCCCTAGGGATAGACATGCCATTACGAAGACTAGACGATGCGTACAAGTCAAATGAACGACGCAATTGCAACAACTCACGGTCACAAACAGAACGTATAGCATCAGACTCAGTAGCACGAAGAGACGTTGATATCAGATCAGAATGACGATTATGCGCCAATTCAGACATATGCTTCTCAACAGCAGCAGCGGTGTTCATCAAATACTCGATACGTTGACGAAGAGATCTCCACGGGTCATCAGATGGAAGGCGTTCCATCTCACGACTAATAAGCGCGCATCGGTCCACACATAACGGAGAAGAATCACCGTGACGACCATCTGAACTCAAAGAATCACTATAACGCGACTCCAATAAACAACGATCCGAGCCATCCACAAATTCCAAAACGCAATCAAGGATGGAACTCGGTAGCGATACAGCATCAATGGATGCCGATAAGGCGACGAACTCCTCGTTGGCATCCATCACCCGATCCCAGAAATATGAGCTAAAGGGCAATGTCCCAACTCTACATCATGACACTACCAAAATCAACATTAAACAACTTCAGAATACACACCCGAAAAGTAAAGGTGTGTCTTCATTCAACTAACACGCATATCCAACTTAAGAACAACGGACGCGAGTCCCCACCGATACACATACAAATATCACCAATAACATACAATACACTCAAAAATAACATAGAAACAAAAATGGATATTACACAAATTAAACAAAAATGCATCAAACTATTCATAGACAGAGGTGCACTACTATATGGAGATTTCACACTCAACAGCGGAATCAAGTCAAACGTGTTCTTCAATTCAGGAACCATCAGTGATGCAGAGGCGTTCGCAGCACTGGTAGAGCTCATGGTAAAAATAATCATAGATTCCAAAATGGAATTCGATGCCGTCATAGGACTACCGTACAAGGTAGGTAGCATAACCAAACGGACACTTCGGGCGTTCTAGAAAAAATACACATTCATACGCAGGGCATACCGTTGGCCGGCGCAATATGCATGAAATACTGGGAAAAAACAGGAAAATGTGTAAGCTTCGGATATCACAGAAAGGAGCTCAAGGACCACGGAGAAGGATCAATGTTCGTAGGAGCACAACGCATGTACGCACCAGGCACCAAAGTAATAGTCATAGATGACGTGCTCACAAGCGGAAAGGCACTCTTCAAGGGACTAGACATCATAGAACCACTGGGGCTAACTGTGGTTGGAGTAGTAGTCATACTTAACAGAGAAGTTGTATATGGAAGTGAGTTATACTGTCGTATATTAAATATGTCTCAGCGGTTGCAAAAAAACTCGCACAACGCGGAATCAATAACATCCGCGAAGCACTCACACTCACAGAACTGCAAAATCATGCATAAACCAAAATATAACAACTAAACAGAATGTAATACCTGATATAACCAATCAACCTTCTCGCGACACTCATCCGCAGAACTGTCGCCCTTCACCTGCAGCTGCTTCAAACGCTGAATTATCATGCGCATCAAAACGGAGTCGATCAAATACACCGAAAGATCACTGCCAAACGTAGTCAAAAGGTCACCAACCAATGTAACCGCTAAACGATAGTTAACAACAGAAAAATATTGATCAGGAGTGTTCACAACCTCCTGAACAAATTGCAATATGCTGCTCACATAACCACGTAACACATTGGACTGGTTCACGCTCTTCTGACCATACAATATACCAGTGAAAGATAACAACACACCCTCACGCAAGTCGTTGATGTACCACACCCACTCCTCACTGTCTACAGGACCAAGCTCGTACGATGTGTCAGCAGCCTGAAGAAGTAAACGCATAGATGGCTCAACAAATGTGTTAAAAGCTGAACCTGAAGCCATAGCTAGGTCACCCAAAGCAGTCACTATTGGAGGCTTCAACTTCTGAGGAGAATTTATATCTGATAAAATGCTAAGCAATAACTCCATCAACTGAGGAACATAGGGCTGAATGTGACGATCCAACACACGAGCCATGTCACTCGTCAACTCGATACAAGCCTTGCAAGAACTACTCACATCAGGACGACGTAAACCGTTCAAAACTATATCAGCAAGACGAGATAAGTAAGGAGTAAAGTCATCGTTACCCATACGGTTCAATAATGCACTAGCAGTCAAAAGAGCATCCTCACTCAAGTCGTCTTGCAAAATGCTAAAAATACTCATCCATAAACTCTGCTGGTTACGAACAAACTCTACACGAGTAAGCAAAACCTGAATTACACCACAAACAGCCTCCTGACGAGAACGAGATTCAGCACTATGGTCATCAGACGATATGGATTGCGATAACATACGGTCAAAGTGATCCAACATACCACCCATCTGGGGACGACACGCATCACTAGCATTTGTAATGAAGTTACCAAGACTGTTATATGCAGAAGAAAATAAATTACGCTCCATAGCATCATCCATGTTAGCACGACGAACTAACGCATCGCACACCTTGGGAAATATAGCATCCAACATACCACGGTACTCATCAACGTGAACCAAACCCTCAGCCAATTCATGCAAAAACCAACAGATGTTAGCAGCAACACGAGCCGGCTTAAATAATGCAACCATCAATTTTGACATGTTGCTACCAGGGTTATCCAAGGAACCCAAATGAGGCAAAATCACCTGACAGTGGAAACTTGCTATACGACCGATAGTCCACGCAGCAGTGTCTTGAACGGCAACCGAAGGGTCATCCAACACCTCACATAAACGGTCAAAAGAATCACGCACTAACATACGCAAAGTATCAGCATCAGGACCTTCCATTATATAACCGTAAGCTAGCACCGCTGCTTCACGGTGGGTCCACTGAGCGTGGTTGAAATTCTGGTTGATAAATTGTAACACAGAAGGAACGATGTCGTTCTTCACAGTCTGAGAACATAAAGATAAACAGACACCAGCAGCCATAGGCAACGTCCAACTCTCACTGTCAAAATCCTCATATTCATGCAATGTCATAGTATACAAAATCTTAGGAAGAAGATATGATATCACTTGCTGAATAATACGCTGATTTGACTCGGAATTGTCCTCAGATAATACAATCTCAGCCTCACAAATTGTATTCCAAAATTCAAAAGCAGGAATTGCAATCTCATCAACACCTGTGTCAATAGCCTGCCATAAAAGAGGAACGATGTACTGCAGACATGGACCTATCAAATCATAGTAGTCCGTTACCAATTGAACCAAACAATCATTGGCAGCAGCACGAACGTCGTTACTGTTACCAGGAGCACTATTGTAACAAATAGCCTGAACAATAGTGTCACGCTCACTAGGAACCGACATGTTGCTATCAACAAATGGCAATATATGTTGCAAACAAATCATCACAGTCTTGCGACTACGACCATCACTCATAAAAGCACCCTTCACGATCGATGTTAATAAACGATCCGATTGTGCTTTAGAAAGAAAAGCAACACCCTGATTATAATAAACCGCTGCCAAATCCTCAATCAAATAACAAAGACACGTCAAAGCATTACGACAAGCATCAATGTCATTAGAGTCAATCATGCCAATAATGATGTCGAAAAACTCCGGCCAACCGTGACGACGTAACTCCAATTCAGCAATACGAGATATCACATAACAAGCAGCAAGACATGATTGGTTCTCTCCACCGGCCTTCATGACATTAAGCAGTTGCACCTTAATATAATGCAAACAGTCAGCAGGAACCTGAAGAAGAACATTGTTGCTAACGTCAGTACATTTAGGATCACGTCGGAAACTATTCTTCAGAAGAACACCCGCAAGCTGACGTATGTCACTATTCACGTGAGGATTCGCAATCACGTCACATAACGCACGCACAAAATCAGCCAACTGACGCTCACGCATCTCACCAAGCTGACGCTGAGCCTCCACAAAAGATGGAGTATTAGGCGTCATGCACGCCGCCAAGATGTTCAACAGATTAGTATCCATCTTGAATTATAGAATGTTGCGATAATTAAATGAAAAAAAGGCACTGCAAAAATACCAATACCAATACTCAAAAAAATCAATCAACATATAATAATGCAAGAACATCCTACAATTCTTTTGACACAATACAACAAAGAGATAAATGGACGTTATTCAGTACCCTGGTGAGCCGATACACCGCTGTGACTCTAGTAGCCACCCCGATGTCGCGGTTAACCAGGCGACACGCACACCTTCTACGTAACACCTGATATACAAACAATACATACAATATAGTACAGAAATATCAAGCACTAATAGTAAACAGTGTCATGCCAAAGAGGCGAAAGCGCAGGCACGCGACACAAACCGATATCAACGACACGCAACAAGGAAGGCAATACGAAAATTATACAGTATATTACAGACGAGGATAATCGACTGGTAACGCTTAACAACTGATCAACGCAGCAAAAGCCGACATTCCAAAACAAGTAGACGACAACCAACTGTGGGGGAGACATTACACCTATTAGACCATATACATCGTATACGACATGCTAGGAAGACTACAGAAAACGATAATATGATACAATGACGCTACAGGCGCACGCAAAGAACCGATATAGATCAGCAATGTAGACAAACAGAGCTATTGAATGACCTCCAAAAAAATAAATAATTAAATAAAACCTATAAGGAAAGCAATAACCTATAGCGATAATGATTCAAAGAGAATAGTAACCTGGCACTGACGACGCAACACCGTTGCCAGCGAATAGACCTATGATAACGAACTTGGTAAAGGACTAAGAAGGCTCAGATGACACGTACACATCAACACAACGGTGAAAAAGGAATTCATCTGAGAGGAAAAAAACATAAAGTTAGTAGATTAGAAATAACAAATATATAAAGTAGAAGGGGATCGGTAACTGGAATACAAAGCGCTTAAAAACAATAGCAGTCACACAGACTTATAACAAATCAGGAATACGGGCAATAATACAAATACAAAAATAGTACAAGAAATATATAAAAATGTTATGGATAAGAAAAATACAATACCACGAGGTAGCAAGACCATAATACTCTTATTGCACATCCCCATCGAGAGCTAACACAAAACGATACCAGGATACACAAAGTATTTGATATAACCTAATAATATAAGATAAAGCAGAGATGTCAACGGCACCAGGGTAAGCAAAATACAAAAAAAAATAGAGAGACAACGCAGATTGGCATTCGCCAACCTTACCATATTACTAGATGTACCGCAACTACCGGCAATATTCGCCGCTAATTGCTTCCAAAACTACAAAACTTACGGAAGAGAAATCAAAATTATGCTAAAAGGAGCAGAAGATATTGTATACCCATTTAATAGAGGTAAGAAATACAACAAATATTAATCAACAAAATGACGCAGTCAACATACAGGATAAACATACCAATCGCATGGGTAGGACTAGGAAATATTGCTCAGGTAACTTGCAATACACAAATTAACATCATATGAACAACAGGACCTTCCGCACTTGGAAAACCGTATTAGGCACAAAGGACAAGGGAAGCAAACACATGCCGTCATTTCGACCAGAGCCGTTTTTGACAGACGTGACGACTATGCAAAATAGCGAAAAGAAACATATCAATTAAACTAATAACCATTTAGTAAAACTGACATTAATAGTGTTAAACAGACCCCCAAAGCAGTTACGCAGCAGGGTCAACAGGCAAGTAGGCGCAGTCCTCTTCAAGAGATAGCATGAGATACCTAGCCGTCAATTTAGTCATAGTAGCCAACGCAGAAGGGTTCAAAGGACTTGAAAAAATGTCACTAGTCACGCTACAAGGCTCAGAAAGAGATATCTCGCCGTAACGAGACTCACCATCCTCACCACGCTTACCACTGTACCAACGATCAAAAGCAGAACGCAAGTCATCAAACCAAGACGATTCCCAATCACAACATGGCATAGGCATCGAGTTAGTCGATGAATTACATGACGCTATGCCATCAGTAGTAGACAATGACTCCAAATCAGAAGGTGAAGAACATGATGAACGCAATGACGAAGTACCAGATCTCTTATCAGAACGCTTACAATCGGGATACAATTGTGTAGCACGACGCTCTTTTAGCAGTTGATCTACACTGAACAATGACAAAGAATCCGATTCCAACAACGATGTGTAAGATAACGTACGATAAGCAGACGTAGCGCGCCAACGCTGACCAGTCTGAAGAATGTCAAAAATATAAACACAAACAACTTACCAATGAACGATAAGCACGCTGCAATATTGATATCATACGATAAAAAGCAGACAAAGGATAACGATACAATACTACACGAGTATTGCAATCACAGGGGTGGTAGGTACGACATGATATACAAACCGTACAATTGCTATGAGAACATGTCAGACAACCTGTAAAAAAAATAGAGACAGACAATACGACGGAAACTTACTACCAAAAGTAGGAGTATCACACAAGTCACAATCCTTCATAGTCATACTCGATAACAGAGAACAACCACGTAAAAACTCGTCGTTACCAGCACTGCATAACAACTCTAATGCACGGATGAAATCCGGCATCTTGAACTCTATAAGAAAATTAGACAAAACTAGGATGGTACAAAAATAACATACCCTGATGACGATACGCATTATCGAAAGACGATTCCAAATCGAAACCTTCTACGGCACCACGGTGTAAGTACATCTGAACACGAGGGTAAGAAACACTGTTACGGGCCTGGAACTCTGCACAAAAACATTTAAAATAATATAATACACATACCTTGAGACAAAAGAAGATATAAAGCATGAATCATGTGAGATAAATCATCCGCACTCATGTCACGGTAGTTGCAGACACCACTCATCACCAACGTGAAAAACGATACACAAGTCTTCCGATAAAAACGATAGTTCACCAAAGACTGGTAACCCATAGGCAACCAAGTCACAGGAGCTATGTTGCAAGCCTCGTTACAGTTATAACCAGCGTTCAAACCACTGTGAAACGCACGAGGCCAAGCGAACACAAATTCGTTCTCACGCTGCACAATACGATGCACAGGGATACCATTTGACACCAAAATATCAGGAGCAACTTGCACACGCAAACTATAAACAGCAAATTCCTCACTCTCACCAGCCCAATAGTTCTTCAAAACTGACTCCAAACGACCTGCCTTACGAGGGGGCACAATATACCAAACCTGACATTATATGAACAAATATATAACGATAAATTACCTTAGGAGCACCAAAATGATGGTAATTCACAGCACCAAAGTAATTGTCCTCAGTGTGCCAACAAAACGACGTCAGAACCATACCTAAGCGCAACATTACAACAAAATATAAGAAACACATACCGATATAAAGCCATGGGCTATTTACACCTGGAATTATCTGCTCACAATAACGCAAAAGAGAACCCGGACATTTCGGCAAATTACGAAGGTCCCACCAATCGCCCTCATGCTTTGTGCCCGATATGTCAACCAAATAGTCCTCAAATTCAGGAGAATAAACATTCAAATCAGCCCCGTATTTCACGATCAAAGAACGATTACCCGCTTTCACAATCTTCCAGTATTCACGCTCAACATCCTCAACAGAAACATTGGTGCTGCCGAACAATGATACCAAAAGCTCATCGTCAGCACGCTTCATACGCTTACAATCCCAATCGTAGGGCGGATGAGCGAAACCCTGCACTACATGCAGACAAATAATGAACGCCACATACCTTCCCGTTACACAAGTTCTGCAACTCTTGCTCCCTAACCTTAAACTTCATACGCTCTGTGTCCAATGGACACACACCATGCCAACCAGGAGGAGGCACCACTTTTATAGCACCAAATTTCTCACCTAACATCATATAAAACAAAACAAATACAAAACATACCCAAGTCATGGTATTTGTTCCAAATTGTAAGAGGGTTAGCAAACTCATCTTCAGTAGCATGGATTGTAGGAACCTCAACGAACGACGAGTAATCGAGATTCAGTTGCTGAGTCTCCTGATACATTATAGCACGATATTACAAAACCACATACCAGCTTACTGCGCTTTATAGCCGCCATAGTCTCACGGTCAACGCGGGACTCGTGCACGACATTAAAAAATGAAGGACGCTTGCTAGTACGACTACTACGACGAGGACCAGGCGACGAATATGTAGAAAGGAACTCAAGCTCACAACCGCTCAATGAACCCTCAGGATCACCTTCGTTACGCGGCGCTGGCGCGGATGAAACGCGACGCGGGGTTACAATACCAGAATCCATACTTAAACCAAAAAAACAATTCTTTTAAGCCGAAATGAGACGCAGAGAGAACCAGAAGGCCGATAGCACCAAAGACAACAAACCGATATTATTACAGCAACACGATTAACGATCTAACCAACTACAAAAACATTGTTCAAAAATAACAAATCACTAACCTATTCTAACAGATATTACCGGAAAGATGGAAACTCGATAACATACGATAAAAAATATGGTATGGAAACTGACCACTAACTTTGATGCTAACCCGACTTGGAACCAGTAAACTCGCACTTTCACAACACAAATCAAACAGACACAACATTAAAAAAGTACACAGATATGATATAACAAGCCATGTAGCAAACGTTTTTACATAGAAGATAATAATGGGAAAAAATTCAAATGATGGAAAAGCATGCGCCTCCCACAGACTGAATGCACATCCATAAGCTTATAGCACCAACCAAATCAAATAGATAAAATGCATACAGAGAAACAAAATTAATAGATACATAGAATTTTACTAGCTCAAACAGCTAACATGTCTACAATGTGTAATATTAAAATATTAAACTGAAACTTACACGGGAGATATTATACTAGCCAAGTTAGTAGCAAGCGACAATATTCACAAATCTAACACATTTTTAACTAAACATTTTAATCGCAAATGAACAGTGACAATAACAAAGTAACTACAGTCAACGGAAACTTTCAAACAGGTTGCACGGCGACATTAAAAAAAATCGCAAAAGGCACAATGCAACTTACAAATACACATTCAAGTTTGCAACCAACAGTGATATATAACGCAGTAATAATAATAAGAGATGCCAAGCAATGTCGTTACGACATGCACTGATTCTCAATAACGCACCGACGGAAAAAATATCGTAAAGCATAAATAATCACCTTAACAACCTCAATTACACATAGATCATCACTTAAGATCATAAACAAACCGATATGATACCGAAATATAGAGAAAGGGTCACCAAGACAAACATGATTACCCGGTCAAAAACAGAACATAAAGTTAATGGCACATAATACCATACGATAATAATATTATCGATCATATAGGCACTGAAATATGAGATCAATAAGATGACCAACTTATGGGCTATAGAAAAACCATCACAGCTCTATTTTCTATTGCCAGCCACAACGCTGATGCGTACCAGACTACAACCTATGCACTAGACATCAGAAAAAATTATATATAAAAGTAAATTAAATTGAAAAGTTGTATAGAGATACGTAGACTGCATTGTGAGATATATTGCAGGTAGAAAAGGAAAGAAGAAGATGATGTAACGGTTGAACATATCAAATGACAAGGGCGCTGTTGCCGATATCACGCCGCGAAATTTTATCGAAACAGGAAAAAGGGATAAGGAAATATAAGGTTCATGTTGATCTTTGTCAACGGTAGAACAAATAATGGGACGCACAAATACGACATTGACTTTGATGCCGAAGATAGTGGTAACCCCAAAAAGAAACATCACTTATGGCCGTCGTTATCAGGACGCATTATCAAAATGACGGTCACATTCTTGCCATCAGCACCAGAGGAAACTTGAGGAAGAACCTGAACCGCCTCACCACTAGGTAGACGAGTCGTACCACCAGTAGAAGCAAGGTTAGAAATAGCAGCCTCAACACTAGTACTAGTATGTTGGTCAAGTTTCATCAGATCAAACAATTCACGGTTCAAACTCAAAGGGACTGGTGCAGCAGGGGAAAGACCGCAGGATCCGTACTCGGGACTCTGCACAGTAGTCTCAGGAACAACTGAAACGTCAATCTTAGCATCAGTCACAACCTTAGACGCAACGGGGAAATCCTCACTAAGCCTAAAGCCAGCGGTATCTGACAGAGGCAAATCAGCAGAATAACCCAAACGAGGAGTAGCAACATCACTCATGAAAAATTCGTCACCAGCCTCATCTCCAGATCCTGAATCAGCATGGTTATCCGATACAGTAGCAACCAAATCCTCCTTGGATGCAGGCGGAAACGAACGAGCGCTTGAACGTCGTGTTTGCATTCGAGAAACATCAAAACGCTTCCTTACAGAACTTATCACAGGAGATGAAACAGGAGTAGTAGAACCGCCAGAATGATCCTCACGAGGAGTAACATCACCAGAACCAAGCGAAACATCACTAGCAGCATCTGCAGACGCACGTTTATCAGAAACCACAGATGATTTCTGGTAAATAGATTGACGATGCTCAATAGCAAGCCGACGAGCTTCATTAAAACCAAAACGAGATACTTTAAAGGCCTTCTTACGGTTACGACCACGGTCGGTCCACCACGCAGTCCAAGAGTTGTCACTGCGGCAGTAACATACACCTCGAATCTTCTCAAACTGAGCAGCCATCTGAGCGTACGCTTCAACACTCTGCTGAGGGGGGACACGCTCTTTCACAGGACGACGAATACGGTTGCCAAGATTACGAATCTGATTAACCTGACTTTTCAATGAAATGTCTTTCAATATCAGTGACCCCTGAGGGTCACTGCTTGACAAAAACGGACCGTCGCCCTCGTGAACAGAACCACGACGACCATATATTAGGATATCACGAGGAGTAATAACAGCCGCATCAGGTTCCTTATCGTAGTGCAAAAATGGGTTCTCCTCACAGTCACTCAAACGCTCCTCCGATAGACTCTCTAAACTACCAAGGTAAACAAGATTTGGTCGACCGTTGGTACCATCATCACCCGCAAATGGCAATGAAGGCGAAAAGGGCTTCGTGAAAGGGTTAGTAATAGAATGTAGTGCACTACTATCGTGGCATCTGCTACTAGAACTCAATTGACGACCAGGCTCAAATTTCAAGTCAGGAACAACATTGGCCTCCAGACGACTGGGAGGGCCGCTGGCAGTTGATTTAGACATGTTATCCGGACATGAAGACGTAGGCATCGGACGATGTAACCCAGGAGTACCCTTACGGTAAGTACGAGGCTTCTCTAAAAAGCGGTCGAAAAAAACGGGACGACGTTTTTGACCGTTGCCTAAATGTAAATTCGACTGATGCAAAAAACGAAACGAAGCAATATCGTTGCCATTACCTTGACATTCAGGATACACTCGCCCGTTTGGCTTAAAAGGACGCTGGAGTTGAGGGACGGAAGAACTCTGAATGCTCGGTAACTCATGTAACCCCAACGGGGGTTCACTATCCCAAGCTGAATATATTTCATTATCCACTTTGGGAAATGTCTCAAACTGCTTAGGAATAGATGCAATAACTTCCTTGTCAGTTACAGACTGCTCATCTATCGTAGACGCGGAATCAGTTCGTGACTTTGTACGGAAGGATCCTTCTTCTTGAGGTAAATTCCCCTTTTCAGAAACTGTGTCCACGGAGCGGTCACCAGCTGCTTGAAACTCACCAAGTTGATCTACACGCACATGATGTGGCACTTTGTCCACGGGAACTGCCTTTTCGACGGCACGGGATGTTGGTTGTGCCTGTTTCTCTTCACCACGGTTAGGAGGTGATGACGCACGTAAATAGTAACTCTGGAGCAGCTCCTCGTATTGAGCTTTATTCATAGGAGATATTTGGACGCGTTGTGATGAATAAACCATAGGACCTATTAATCCAACGTGCTTTTCATCAGTAGACACCGATGGCTCCTCGCTCATGGATACCTGCTTATTCCAACTAGGACCACCAACAGAGTTATTCTGCCACTTCTCTATACAACTTAAGAGGTCTTCGATACCCTCACTATCACCTTTTGTTGGAGCATTCATATGCAAAATGTCCGCAGCCTCTTCTGCAGAAATATCAGTATGCTCCAAGGGAACATGCGCTTCGTGGGTACTGTTTAAATGACCCTTAGTTTCATACATCATCAAAAAACACAGTCAAGCGTAACTTTGTATCGAACTGATATAAACGAATGGTAACAACCTTATTTCACCTAAATATCCGGGAAACTGATATACAGCAACAGATGTAAATATGCGAAATTCTAACCGCAAATAGAGAGATTTAACAAAATTACAACGAGATACAAACCATGGAAATGCAAAATAGTCAGTTCAAATTTTTTAGAACAACTTTAAATTTATCACCTTAGATATTATAAGATCCAGACACGTAGAACAAAGGAACTCACAATTTGGCAAGAATACCAAAGGCAATTACATACACTCACGCCTTTAAAGCTTATTGTCTAGTAAATGTCCAATTGCTGAATTTTAGCCTTTACACATCCTTAGACAAAGCAAATAACCCAGAAATCTTCTCTCAAAAGACGCAGAATCCAAACACTTCATTCAATAAAGATTGCCAAACAATGATCAAAACAACAAATATACAGTAAATAAAGCAAAATATAGAACTAAGCCGTAAGAATACACGAAAAAGAAGATACTTACGACGCCGTACACATTTCGTACCCTTCCGCAAAATCAAAATTAACAAACCAAAATACTAAGATATTATTTAAAAAACACTCACAACATTAAAATCACCCTCAAAATCAACTAATGAAGAAATAACACCGGCCAAGATGAAGCGCAAACACAACAGTCACTCTAATTAAACTTGTAAAACCAAACAATATTCCTTTCTAACATCCAAAATAGTATTTAATAATATCAAAGAATGATATCAACAATAGAAGACAAAGATACTCATATATTTTCCTCACAAATACGATGTGATCTAGAAACATTACGCGCACTGAACCGAAGAAAATACTACTCACAATACACCAAAATCATATAAATTAACTCATTCAAAATTGAAAAAGATACTCTCTAGTCACAATGACAATTGATAATAATATTACGTGGCACTTAGGTCGTGCCAGGCAAGAAGGAGTACAGCGTCGATAATGCACAAGATGGAATTTTAAGATCGCAACTGCGCTAAAGAGAAGCCTTGGACAAGGTGTCATAATGCGTCATAATCAACAAAATAACCAATCAACATAAAACAAAAAATCTTGAAGTAAAGGATCGCAGTGCATCAGATAACTGATGAGCCAATACATTTAACGACGCATGTTCAAACGACACATTTGCAAAAAAGAAGCCAAGCAGGAATCTCACATATAGAATAAGGAATCCCGAGGCAGAACACATTGTGTCACAATAAAGATAGATGCCACGCTCAATAACAGCGATACGTAACCAATTGTAACAGCAAATACGAACATCGTAACAACAAGAAAACCAGTAGAACATAGTTCTGTGCAACGATAACGCAACTATACCATGGAAATATCTACATTTACGTAGCTAGAGACCAATAGACGTACGCCAGTGACACTTAAAGTCGATATATCCAGTGTAAAAAAATGTGTAACCTTAGTGGTCGATTCTGACAAAAAAGACGAAACAATATGTGACTAAAGGAAATTCACATTGTCGATATCAAGTGACGAAATACAGCGCATTTCTAACATAGAGATTTAGACCAAAGAATACGTAAATATGTATTCTAAAGATGAAATTTGCCATAGAACCATTCATTCGCGCCACTTGGGGGACAATTTATCCAACAGCTGCACATATGACTCTTTAGCAGACTCTTGAGACATCCCGCGAACGCTGTCCCACGCATCCCACTTGTAACGCTCTTGAACCTGGAAAAGACCCGGACGACTTGTGTTACAGTCACCAAGCATAGCCTGCTTGTAGTACTTGTAAAAAGAAAGCTTGTCCTCGTTAGACACGGACATACCAGTGGCACTGCCAACGTATTGGACAGCGGCTTCGAAATCAGATGAAGACATATTGAACAATTTCTAGTGTGTAGAAATGAAATGAAACACTGTGAGGCCAAGGGGGGTTCACAGCACACCCAGAGTCACCACCGAGACGCACCACCAATGAACAAGAGAAATACATATACAACCAATCACAGTAACACAAAGCCACTGAAACAACCTCCGCAATATAAAGATTTTCAAAAAAAAAATACCGATACAAGATATAGCAGACTTAGGATAATAAAGATACAGCTACTTTATTTCCTTGTGAAGAGTGTGACGGCGTAAATACTTGTTATATTTCATCAGCTCAAGACGCTCAGGCGTGTTCACCTTGTTCTTTGAGGTGTAGTAACGAGATGGCGGCACGCCCAGCTTACGGGACTCCGTACACTCAAGGGTTATAAGCACACGAGCGCTCTTGCGACGCTTCGCGTAGACACAAAACGGAGATTCTGAACACAGTATGTAGATCTAGCATATCAATGGCACAAATAATATTTAAAATGACCGTATCAGTTATTACAGTAGAACGCAAACACAGAGATAGACAGAGAAAGTCACACGCACATACCTTGATACGCGACGATAGTGTGTAAACCTTCGATGGAAGGAAGACGGAAACAAACAGTGAAGTACACACTGAACAATGGAAAAAATGAGAGGAAGATGCGAAAATAACCAAAAACATCCATAAGACGGCTAACGCCAGTAGAGAACTGATAATAGTCACAAAACAAGTAACACGCCAAGCTGCAGATATAAAATAACATCAAAATTTTAACTAAATATTTGTGAAATGCATAGTATGCTTAGAAATTTTATCATAATGCAACAGCACTTTAAAATTATGACACACATAGGGGGGAAATGAACCGCAGGGTGGGAATACTTAATAAAAACCCATGATAGTACCAAAGTATCACACATTCACACCCAAATGTAGACATGAGAGTAACAAAAACGAAACTTAAGTCACAACTGAAGATATATCGCAACAGGAACATAGCGAATATCGATAGAGATAATGCTAGAGAACATGCCATTAATGCATTACTGGAAGTATGCATGGATATTGCAGAATGCGCAAAAAGGAACCTAATATCTGCCGTCAACACCAAATGCAAACGTACCACGGAGAATACATATAAGCCAGACCGAGATGGAAAAAATACTTCTCCTGAGGAAATGAATGCCAAAAACTTCGACCTCAATAAAGCTTTGCGCGCATTTAAAAATTTCAAAAATGCTAATATACCTCAGAAAAAAATAAAACAAACACGTCAATACACAACGTGTCATAACTGGAATAATGGTAGTTTACAGATCAGTCGCATTCATTCCTCACAGTGCAAATTTTGGACAGAAGTTTCACGTCAAGACAAAGTACTGCAGCAGTCACATTGGCTGGGCAAAAAGAGTATATAGCCGATAAAAAATGGTATACTGGCAAGGATATAGGATACGGAACACAATTTCAACGATTCTCAACCGATGTACATGGTAATTAACACAAATCATACAACAAATACGAACAGGGAGTCGCAAAATGAATCAAAATACACTACCTTCCGATAGATTATCAAGAGCAGCGACAATCGCAGGTAACATCAATTCTGCTCCAAACAAATACTCCAGGGTTTATGGTAAAAGCAGCATCGCTTACTGCCAAACAAGTAGTGCAACGATATATACAAGTAGGTTGCAAAACGACATTCACAAATAATAATCGAAACAGGGCGAACAACAAAATATATTAAAAGAATCTATTGCTAGTGATGAAAATGTCGACCTCTTGGTGGATTGCCTCTGCAAAATGAGAGGCAAGTTAACACAGAACAATGTATAACTTCTCTATGCAGGAACTGCTCTGAAATTTGGACAACTACTAAGCCTACAATATGGAATACTACCAGAGCGTATAAGAAAAGCATTAGTTAGTGTAAGACACAGGGCTGACGTAATGCCGGAAGAGGAAGTTGATAGGGTATGCTAATACAATCAAATGATACACCGATATTCTAGATTATGCAAAGAGAAATGGGAACAGAGTGGAGGAAACGATTTCAAACATTCGACATGCAACCAATGGGAAGCGCATCACTGGGTCAGGTAACAACACGCAAGATAACCAGCAACGTCACACAGGTACACAAAGCTATCACCCATGATGGAATACGCATATGTGTTAAAATACAGTTCCCCGGAGTTGCGGAATCGATAGATAGCGATATCGCTAATATTATTTTCATATGTACAAAAACCAAATTGGTACCGCAGGGATTCTTCCTCAAACAATTTACAAAAGAACTGAAAGTAGAACTGGCCACCGAATGCGACTACGAAAATGAGGCAAACTTCTATCGCATTTTTAAACAACTAGTACTAGACGGCTTCGCAGTGCCAAATGTAATCAACGAACTGTCCACCAAGAGGATTATCACCACGGAATATGTAGTAGGGGTAGGGAACAAACACAATATCCAAATTACGTTAACAGGTACCTATAGAAGAATGCAAAGAACTCCCGCAACACATTAGGGACTCCATTGGAGATAGACTGCTGAGGTTATCTTTATCTGAACTATTTATATTCGGACTCATGAACACAGTAGGTACCACTGGGAAGTATGTAACACGTCTTGCAGGACCCGAACCCCAGTAACTATCTATACGACGAAAATACCGACCTCATAGGACTCATAGATTTCGGATCATGTGTGTTTAAACGAACTGCATATGCATCGCTCGCAGGTCGATCGTTCAATGAGAAATTTGTAGCGGAATATTTCAAACTGGTACTAGCATCATTTAACGAGGTAAGAGTAAGCAATATGCAAATATAAATTTATAGGATGTCGAACAAATACGTAGTCTATCATACTCACTAGGGTTCCTTAACCAGGAGGATACCGAGGAAATGCTACAACACCACGTCGAATCGGTACTCATAACAGGAAAACCATTCAGATATCAGGGAAGATTCGACTTCAGAGAACATGATATCATACAACAGGTTTGACATGATTTTGCACATGACTCAATTTGTGATAGTGCCGCGATAAGGCATCGATCATAATCAAAATTAGGAAACAACCGCCACCACCAGAAGTATACTCACTACACCGAAAACTTGCAGGGTGCTACATAATGTGCAACCTTATAGGGGCGAGAGTTGATGCTAGGAACATATTCTTACAAATCGCCGCAGCGCGCTAATGTTCTTCGGATTTACGCACCAAACGTAGTAGTACCACTGATACATTGTCCTGTGCACGCTTGGCGGTAAGAGCGTTCTCAACCAGGTCCTTACAAACCTTACGCAAATTCAAAAACGGTAATTGAGGATCCGAATTAGCACGAATCTCGTCCTGAAAATAGTTAACACAAAATAATAGCAGGGGTATCACGGACATAGATATCTGAAAGTTATATGCATGAAAAACATACCTGACGCAAAAAACGTAGAGCCGTACGACAAGCTTCATGAGGGTCGTAAACGTTCCAAAAACCATCACAAGCTAACAATATAATCTCGTCATTGTCAAAGTCCAACGATGCTTGCCGAAATGAACCGGTGCACTTGACGCCGAAACGTTTCAGACCTAAATCACCAAAAGAACGAGTAACCTCCAAAACACCGTTCACACGACCGCCCTCCACAGTACCTCCGTAATGCAAAATACGCTCTTTCTCCTTAGGTATCCATGCCTTGTGAACCTCGTTCAAAGGCACAGCTATAATACATGACAGACAAAGAAAGATGAAAAAACTAACCATGAAGAACATTGTTCAATCTTCGGCATAGATATGCCGCTGAATCGCCCAGATTCACGACGTAAATAAGACGACGGCCGACAAATAATAGCAACGCTGTGCAACCATCTGGGAAAATGTTAGAGAGAATATCATTGGCGAATGGCAGGTAAAACATATACCCAGTGGATCAATTAAAGGACAAAAAACTCACCGTTGCATCCGATTAAGTCATGTGCGATACGACTGTCGAGCCGCAAACAAGCTGCATTGACAGACTGGAGAGAGATGAAAATATGAAAGTGGAAAAGTACCTTCCTGAATACAGATTCTGAAAATTCATCTGATTCTGACACTTCAGATTGCAGATGTTGCAATAACTGTTGGATTACTTCATTAAGGAGATTTTCCTTGGCAAACGAAGCACAACTACGGCCGCCATGACCGTCAAACAGACCGCAAACTCTGAAAATAAAGTATGCCAAATAAAATAGATTAGTACACATACAGAAAGTCGTAGGACGATGGAAGATCGGGATTCAGCTTCCGCAAAGATGGCACGACGACACACTCATCTTCCATAGTCTTACGCACACCCTTCTCGCCATAATGGTCAACCAGGATGTAACCATCATCTACACCACGTTAATATAAATAAAATGATACCACGTACCCAGCTCAAAGGCGACCGTACTCGTCTGATGCAGCCAGCTCTGTGCTGACTGAGGCAACGGTTTATCCGACGCTTTAAGTGCTCGGAGCAGCACTGCCGACATAGCTGGCGTTGTACAGCTACAATCTAACAATTTGGAGCCGATTAACGCTCTCTTAAACGCTTAATATTAGATAGTAGGTCCCCACCATCACCAGCGTTAACATGGACCATAACGCCCTTGATCCTCCTTGCAACTCATGAAATGCTCCAAAATTCCAAATATGCGATCATTACCCTTTCCTGACAACCAGTGAAACATAAGTCGAAAACTAAGACGTACCATTGCTTTTGAAAATACTATACAAATGACGTATGTCACGCAGGTCCAAGTCGATACCCTTCTTCTGAACCACAACACCTACCCATTAGTCAAAGATACACATAAAAACGTACCCAACTGCTTCCAAGCCTTTTCGTGATATACACCCATAGCATCCAAATGACAAATCACACTGTACATCTGAGGAGCGTGCATCTGTACTGCGCGCTTCTCCAACCAGTGTACAATCTGGTAGATGATACGAGGGTCATGTACACCGAGCGCCCGAATGCTAGAGAGAATGACACATAACATGTTAGAGTTGAATGAGTGGTCGAGGCGTAAATAACGTGAAACTTCGCACAATTCATCAACAATACTACCTTCTATGATACCGCCCAGGCACATCGACTCCCACAAACTTGTTATACCCTTAACCAAAATGACACAACTTTTGACATAGTAAACAAAGTATACGACCTTATGCTTCAGTGTACCACTGTTAATGTATTATTTAAAGCCTGATAAACTAACGAATTGGAATGTGAGCTAGAGCCGGATGTACACAGAACAAATGGCACCGTACTGACCACTAACCTGGGCTGATAGAGGAAGCTTTCCAAGACGAGAAACTTCTAATAAAAGTTCGAGATGATGCTGTAGAGATCTCTTGTCACGGGGGACCAGCACAGCTAACGCCTTGGCCGACATGCATAGGTCATGGGTCACGTTGCCGTAAAATGTACCTAAATAAGTGTTAAAGAACGACAAGATCAAACTAACGATCCACATCAAGGTAAAGTCTAGCAGTATTGTCCAAAGCCGCATCAGGATCACGCAAAGCCGACACTAACGATTCCAATGTGTGGAACACAATTCCTCGGAGCGCACTGATTTCGTGCGGAACGCGCCTCTGCAGTTTAATAGTTGTGCAACAAGACCGACATACTTCTATTTTGGCGAAACTCCAAAGCAAAAGTGATGCGTCGGTCAAACATCCATCCTCTGGACGGTGGAAGTACGACGCCGCTGTTAACACATGTTGGATGACACGAAGAACAATACCGATGCGCTCAAATAACTCCTGGACGTAAATATTGCTCTTAGCATAGCTCCAACTTATCAAACAGAGTTGCTTAATACTCAAATCCTCGAGATTACCCTTTAGATATTCCTCGTAGATGCGAAGTAAAGCAGGGTTGTAGCCCAAAACCGCAAACCTGTAATGAAACATTCAAAAATCAAAAATCAAACCCTCATACCTGTGAATTACCAAATGGATACTGCTACCAAATATTGAGAGGTTGGAGCAGATGAAATCACTATAGGCACGCATTTGTGGGCTAGACAAATTGAAGTTACGCAGCGAACGCATATAAGAAAGTGACGCTATCATGTCACGCTTCCCCAAACTATCTGAAAACAAAAGTCACTGTACTATGATGATGCACCAACCCTTATTATCCAGGCAATAATTCAGAAGGTCATCGAAATGGTTCAATTTCTCCATAGCACGTGAGTGAGGAGTGTCGGCGCTCCAGCGCAATATCTTCGCGCCCCTTAGCTGGACAAACGACCATCGAGGAGTACGTAGTGACCATTGACCATGGAATCTGACGGTGCGAGGGAGGACTGTGATGTGTAGCATCCCAGGTAAACCACGGCAGACGTGGATGTCGACACACCTAACGACGCATAAACAATCAACACATTGTTCATAAAGACTCTGCTACAAAAAAATTATTAATCCGTAATCAAATTATTAAGATTTGTAATCTGCAAGTACGAAAACGAACATGATCATTAGAGATTTTATGGTAGACAACGTCCACACAGAGGAAGGTTAAGTGACATAGGCAGACATGGTAAAGCCAACCCTCGTCGTTACGCTACTACTCTGCGCCTTAGAAGCGGTCCGTTGTTTCAAACTGCCGATTCAAGGAGCTAAAAGGAACATTAGGAGGTCGTACGTAACACGCGCAACAGATGATGCATCACTGCTTGAAATCGACCAGCAAAACGTAGAAAAGGTTTTAGACTTGATAAGACCGCAAATCGAAAATGATGGAGGAAAACTGACCCTAGTAGGCATAGATGATCACGATGTTCAAATACAGGTAAGTGGTGCGTTCCGATCAACCATACAAGTGCGTAGTTCGAAGGAGCCTGCAAGACATGCCCATACCGTATGCAAACTGTCAAACACGTAATAGAAGCCACGCTAGTTAGATTTTTAAAATGTAGAGAGGGAAAACAAATTACGGTCAAAGTTGTCGAAAACACGTAGAACAAATGCTAAACAGCAATCTTTTCAGGAGGCCAAGATGTCATTTGAGGACGCAGATGCTTAAAGTGCTTAATTCCAGCATTAGCCTCAAATTCATTGGGACCCGGAGTAGACTCATAATTAGCACCAGGCAATGGAGGAAACGTTGACAGAATACGCAACAATTGCTCCTCTTTATCGCTCAACGAAAGACAGTCCCATTGGCCCTTGTGTAAAACCGCTACGTTGTAGCCACAATTACGGAAGATACGACGACGGAAGGAAATCAGACCGCCCTCAACTGGTTCGCCGTCCGGTCTACATTGCAAGTAGTTGTACTCGAAGCACAGACGACGATTGGGGAAAACGTGACCAGCAAAGAGACAATGCTGCTCGTCATCTTCCCTGCCAACTGAACAGTTTATTAGACCTTCCGTTATACCAAGACCCTCAAGCACGGAGTCAACGTCCTTCTGCAGTTGTTCAGATCCCTGAATAACGATAGTAATACCATAGTAACAATTTTTAGTCAAAATGAACAACTAATGCATTAAACATACCTGAGGCTGAGCATGGACAAGGATGTCGTTTAGCCAGCGAGTGTGAAGAGACTCCTGGAACTCAAAAGGGACACTTTGCTTAATAGCGGTCTCATTTTGAGGACGCTCCACGTCAGTACAATACAATGTAAGGTACAGCATGTACTGTACCCAGCCACTTAGGGGAAGAGTCTCTAGTGACAAAGTCATACACGCTCGTTGTAAAAAGAGTGGAAGAGCAGACTCGCACTTGCTAGGCCTGAACCGCACGATTATAAAAGTACATAACAAGTTAATACCCACCATTCGTAACGATTAGTTAGAACGAGACAGTATGACAAAAGCGCCCAATCGAAACCACTGGCATCAGCTGGGTCGCGGCGCAGTACCTCGTTAAAGAGCAAATCAACAACGCTGCTGTTGCTCGTGGAAGTGCCACCCAATGGTACATTATGAAGTCCAAGCTGTACACAGCAGAAGATCAAACAACTTAATGTTGGCAAACGCCATTGCTGCGAAGCGTTACAAAACAAACGGACAAATGTACCTCAAGATGCGATTCCACCAAATCGATGATATCCGGAAGTAACTGCCAACAACGATAGTCCAGTGCAGTCAGTGCGAAAAGCACACGAGGCGCATGCCGTGGATGAAGATAACGCTTACGTTCAATGAGGTCGAAGATCAGATACTTAAACAGCGGAAGGCCCACCAAAGCCTGCCTATCAAAAGGCGACCAGAACGAATTAAACGAAAACGCATTACCCAACTGACATAAACACCGCACGAGCCACGAATAACTTGGATAGTCATCCACTGCTATATAGCTGCGATAAAGTCTGAAATCAAATATAATAGACACAACGCACACCTACTTCAATATCGAACGTGGATTAGAATAGTTAGACGTCAGTTTCTCGAAGTAGACGCGACGTATATCATCTGGAGGGGTGCTGTCAAACACCTTGAGACGACGAAGGCTGCGGGGCTCAAAGCTCTCCAGGTACTCACGAGTCGCAATCTGACCAGTTGCAACCTGCGATTGCAATGCACGAAAAGAACCGCTCAGACGCAGCATCATGTAACGACGTCATCCTTGCAAGCTGTTGCGATGGATGCGTATTACGAAGGTGTTACGCCGCATGAAGCAATATGGACGATAACGTCAACCATGTGTATTGTAAAATACAAATATAAGTTTTATAGAATTACAATTACATCAGATATCACAAATGAAAATGAACGATTGCCGTCGCTTATGTGACTTAATACGCATGGCAATGTTGTAATTGCGACCGAACAATGATATGTTCATATGACGTTACTCCGTTTATAACTCAGGTAAAATGCAGCAATCAGTATATTGCATCAGAGATACAACAGAAATTTAATGTCTGAGTGTGCCGGGAATCGCGACCTCTACACACTGGCAGTGCCTTCTTCGCTGCCAACGCACCTTCTAAGACCTTCCCAGGTATATATAAAATCTACCAGTTGATAATTATTAAAAATAGACATTGACTATGGATTGGGGCCATTGTTTAGCATTTGCTCCTCTCATGAAGATATACGCGACGATGCAAATACTTGCTCTCACACATTGGCACATGCCACGCAACTTATAAGGAAAATGACTTATAAATTAATTGTTTTTATTATTAAAACAAAATAATTTATCAGCCAAATAATCCTCAACTTAGTATTGGAAGGTGTAGCGTTAACCTGCGATGCGCGACAGGATCCTGCCCCTCGGACTCTCACAGTTATAATCTAAAATAAAATGGCAAACGGTGGCATAGATAGAAGGCTCCATGCGGATGTTGCCGCATGTAGCGGCTTCGCTCTGCCACTTCGGTCTCGACAAGAGAACATAGGTCAGGAAAATACGGAAAAGGCATTGTGGATATCATTCGAAGAGCTCAAAACGAAGGATTCACAACTTATTAGGGATATATTTACAAATGAAAGGGCAAGGATGAAGTACTGGGTAATGCTAGCCCTGGCATTCAGAAATGCGGGACGAATCGAACAATTCGAGGAAATTCTTACAGAAATGGAGAAAAACTTGAATGAAAAACATAAAGGTGAGCCAAATATATAGGAATCTAAAGAATCATTCGCAGACGACGACGAAAAATGTAGAGAAGTCATATACACGGAACTGGCATTGCACAACTTCAAACTCACTGAAAAAGGTACACAAGGAGATGAGGAACATGCCAAACGTGTCAATATGACAAATTATTACATGAATTGTGGCAACAGTAAGTTCTAACAATTAAAATAGTATCATCATTATTACCAGACGGGGGATACTCGACATGGTACACAGCCATGGGAGAATATCATCTCAATCGTTTCATCAGGAATAGAAAAACTGAGGAACTGGCAAAGGCAAAAGAATATATCAAAATGGCCATTGCGAGACGACCAAAAAACATAATGGCAATTATATACCACGCAAATATATGCGTCATGGAGAACCAGATACAGACGGCGGCAGTCTTCTACACCAAAGCGTTGCTACTCTGCATCAACTTCAAAATACTCGTGGCCCTAAGAAGACAACGTAAACAAAACGAAACGCACTTCAAAGTGGTAGAAATTCAACAGCTGGTGCTGCAAATCAAGCATTTGGAAGCACTGATATTCTGTGCCCTAGCTTCATGCAGATTCTGCGAGAACGACCTCAAGACGGCAAAAACTCTGGTTTCAAAATCACTCAAAATTAAGAAAACGCCAATGGCTCTACGTCTCAAGGCTGCGATTGCAATTAATCACATGTTGGAGAAACCAATAGATAATGGAGCAGACAAATCGCATGCACCACCGAATTCACCGCGCGAACCAGTACGCTCATTGATTGAACAGTGGAACCTAGCAGCATACGAAGCCTATTTGGTAGATCCTACTCAACCCATAGGGCAATTACACTTGTGTGAAATGCTATTCCGACAAGGGCGCATCGATGAATGTGAAACCAAGTTGCAAGAAATAACTGCTGGCAATATAGCCCCTGAATTACTCGCAGAAGCAACTTATCAACTTGCCAGATGCTCACATGTCAAAGAAGAATGGCAGAAGGCGGCAAAAGGATATAACAAGGTTCTCCATATGAGAGGAGATTACCTGCCAGCACGAATAAACCTAATCAAGGCTTCAATCGGCGCAAACGACCTGGCCGTGGCAAGGGAACACTGTGACTACCTTAGCAAGTGCAACAATAAAACGCCAGACGTTACGCGACTTATCGCACTAGTCTATATCGCATCAGCTGCTGAAATATTAGACTCATGCAGAGCTAAGCTATTGCAAGCTGAAGACAAAATCGCAGACATCGATATCACATGTGCAATGAATAGCATCCAACAGGATATATCAAGAATGCTTGATGAGCGATTATTCAAAGCACTAGGGTTCCTAGAGGAGACCATTGCGATTATACCAGACGACAGACTCACGTTGTCATACCTCGTATACTGCTTGGAATTACTTGTCACACGAGGTAGAGAACACCTCTTGACCAAACTCAGAGAGGCATACCAAACATATACAGCTCTGGTGGTGACGGGACTGCCCCTAGAAATCAGAAACAATGATGCCATCATAGCGTTGAGGTGCAGACAGTTCGACGAGGCGGTGCGAAAACTCACAGACCTGTGGAACGAGGTAGGAGCAGAAGAATCAATGCCTCTAACTACAAAACTTACGCTACAGTTCAACTTGGCGCTGGCTTTAGAAGAATCAGGACAAATGTCAAAAGCCCATAAAATTTACTCGACACTTACCAGGGAATACCCAAGATACACAGACGCATGGTTAAGGAAAAGTTATATGATGTTCAGACGAGGAAATATAGAAAATGCTCACAAGTATCTAGACGAACTGAAGTTGCATCACAAAAAGAACCTTGATCCGTGGCTTTGCAAAGCGCATCAATTCTTCTCAATAGGAAAACTCGAGGAATGCATCACAGAACTCAAGAAAATGTTCAGAGCAATCAACACTGCAAGCTTTGATGCGTATGCAAATACACTACTCGCTTGCGCTCTAATAAAACTTAGATCGCGAGGAACGTTCGGACCGCTGCCGAAGGATGTATTGCATTACGCAAGGGCAGGGCTCAGAAGGCCTGGGTTGTCGAACTTCTATGCTGCAAACTGCATCGCTATATACTTAGCACATGATGGACAACTTAAAATGGCATACGAATGTTTCGGAATACTTCTCGAGAACACCAATGTCAATTCACACATGAAATTCATCGCACACAGAAATATGGGTCTTTTGTGTGCTGCAACGTCAATAGGAAACGAAAGGCGAATTGAACGTGGTAGTTTTGACAAAATGCGAGGGGCGAAGGCACAACAGCATCTGCAGGCAGCTCTAGCCCATAACAAAATGGATCTCAACACCTACATCGTGTATACACGCTTCCTATACGACTGCCAAAGGTTCGATGAGTGTGTACAGTTTGTAGAGATGTGCCGCAAGATATTCCCACGCGAAATTAAGTTCACTTACAATATGGTGATCGCCATAGACGCAATGCTATGTAAACACTTCAGAAATTCGGACAAACTGGGATCAGCTACGGAAGTATCCAAAATGTTAGTTCAAGCCTCTTTTGTCAAGACAATCATTCCGTACCTCATAAAAATACACGAGCAGTACCCCAAAATGTCAAAGACCCACCTCACACAAATTGCAACACGTACCAAGGAAAAACTCATACCGCATATGGAGGGTGCATTGCCGCAATTAGAAGCATCCGCCACGGAAAGACAACTTACAAAGGGCAAACATCTAGAATTGCAACTAAGCATACAGCAGGCACATGAGGCCAAACGCCGTGAAAAGGAATTAGAACAACTTAGAGCAGAAGAGGCATACAGCGAACTCTCGGAGCAGCTTCTCAAAGAGGCATCCGAAATAGCCTCAGAACTCATGTACTCCAGGGCACCAACGACGTCGCAGTCTGAAAACAACAGGTAGTGATAGCGTGCCGTACAGGCAAAAATGCCAACCCATGTATATGGAGAAAACGGTAATGACTAAACTCAATGTAATTCGACATGACAACGTGATAGACAATGATTTGTGGGCTGTATTTACATTTTTGCAGTTAAAATGAGTTAGATGCCAATGAGCAACACTTGTAGACGCACGGTCGTGGTTTGAAAATCTTACAAAAAATATAGTAAGCATCCGTTATATAGAGACGATCAATTGAATAGAATAGTTCGTATAAGTACCCTACTTACAAGCATTAATGGCATATAGTCATTAACGAAGTGCCCCCGGAGCTCAAGTTACGCCGCTCCTAAGGTTCGGAGTGGCGTGATGTTCCAGAGTTTCCAAAATCAACGGGTTGCCAGACCTACTCGTATGTGCAGTTCGTTGTCTTCTACCGCCTCTTTAAGCGGGCAGAAAGATTTCAGAGCAGCGAAGTAAGGGCTGGATCTGAAGAAAAAAGGACCACGGGTGAATTTGCCAACTGATATGGAAAGAGGGCTGTCTAGCGTAGCCCAGTGCTCCTTTTGAAGAAAAGATAGTGCGAGGTGACCTGGCTCAGATGACGGCAGACCGTCTAACCACAGACGCAAAAGGAAACCCCCAATACCAGCGAAGGTGAACCTGCTGGTGTGAAGCGGAGGCGAACCGGATTCACGGCGCCGAAATTGCAGCTTCTCACTAACTCCACGCACGATCCATTCCACATGATACTTGCCTTCGAAAAAGTCGTCGACGTGGCGGAGTGAACCGTAGGAGTAAAGCTTCTTCTTTTTATTGATGATTTGACCCTTAGAGTCTATATGAGGCCCTGTGAACGTTTCACTGAGATCGCCATCAACGAAATCCCCTACAATAGCGTAAGAATATACGGTAGGGAAACGTGTATTGCGCGATTCTGAGCGCTGGATAGGACGAGCTGTAGAGAAGTCTAACGGCGATGACACACGCACCAAGAACGCAAGAGCAGGAGTAAAATACGAAAGCAGGCCGCACAGCGACAAAAGATAAAAATATATATTACTCATGGAAGAAATAGAGCACGAAATTGTGCCATTAACGAATATTGCAGGCGTGACGTCGAGAAGCAGCAGCCTTGAATATTGATGTGCAAGAATCGAAGAAAAGATTGATGATATGAGCTTAAGTTGTGGCGCCAAAGACAACGAAATGTACAACAAAATTATGTGATTGAGGAATCCTCAACGATGCTAACCTATCTAGAAGAAGCGAGACATGCTGTCGCACACCTCAATAGGTGGTGTAACTGTGCGTCTACAAGACTGCTGTCTTCACCGTAGTACATCGAACGCAGAAAATTAAACCAAAAAAATGGAGGATGAACTGACGGGATCAATCAACGACCAACGAGACGCTAAGGGAATCGCAGACATATGCGCTAATTTTGTGACAAACGTTTCACTTCTGCCACACCCACGCACATGTATCGCTCATATCGCATTCAAAATCGCAATCATTCTAGCGTTAGTGAACTATATGTCAAACTCACGGACATACAGATACTTGTTCATGCCATATCTATTCGGATATATGACAGGAGCATTTCCCGATTTCATTCTCACATTCGAGCTAATAACATTACTGGCGCTGGCGGACTTCTGGGTGGTGAAGAACTGCGCAGCTAGGTAGGATCGAGGAAAAAGAAAGAATTACACGTGTAGCGCACTAGCTGGGATCGAATGGTACTGCGACACTACTACCGGAAAAAACATTTTCGTACACAGAGCGGTCAAGGTGGGTCTTGAATTGAAGCCTAAAATCTAAATCAGGATGAAATGTTCCTAAACAAGGATGAGTCAAAATTCTTCTGGGCAGTCATGTACTTATGGCCCGTGCCGTGGGCGTTGAATATACTACTACGCATTTCATTAATCGACTTTCCAACGGTAGACGACACCATTGTGAAGTCACTATTTGCAGCAGATAACACTCTCAGCCGTAATTCTGTCATTGGCATTGATCAATCTGTTCAATTGCCTAAAGTGCTCGCAAGGTAAAATGGATCTCAGAAATACTCACGTCACTGCAGAGAAACGAAGCCAGACATCACTTATAGCAGGAAAACTCACCAAGAAGCTTCTCAGCTTGGCAACTTGGTCGTACAGAAGCGCAGCGACCATACCCACCTGACGGAGGGCACAAAAATTAAACAATGTGATGTAGACAAAACACAATGAATATAAAAATGCGAAATACAAGGAATGTATGAAACGCTTTGGTTCCATCAAATTAGACGATGTTCACCACCGAAGGCTTTGCCGGTTAACGCATCTTCATGAGATTACTTATGAAGAAAAGTTATGCTTTGCACTTTGACAGCACATCTTTGTGATCGGCGGGGTTGATAGTTTCCATGCCAACGCAGGCGACGAACTTTCCATGGCAGTGTTCGTCGATGCACCTAACGCAAGCCTTGCTGTACTCGTCGGTAAGGCATTGTGCTTTGCAGTTCAGCAAGACGCATTGGCCTGAAGCAGCGAAGCATTTCAAACATGGTACGCCGGCTCCGGTAATGTTGGCCTTAGTCAACGCAGCAGCTATCCTGTTAGCCAAATAAGTGCGGTGAGAATCACCAGTCTTAGCAATATTGGATTTCATGACCTTCCTGATGGCGTTAGTGGACGCGCAAAGCCTGCGTAAGGACTCATCGGTCACGGGTGCCAACTTGAAACCAAGTGCGTCCAATTCCGCCTCCGTGCAAAAGCCATCGGCTCTGACAGAAGAGGAAAAGGCAGTAACAATGAAAAATAAAAACACTGAAAAATGTTTGGACAACATTTTTGAAATTGAAAATATATATAGTAACAATAATTACTGGGCGCGCGAACCCAATAAGCCACACAAGCGAGGAAAAAAATTGTTGGATAAGCAGGAGCTACCTATTACTCCAAGAAAATAGTAAACATAGTCAACAAGCGAATATTACAGCCTCGAAAACATAATAATGCGGTATGTGGGTTTGGAATACCTTGAATTCCGCTGATGAGTTGACGCTGTACGCGACTGCCTTAGATGTAATTGATCTAAATTGAATAGAAATAGGGTAATTTCATAATTATCTTGGAATTGTAGCGCTCAAAGCTTCTTGTAGCACATCTAACTGACCTAGAAACCAGCGTCATATATATGACTGAAGATTCCACCAGTAACTTTTGTAAAGTAAGCGGTAGCAACGCGTTCTTTAGCGCTACAAAATAAATTGCAACAAATAAGCTCATGAACAGAAGTATGTGTCAATTCCAAACTCGGATTCGCGCGCTGCCACTCGTCCAGCCCGTTCACCCAGCTACCGCACGCTCCTCTGATACGCGACTCACTATCGCAAATCAGCTCGATTGTATTTTTTAAAAAAATATAAAAAATGGATAACGATGCGATATTTAAGCAATTCCTGGAAAAGGACGAAAATGCTGCTTTGCGGCAAGTCCTCAACAAAGATGCTGAAGTCTCAAACGCCGAAAATGGAACCCATATAACAACAGATTCCGGGCTTAAAATCGCAGAAATCCATTCTAATGAGGAGGTTCAGAAGCAAACGCAAGAGGCGGTCGCTGGTATGCTTTAAAACAGCAAATAACATACGCACGCAGCCATGGAAGCTCAAGTAGACAAAATGAAACACCAAACACTTGACGAAATACAGTAAGGATGCGTCAAGAAGTAATATAGACATGTCTAGGGACTCAATCATCGTTAACGGCACACCAGCAAACGAGAGCGATTTACAGTGGAACCAGCTGCCGCTCTCACAAGAACTCCTACGAGGCATACAGCACATGGGATTCGTTAAGCCGTCACGTATACAACAGATTGCGCTGCCACTCATAATTGGCGTAGGGTGGGAATAAACATACTGAAATTAAATAACGCGCAGCTCAAACATCATTGCACAATCAAAAAACGGGTCCGGTAAGACCGCCACATTCTCATTGGCGTTGCTGTCAAAGGTGGATACAAATGTGCCTGCGATACAGGTTGGTCAATTGACGGGAAGGCATCACACATACGATTTCAGGGCATGTGCCTCTGTCCGACGAGGGAACTCGCTGTCCAAAACGTATATGTATTGTCACAGCTAGGAAAGTTCACCAAAACCAAAGTATACCTCGGAGTGCCGCAATGCGTCAGATATGGGCCAGATGACGAATACCACCTCTATGTCGGAACACCAGGAAAGACCTTGGAGTTCATGCGCAAACGACACATTAACTTCCTCAACACAAAAATGATAGTCATGGACGAAGCCGACGAACTCATCAACCAAGAAAATAACATGGGGCCGCAAGTATTGCAAATACGACTCTCCTTCTCGAGACCTGTGCAAATATTGCTCTTCTCAGCTACCTTCTCCGACGAAGTATACGCCTTCGCACATAGAGTAGCGCCGCAAGCCAATGAAATAAAGGTGTGGTTATGACATAAAACCTACCCAAAAGTTATTTTAGGTGAAGCGAGAGCAACTCACTCTGGACTGCATCGATCAGCGTTACATGATATGTACCGATGACGAAGATAAGTTCAACAAACTCAGCGAGCTATATGCAAGCATGATCATCGGACAATCGGTTATTTTTGTCAACGCCAGGGAAAAGGCGTTCGCCCTTTCTCAAAGAATGCGCGATCATGGGTGAGATATCAAACGACATCTGAATAGACAAATCGCAGACACGCAGTATCGTTGCTGTGCGGGTCACTAGGGCCGCGTGCAGGAGATAACGCAATGACACCAGAAATACGGGATCGTATCATGCGCGAATTCAAGGACGGAGAGACTAAAGTGCTCATATGCACGGACGTACTTGCACGAGGAATAGACGTCCCGCAGGTCACACTGGTAGTCAACTATGAACTGCCATTCAAGTATTCAGGATCTGCACGATTTTCAACCGCCAAGCAGATCTGTATGGTAGGTTGTTGATCATCCTAGGCTTACACATCCGCAGGAGACCTATCTCCACCGAATAGGGAGGACAGGAAGGTTCGGCGCGAAGGGTATGGCCATCAACATGGTTCAACCAGGGGAGCTTGAACTTATAGATTCAATCAAGCAATTCTACCAATGCAAAATAGATTTAATCGAGTGCGACTCGGAATCCATTGAAGAAATGATGCGAAACATGCGCTCCTGAACAGTAGCGTAAAACACATAATACGTTAATTCTTAACTATTTATAATAGTACAGATGCGATGGGTATCGTTGCACAGGTTATTGGTAGGACTGCCGACGGCAGTGGCACGCCGTCAGCAAATCCAGCAGCTGTGCAAGGTGAGAACGCCAATCCGTTGGAAAGATGTGTCGGTAGCATTCTCTCACGGCTCGAATGATCTCGCTGGGTGCGAGGAAACTTAAGTCTGATGCCTCCAAACCGTCGCTAACGGAGTTCGGACTAGACGATCAAGACGACAAACTCCTACCAGGAATTACGCTCGACCCATTCTTTGTAAGTTTACGTGGTAGTAACCACCATCATGCTTATATGTAGAAGGAACTCAACCTACCAAAACGCTGTATAGGATGCGGAGCACGGTTCCAATCTGCAGACGCCACCAAACCAGGATACGTGGATTACGAAGTGTTGTCTACTTTCGGAGGTAACACTCATCGGAAATACATTACACTCGCGCAGCTAGAGGTGCAGCGAAGGTGCCAAGGATTGCCGGAGTGGAGGTGGAACACATCCCAGACGGGGTCCAAGTTGATAGAGTAAAACGACCCAGCAATTCGATATATGGTTCTTCAGTGTGACGATGGCAGATTACAGAGACTTAAGCGCAGAGCCGTATGCAGACGTTGCTACAGACTACAGGTATTAGGTCTATATGGGACTCCGAACCCATAAACTTACAGTATTACAAGAGGGTGGACCTGGGACTAGAGACAGACAGCAACAATGAAGTTAATGAACAACATGAAAACGCTAACAGAGAACGTATAACGAGAATAGTGAATACAGGTACCGCAAATGCCGGTGGTCTCCTTAAGATGCCTCAAGAAATAGAACGGCAACGTGCAGAGACAAGTGCAAGGCGAGCAGCAGCACCCGAACTTATCAGCAACATGGTTCGACGAATCAAGGGTGAAGGACTTGTGTTTTACCTCATAGATATTACCAATGTCGAGGCTACGGCGCTGCCAGAACTATATATCGCACTAAGAAACAAGGCTATGGAGGTAAGCAAACAGAACTTAGACAACCATAATGGCTAACAGGTCATATGGATTGTGAACAAAGTGGATGTCCTACCGCATAAAACAGAGCTGCCAGAGTAAGATAAGCATTGATAAAACGTTCAACTAACGACAGAGTTAAGCGCTGGCTGCGTTCTATGGTTCGCCATATCGGGAACGCAAAAAATTCAGATGTATTCATGGTTTCAAGCACCAAAGGTTTGTTGCGCGTAATAACCGTCACATTTGGCAGGTACCGGCTTCGAAGCATTAGAAAGACGGCTTAAGGAGTCTATCAAACTGGGAAACGCCAGGGACATTTATGTCATAGGGGCAGTGAACGTCGGCAAGTCAACATTCGTCAACCGTTTCCTACATTACATCAGCTACAGGTTCGACGAAACGAAAGATAACACCATATGTTGCAGTGATGCCGGGACATTGCAGATGAAACGTGGAATCGGGGGAGCTACCAGATCGGCAACACCAGGAACTACACTGGAGTTTATCGAATTTGGGCTTTTAGGAGGTTTCAAACTTATAGATACACCAGGGATACCAGTTGCAGCAACTGCATCTCATCTGCTCCGATTACCAATTGATATGGTCGCTATATCAATGAACAAGACCATCAAACCCCTGGTCATTCGCCTTGACCCAGGACAATCGCTCTTGCTGGGCGCCTTGGTACGTATCGACGTGGTCGAAGGCAATGCGGCGAACGTATATTGTTATTTGGGGCCAGGTATTACGCTAGAAGTCTGCAGGTACGTTTTAACGGAGTGTGACTGAGCAATACTCATTTCAGGACGGTGGCGGCACCGGACATCATGAAGCACAAAGCCGGCGTTAAGCTATTCCCGCCGCATTCGAAAGATGATTATCTGAGATTGCAACCTTTGGCAAAGTATAGGTGGGATACCATGAGTGCCAATAAAAGGTGTGCAGAGTCACCGTTAGCTGCAACGGGGCGTTACCAGTGGATGACTTGGTTGTACCGGGACTCGGCTGGCTCTCACTCACTGGAATAGGACCTAAAATTATAGAAATACACGCTCCAAAAGGTTTGGATTTGCTTAGGTTGGTGGCAGAAAGATACACATCGCAACAAGTTGATACAGAAGACCCGCCATGATCAAGCGAGCCAGCAAACGCGTGCAGAATCCTTATGTGCTGCGCATGAAGTCGGTTTATATATACACGTCTCACCTTTAGCAGGGGAAGGTTGAACAAGCTTCTGAAGATGCGGCACGAAATGCTCAAGTCTAACACTCCATGTGCACGACAAACAGAAAAAACAAAAATGTGAAACCATGATTCCGGCTTTCAAGCTGTTAGCCGTATTTGTAAAACAGGTATCGAAGCCATTGGCCTCGTATCTAAAGAGGAAAGCTAGTCAAAATGAAAGATTCCGCAAGCTGTGTGTATCAATTGGGAATCGCAGTTACGCCTTTGACAGATACATCACGCGCAGATTCTATAACCCAGAGCAAGGTGAACCTGATACCACTCCATGGATATCGCCAGAAAAATCGGTTGTAATAGGCACGGAACTCTTCGGAGAAGTCATAGTATTTGGCGTCGCAACGTTACTCGTCATCTCGGAATACGCAAGGGGTGTACGCAAGGAAGCCAAAAAGGAGGCTAAATTACAGGGTCGCTTGCAAGCTCTGGAGGCTAAGCACTCAGAAATGGAAATGTTAGTGAGGGATGAAGTACAACGCCAGTTGGACAAAAAGTGGAACGACTTGGAACTGCGTTTGAACACGTCGACTAAGACCCAACCGAATTAAAGTTTTCGTTTGACTTAACACATTTGCGCCTATGCTAATCTGTATATGTATTTAAATTGGTCTAATATATCGTGTTTGTGTAACGTATGCTGCACTTCATCCCCCTACTTATAGGCAAAAGTTATAATTCCATCGAATTTTGAAAAAATATGTTAAACAAATCACATGAGGTGATATAACACGGCAAAAAAAGGTAGCCATCCGATCGTACGAGCCATTTAAAGGACCAAGAATTTTCTCGGTGCTGAGACCTGGCGTTGCTATTTCTTGGTTTAGCATTAGACCTCAATTAAAAGCGGTCTAACTTTGTTCTCATCAACCTGGTAAACTAATAATATGGCCCTTTTAGGGCTATATAGCTCTGTGACTCTGTATGCCCCCAAACCCACTGGTTAAGTCAAGCATCACGTGTCCCTGATAGGTTTCTATTATAACCTTACCAGTTCCATATTACGTCATAATAGATCATATTACACAGTGGTGGGCATTGTAAGCCACTCATACTTGCCATTTTATACAACTTACCAAATGATCTGTCATCCCATGAATGAGGTCCATTGGTACCCAGTGATTAAAATCACAGAATCTATAAGATTTTCGATGCATCAATTTAACATCGTAGACCAATGCAACTATCAAATTACTCTTCATGACACTAGTTAGATTGAATATTATACTGCAGCGTAACAAATCCATTCACGTTTTTTGACCATGAGCAGTGGTCCCATACGGTGACATGAGGTTCAGCCATGCTGATAACATTCAGAACTGCAATTTCGTGCCATTATACACTGTTTACGTCTTATTTGTGTCGGATGTCGTCATTTTATGATGAAGTAACGACATTATATTCCAACTAAGATGTCGGGGGGTATACATGGGTTCGGGTTCATAACCTCCAAATATTCGGATGTCAACGATGTATAATGATGCATTCCCCTTGTAAATTCTTATGTGTGAACTGCAGCGGTGTAGCACAATTCATAGACAAGATGAGATTCTGTATCCACCTGACCTCACAGCCACTTAGTCAACTATCCTCATTAATGAAGAGTAGGGTACATACTGGTTACGGGAAACATGAGATCCCGTGATATATACCTTAGTCCCATTATATGGCAATAAAATATTGGTTGTATAAAACGTGCCCGTCAGGTGAATCAGGAATAGGCGATGCGCATGGTATATCATGTTGGATGAGGTTCACACAGAGTAATCGTGAACAACTTCTTGGAGATAATGCATCAGAAGCGCTAAAAAAGCGTTTGTGACAAAATAACATAATACATTTTACGTGTTTTAATCTATGTAGATTTGCATGGTTTTGGCCACCCAGCACACGTTGTCAGGATTTCGCAATAAAGTAGAAGAACTTAGAATACGTGCGCAACATGTGAGACAATTAAGAGAGGAGATAAGACAACACCGTCGGCGAATATTATATTTGAATTCAGAACTATCGCATCTAAGGCGCAAGGAGGTGGATGTACAGCACGTTGCGGACCTAATCACCGGCGTTTATATAAAGTGTTTGGAAAAAATGTGCAAGTCCCTCACATACAGGGTAAACCAAACCGATGAACTCCATAATTACAAGGAATGTGTAAAACGTCTCGTTGACCAATGGCTTGCCGATACACTCAAGGGGAACATAGATAACATGGAGAAAACGTTCGCTAGGATGAGAGATATACGCAATCGCATCGCAGAACTCAACTGATCGAAACAGTACTGGCAATGAAACCACGTTAAGATGCAAATGCATAGGCTACATTAAAACTAAAGTCAAATGTCATTTACTAAGCATAATGCTGCATCTGAGCAGATCCGGTGAGAGTCCTGCGGACGATGTTTGGAACACATATGCTTGTCAAGCAGTTGGAAATAGTGTTCCTTACAATCACTACTGGGGATATTTCGACATAGTTTAGCTGCTTACGTCGCATCCAAGTAGACATGAAATCAAAACACTGGGGAAAGTTTCCGCCTTGAACGCTAAGTCCCCTATGTTTTTACAAGAATGATATTCTGCTGCAGTACTTTGCTGCTCCATCATCTATTAACTGGCATAAAACATGTCAATTGTAACGGTAGATGTAGGGGTGTAAGACAGTACGACTATTTGTACCCCAATGACCATGTTTTCATCAAGCCGTTCCAGGTATAGTACATTTTGAGACAGTGTAGATAAGATGAATCCTGGACTACAACTGTTGCTTTTGCATTGCGGCCCGTACTATTTAGCTGGAAAGTGAACAGTACCCTATCCTATACTTTCTGCTTGAGTGTCTCCGTTAAGCACCTAGTGACAAGCTAATCTTTCGGGGCCTAATTGTCGCCGTATTCATCATTGAATAGACGGGACATCCATGCGTGGCACTAAACTAGTCGGAGTCGTGTTTAGGCTCACCTTTCCTCCACTATCGGGGCAACAAATGGCACAGATTTAACCAGGTACCGTAGTATCATTCGTCAAATGACAGATCTCAATTTCACAGAAACAACTTTACATGGTTGGTGATATCCATAGCTAGCATCCTGGCGTGATCCTCCGTAGAAGCCTCGGCATATATGCGGCACACGGCCTCGGTTCCAGATGGCCTTATAAATGCGCGTGAACCTTCAAACTTGGCGACTGAAAGCTCCAAAAGACGGTTAAGCTCATAAGGTTCGTCTAAAACCGTGTCATTGTCCGGGTTTGTGCGGAACATGCGGCGTTTTGCCGGTGGGATACGTGCTGTTGCGTTAATATAAGGTAACTCCTTGTAAAACTCAAGCACATCGTTGTGCGACAGTTTCAAAGTGTGAAGGGCGAGCTCTATAAATAACGAATTAGCAATAGAATCACCGGTTGGATTGTTGAAGATCCGCGCTACGTTTGCAAGTAGCTGGTCATACCCGCACTTTTTACCAGTATCATAGAGCGGTGGTACTATGTTGAACAGAATGTTGCCATGGCCGTTAGCTTCATAGAATATGGATATATGATACCCTTGGGCCTTAGCCTGCATATTCTTCACGCCTACTCTGCAGAACTCAATGGCCCACTTCACTCTGCTATCCAACGTATTCCACTCCGAAATTAATCCTTTGATGTAATTGATAGCACCGCCATTGGTATAATGGTTCAAGAGCACTCCTACAGTAATACACTCCTCCTTGCAGTTATTCCATCCCTTCAAAGCAAATCGTAAAAATTTCATCTTGACTACCAGCAGTCTGACACCATCTATTAGGCGTATCGACCGTTTGTGCGGCTTGAAGTAGATGAGTCTATCTGCGTCTCCGTCTAACGAACAAAACCATTGTCCTTCATATATTGTGATGTGCCGCTCAACTGAAGCCGGAGGCTTCATCGTGCTGAAGACGTAATGCGTACCACAACCATTGTTGAGCATCTGCTGACTACTCCCGGACGACCATGCAGGACTGTTACAAAGGTGTGGGAGGACGGCTATTTTCCTGAGACAGTCAAAAAATTTGTAGACGACACAACCACCAACACCATAGGAGCAGTCGTAGAACAGCGACCTGTGGCGATCGGTTTTCAAAGATCCTTTGACATGACCAAGAGCTACGAGAGTATCTAAAGTGTCATTGAACGCGTCCTTGAGTGCTTCGACGTATTCGCGATCATTCACAGAAAAAAGGATCCCATTTTTTAGAAGAAAGCTGACTGTGGGTGATGTCACTACTCCCAGCTCCACGCATGTAGTCCGTTCTAACATAAGTGCTGCTGCCATGGCCTCAACGCCTGCTTTGAAGAGTGTAGATAAATGAGGACTCGACGCCCTCGTGTCGTGCCCGATGAGTATCCTGTATTCTACGCAGTTGCGACGAACAGGGCCCAAACGATGAGTTTGCATTAGCCCGAAAACGAGATTAGACCAATCACCATGGAAATTGACCAATTCGGTGAATGTTGCCTCCCAACTAGAATCTATCATATAACCGTTGCCTTCCAATAGCTTGATCCCATTCTCCGATGCTTCGTTATGGCTGGCGGTGATGATGGCACCGGCCGCCAAGGGAGGCTGATTATGTTCGTTACTCCTTACACATTGAGATCCTTCCTCGACTTTAGTTACATGATATAGTTGCTTTGGGTTGCGCAGGAACGGTAAAGCAGCCAGAAGGGCGCCACAACGATATACAACATGGTCAAGGTGGTTAGGCGGAGTATCTACCACGCCACGAAAGCCGCAAGTTCCATAGTCTAGATCCACATAACCACTTGGTATGCCAGGACCTAATTCTATGTCCAGTTTCCCCTCCGCGACATTGCCTGCCACCTGCGGATCTCCCGCGTTCGACATCTAAAAGCTGATGCTACACATTCAATGAAAAAAATACGCAGCAAGCACCGCGCATTGAAATTGAGTCGGGTTCTAAAATTAGAAGTCCCGACTACACCCAAAGCGCGACAGTTCAGCTTTCAAGCTGATAGATGTCTCCCCAGAAGCAAGTAAGGCGGCTCTGTAGAAGTGAGAACAACAACTACAAAATTTTACAATACCTGGATGCAGGTACTATTGCACAGCGTTGAATAGTACACGCGGATTCCACACTCGGCAAGATGTACCGCAACCAGTACGACACCGATTGCATCACCTGGTCACCTCAAGGGCGCCTATTCCAGGTGGAGTATGCGATGGAGGCAGTAAAACAGGGTACTTGCTGTGTAGGTATCAAGTCATCGACGCACATCGTAAGTGGTGGGTATGTACCACGAATCCTCGCAGGTCTTGTGCGCGGTTCGCCGTAAATCCTCTAGGCTCGCCGACTATCAAGACAAGCTATTCCGAATCGGGGACTATATCGGAGTGGCGATGTCTGGAATTACCTCTGACGCAAAGATGATCGTGAACTATATGCGCAACGAGTGCCTCAACAACCGCTTCCTATACGGTTGTGACATCACCGCTGAGAAACTTGTATCGCTGATAGCTCAGAGTATGTTTTTTGTCACTCACATGATAAATAACACCTCAGAGTCACAGGCGAACACGCAGACATCATCAAAACGCCCATTCGGTGTCGGCCTCCTCGTCGCCGGCTACGACGATAAGACAGGGCTACGTCTGTACGAGACGTGTCCTAGTGGCAATGTGTTGGAATACAATGTGAGTGTTTATTGGATATGAGCCTCTATCACGATCTCAGGCTGCGGCATTCGGTGCACGTTGTCAGAGTGCAAAGACATACCTCGAGAGGAAGATTGCCAACTTCAAAGAATCTGAACTGGATTCTCTGATATACCACGCTGTTAAGGCGGTCAAGTTGACTGTCCCTAGTGACGGAGAGTACGTTATTTCGTGTCAAGTTACATTCAGCTTTTAGATTTGACGCCCACATGGTGACGGTCTGTATATTGGGGAAAGGGATGCCCTTCACGCTATTGACAGCGGCGGAAACCCAGCCTTACATCGAAAAGGTACGTGTTGCACTAGTGTGTGTATTAATTTAACTATTTGATGCCAATCAATACGGATGCGCAGGTTATCGCTGAGGATGCCCAGGATGAAACAATGTAGACGAAGGCGCTACACAACGCCAGCGTTCACAACTATTAACACAATGCTGTAATATGTAGCACTTAATTTGGTGGTATATTGCTCACGGGAGCCCTGTATATCGCCACCTCGTTTATGGCGCGCGGAGGGATTATGCCTTGTCGGGCTTAGTTTTTACTATTTTTGTCATTTCACGTTCAAGTGTTAGACAAAATGGGAATCTACAACCCGTTCAGAGCGCCCTTCCATTTCGAATTTTATCTTGGCACTCTCATACTCAATGAGTTGTTTGAACACTACCTCAACTTCAGACAACTGCGTGTTATAAACAACGAGTTGCGCCTTTCACTTGACCGCAAACACAAAACAGACGCTTCTGAAAATGACGATGAAATTCGCAAAAAGGCGCAGAAACACGTAGATGTGTACCTTCTTTCCGAGGATTACTACAAGACCGTGGAGTACGCGCGTGACAAGCTCGTCTTCCAAATTGTCAGCTCACTGATGCAGAATGTTATCTCTATTATGATGCTATTCACATTCTTCGGGCCCATCCTTTGGCATTTCTCAGGTTCCCTACTGAAAACACCCTCAGAGACATACCAGGTAGGGCCATTACATATACCTGAAAATTATCTGCAGTCACTCTTATTTTGCGGACTCAAAACTCTCCTTGACACTTTTATCGACATCCCATTCAGCCTATACTCTGACTTCGTGCTGGAGGAAAAGCATGGTTTCAACAAAAAAACACTAGGACTCTTTTTCAAGGATATGGCCATTTCGCTAGGTCTGCAGGCTGTGATTGGTGCACCTGTACTATCCATTGTGATATTCTTAGTGAACTGGGGAGGCGAACACTTTTACATTTATGTAAGTTGATAGTGGTCGATATTAACGATTTCAGGTGGGCGCCTTCGTCGCAGTGTTCTACTTGTTCATGATGGTGATATACCCGGATTTCATCGCACCGCTATTCAACAAGTTCGAGCCGCTCAATGATGATGATCTAAAAGAGGGAATAGAGGCTCTTGCAAAGAGGCTTAAGTTCCCATTGCGAGAAATTAAGTTGATGGACGGTTCAAGACGTTCCAACCACTCCAACATGTACTTCTACGGTTTCTGGTGGTTCAAGAAAATTGTAATGTACGACACGCTTCTTAAACAGCCAAAGTCACAAATCATTGCTATCACGTCACATGAACTGGGACACTGGAAGTGCAACCACACCCTCAAGTTGTTGCTCTTCAGCTTCGCTCAACTGTTCGCCATTTTTTACCTGTTCGGGCTTTACAAGGATGATGCATCGATGTTTGAGAGTTTCGGCTACGGCAATGAGCGTGCTTTCATAGTAGGAATCACTCTATTCGGCTACATATACACCCCTCTTGGCGTCGTGCTACACCTTATAGGTACCACCATCACGCGCCGGGGAGAGTACGAAGCGGATAATTTCGCGGTGAAGATGGGATACGGAGACGATCTAGCAAAAGCGCTAGTAGAGATACACCACAAGAACAAATCCATGATACATCACGACCCACTATACTCATGGTATCACTTCACTCACCCAGTACTCTTCGAGCGTGTGTACGCCATATACAAGGCAATGGCGGATAAGAAGATTTGACCTTCTTTGATGACTAGTGTTAATATTCAGTTGCTGCGTCGGTTAACTGTTGTTGGAAGCGACGGTGTGGCGTCTGTAGTTCGACGATGTGTTCGCGAAGGTGAGTTGGCCATGGCCCAGCTATAGCTGTCTTATGTGAGATGGAACGGCGAAACACCCAGATGTCTCACTTAATGGACGCAAAGTATATCCACTGGATGGCTAAAAACGTTCTTGTAAGGTCTTCAGCCATTTTGCAGGGTTAACAGAGAAGGACGAGCTTGCACGCGTCGCCGCTGCCGTGCTTCGACATCTACACAATTTGAAGGCAAAAGATATAGTAAGCATACTAGGCAGTCTCTCAAAGGCACGCTATCGTAACTTTCAACTCTTCTCTGCTCTGGTTGAGCGACTCGAAAAACTGACACCTTTGCCACTCAACGAGGCACGCTCGGTTTTGAGCTTTTGCTGCCGGATACATTTTACGAATACACTCTTAGTGAAGCGTTGCGCTGAAGTGATCAGTGCAAATCTCGACACACTGCGACCGTCCGATGTTTGCGATGTACTGCACTCCTTAACAAAGCTACGACACTGCGATGCTACACTAGTGAACAGTCTGGTCTCGAAGGGGATTGAAACTCTGGGGACCCTTGACGACCTCGCGCTAGTCAACTTTGCAACAGGCTGTGCCAAGGCGACCGTAAAAGCAGAAACGGTGGCTGTGGTATGTCAGGAACTGCAATCGCGAGCCGGTGTAATTGGACCACTCGAAGCTCTCAGGTCGCTGCTCGTATTGGCTCGCTTTCAATCTCACCCCAACGCTAAGCCTGCAGCCACTTCGATAGTCAAACGACTCAACTGTTCGAGGTTGTCATTACTGCAACTGACGTTGGCGCTTGAGGCGGTGCTCTCTCTCGGTTGTGAAGGTGTGGAACGCGTCCAAGAGGCATTGGAAACCAAACGTGATGCATATCCTAGAGTGCCACCAGAGGTCAGTTATTCATAAAACTGGTCATTACTTCGCAGGTTGACGCTCGTATAGGAGCAGCCCTGGCAGCGATAGATGACAAACAAGACTCCAAGCTGCAACATGCGACTAACTAGGATACAGTGATGCTTCGCAGATAGACATAGAGGTATTCGAGATACCTCCGAGACACGAGTCACGGACGAGAGAAACATACCGGCCTTACATACATGTTGAACGACTGATTGTGCGCACGTTTGCCCGCCAGTTATACTCTCTGGTATAATGAAAGCATAAAAACATTAATAAGTCCATTAACGAGATATTTCGTTGTCAAAACGCTGATAAAGTTTCTTAAAACTACCTGTCCGCAGTCGTTGTAGCGGCCACGCAACTTGGGAGTTCGACAAGAAGTAATAATAAAAGTGGGCAGCGGCTATTGCCGCAAGATCCGATACGTAGAATTCGCGGTATAGGAGGTAGTTCTGTAGCAGAAACAGAAATGGCACGCTTTCGGCCGGGAGGTTGAACATGTCGAAGCAGTTGACTACGGATCCCTCGTTTAGTCGACTCCAGTAGTACAGCACATAGGTGTGCAGGTGATACGCCGCACTAGACATCGTACTATCCTGGCGTCCCGCTAAAGCCTCTGCAACTCCATACATGGACAGAAATGCAGCGCCGAATGCCATGAACTCTAGGAACTTTTCCGGCCTCGTGCAATGCGCGATCTCGACTGACGACATGTAGAGTAGGACGGATTGCGCCATGAACAAATGACCGAGCCACAGCTGGCCAAAGTTCAGAAACGGTGTCAAAATGCGCCACATCTCCCCTCGCTTTAATCGCTGCAGGTCGAACTGCATCACCTCAAGTGGGTAATTCTCATTAAACGCCCAGGAGAGGAGTGACATAACTGTAGATAGCATGACATATGTTCCGGTAATAGGCGGTACCCGTTGCACTGCCTTCAGATATCTAGAAATCCACCAGTGTTCGCGTGAGTCCAATAGAGAACTCAAGCTGTGCTTCTCCTCATCTACCATCGGCACCATAGCGCAATAATTCGACATTCCTCCTGTATTCCGCGGAATCGGCCGTGTCGGAACAACGGCAATACCATACTTCACTCGTCCTTTCAGAGTTGGCACCGCCGTCGCGCTCTTAGGTATGTATGAAGGGGCGCTAGACATTTGATTCACGCTCCCCTGGATCACCGAACGCGCGGAGGCACCACTGCTGATAAGCAGAGTCATAAACATCAACGTCCACATCATGCTGGAGCTCCTGGTCGTGCTTGTACCATTACACGTTCATGTAGACGAGCTATTAAGCTGTTGCCCGCATGGTCATAGATGGTGATATCAGCCAGATGCCACACTCCGGGAACGGACCCTTGAGGTAGCATGTACCTATATGTGATTTCCTGCCAATCAAGTTGATCCACAAAGTTGGGGTAGATGTAGTGTCCAGCACCGAAAGGGTCGCGAAGAAGAACAGTGACAGCGGAGATGCCACTATGGAGATCCCGTACCTCAAATTTGATGTCCACCTGAGAAATATTGCGATCAAAAAGAAAATAAACATACCACAGTCTCTCCGTTTGGACTATCTGGGTTGGTGGGCCGGCTTTCTACATGAACATTGCGCAGCTCAGGCTTATTGTTGTCTTCTCCGTTTCTGCGGCTCTGGAAAGCGAACATAGGTCCGGCCGCTCGGGGCCACTGAAGCATCTGGCTGTTACCAGCTGAGTCGAAAGTAGTGATTCGGGTCAGGAAGTATTCGCCGGAGCGCGACGCTTTGTTCATAGGAATGTCCACAGCCACCTGGTAGCAGTTGTACACATTCGCTTCCACCTCTCTATCCCCCAAACCATGGAAGTTGAGTTCTGGATCAAACCTAAATTTATTGAAGCTCAAAAAATTGCTTGGATAATTGACATGGGACACAGTATGGTGGCACAATCGTGACGGAACCTTCCGACAGCCAGTCCACTGGCCGTCACGCCAATTCGGTTGCTCGCCTGTAATGGTGTCTACACCATTTGCATAGTTTCCGACTGCGTATTCGTAGTTGTGTGTGCTGTTGACAGCGGCGAAGGCGCAGCCACGCGAACGCAAAATGCCATCGTCTGCTACCAGCCAAGTCGCTCGTGCCGTAGGTTCATCTGCAAAAAATTAGGTCAAACTTGTACATCACATTTACCTTTACGATCGAAATAGTATCCGAGCGCGATAGAGCCTACGATTGCTTTAGGGTCTTGGAAGTCTTCGTTGCCGTTGTCTACCCAGACCCTCATGCCGAAGTCCGCTGCGCCGACGTAACGATGAAGCTTGTTGTTGTCTAACAAAATAATCTGATCTGTGGTCCATACACCACGCTTCTGCGTCTTGTTTATCGTGACAAGGCCCCTGAGTTCGTGACTGCAGCCAGTTCCACGCAATCTAACATCCACGTAGGTATTGGCACTGGAATAAAGCCGGAATGCACCAACCACGGCACATGTGTTTGGTCCATTGTTAGCTAGATTTACGACAAATTCGACACGCTTATCATCGTTGACGTGCCCCTTGACTAAAACCTTAATTCGGACGATCCTGCCTGGGTACATATAGTCAGGGTTGCCCAGATTTAGCACCTGGAACTCGTGGGTTGCCTTAGTCACGTAATAAGCACCGTGCATGACTTTTTTACGCATATAATCATGTTTCTCCGGGGCTCGGCTTCTTAGAAGTCGGGGATTTAACACGTAGTCAGCCATACAAGTAGCAAAATCTTCTTCAGGGTTCTTCTTGTGGCCGTACGCGTTGACGAACTCAGTCTGCTGCCTGGTTGACCATCCGTCAGGATCTTTAGGGTCCCTGAACCATCCTCCTACCTGAACCCACTCTTGATAGATTTCCCGGGACAACTCGTTGGCATGTACGAAGTGAGCCAGCTCGTGTATGACCAGATTCGGGATATCAGGGTATTTGTAAAAGGCGGATTCCATAAATTCGATGTAGGAGTTTGCAGATGCACCACGTGGATATGCTATGGCCGGTGCCGTGGGTTCGTCTGGGTTCACCATACCATCATGTCTACGAAGAAGATACTTCAGCCCTTTGATTTTCTGCAGACCGCTTGGGAATTCCCTCCAAGTTGTGGCCAATTCTACAAGTTCTTCTGGGTGTTTAAACCATGACTGATAATGGGTTGGTGGGAATTTGCTCACTGGCCGGCCCAAGGCCTTTGATAGCTCCAAGTTATACGGTTCTAACAATGTAATATCATGCATTTCTGAGAAAAGTAGACGCATCTTTACCGGATCGTGAAGACATAACGCTCGTATCAGTGCCTTGTGCAAACGCCTCGAGAAGTATACACCGTTACCCTTACCCTTCTCTATCGCCCGTTTTACGGCATAGGTGAAAGCCTCTCTAGATATGGTCACCACCTGCGTGTACTTGGATTCATCGCCACTTACATTTACAGATGCCCATCGGTCTTTCTCAGTTGGAGCCTTATTACCAAAGTGGTGGATCGACACATCTTGAGGATATAGCGGTGCGTCCGTAAGTTTCCACTTCTGCAACTTTTTATCGCGCAGATACAGCTCTTTGTACCACTCCCACTTGTCAAGGATGCCGAAAAGCCTGTTAGCATATTCGCTTCCCCATGTTCCATGTAGTTCTATCCCAAAAAGATGTCTGAGCTTTGCAGCTGCATCGCTGTCATCCACGCGGTCCTCGATACCCTGCGCATTCGCATTGACAACTGACGCTTCTTTATCGGAAATTAGTGTCAGGCTCTCCACACCATACTGAGAAGCATTCTGAAGTTCCCAATTGTACTCATAAAATCCATTTTGGTTGGTTAATGGTGCTACGGGCAGAGTGTTCTCAGGTGACGTAAAAGGACATTGTCTTGTTTTGCATGGTCTTCGAACTCGGGTAGCGCCTGGTAAGCGGTAACCCGCACCCTCAATTTTGACGTAATAATGCCCTTTAACAACTTCAAAATTAAATATAGGATGCTCTTTTGAGACGCGGGCCTCATACAATATGTCGAATCGTGATCCGAACATCGTACCTAAGATTACAGTCACCGGGTGATGTGGTAGCAATCCCGAAACACTCCCTTGTATATTGTACTTCTCCCTGTTAGGAAGTCTAACATAGTCGTAAGTCTCTCCGTTAGATGAGGGGCTAGTGTGGAGGAATGACACTACCATGTTACCGTCGTGGTCAGGTATCATCTTGGGCTCCAGGAAAACACCCATTTGGGCAAAGCTTGCCGCGCTGGTCGTGTCCCTCTTCTCTTCCAATATCGCTGCTCCATTTTGTAGATGAGCTGTAGATAACATAGTTGGTTTCTTGGTGGTTTCAACGTACCGGGATACCTTTTGTGGGTTGCTTGGTAAGCTGCAGAGAAATTCGTTGCCGCCAGTGCCACGGAAGCAAGGAGAGCCACCGCTTTGGATGTAGACCGCCGTGCCATTGTAATGCGTCTGATATAAATGTATTGTATAACGTAGTATATGTGCTACATGAAAAAGCCTTTACTTTTGAACTGAATGCAATGTAGGAGATAACGGTATTAACGGACTTCGTGCCATGATTCAATCGTATACCATGATTCAATCGGTGTTACTCTAAAACGGTCGTTATCTACCGCATACTGCTGTTAAATGTGCCAAATGCTAATGATATAGAAAATCATGGATGTACATTTACAACTTAGGGCAGCAATGGCTCGCCGTGGTACACGGTTTATATGTATAAATGCGCATATGGACATCCCGTTGGGGTTTAGCATGCCAGGATGTACACAATGAGCCTATAGAATGTATCACGACTCAGTCGTAAACACCAAGTGGTACCAATATCGCACGTTCGTGATCTAGCAGAACTATGGAGGTGAAATGTCACCTAAGCATCCATTCACAGCAGTAGCGATTGAACACCATTCTAGGTTCACAATGTGTAGTAATCTCGACGGTTACAAGCATTCGTAATAAACGTGCTACCCTTGATTCGGATTAAAATTCTGCTAGTGCTTTATACATATGCGCCTACGCTTACACTGGTTTCTCCTACATATGCATCAGCGGTCATTTCACATCACGGGGCCCTGTTGGAATGGAAATGCGTTGTTCACATCCAGAGTACAACCTAATGGCATCAAACGTAGGTCACTCATGGGATCACCCGGCCCATAAATATGTATAGTAGGAATTATGGCTGATAGACCGCTATTTTAAAATTTTAGAACACAATTGCCATCACAGCGACGCAAAGATCGTCGTGAGTATTATGTATTAAGGAATCGCATTAAAGTTACACGACAGTTGCACAGGACAGGATCCCATCGTAGGAGGCTTCTCAAACCCACCAGCGCAGCTACCAGTTGACTCACAAATTAATATAGCTATGACCACCGGAGCTGAGTCCCTCTCTATTAAGGGAACTCCATTATCTGGACGTCCGTGGAAAAAAGAGGCGCGTCCGCGGCGCGCGCTGGCTAAGAGTGGCGGTGAGCGTTCCGCTGAGGAACGCAACCGCAAGAAGTGGGAAGATGCACAGGCCTTTAAAAACGCTATGAAGGAAGTAGCTGCTGAGGCAGGTGAGGCTATAAAACAAGCAAAAGAAAGGCGTATCGAACGCAACCGCAAGCTTAGAGAGAGGCGTGCCAAAAAAGAGGCTAATGAAATTAAATCAGCTGGAAACGAGGTGGTACTAGTAAGCAACAGTGAGTATCGTAGCGTGTATGTCCTAACATTCATACAGAAAAGGTCGCAAAAATGACCAAAAAGGCAAGGCGCAAGTTGACCAAGGTGACGTCAGAAATGGCGAATATACTTATGCGCAAGCAGTAATTATAATACATTTGGTGTGCGACATGTAGCTATCTAGTGTGTAGGTGTTGAGCGGCGCTTCGCTCATCTCTTCCCGTGACACAGATGGGGGAGAGGTATCGCAGCCTAGCGACACCGACATAATTTGTCTGCTGTAATCCATACGGTGTATTTACGCGACTAAAATGTCCACGCTTTGGCGCAAATTACAGGTGAGTTCAAGGCAATGACATCTCACAGCCAAACGCAGGTACCAGGCAAGCTAGACGTCTTCCTGTTCGATAAGCTCTATCGCAGGGGCCCAGTTACCCTGAGTATTCATAAAGGAGCTAAGTCAGTTAAGGAACGTATAGCATCTGCCGTTCAACCCGTAGAGTTCCTGGAGGCCGACTTACTGAAAGGATCACCAGTGGACATAACGATCACCTCGTCGACACCGGATCCTTACCTTGAGCGCTGGGTCACCGCTTCAAAATGATTAAAGATAAACGTAGAACATGAAAAAACTCAAAGGGACTCATTCGAAGGCCGCAAAGGCCTCACTTAAACCAGCACACTCAACCGAGTTCTCAACGGAGAACATGCTCCGCGACATAAAGAAGGTCGTCAAGGCATTCGGTAAAGGGATTATGAAAAGCCCTAAGGATCTGAAGAAAAGCACCAAACTGGCTTCCATTCGACTACCCAGCGACCAACTTATGTCTGACGATTTAGGGGATCGGGAAGATGACAACGAGACCGAAGAAAGCCAGTCAGACGTAAAACTCGGTGATGAGGAAATTCCAGATTCTGTAGAAAAGAAGGACAAAGTGAAGCGTGTGACTGGTACAATTGAGGCTACTTCCCATAGGCAGGTATCATCGGCTGATGACACATCTTCCACCGGAACCACGAGGGTCATATTCTCTAATCTTAACGCGACACCAGACGCATTCGAGAGTCTGATACAGGAACACGTCGCCACCTGCGGACCGTACGAAAAATGTTTTCTGGCCTCACGTAGGAAAGGTGTGCTGGTTGTAGCCAACGAGGGTATAGCCAACACATATGTAGAGCACCTAAATGGATCGAAATTTAACGGCGAACTAATATCCGTGTCAGTATCAACTCGCAACAAAAAAGATGGCGCTAAGAAGACATATATGCCGTCGGCCGAAACGTTCAAGTCCCTCATACTACAAAACGTGCCGAAGCAAGTTGAACCAGCCGACTTGGAGAAGGCAATCAATTCAGTACCAGGTGCTGTATACAAATCAATGGAAAAAGTTGAAGACGGCAAGTGGAAATTTTATTTCCAAAGTGTCCCAGATTGTATCAAATTCAACTCACTGCTTAACGGGTACACTCTCGAATTCACAGTACAAAACAAAAGTAAAAAGGTGAAACTAAAGTGTGAGGCGCCTTCTTTTGGTACGAAAACGTCACATGCTGGTCGAGTATTTGTTCGAAATCTTCCGTTTAATGCAACTACGAAGCAACTTGAAAAGGTCGCGCATTCATTAGATAAGGGTGCTACTGTACATCTGCCTCGTGGAGAAAAAGGGGGATTTGCATTTATTCAGTTCTCTAACTTTCAAGTGGCCGAAAAAGCTATTCGCCTCTTAAACGGTAGCGAATTCGGAGGGCGTACCATACGTCTAACGTTAGCGCTTCCTACAGAGATTTATAGTGGAAAACCAAAAGAAGCGGAAGGAAACGCAGAAGATACGGTCGCCGATAACGATGAGAGCGACAACGAACACCGTGATTCCGACGACGATAATCAGGAGGAAAGTGACGAGGGGGATCAGCCTGAGGATTATGATGAAGAAGAAGGTGACAATGATGATGGTGATGAAGAAGAGTCAGATGAGGGATCCACTTATAGTGATGATTCTGCTGTGACGAACAATGAATCTGTTAATGACGCACGTGAGCACACTTCTACTGGGAGGCAAACCAAAAAGGACGAACATCTTCGCACCATATTCGTACGGAACTTGAGCTACGAATCGACAGATGCCGCATTACGCGATTATTTTGGCACATTTGGTGATGTCGAAGCGTGCAACATTTGCAAAGACGCTCAAGGAGTCAGCCGCGGTACTGCGTTTGTGCTTTTCAAAACCGCCGAAGACGCACGGAAAATACTTGATATGGAGGAAATGGCACTGGAGAGAGACTCTGAGTATGGTAATACTGCAGCTAATACCGCCGTACATAAGCCAGTGAAGAGATCCCAGGCAGCCGGTCTTGGTTTCTCTCTAAATGGTCGTAGATTGCGATTGTCTATGGCCGTCAGCCGAGACGAGGCCAAGGGACTGACCAACACTCGGCAAGAAAAATCTGATACCGCCCACAATCTAAAGAAGCGAACTGACCTTTTAATGGAGGGAGTGATCACTGAAAACTCCCCTGAGTTCCAGAAGCTAACGCCCATGCAAAAAAAACTACAAATATCCAGCTATAAGGAAAAATTGGAAAAGATGAAAAACCCTAATATGTTCATCAACCCAAAGCGACTATGTATACGTAACTTGCCTAATAACGTGGATGTGAACGCTCTGAGGCTTGCGATTGCGACCCATTTCCGCAGAAATGTCGACGTGAAACGTATTTGCGGTATGAGTAAGGTAGACGCTAGTCGTGCCATTGGTAAAGTAACGATTTTGGCAGACGACAAGCGCAAGGTGGTGGTGGAAGGGACAAAGATACGCAGACGTAAGCCCTTTGCATTTATCGACTTCAAGGAGGAAGAACTTGCACTTCAGGCTCTGCGATTTCTTTCAAACAACTCCGAGATATTCGGGCCGCGTCACTGCCTATTTGCGGAATTCGCAATCGAGGACAGCAGAGCGCTTTACGTACAAAGGAAGAGGAAGGAACAGTATCATGCAAACTTGGAAGAGAAACTTGCGGAACAAAAACAGCATAAAGGCACGCCAAAGTTGGGTGAGAGACGCAAGAAGCGCAAGACATATAGCCGTGGCAGGCTACAACGGATGAAACGTCGCAAAATGCTAGAGTCAAGGACAGAACAGGCACAATGAACTCCGCAATGAATATCTTATATTTGTTTTTGCATGGGTTGATAACACAAATTAACTCAACGTGTCTGGTGGTATTGCATGATTTTGCACATTCGTTGTATACCGTTCAGTTTGAACTCATCTTAGTTGCAACACTGTGAGTTATCGGTTCACGTTAGTATGCGATACGGCACAGTTGCCATTCGAGCTGGCGCCTTCCCTGAAAGGACTATCCTGGGAACGCAGCGCCATCTTTTTGAGACCACTCGCTATGGTGATGAGATGCCGTACGCGGGTTCAAACGACGCTCCATGACGCTGTCTGCGCCTGCCACGCGAATCCCCTTTGCATCGCGTACAAGGTTACGGTCATTGATTGCACGCAATGGTGGTTTCTTCTCCCCTGTATCGTGAATTGAAGGATTTATTGATTCAAGCAAGTCAACGGTCTTCCGGAGAGTCTGGATTCGTTCTCCACGGATTGATGCCACCTTTCCTTGTTCGTTCCTTAGCGAACGCAGCATCGTCTGCTCAGCATCTTCCGTGTGCATAAGCGCATCTCTCAGTGCCTGGTGTTCACTTTCAAGCTTCAGCTTCTCTCGGCGCAAGTTTTTGATACGGTCATGCAACTCGTTGAGCTCACGCTCTTCATTGCGCAGACAGGCCTGTTCAGCTTCCACCTCAGCGCTGTAGATTTTATGTAGTGCGTGGAGCTGTTCAATGCGATTTTCGCTCGTATTGTACATCGCCATGAAGTGAAGGTTTTCCGCTTGCTTCTTCGCCAGATCACCTTCCAAATCACTAGCATGCTGCTTTAGCGACTCTATATGGCTTCTCACATTGTAACTCCCAGCCTTGGGCCCTGCTACACCCGTAGTGCCATCATCCTTTTGGGAGCCTGTTTTATTGGAGAGATTCAGATCAGGCTCACCCACACCAGTTTCCAATGTATGTAAATGGTTAGATTCACCGCGCTTGTTGTTGAAAGCGTCACCCGCCGAAGCAACGGTGCTGCCGAGGTCCGCTGGCATGTCTGTAGGCTCGCGCAACGAACGAGTCACAATACGACTGCTCTCTCTTGTTGCACGAGGAAAGGTGACACGCTCGTTGTTATCATATTGCCGTTTCGCATACATACTCCCCCGCCTCATCCCAAGGGGTACGGCTCGGGGTGAGGGCCCTGACTTGGAGATAGTGTACTGGACGAGGTGTTCCATTACCATAAACTCTTTAATACTCAATCGACCATCCATGTCGGAATCTGCTATTTCCCATATCCTCACTAAATCTGAGTCCTCCAGTTCGTTGCGCATGAGGTAGTACTCCCTGACATCACCGCCCTCTAAATATCCATCACCGTCACGGTCCAGTGCTAGAAACAACTTCTCGTATCTAGATGCCTCATCTGCCGTCATTACAGGCATATCCCCTCTTTCACGGATATCTAAAGCTGCATTATCGAAATATGGTAAGCAATCAGATAAAGAGCCACCCGTTACCAGACGATTCAGCAAATCTCGATCCAACAGCCAATCAGGGTCGCTTATGAGTTCGGTATGCCTTTGGGCATATGCAATAAGTAGGCAGCAGATGCAAAACTCCCTGTAATCAATCGCGCCACGACCTTCTACATCAGCGACGCTCCAAATGTCAAACAACGCATCATCTGGTAGTCTCGAAGTGCGGAACAGCCGACGAGCACTCTCACCGTCGAGAAAACCGAAGCCACGGCGGTCCCATTTCAGGAATAGTTTGCGCAGATACGTATCCTGTGCTTGCGAGAGCGTCAGCGCTTTCATACAAGAATCATGAAGCTTTCGCCGCCACCCTGCACCTGAATGGTCAACGAAAGACTCAGCCATATTTTCCGTCAATTCACGACGATCTCTATATTGATGTCTGAAATACATTTGGACGATAACGATGTGGCACGCCACGGGTCGCGTACTGTGTCCAAATTGCCAGTTCGCGGTCACGACCGGGACCGCTTGTGCCACTAGGCGGAGTGTTTCAAAACAATAACATGAAATTCAACATCAATATCACATATAAACACAAAATTTCGCAACTTATATACTGGAATCACCTGATGTGTAAGCTGGTGCCGGCAGATAACAACCAGACATGCAATAACCTACACCGCATCGGCAACCACAGTCAGATTTAATCTGTTGTGTCGATATAACACGCTATGTGTAATGAGATTTATGTGTCACAACTTGCTAGAATCGAATAGATCTACGGAATCACTTAAAGTACCGCCACGCCTACGCGCGTCATGAAAACGCCATATGATGTGTGAAAGACCGGACAACAGAGCCGCGAATAACGCGTGATAATCATTAAAATAAAATATTGTTATGTAGATGTCCTTCCGAGGAGAAACAGAGGAAAGAAAGAGAGTCAATAGACAGTACCCTCCATCACGGAAATACCCGATACTTTAAACACACCATAAAATGTCGTTGACTCTGCGTGACCATATCTGGTGCCGCGCCATTAGGCGCGTCTCGTTAATTGAAAAGGCGCTTCTAACCACCAAATACGTGCGATTCTGTGGGGCATCAAATAAAACGAACACACGTTAGGAGAATTTTCCTCTTCACACGTGCAACCACATAAATATGATATTTACAACACCCGCAAACTGCAATTCCGATACATCTGCATTTTAGCGGTATATCCCTTACACTGAATACCGGCGTATAGGCGTCCACTCCCGTACGAAGCCTTACCGCAGACGTGGTCCCCCGGACGTAGGTCGTCGTCTAGAAAAACCGAGTCCAATATATTTATATAGATACCAGCAGTATGAATATCATAGGTGGCATCCGGACCCTTTTTAATTACAATGATGGGAACCGGAGTAAAAATAAAACCCGTAGTTCGTTCCCTTTCCGTGTCGTCAACGGAATTAGGCGCCGAATATCGTGGCATCCATCCCTGAGGAAAAGGGCGAACTGTTGCGGCGTCGTAGCCTACCTTGGCAGCGCAGACTGCAGAGACATACTCCTGGACGACATCCAATCCATCAAGCACCGCGGATACGATTCCTGTGGTATTGGGACTCTAGCAGCTGATGGATCCATCGAAGTCACGAAGTGCAGTAGCTACAAGGCACCGGCTAATTGCTTCGATCGCCTCCGGGAACGTATCGGAAATCGCCACCTAGGCAGCAAGATAGGAATTGCCCACACGCGATGGGCAACCATGGGCCCACCAACAGATATTAATGCACACCCTCATTGTGACCCTAAATGCCGTCTAGCACTTGTACACAACGGCACTGTCACGAACACATCAACATTGTTTCGTGAAATGTGCGAGACGCTGCGAGAAAACGGGTTGGACCCCGAGCAGCTATACGGCGATGACATGCATTGTCCTGACTCTGACAGCAGCGCCATAGCTTATCTCATAGGTCTCAATCTAGACCTCGGCGCAGACACTTTTACAGCTATGAAAAATGTAGTGTCACGCCTAGAAGGTTCCTGGGCCATATGCCTAGTCAGTGCACACAACCCGCATTCGCTATACGTAGCTCGCTCAGGGTGTCCCTTATTATTAATGAAAGACGATGTCACGCGCTCGTTGCATGTCGCTAGCGAAACGGTGGCGTTCATGCACCGTGCAGATGAATTTGTCGCTCTAGAGGATGGCGACGTCATGGAGCTCAACTTTCCCGTCGTAGAAAAGCTATTTAGCACGCGAAACGTCTGCAGAGTAACCAAACAACGAATACGAGGCACACCAGAGCCATACGAATACTGGATACAGAAAGAAGTGTTCGACCAGCCACTCGTGGCGCGTGTCGCGTTGCAACACTTGAAACTTGTTCGCGCTATACCAAAACTAAGATTTATCAAACAGGAGCTAGAGGGTGTGGTTGATGTCACATTCGATAGTGACGATCACCTCGTCGACAAAGAGTTAAAACTAATATCAGAGATAAACCCTGCTGACGTGCGACTCGAAATCCCGGGACACGGTGATGCGTCGTTGCTCAAAAACATAGAAAAGCGCCGCAAAATTAACATAATAGCCGCTGGAAGTTCAAACCACGCGGCAATGTACGTAGCTTCTATATTTCAGAGGCGTGATATATTTGACCTTATTGAAACCGACGATCCCACAGAACTAAAATTATACAGATACGGACATCAGGATGCTACTTTCATATATGTCTCACAGAGTGGTGAGACCTTAGACACGGTGAAAGCATGCAACCTATTGGCAGAGCGGAACCCTGACGCGATAAAAATCGCAATGTTAAACAACCTCAATACACTACTAGACCTCTCATGCGATCTCACCATGCTCATAAACATAGGCAGAGAGGTCTCACTGGCATCAACGAAAACATTCACTGCACAAATTATGCTGCTGACGGCGCTGATCGGTTACATTGTTCAGGCTCAGGATTCGGAGGGACGACACGAAGAGTTCCTCTTGCAACTCAAGGGTTCCATCATTAAATACGGAAGTGCCATGAGTAGGGCGTTACAGACGGAGGAGCAGTGCATCCGCATCGCCCAGAAACTTTGTAGCGTCGATTCTATGTTTGTGATAGGCTCTGGCGAGGGATACCCTATTGCTCTGGAGGCTGCACTCAAGTTCAAGGAAATCACATACATTCACGCGGAAGGGATGGCATCTGGAGTGATGAAGCACGGAAGTCTAGCATCGGTCGACTCCAAGCAGCGTACACCGGTAATATGCATTATGACACCGGACGAACCTGAGGTAACAGTCAACGCGTCGAAGCAACTCAAGGCTAGGGGAGCGTACCTTATCATGATTTCCTGCAACCCTAACATGGCTGATGGTGCCGACGAATTTATATTAATACCTGAGTGTGGTATGCTCACCGCTGCCTGTGCTATCGTCCCTGTCCAAATGATGGCATATAGAGTCGCCATGTTGAGGGGATGGAACCCAGACACCCCTCGAGGCCTCGCGAAGACGGTGACCGTTGTGTAAGTGTGCTCAAGTTTAGTGCTTTTGTGTGCCCATCGTTCTACGACGTTAAGTGTGCGGGGTCGCCGTAGGCACGGCGGAACTCCAGAGCCTCGATTATCTGTTGCAACATGCTGGTCTCGTTCTCACGGAATTCGGAACTCACGCCCCAAGACGCAGCTTGCAGCGTCTCCTCTAAACGAGAAGCTCGTATGGCTCGTGCGGCGTCGATGGCGCCATCGCACAACTCCAAAGGCAAAACAACTGATCTTAAGCACTTGTGCATTTTGCATATAGCAACCAAATCGGCAACAGATGAGGCTGATAGAGCTACTCGCACTGCTGTCACTACATCAACAGGCTGCCGCAATCGGGAAGCGACGTCACCTGCAGTGATTAAAGCACTGGTACCCCTGCGAGCTGCAAAACCATGCAGGATAGGCGCGATATAGCTGCTTTGCAGAACGTCCAAATCTAGCTTTACAATATGTGCCAAACTGGTGCGGTCTAGCGCAGACAAACCCTCCAATGGAGGCAGTGTCACAGGCGGCTGCATATCAAAGCGCAATGCGGTGTCAAAGTCGAGAGCATCAACAAGGGATCCAACAACCGTGTCACGTTGCTGCGGATGGAAGTCCACAGTCTCTGCCAATAACAATGTCGCTGGCAATGTCTCAAAACGGGTCAACTTGCCAATTTGGCGGCACCACTCGCCGACGACCCGATCGGCTACCAAACGCGAAGGTGTGATGAGGACATTTCCCAGCGGCGATTCCAACACAGCTCCGTCAATCGATATGGCAAATTGTGAACCTAAAGGCAGCACACCGGCAGACTCACGGCATAGGCTGACCGTTGTTTTGTCCCGGAGGCGCACTCTACTGAAGGTGTCGCTGGTTGCGCTTAGCCATCGTCGCGATAGACATGTGTAACGCGCCCGAGCATACCACATCGGACTATCCCAAAGGATAATGGATAACGGGGGTGAACCTTATTCTAAGCCACGCGAGCAATATCACTAGGTAAACGCTTCACAGCGCGTCGCGCACCGCGGCTATCGCGACTGTGGCATTAAATCGCTAAAACGACACATAAACTAAAACTTAAATGCTGTATACATTGCCTTCACGCTCCAATCGATCCGTTGTATCCAACTCACGAGTGGAATCCCCATGCGCCGCCCACGGCGGCCGGAAGGTGCCAGCCACGAGACACCAAACGCGCAACCTCAGAATCCATCGCCACCACGGTAGGCAATATTACACGAGATAAAAGAGAGAGGCTAGCTCCCTGGAAAAAACAATCGTGAAGTGCCGGGAAAAACAGGTGACCAAGACACACCCACGACAGTACGCACACGGCGACGCCTAAGAAAACAGCGAAATGTCCGTTAATATACTAAACCGGCAGGCAGATAGCCTCCAGGCTATGGCTGCTTTAGCCACAAATATACACGCTGCCAAGAGCCTGTGCGACATCGTAAAGACAAACCTCGGACCTAAAGGTACATGTAAAATGCTAGTCAACGGTGCAGGGAACATTAAAATCACAAAGGATGGCAGTGTGTTACTTAGCGAAATGATGATACAACATCCGACGGCAATGATTCTATGCAGAGCTGCTTCTGCAATGGACGAGATCACCGGAGATGGAACTACCTCAAACGTAATGTTATCGTCCAACCTTATGAAAAACAGCGAGGGCCATATATTATACGAGGGTGTACACCCTAAGTTTATCACGGATGGATTCTCAGTAGCACTTGAAAAGGCACTAGAGGGTATCGCCGAGCTTAGAGTTTCAGTCGGCCCCGCAGACAAACTCGACTGGGAAATTCTTGCCAACGTGGCCAAAACGTGCGCTTGTACCAAACTACCACGCTCATTGGCACTACACATCGCACATGGAGTATTGGAATCTATTAGACTGATTTATCGACCCAACGAGTCCCTCGACCTTTTCATGATAGAGGTGATACACATGCGCCACCGCCTCGCCTCAGAGACACAACTCGTGAGAGGAATGGTACTGGATCACGGTGCAAGACACCCAGACATGCCGAAACGCATTAAAAACGCATTCATTCTCACACTCAATTGTTCACTAGAATACGAGAGAAGTGAAGTACACTCTGGGTTCTCGTACTCAAGCGCAGAACAACGGGAAAAACTTGTATCCTCCGAACGCCGATTTACGGATGAAAAGGTCCAAAAGATCATTGATTTAAAGCGTAAAGTATGTACACCAGAGAACGGACGCACTTTCTGTGTCCTTAATCAGAAGGGGATAGACCCTCCAGCGCTCGACATGCTGGCACGCGACGGTATTGTCGCCCTGCGCCGTGTAAAACGCCGTAACATGGAACGTTTGACTCTTTGCTGTGGTGGAAATGCCTGCAACAGCGTGGAGGATCTCTCGGAAAAGGACCTAGGTTTTGCGGAAGTTGTTTACGAGCAGATGGTAGGAGAGGAGAAGTATACCTTTGTCGAGGGAGTACAAAACCCGCGCAGCTGCACGATACTTATCAAGGGATCGAGCGACTACAGCATCGCTCAGATTAAGGATGCTATCCGTGACTCTCTACGTGCCGTCAAAAACGCAATCGAGGACGGATATGTGCTCCCGGGCGCAGGTGCTGTGGAACTACATATATACAACAAACTAATGAAGCATGCGGCACAGGTCAAGGGAAAGGCAAGATACGGTGTCCAGGTATTCGCGGAGAGCGTCCTGGCTATACCGAAAACAATCGCGGACAACGCCGGACTCGATGGTCGTGAGGTGGTATTGGAGTTGCTTGATATTGAGAGCGAATGCGGAAGAAATGTAGGCATAGACCTTGCCACTGGAAAGTTCCTCATACCTGCGGCAGAGGGGATATGGGACAACTACAATGTCAAACAGCAAACTATCACAATCGCCACAACCGTGGCTCAGCAGATGCTCTTAGTCGACGAAATCATCAAGGCTGGTAGGTCAATGAGTGCCAAGCCGACGTGACTGCCTCATGCCTCAAGCGCAATTTAACTAAGCTCAATGAAGATGAACTAAAGCTAACCTTCTATATATATTAGTTGGCATTATACCGGATAACGATACATAATTTAGTTAGTTTGTCCGGAAAACGTATAATTTAGCCGGTAAAGTGCCACAGTGGCGCCCAACCTTCCACCGTGGCTGCAAATAAATACAACATCCACGATACTGATTGTGTTACTTCTTTACAGATCTCGGCATTTGATCGACACACCGTTCGTACAAAGCCTTTAGGTCGGCAAGCATGGCGAGTAGCTTATCGTAGCGACCGCGGAGGTTTTCGCTTTCTTCTGTCAAATTGTACTCCTCTTCTACACACTCGAGGTACTGCACACACAGTGATAGAAAGCTTATGATCCCACATATCGAACAGCGTAAAATAAATGCACACACTAAATCATCGTTGCGCGCGTCCGCCAAACATTTCATCGACACCACTCTAGAACATTTGCAAACTCACCGTATTGAAATAGGGTGTGTTTAACGGAGCAACAGTTTCTTTGGCCTTCTGTAGGCAGGCTCTGCGCAGACGGCTGTGTTCCACAATCTTCGATGCTAGCCGTGCTTTGAGGTCAAGCAGCTCCTTATGATGCCTCTCATCCTGAAACATCTGACATGGCAGTTTAACCTTACAACATACCCTGACTGATTTCAGATGATTCAATATGCCCTGGTTTTTGTTGTCTCGTTCTGTCTTACGCAGCGCCGCAAGCACCTCTGCAAAGTTCACTTCACTGAACCTCTTGATATAAACTGAGAAAATATGACTAAAGGTCAAACGTCCTTGACCAGACATCACTGGCCGTTACATGCAACCTCGAGTGTTATGGATTTCCCGGAAATTTACAATGCAACAAGTACTCCGACAATGTGAATTTGACAGATTCAATAAGTCAGAGCATGGACAGACAATTTTATAGCATCAACTAAGCTCTTTTGTATCAATCAAATCGTATGTATATGGATAGAAATGGACAAGTTACAACACATAGTGAAGAAGAGCTTCCACTGTTAAACTTACCCGAAGCGTTAGGAGCTTTGGGAGGGTGTCTCAAGGCGCCTTTATGCTTTAGCGAATCGTATTTCAGCATGTAGTTGTAATAGATGAGCTGCATAACATTCACTTCTCTATGTAACAATCGTGACTCTTACCACCGATGCGGACATTAGGAGATCTCGCATGTCCTCCTGTAGACCTTGAGCCAAATTCTGGATTTCCAGCGATTTGTGGCTAATACGCAAATGAGAATGGCATTTGACACGTGCACGACCCACAGAAGAGACGTAATGATCGCGATAGATATAACTGGCTCACAACACTAGCGCATACCGCCGTAAACACGACGCAATAACTCGTAACTGACGGATACTATGGATACCTAACACATCACCGCGTGGCAGCACCGACATCCAAGAAAATGCAAATTACAAACACATATGATACTTACCTCGCCATAGCCATATCTGGCGACACAGCGCTTGTTGGAGCCATAGATGACTCCTCGAAAAAAATAGTCAACCTGCAAAGTGGTTACCCCGCGACCACTTCAACACAACGTTCTAGCGGCAGCATTCGTCTCGATAAATATAAAACGATTAGTGACGATTAGCTACCATGTGATTGATATAATGACCATGGCAAACCTGCCGAAGGCTGCCGCAGTGCCAGTACGCCGAGGGAGCCCTCGACGCCAGCTCAGAGAGACACACTACATCAAGGAAGAGACAAATCAAACGCTGGAGTCTATCGAGTCTCCTTATGTGTAGAATCTTATCAAAACAATGAAATTACAGGGCGTAGAGACACATACCGCCGCGAACAGCTGCACATTATTCCACTGCCAGTATAAATCGTATATATGAGTCCAAAGGGGACCGTCGCTGCGCGACCATTATTTAATGAGTTAACTCGATTCTTTTCACGACAGCCGAATGTCGAGTAAATAACGGCAGAGACGCGCGTTAACGAGTACTCACCTAGCAACGCGATATATGATCTCAAAAAACGATCAATTATCTCACACAGCCATTGCAGCAATACAGCACTTAGAAGCTGCTTGGACGACAATGAGCGACATCAGCGGGCGACAGTGTCGAAATGTGTACTAACCACACAATTGGCAAGCACACAGACAGCAAGTAAAAATTTAGCTGCCGAAAAAATGTGCAACAAGCAACGCTAATGGCAATATATAATAGGAAGTATGCGCATTCAAAGGACTTGGAACATAAATTGAACCGTATAAGACAAACAGGGGCCAGGACCCCGAGAAAGAAACAGATGCAAGAATAGACATAAATTTAAATATGATAGCAAACAGCTGATGACGAGCGACAACAGATTCTTTACAACGCGAAGCACAGGGGGTGCATAAGTCATAGCAGCACTACGGCACGGGAATATTGTATTCTAGTGTTTTAACGCTATACATAAGAATAATAACACACATAACGCCCAAACTTCTGTTGTATAACGGGTTTTAAGCTCTGCAGCTAACGCTCCCGTAGCCACACACGATGTCCTTCGTGCTTCTCTAAAATCAGGAAGTACGCTCTTAAGAGCAACATTAATACCTTGGAATCAACCAATACCAAGGTAAACCGCGCCAAAAGGGCGAGGCTTTGTACGCAAGACATACGCTAACCATGTAGAGTAAGCTGCAAAACAAATTGCAAAATGTCGTGGATTTGGAAAGATCCAAGCTTCATGGAGCTGTGCTGTGACCAGTACCTCGCATTCAATGCAGGATGTGTCATACCTACGCCGTTCATATCGGCATCTAGCATGCTCAACAGCTCAACGAAGCTATTTCAGAAAATCATCAACAAAACTCTAGAGAAAAGCGGTGCACTCGTTTCACCGCAAATGTGTAACTCTATACTGAAGGCAAAGGAAGCCGTTAGTATGGTAGACGCAGCACTGTGGCAACATCTATACGATGCTACACAGCAAGCCAGCAACGGTGACTTCACAATGCTACACAGGTTCATATTCGGACTACTGACGCGTCTCAAGGATTTGCCAAATGATAGTTGGTTTCTTATACCAGGAGGAATCAAAGTCTCGGATCACACACCCTTGGAATGGATCGGGTATGCTGTCTACAAAATGCCACAGGCATCCTCATACGTATTCGGAGTCATCAACACAGGTGGACCGGGACTCAAGTACCACTCGTTCAAACTTAACAAATATACGAAAATAGGTCAGGTAATGAGGGATGCAACCATTATGCTCAAGGATGTATCACCCGACAGACTTCTCCACAGCGCATTCTGGTTCGCAGCATTCAGACTCATGTATGCCCCAAGCTCACATAACTACGAATACCTCTACGAAGTGCTGCTGCCTTATCTAAATTCAAAACCGTTGTTAGTCAACTGGAAACTGGAGACGCAGTTGCAACAACGGTCCGATGGAGCGCAGGAAGAGGCGGAAAAGGAGAAACACGGAAGCAAATCGGCCAAAAAGGTGCTCATAGAGGCATTTACAAGACTAAGTAAGGAGCAAAAGTCCGATTCGACCAAGGAAATGCACTGCGAACTGGAGAATAACTACGGTGGTGTATGGATGGATGCTTCAACAAACGTGTACAAACCGAGCTCCATGACGGCCATCATATCCACATTCGTGGAAGTAGTACTGCGCAGGGATGAAAACAATGATGCAGAGGTGCGTACGGTACAAGTCATGTTCCAACTCAGCCTGTGCCTTCTGATAGACCACGACCTGGACGCAATGTCTAAACAGGACCAACTAAGTGCACAACTCAGTGTACGTAGCTCGTCATTGTTTATAGAAATTGCCTGCAAAATACTTGCTGTAATGCTAGCGGAGGATGCTGCTCAGGAAGCGCAGAAGGACGATCTCATCGATCTAGACGGCAACGATTTCTCAATGCAGGAGGCGGCGGCCATGTCGAGCCTAGTAGGAACGACAAACAGTCCATTCCTCAGCGTTGCTAAAGCAGCTGGTTCTTTAGGTCTTGAAGGAGAGCGCCTGCATTATGATGCTAGCTCACCTCTTAAAAATCTGCCAGAACTCTACAACCTGGCGGCATCTGTTATTGGCAAAATATATCGCAACTTGCAGGAGAAACTACCACCCAGGGCACTAGGAATGGGAAACGGATCATGTACTATTGACCGGAAGTTATGCATGCCTGGAACGGAAATCCATCCCAACTTTGAGTTCGAGAACTTTGGTAAGTTCAGACTGGACGGACCGAACGTAAACGAGCTTGCAAAGGGTGCGGTAAGGTCACAACTTCTGCTCCCTGTAGAACTGACCGGTGTGGAAATGACGGTAAACAACTTCAACGATGTTTGCAGAGTCCTTCGAAAGTGCCTAGAGGCGTGTACACTTTTATCAAACCAACGAGACGCAATATCGTATACCTACGCTTGGAGATTCCAGCTGATCAAACATGTACTATTCCACGTGTTGCCACTTCCGCTACCAATACCAAAGCGCACAGAGGACGGAACACCGCCGCCATCTGGGCAGGTCCGGTGCTTTTGGGCTACGTGTGACATCGAACTGGAGACGCAGGTTGATATTTTGCGCCTGCTACAAATGTTAGCGAGGCATATTGCTATTGCATATTGTTCCCTAATAAGTACGAGAACCATTGAAGGAGAAAAGGCAATCATGTTAGGTGCCATTTGTGCCATAGCTGACGCCGTTATACGTAAAGTGGCTGTTGACACCCCCAGTCACATCTCCCTGATGTATTCAGGAAGGGGAAGGGGTCCAATAAGTGCATTCGGATTCACATTGGGTAACTTCGCGCTAGAGAGTTGTTACTACAGCCTAACAGACCCGCTAGCAGTGATTGCGAGAACCCAGGTGCTGGATTACTTTGAGTCGGTGGAACGCATACTGGGCCCGAAGCACATGGTGTTTGACTGGGAAAAGTCTCTTGAGGTTGGGGAGGGTGATGAACTGCTGATACACCTCTCGGCTCTCCAGCTGGGATTTACCAGGAACGTCGAGGAGGTTCGGAAATACTTTGTTTCTGAAAACAAGGAGTTCTGCGCGATGTTCCCGGAGTTTGGTTATTTCAGGGATATTGTTTTCATCGCCAAGTCCATCGGGTGGTCGGGACCCATGGTGCCCACGTCGAGGTACTCCCTTGAAGACGCCACGCTCAAGTGGTCAGTAACTACTCACTCCACCGCTACAATCACAGTAAAGTCGTTCGGTAAACAACTAAAGGTGACGCCAATTGGGAAGGTTCGTAGCTCCGAAGAACAGAACCAGACGTACTACAGGAAGATGATGAAATGGTTCGTGACCTCAAGCAATTCCAAATGTCATACGAGCGCTGCTGATGCACACAATTTGGTAGGCGATTACGAAATAGCGAACGAAACGGATGTGTTACATTTGCCGACACTACCTGATTTGGGGGGGAAACTGGGACGTCGTGACACAGAGCTGCTATTACAGTATCTCACGGCACCGTACGTTCGAATACCCCTTATCATGCAATTTTTCGCGAATGAAGGGAATATACATGCGCTATGCTCTCCTGCTCTGCAGAAGGTGGTTCTGGCATCTGTTTTTGAGCCAGGACTATGGAGGAGTATGGCAACTCAACACGTGTATCCCCAAATGGCGCCCGTAGAGTCGCCGGATATGCTATCGACACCTCTAGGTCTCCTGTTCAATGAGCTACATTTCTCTGCAAGTTGCATCTTGCATACCGTTGAGGAGATTGTGGAGCTGTCCCTGGAGAGAGACAACCGTGCCTTCGTTGGCGATGCATCCAAGGTGCTCCCCTTCGCTGTGAGGCTGTCCACTCATGTGTGCTCCTACGTCTATCAAGCCATTGAACACTTCAGATTCACTACTGTCTCGATGGAAGAGGAATCGCAACCCCGCATTTCCGGAAACGGTTGGCGAAGCAATGTCAGAGGCCTCAAGGTCAGAGACGAAGCTGCATGTTTAGAACTTGAAGCATTCCAAAAGCGTATGCGTGCGCTACTGATAATCTGCGCGAAGGCACTCCAGAAACGGGCAGTTAAGGCGGCGAAGGTCAATGAACAGACTGCTGCGGCCCTGGCTATGGGACACGTTGCGCTGATATATGGTTGTGTTCTGCAGATGGATGAGGCGATGCGAGATGACGATGAGCCGGAAGAGAAAGAAGAGATATATTTATCGCTAGGAACAGCTCTACTTTTCGTGTTCGTGCATCACCGGTTCGAAGTGGAAACCCCGGTTGAGAGTGTGGTCAATGAAACCACTGAGGAAGATATCGATGAAGAACCGCTCGCCATGCCTGAGTTGGAACTATTTTGTGTCGTGCAAAATACGCGTTCACGTTTCTTGAAATATTTGAGGTCCAAAGGAGCTGGGTGCGATGGCATATTAGAAAAACTTGTGCAACGTGTTACGCAATTCGCAATGTCAGATGAAGAAATCGAGAAAATCAAGTGTGAAATGTCAAGGAGTGATAGCTGGCATGAACTGCAGTTTCCCGCAAT